TTCCCAGTTTTATACATACAGCTTAAATTGTATTGATTTACATTACTGATCTCTGTTTCTGGCCACAGTAGGTAACTGTGGAACCTATAGACCTCCACAATAAACCGTTCTTAGTTTCCCTTCCCACTGTCTCAGAGAAAGATCAATACCATGCAGTGCCAGAGTCTCATAAATCTCATAAATCTTTTCATGAGCCCTCTACTTATCTCTAGCTCCAACTGGTACACAGAAACAAGGCCTTTTCTCAGTATGACTCTGCCGCTCGGGGATTGTAACAGTGTTTATCAACCGCCCCTATGAGACAGCTGTTGTCTCTTTCCGTTTCCATCAGATTTCTGGGAGTCTGTCCTGTGTCCTGGCCGGCCTGGCAAGGTTACAGATGATGAATGACTTCACTTTCATTCGGCAATATTCCTTCTCCGGGATATATGCTGCTGTTCCTTCTCTCTGGTTTCACCTCTCACAAACAGAGGTGTTCATAGCTTTCCTCATTTTCTTTTCTATGCCTCTCTTTCTTTTTTGTAATCTCTTTTAAAGTCATAGCATCACTCTCCAAAATACAGCATGTCATGTTTAAATTTTTCAAATTCTTTTTATGTGTAAAGTTGGTCACGAAAACAACAGTTTGGCATGTCTGAACTTTGACTGCTTTATTCATGGCACAAGCAACACCACAAGCATGGCCTTAGGGACGGCCTTTTCAAGATTCTTCGTGTTTATGTAACTATTTTAACCATAGAAAGCACTACCAGGCTTGCCATTGGAATAAAGACTATCTTGGGCAACATACACTCACATAAATGCAAACATACAGTTTTCTTACAAATACAGCAAAACAGTACTTCATCGTGGTATTCAGTCTCTTCTTTATGGCAAACAAAGAATTGCTATCAAGTGGTGCATTAGCAGTCCCTCCATGATTTCATGGCTTTTTTAAAGATTGTTGTGGCCTAAAATGCCTGACATTGCGGCAGCTTTTCTAAAAAACTGCGGTGAAAGTTGCAATCCTTTTGGGCTTCTTTTATCAAAATTACAGGAACAAGGGCAATTACAAATTAGCTACAACGGTCTTTTGTGAGATTTTAGCCTTAAACCATAAGATTAATGCGTGACATTTTCCACACATTGTGCTCTGCATCTCTGAGTGGTATCTAAAACATAGACAGTCACTCAGAGAGACAGACAGGCGCGCACAGAGACTCACAGCCACACAGAAAGACCAGCATCTTACAATTTAGAGAAAACATAAGTATAAGCACCACGTTGAATTACTATTTTCATTTGTGATTTTTAAACTTTCTAAAATATTTTTTTTTCTTCACATATATTGCTTTGAAGAGTATCTACGCGAATACCTTGATCATTTCAGCCGCTGCTATTGTTCTGGATACAACAGCCTCTGTCATTGTAACTTGTCTCCTTTGTCCTCTTTGAGTTTCAGCTGTTCTCTCCTTGCATGTTTTGCGGTTAAAAACTGCCTGTCGAGCGACGAATTTCACGTGTGTTGCACCACGGTATTGTAGGCAGTGCAGAAGTGTTTATTTCCACTTTCATGTCACACATCTGAAAAAATTGGCTTGCACAAAGTTTGGAGATGATATTTGTTGGTAAATGTGGCTGTTTAGCGCCACCTTCTCAATGTTAACAAGGAAGTGAATACGAGAACGCAGTAGCGTGGGCGAAAGAGCGATTTGTAGGAAATTTGCTGTGATTGGACGAAATTGAAGCGCCTCACTGAATTCAGGGTGATTGGTTGAATTTGTGTTAATAGTTGCGATCACAACATCACAAATTTGTGGAGGGATTGATTTAGTGGATAAAAGGCTTAAAAAGAAATTAGCATGAACTAAGGAACTATTTCCGGTTTCTGTTTACAAATGTCTCATCTTGAATAATCTTTGAATCTAGCTGCATTAAGCAGAACAGACTTAAATGTAATATGATACTTATTAATATACTGAAACAAATTGTTAAGGCTCCTGTTAGGAACTCTGTGTCTGTGTTGACTTTGGTGCCCCCTGTGGACAAAGTGTTAACCCTTGTACCATAGCTGATTTTGTCTCATCCTTGTAAAAATGGCTTTGATTGATGGTGGGAAGTTAACTAAGTCCGCTTCTCAAGCGCACCTACCCCCTCACAGCAGAATAGGCATTAAAAATTGCATAATTAAATAAACTGTCCAAGACTGAGCTTATTATCATTTCAGCCAGTCCCACTGTGTCCAATATCCATTTTGGATCAAGTAAACTCATGCCAACCAAGTCTACCTGAAATCTGGGTGCCATGATTGAAGACCAGCTGACCAAACTGACAAACCCCCTTTTATTTTAGCCCTTTTCATAACCAATCAAAAAGTTCTTTGAGGAACTTTAAGTTTTAAAGGGTTTTGTTTTTGGTGACTTAGAATTAGCCTTTTTATTTACACAGGTGCAGGTATCCTTCTATGTAGGCTGCCATTTGCACAGACATGTGTCTACCTATAGCACCTATGGCAAGGAGCAATCTAGCAGAAGGTATTTCAGTTAAGTATGTGTTTTTGTTCCTCTTATGAGGGCTTTTTTGCATGTATTGGAGTTGAAATGATGGTGGATAGGGGAAAAAAGTGAGGGAGAGAGCATGTAAGAAAGAGTTTGTGGGCTGAATTCAAACCAAGGCCACCCCTCAGATGTTTTTTTATGGTAAAAATGTGACAAATGGAGGATCATATTTATTATGCATCACAGGAACTTCTTGTCCTCAAAGGCCACAGTTACTTTACAAACAGGAAGGCAAACAAGACAGCCTTTCAGTGTAAAATCTAACCACTGAATAAATATACACACCTTTAACCAGTTAATTTTGTTTTCCATTGAACATTTGCATTTACTGGCATGGTGAGCAAAATATTACATGTAAAAGGAAGTAATTTTCCTGAGCTCAAGTAGATAATGACAATAAATTGTGTAGTTGACAAACAAAATGTTATAAACTGGAAAACATTCAGTACAGTCATTATTTGGTATCTGTCAATTTTTACATATCCCTGCTTTTAAAAAATCGGTTGATATTTGATATCATTTATTTTTGATTCATTCAAAACCAACAATAGCACTGTATATGTTTCTGTGTTGAATGCGTGTGAATCCTTTTCACAAGCTCTTTGAATTGTTTCTTTTGATCACAATGTTTGTTCTATTGAGATAAATTATAAAGTCATAATAGGATAGTGACGTAAGTTTATAGGAGGATCAACAATGAGCATTACATCAAACTTTTAAGCTTCATCCCTTGGTTTAGTCGTCAGTACTCTGCCTATCTATCATTCCACCTCAGCTCATCGACATCCTGAGTCACAGGGGGAAACGTGTGGGTTGATTATCTCATCAGGAGAAAATGATTAACTCTTGACCTCGAGATGAGCAGGTTTGGTCGCCTTCAGTGTCAGATAAAGACCAATTTATTATTTGACTTATTGTTTGACAGTAGTCTCAGGTAAAACGATTTCTTCTGTAATTTACTCCCTTAAACCTCACACCTGACCTATCACATGTATACATACAAACATGGCTGCACTCTATCATCCCTCAGGGATCAGTGCAGGAATGAGTAAATAAAAAATCATGGCCTGTCACACAAATTTTACGATAATCCTGAGCAGCCTTAAGAGCCTGAACACAGATTAATAACAGGGATTAGGGCATCACAAACTGCAGTCAATGACAGAGGCAGACAGCAGAGGGAGGACAGAAATGCACATTCACTACAGTCCCCACTGTACCTCTGCACAACACACTTATCTCAATAACTGCAATTACTTAAGATCATAACTGTCATCGATCTGGACGATTTCCAGACATGTTGATGGGCGTACTAATACTTACACAGCTAAGATGTCAGGAGGTTTAAGACCCCAATGAGGAGTTTACTGGGATTTCATCATTTTTATTAATCTAACAAGCGGACAGTGACATAAATTCCCTTCTACCAGCTCTATTATAAAGCATGAAATAGGTCCGGTAACACTCACTGGGCCCACTTCAGAGACAAACATCCTCAATCGAAGGAGATGCAAACAGCTCTAGAGGAAATAAATGTGTTTTCAGGCATCTAAATATACCACAAAATCAAACATAGAAGGACATCTGAAACTCATCTCAAATAAAAGCTAACTCAAAAAGCAGCAAAGACACAGCTGACCAGATAGAGGTCAAGCGGCATGTCCAGGTTTCAAGACCTACAAACAGGTGATTTGATTTCCTTCATCCAAACAGGTGAGGCAGACAATGACAGTCCAAATGTCATTATCTTATCACTGACAGTAACCCGATCCACTGCTGTATTATAGAAAGCATGAAGTAAGCAGCCTGACAACAAGTAAAATCAGCCCTCAAACAGCACGCACGGGCACGGCTGGCTGACATGTCCCAAAGGAAATTCTCATCCTCTGCTCAACATATTTGTGTACAGTATGTCATTGTCACTGCCTGTGTCATATGTTCCAGCTCTGGAGAGTATGTATGTGGTGGTGACTACAAAGGCTGAAAACAACTGTGTGTTAAGTAGTGTGTGTTTCAGCGTGTTGTTTCATGTGTGACAACAAGGCCATGGTGGAGCCCAAACAAATCAGTTAATGCTGGTTCTGATAGAAAGACATCAGAGCACACAGTTTGTTCTGTAAGGGGCTGTGTAAGACCTGCAGAGGTCCAGTGGAGTCCATGTCTCATCAGATCAAGGCTGTTTTACACCTGATCTTACAAGACTGGGCCTGTGCAAAATCAGGCAGGTGATCTTTATATATTTTGGCTGATAAATATATCATAAGCAGGTAAAAAAAATGGCATGCTAGGCCTTTTGCATGGACAGATTACAGAGCAGTAATAAGTGGCAGTCTGAAAATGAATCAAGCTTTGTGTTTACACTGCAGATTTGACTGCAATTAGAGTGAGATTCACAACTCAGACAGTAAAGGCTAAATATAACATTTGATTATTGACATATGCTACTGGTGAATGTTAAACAGAGGAATTAAGATTGGGAAAAACAGAAGTATGTTTGATGAGGACCAAGAATTTCAATGTTTCTCTTTTTGTGTGAACTGTGCATAATTGTCTCTCTTGAGCAAAGAAGGATTAGAAAATATATCAATACACATATCTGGGTCCTACATCTTTCTACAGGTATTTGAGTGCATGAATCTTACTAGTATGATATTTTTATGTAAATGCTTTTCCAGACATATGATATGTAATGTATAAAGTGAATTGTTTTAACTTTTTTTAGCCTCATCAAAACGTGTTCAAGCACTCGTGGATGCAAAGGAAAACAAAAGGTAAGAAGATGTGAACTACAGCACCTAGAACATATTGTAAAATTCAACACATCTTCAACTGCATTTAGTACACCTGAAGTGGACCCTGAGACCATCTGTGGCAGACTGATTCAACACAGGGCCTCAAGTTAAAAACAAGGTTAATGTTTTTTATGCTGAGTAAATCTTAGAAGAATAAATGTGTAATTTTTTAACAGTAAATGTGCATTGCATGCGAATCCAAAATCAGGTAAAGAAGTGCTAGTAATAGGCTTACGATTCCAGTCTCATTTGGAAAAACTCACCTGGATTCACCTGAATTCATCTGTGCTACGGTGGTCCCTCCACCACCCAATCTTCATCCACGTTTAGGTGACGGGGTCTCCTTCTTCCACTATCCACTGATAGCTTAGCTAATTACAACAGAGCTAATGACCAGCCAATCACACATTTAAGCTAGCTAACACACGGACTGAACAGGATTTAGAAAGTAATTTTTCAAATGACTATTTCATTGATTTGATGAAGTAAATCTGGAAAAAGGTTTTGGAAATAAATAATTTTAATACCCAAAAATGAATTCACATATTTTGGTTTCTCCTGCTCTAAACGAAATATATGACGATACGATATATGACATTTCAAACATTGGAGACATTAAATATACATTGAAGAATTAATTCACAAATAAAACATGAATAACTCTGTCAATGCCATATCACATCCCACTGATTGTTATATGGCATTAATCTGTAATTTTAAACATCAGACCCTGCTGTAAAATTCAGATGACAAACATGTGTTTTTAACATCAGTGACCAGAAGTCCTCTACAAAAGAAGCACTTTCTCAACTCACACACTACACTTCCACACACACAGACACACATTACAGCTTGTTGTTGATTGTGCAACTACTCCAGGCAGCTTTAATTTCAGAAGAGAGCTAATTGCAATTAGGATGCACGGGGTGTTGAGCTGGGAAGTAAAAGGAAGTAATCAGAGTTGATTATAGAGCCTGAGCATGATCAGAGTAAATCATACAGTGTACAGCTCCTCTCCCCTGCCTGAATCTGAAGCAGGCATGACACCGAACAGAGCCTGTTTTTAGTGTGATTAAGTCCATGGCTGCACCACCAGCTCCAGCTCTCTGCCAGATTCGAAGGGATTATGGCACATGTGACACTGTGAGCCCGACCTCATCGTGTTGTGCTCCGAGAATCACAAAACGATGTGCTACGGTTCAAAAGTGAGTATAACCCCTTACAGCTGGCAGCCTGAAATGAGAGGCTTCCTTGCCAGTTGCTGTAGATTCATAATCTGGGTTTGTTTTGGGAGCTGCTCATTATAACTGGAGCTGTGCTGCTGTACACTCACGGAAATTAATGTAAACAAACACAGCAGCTGAATGAAACTGTTAGTTCCAGCAGTTTCTATGATGAACTGTCTAACTGCCTGTTGAGGATTGCTAAAGGAATCGTGTAAAACAGATATTTTACTATGTAATAAAATGAACCATCAAAGCCAGGGTGCTGAATTATTATTTGCATGTTAAATAAATCTGTTCACTGGTATGGTGTTTAATGATCTAATGTCAATAAAATTTATTGATCCTGTGGTGCAAACACAGAACACAGAGCAGTGCAATCAAAACAAACATCTGTGCAATGTTCAAGACAAAAAAATGCATTCAGTTTTTTTTTTTTTAGTTATTGAGTAAAGTCTCTTCATTTTCTTATGCCTAAAAAAACAGTTGCATAGAAAGAGTCTTCTCTTCAATTATGTTTTTTTTTTTTCCTTTTTTTTTACTGATGTCAAATATACAAATATCTAGAGGCGGTGACCAACAATTGACAAATGAGATGACAAATGACTAACGGAGTGCCTTGCTCAAGGTTAACAAGGTTTTGCAAGGGTGAAACCTTTAATGACAAAAACACAATTTTCTCAGACATTCACAAGAATAAGCAATAGACATTTTTATTTTATTTTCAAACCCTTGGTTAGAGGTTACAGACAGGAAACTTGATTTGCTAACCAACACTGGCACCTAGTGGTTATTTAAGGCATCTCCAGAGGAGGGTTTTTGGTGACAATGTCCTCCTCTTTTTAGATGATCGTTTATTTACCTCTGTCACGATTAGCTGTCATGACATGGGAAAGACACATTTACACAATAAATCAAAAGAAAGAAAGTGAATTGATAAATGTAACATTTAGTGCAATCTTTTAGACTTTCTGTACAATCACAGTGTCAGTGGACTCCCAGCTCATGCACACATTCATATAGCTGCAAAAATGTAGTTGATGATTTGGTCAGCAGACATGATTTTTAAAAAAGCTAAAAGATCCTATGAAATCATCTCTGTGGTGACAGAGACCACTGATGGTTTGGGTTCATGTAACAGTAGAGTTCATTGATTGTGTGATTGACGTAAGATGAAGCTCAGGAAAAGCAGACACATGCAGAGGGGGTTAGGACCTGGGGTGTAAACAAAGCTGTCATGCTAATTTCAAGCATGACTGGTGCGTTAGTTTGTCGTGCATAAGTTTGTCCTCCCCCCTGCGCATGTGAAAGCAGGCATAATACCAAGGGGAGAAAAAGAGTTAAAAAAGACATACTGAGCCAGGATGACAACACTTAATCAAATATGTCTGGGATATTGTCCATGCAGTATTCTTCAAGGCTGAACTGTTCAACAGTGAAAGTGACGTCTTTCCACTTTTTCTTGGTTACCGGGCCATCAGGGGTCTCTATGGCGAAGTGTTTAATGGCTATGTTGGGCAGCAGGGCAATCTTCTTGTACTTGATCTCAAATCCCCACTGCTGTGAATTGAAAAAAAGGAAGAAACCCAACAGGAGTATCAGCAACAACAACTCCTTTGTCTGAGTTTAAAGAGATGCTTGGCAGGTGGCACATCATACCTGGTTGCAGTTTCCGTTATTGCAGCTGATTTGGCACCCAGGCTCCCAGTCCTCAAAAGTCCTCTCTATAACCACCTGCCCACCAACTTTGTAGTGCTTCCTGTAGCAAAGGTACTCCATTGTTATCTATCATGTAAAGACTTTTACTTTCTGAAGAACTTTCATGCTATAAAAGAGTGAAACTCACTTGAAGTCAGGATTGATAATGACATGGTGCATGTTGTCGACAAGTTTGATGTCACTGCCTGAAGCCACAGGCTTGAAACATGTACGACACAAAAGCTGGACACTAGCAGCAGAGTGGCAGTTCCTCTTTTCCACTTGTTGGCTCTCCTGAGCTTTCCTCGAATCCACTGCCTGCTTTTGGAGCACAGCTATCTGGGGACAAAGGAGAATAAAAAGTGTTGGTAGAAACTCATGGCAGTGGGAGTAAAAGACAAAGAATGAAAGAGCATCACTCTCACCTTGCTGCGAAACTCTTGACTGCTCATCTCTTGTACTCTTGCAATGGCTTTTCCAGTCAGCTCTTCTAGATATTCATTGGTTTTCTCCCTGCGCTGTTCAGGTCCTCCTTCCTCTGCGACCACTGAATACTGGCTGTTTTTCGCTCGGGCTCGTCCCCTGGCCTGCAGCTGGGCAATCTCATTGGTAAGCAGTCCATAACGGACCACCAGGTTGCACTCAGGGATGTCGAGGCCTTCTTCTGCCACAGTGGTGGAGATGAGGAGATTGAGTTTACCCCGACGGAAACTGCTGATTGTGTTTTCCTGCTCGCTCTGCAAGTATGCACACGAAAGGATGGAAGGACTAAATCAAACAGCACAAATATATCAGTAGAAAAGTATGATAACTAATCGTCTTTGTGTTAGGATCGTGTAACAACAAACCGGTGTCATGCTGCCTGCCCCGGTGAGGATAGATGCCTTGATTTCAGCTTCTTGTAAGGCTGCATTCGTGTGGACCCAGTCATGGAGGCAGCGTGTGCTCTCTCTGGTTTTGCTGAAGATGATCCCTTTTGATTGCGAGCTTGGACCAAAGTGTTCAAGCAAGACCCCCTCCAGTTTGGACATCCTAGGGTTCTCATAGAGGGGGTTACCTGCCAGTGTCCTCAGCTCCTCTTGTCTCACTGTGTTAAGTTAACACAATATTGTTGTTTGAGAGGTAAAATAAGAACCTAACATAAGTAATACTCATGTTTCCAAACTTAAAGTGATATTCCAGTGTAAATATAAGTTAGGATCAAACACATCATGACACCTAGTTAGACACCCCCTCGAGAGATGAATGTTGCTGACCGCTTGCTTCTGTAGTTATACCAACTTTAGTAATGACTGCATGATAGTAATACACAGTGGTCTACGTCTCCACATGCAAACCTCAACCAAAAAGCCACTTTATAGGGTACCAGCCATAGTACTAGCCATCAAACCTCTTTTTAGCTTTGCCTGGTTTCTTTAGCAAAGAGACCAAACACAACTCACCCACTCTCCTCCAGCAGCCACTTGTTTGTCAGGGAGCCCTGACGAGTTGATCACCGAGTGCAGCAGATCATTTCCATGAAGTAATAAACATCATAATAATTTTGCACTGCAGACGCAGTAGTTCTTCTGCCTTAGAGTCTCCGTCTGATTGAATTTCCATAAAGTAATAATCATCAATGTTCTTCCTTGAGCTGCGAACCTCCGCTGCACTCAGTAATCGACTCATCGGGGCTTCCCCCACAAACAAGCAGCTGCTGGAAGAGAGTGGGTGAGTTGTGTTTGGTCTCTTTGCTAAAGAAACCAGGCAAAACTAAAAAGATGTTTGGTGGCTAGTACTATGGCTGGGACCCTATATGTTCTGTTGATGAAGTTAGGTGCTGTTCTGAGCATTATTTGTGGTTATAGAGTGGCTTTTTAGTTGAGGTTTGTGTGTGGAGACATAGACCACTGTGTATTGCTATCGTGCGGTCATGGCTGAAGTTGGTATTACTAGAGAAACAAGCGGTCGGCAACATTCATCTCTCGAGGGGGTGTCTAACTCTGTATTATGGTGTGTTTGACCCTAACTTAAATTTACGCCAGAATATCCATTTAAGAATAAAAATAACTTTTATCTTTTGAATTTCTACCTTGGTAAAGCCCCACCAAGAAGATGTCTACTCCATCAATGATTGTCTCAAACTTTGGGATGTAGAAATCCTCCAGGTAGCGAAAAGCATCCCTCATTCGCAGGGTGTCATTGATGAGCAGCGCGTCGTTGTACTTTCTGAGGTGGCGTGAGCATTGTGACAGCTGTCTGCTCTTGTCTTTGACACCTGTTCCAAAGACATACAACTTCCATGAGTGCATCAGCCCCTGATCTTGTTTGAACCCTAAAAGGAGATGCTTAGTTTAGTTAGTATTGTTACCTTGCTGCTCCAGTAACACCACGTCCAACTCGTACTCCTGTGTGCCACACTCTCTCAGAGTGTAGTCAGGAGGGATGTCCATGAACTCATGGATTTGGTACATCATCTTCTTCAGAAGATCTCCAAATGGATCCTACAAGATAAAATTCTTCATCTTATTTGGAGTCATGAAGAGATGTTTCAGTCCCTGTCTGCTGAAGTTCAAACAGTGGGTATATGATTTGAAGAAAAATGGTCTTACTTCTGGTCTTTTCTCCACGATAGAGTAAGTCTTCTGAGGTCTGGGCACTTTCTCCTCCAGCTCACACACATAGTCTTTACTTAAAACTATGGCTGAGTCAAGGTTTGAACAAATCTGAGAGAAAAAAAAATGGTGGTGAGGAAGAAGAATCAGAATTGAAGGATCTGTAGAAGGAGGAGTAAATGAACCCTTACCTGCAGTACATGGTCCACAGCTTTTAACAGGATTGTTTCACCCCCTGTTCCCAGAGAGGCAGTGAGGCCAAGGATCTGTGGCAAACGTTTTTCTCCATTCAGCTTCCGCTCTACATAGCAGGCCATTATCTTGTTGTAGACATACTCCTTGTTGGTGTGGTGGCACTCATCAACTATCAGAAGGCTGATCGCTGCATAGATTCAAGAGCGCATCCAACACACGTATGTTAAAACAAAGCCGACTGATCATCACTGATGGTAAAGACTAAAGTTTAAGCCCCCCTTCACTGACCTGAGAGGTCAACTTGTTTGGTTTCTTCTGTGCTCGTCATGGCATTGTACAAAATCTGGGCTGTGCAAATGACCACGTCGGATTTCTGCACCACCATCCCAAAGAAGTCCTTCTCCTCACTGTCTCCGCTGACTTGCGCCAAGGTGTAACAGCCGCCCAGGAGAGGCTTGAACTCTGTGTAATGTTGGTCTACTAGTGGAACCTTCAGAGATAGAGGAAGTAGAAAAAGCATACTGTGTCAACATTTCATGACTCTGTGATGATTCTGCACTCTGCCCTCTGTGTGTTTGTGTGCACTGTTTTTGTTTACCATGTTTACCAGGACCATCACTTTAGCATTCGGTGTGGTCTCCAGATGTTTTTTGGCCACATACACAGCCGCACGAGTCTTTCCACTTCCTGTTGGCAGGCAGATGATTATGTTCTCCCCCTGAAGAGCCCTTTGAACAACTTCTTCCTGATACCCATGAAGATTAAAATCTGCCATTGTGCTCTTCAGTCCTGTTTGACCACACTGAAGAAGACTGAAATCTTCCAATCAAGAAAAGACAAAAGAGCATACTTTAAAAAAAGATACTATCAATATTCTCATACACCAGCAAAATTCTCTGACACCAAAAGTTCTGTTTATATCCTGTTATTCTGAGGCTGCATGTTACATTGTTTTGAAGATATCATAATAGGAAGTAAGATTCCTTACCTCACCATACAGCTGTGTGCTCTGTAGTCTCTCCTTGTCCACTGTCACCACACACCGCAGGTCCAGGGGTTTTAAACTCTGTTTGAATCAGCTGTGTGGCGCACAAACCCGGAAACGAAAGGAAAACCTATCTGAACTCACAAAGTGGCCCAACTGAGGGAGGCTCTGGAGGTACAGCAGATAGTGTTCTTATGCAATGACTGTGTCTTACAGCTGAAACATTTTTTATGGGCTTGAAAAGGGCAGGCCTCTGCAAAGTGTGCAGAGTGCGCCTTTACTGGGCCCTGCCGGTCCCTTTTCATAGAAGCGAAACATACTGCCTGAGACTCCACATATACAGAAAACAAAACAGAAAACAATGTTCATGTTTTAACACATGACTGATGTGCCGTAAAATACACCCTCTGTCTTTGAGAGATCCCATTCCCAAATCTGAGTGTTGCTTTAATATGTCACTCATAACTATAGCATCAAGTGTTTTTTAGTTAAGTTTCATTTGTCCTTGATCAATGTTGTATGTCAAAGGAATGACAAAACGTTTGTGTCATTCCTGTGACACCACAGCCTGTTCATGAATTGGGACTTTCTCTCCTCCATAAAACACACTAAAATTTCCAAGTATTAGTGAACAAGTGAGACATTGAAATGTGTTTTTTTGTGTGTTTGTGTTTTTTTTTTTTAATTGTTGTTTTGAGCAGCCAGAAATCCCAATTTGATTCATACAAAAGTGGATTAGGACCACATGAAGAGGAAAGAATAATTGCAGTAAGGAGATTTAAGTCGAAATTATGTCAATAAAGTTAAAATTTCGAGATCAAAAAAATAAAATGTTGAGATTTAAGTCAAAATTTCAACATTAAAGTCGACATGAAGAAAGTGGAAATTTAGACTTGTAAAATTTTTTTACTTTAATCCCAAAATTTCGACATTAATCTTGAAATGGAAATTCAAAAAAATCTCCCTCCTGTAAAAATTTGTTCTCTTCTTGTGGCCCTTACTCTCTTTTCATAGATTTTAATTTCTCAAAGTCACTGATCTTTTTTCAGAGTAGCATTCAATTCACGTTTCCCAGAATTTCAAGACAAGCTCAACGTGGGGAATCCTTCATAAAAAAAACTTTATTTTCATGAATCCTATTACAGTTACAGTAAATGGCATTTAAAACAAGAGAGTCATCCTCCAACAGGTGGAAAGTTCACTTACTGACCTTTTGTTTTTTTAGAAAGTCTGAAATGCAGCATAGGTAGATTGAGGGAAAGTATGCTATTGACAACCCTGAATAATGCAACACCGACATCACTTCATTAACCCAAAGCTGGTCATGACTCAAGTACAAAATAAACTCACTCAAAACAAGCACACATACCAAAGTCAATGAGACATTCAACAAGCAGGCTCAACCAGCATGGGAGGATCTCCTTGTGAGAGGTGGATACGACTCAGGAAGCACTCCATTTGACTCCTGACGGCTGAACATAAGTATTTTTGTCATAATGCTTTGAACACTGTCAAAAACCAAAACTTAAGTGACTTCAGGTTGAACATCTTTTCACAAATTCAGTCTCTTAACTGCTTGCCATGCATGAACATGAACCAAAGCCTGTGAGAGTTGTTTCAGCATGATGAGACTCGCTTTAAGGGCTGCGGTCAGCCTCTTCCTTTTTATGTTTCATCAACATAAACTTGTCAGTAAACCTGGAGCAAGGATGCAGCATGTAGAAGTGACAGAACAAATCACAGCATCACATGTGACATGGTGAAAGCTTCACCACTGTGTGACCTTGTAACAGGATGAATCAGAGTCACCTGGAGTGTTTTTGTCCATTTCAAACTGAAAGTGTTTTCTTGAAGGCAGCAAACAGTGAGATTATTTTGTTCAGCACACAAGTCCTTTAAAAACTCAACGCCCTGTCCATCAGAAGAAGAAGAGTCTCAAACATGTTCATCGCAGGGCAGCAACAAAGGAGTTCTTTTTTTTTTTTTTCTTCCACCAGACAGTCTGTGAAGTTTCACATTGATTATTTGTTAGCATGAAAGAAAAGTATGATAAATAAGACTCCTTCAGCCCAAATCATGTTTTTTTTAAACCAAAAGTAAAAAAAAATATTCAAGATACTGAAAATACACTGGAATGAAGACAGAAAGAGTAACAAGTACTCACTTCTGAGGGGTAAAACCCAGCAAATGTTCAGCTTTTATCTCAAACACAGTTTTATATTAGGATCATTTTTAACCCAACGATTGATTTCTATATTCAAGACCATTAAAAGATATTGGATTATCCATCTAGTGTCCAAGTGTTTTAACATCTTCAACCATCGCAGAACAAATATCTCAAAAAACGGATGAAGATGGCTGGGATGTTCAAGTGTCTGTCAGTAACAGAAGGCAACGTGGCTTTAGGTCCCGAGGTCCAGTTTCTATGAAAACACCGCAACATTATTCATGTATCCGCTCAAGTGACAAATGTGAAGCAAATTGGAATGAATAAATGGCAATGATGTGACGAAACCAGGTCAATCATATTCTCTATAATAATGGAAAGCGTGGCATTGTTGTGATTTGGACCTTTACCTTTGGTACGCTTAATGAAACGTGCTGATGCGGATTATTAACACACTGTGAGCGCTGGGAAATAGAAAATGGTTCAAGATGACTGTTAGGGGGAAAGCTAATGCCATTTGGATGCTCTGTAATGCTCGACTGGCTCAAACAACTGCATTTAGTCCGATTTGTTCCCCTGTACAGTTTGTCTCTTAACTCAGACATGACAACAGTTAGGTAAGTCCTCCTCATGATCTGCTCCGCTTGACGTGTCACGGCTGTAAAAGTTGCTCTGCATTTAAATAATTTAATGAAGGAGTTCATTTCTCAATCAAGCCTCCGTCTTTTAATTTGAAGTAGAAGAACTTCTCCAAGGTGTTGGCACACTTGCAGTACTCGCTGTCAGGAGGGTTGTACTCGCGGCAGTTGCTGATGATCCGCTGCAGGTCCGCGATGAAAAGTTTCTTGGTCACGTAGTATCTGTTCTTAAGTCTCTCTGTCATGGTCTTCAGGTCTGGGAAGGACAAGCAGGGAAAGGAGGAAAATTATTTGAATTAATAACTTAATAAGGGAGAGGCAAAGCTGCAGCCTCATTAACAAAACGCTCACCAACCTATGGGAAAGCGGATGATCTCATAGTAATCTGGAGCCTCAGATTTTTTCACAGGTTCCATAAAGGGCCAGGCATCAGGATGAGTCTGTGGAGAATACAAAAACCTCGTCAAGCTCTGTTCTAGTGTAGGTCTGAGCGTGAGTCTATCAGCTGTCAAAAGGTTCCACTTGCCTTAATCTGGGCCAGGAGGTTCTTTAACATGTTGTATAACACGTCAGGATCCTTTACCTCTTTCCTGCAAAGTGTAAAGATAAGAAGTGAAACATTAACTCGGGACACTCTGTTCAGGCAGACAGTGTTTTTGTCATCACACTCAAACAACATGCAAGTTTATAAATCCCTTTAGTCCGCATATTGGACAAGGAGGAGGATTGGTTCGAACGTGGGGTTAAAGAAGCCATCTATGTCAAGCTGGAGAAACCATCCCTGAACAAAGGAGGAGGCCCAGTTATACTCGGAATTTTCAAGCTCTGAGTCGGAAATTTATCTGGAACGCCCCCCTGAAGTTGGATTTCCGACTCGTAAAGTGGGACAATCACCAACCTCGACTTAACGACAACAACAAAATCCAAGATGGCAGCACAGTGCATCAGCAGTAAAAAGTGACAGTAAAAGCTCTCGTAATGTATTACTTATCAGCACTTCTGTTTTGTGAAATTAAATGAGTGGTATATGTTTTACTGCCTAACGGCTACCTGTGAACACAGTGCTATGGTGTTAGTAAAAGTAAAATACTGTGTTATGTGTTGTTTACAACTGGTATAGCTAACACCCCCCCCCTGTATTGCATGTTTTGGATGTTTCCCTGCTCCAACACACCTGATTCAATGATCAGCTCGTTATTAAGCCATTACAGAGCTTGATAACGAGCTGATCATTTGAATCAGGTGTGTTGAAGCAGGGAAACGTCCAAAACATGCAGGACAGGGGGGGCTCAAGGCCCTAGGCTGTATATTTCAGCTCTGGACCAAGTCCCCCTTAGAACTGAAGAAGCCTTTTGGAGGAGAGGCAAAACATCTTCATGATAAGCCAAGAAGTCCAGTTACCATTTTAGAAGAATTCCAGGAATAAAGCCCTTTAGTTCACAAAGGTGAAGGCAATGTGGTCTATTAGAGTAGTGAGTGTGAGTGTGCAGAGCTCCCACTGGGTGTTTTTACACACCCTGCCTCTTGCACTTCTGCAATACTCTGATGCAATTTGAAATTACACACTAGGACGCCAGTCTTACAATGTGTGAGCTCAAAGGTGTAGTGGCAGGGGTACTTTGTTGTGGCACTTTTGAGGAGTTGCAGTGTGTGGGGAGCTAAGGGCTGCACACACATAAAATAACACGATTGTAAAGAACACTGATTCAAATGGTTTATGTTTAAAGCTTACCCTTTGTCTTTATTACTGGGTTTCCAGCCTGTCTCTCCTGAAAGAAAAAGACCTGTAAGTCATCTGATAAAACATTTTTAGACTTTTTTTCATTGCACAGACAATACACTCACTTATTCCTGGGATACTCTCCACTGGGATTTGTCGCACTCCCTCTTTAAAGCAGGTAAGACCTGGGTAAACCTTCCTGATCTGGCTCTGTTTCCTCTCGATCAGCTTCTTGATAATCTGTTGTAAAAGTTGAGATGTAAGTGATTAAAAAAAAATAATAGATAATGCCTTAAAGATGCGATCGTCCAGCTGAACATACCTCCTTCTGTCTTTTAATGATATGAGAGAGCTCCGTGTAAGGGATTCTGGGGTTCAGCTCACACTCCATGAGGGTCGCTCCCTCGTAGTCTTTGATGTATCCTAGGTATCGACTCTTCGGCACTTTGATGTCTTTGGAAAAGCCCTGAGAGCAGAGAAAAAATTACTAAAAGGACCAGACTGAGGCTGAGGTTCAATGCGGAGCTAATGTACAGGTCACGGCTGCTGTACCTGTTTCTTGAAGTAGCCGATGGCGTACTCATCAGCATACGTGAGGAAATAGAGGATGTTGTGTTTGATGTGATACTCTTTCAGGTGGTTCATCAGGTGGGTACCGTAGCCCTTCAATCAAAAACATAAAAAAAAGGCAGAAAAAATTCAAAAGTGTGTTATTTTTGGTGATGACTTTTCAGTAGTTTCAATACATTTCATATTCAAGTTATGTCCATGATAAAAAAAAAAAAAAGTTTAAAGATTGATCTCCTAAAAAAAAAGAAAAAACACTTGTTTTTAACACCTTTCCAACAACAGTCTAACTCCCATCTTTCAGCCAGCAAGAGCAGAGCAGAGTCCTCTCTGTGTCTGCTGTATGTAAATGTGGTGGGAACTTATCCAGACTTTATCCTGATCAGTTATTGGGAGGACTGTAATGTTGAATGATGCTGGCTTTGTGTATGCCCGTGGATTTACTTGTGCAATGCACTCCAGCTGATCTCACTGATATGAGAGCTGCCCATTTTTTTTAAATTCACCTTTTTCTGTGAAGCTGTGTGCAGAAAGGGACACCAGCGCCTGCACTGTTTGAGGAAACCGTCATCTTTCCACATCGACAGAACCATGCTGTCCTTACTTTATCAGGCTTTTATTGAAACTGTTTTATCCTTTTGTCTTGTGTCTTGGTTTGGAAACTTGTCTCTTAAAACAAAAATTGCCTAAACCAAATAGCAAAATGGGCGAGCGGGCTGATTGGAGAGGCCCAGCTCTACCCACCATCCCTGTATACTAAACAGTTACAGAGGATGGCTGGCTCCATCTTAAATGATGGCTCCCACCCTTTCAATGCTAAGTTTCAGCTGCTCTCATCAGGCAGGAGGCTCAAAGTACCAGCCTGTAAAACTAAGTGGTACAAAAAATGTTTTCTTCCATCAGCCATCGGGCACATTAACACAGGGAAGAGACCTTGAGAGCTGTTGGTTTTTATTGAGTTTTATTTAGTCTTATTTCAGTCATTTTAATCTCTTATCCCTGAGCACTATTGTCACTTTATATCAGTGGTTCTCCATCCAGTCCTCAAGTCCCCCCTGTCCTGCATGTTTTGGATGTTTCCCTGCTTCAACACACCTGATTCAAATGATCAGCTCGTTATCAAGCTCTGTAATGGCTTAATAACGAGCTGATCATTTGAATCAGGTGTGTTGGAGCAGGGAAACATCCAAAACATGCAGGACAGTGGGCCTTGAGGACTGGACTTGAGAACCACTGTGCCTCCCCATCTGCAGTTGTTTATGATCACAATACGAGTATTACATGCTGCAGCAAGTGAAACTGAAAAATCTATGCTCTTCTCTTCTTGAAGCCGTGCACACAGTGCCTGTTTAAATCCAAATGCATTGCAGCCTTGGCAACGCTCTGCAGCATTTCTTTGGCTGTATACTCTTGCTGAAATCAATAAAACCAGTATAGATAATACAAATTAAAGCTGGCCAGTTTGAAGTTCATTCAGGTCACTAGCTTTGCCAGACGATGCTGGTGTTGCTGCACAACAGCAGAATTCGTCCTACCTTTACTTGTTCATTGGATGTGACGGCACAGAAGACGATCTCTGTGAAGCCCTGAGTAGGAAACATCCTAAAACAAATGCCACCAATGACACGGCCATCTTTGATGAGGGCAAGGGTCTTGTGCTTCCTGTGAAGAAATCAGAATAAGTTCCAGTATCTTCGCAAACAGGACATTTGTTGTACAAACTTGTACTTACGGGTCAAACACCAGCCTGGTGATGTATTCTTTGGGCATGCGAGGTAACTGATGAGAGAAAACATTCTGGAGGCCGACCAGCCACATCAGGATCTTTTTGTTGGACTTCTGGGAGAGCGAGTTGCCAATCACATGGAACTCTATGATGCCCCTCCTCTCCTCCAGCCTGGCAGTCTCGTCGCGGGCAGCATTAGGCGTCAGCAGATTAGTCTAACAACATAAACATATTAGTGTGAGTAATACCGTCTGAACAAATTAACCTCATAAGCCAGCTGAGAGTGAAGCGCTTTACCTCTGGTCCCAGCATGGCAGCAGGATCAGTGATCGTCATCATCACTTCATTGACCAGCTCCATGGGAATGTCTCCCATTACGCGGATACGCTTGGCGTCCTCCAAAGTGAGGGCGTCTTGAAGTTTCCGTTTCTCCCCTGAATGGTCACATGTCGCAACAACAAGAGCAGAGTAAATCATTAAGTTTGTGTGACGATCATTTGATTTTGAGGGTAATCTAGGCAGTGGAGCGCTTACAGACCTGTTATGGGCTCAGCTCCAACAGCATCCATGCTGCTCAGGGAGGAGATACTGCTCAGACCCTTTGGCAGTGAGGGAGAGCCAGATACTGCAGCCGGACTGATGACTGCCAAAGAGACAACAAGGTAAAGGTGGTAACAATGATGTTTCTATGAGTCTTACCAAACAATGAAAACAAACATGTTTAACTCTAAAAACTCAACGCAACCTACAAAAACAAACCAGGCAGTCAGCCAGAAGAACAGGGATTTGTGTCATTATTTGACCCACTAAACATATTTGCAATATATTCAAAACAAGTTGGAACAGGAACTACAAAACACTGAGAAGGTTGTATGATGCTGATATAAACACATTTGGATAAAATGGGTTAATTTGCAACAGGTTGGTGGTGTGACTGTGCATAAGAGGGCACTACAGAAAGACTGGGTCTCTCAGAAATAAATACAGTAAGTTCACTGCTCTGTGAGAGACTGCGTGAGTAAGAGGTTAAAAAATTTCAGAATCATTTTCAGCATCATAACACAGTGTTTCCCTCTACATAGACTTTACTTGTGCGGCCCGCCCAAGAAGATGAAAATAGGATTTAGAAGCAGCAAGTAGCAAGTAGCAATCATTTTTCAAGAGACCAAATGTGGCAAAACGCAGGACTCGCTGGTGGATATACTGAAACGCACCCAAACTGTTGCACTCCGAGTACACTAACTTATTGTTGATTAAACACTGTTTTCTTCCTCATACAGTTTCTGTTGTTGTACCACTGGTTTTGTCTCAGAGACTGTCTGTGACTTTCTCTTCTTGAAGACATGAAGCCAATTGACAGCTATTTCAAGCGTAAGCAAAACAAGTTAGTCAGGGGCCCTGTATGTGCAATAAATAACACACAGTTCATAAACCTTAGTTTGACTAGATTACTTTGAATGCACTTATCAAACACCACGGCGTGACTGACCCGGCTCAAAATCATTTCTTAAAGCATGTCTGTGATCATGAATCACTGCCGCATCAACAAATTCAGGTCAAATCTTTATCATCCAGAAATGCCTGTGCCAATTCTGAGCCCAGTGCAGAACTTTCCTACAGTGTGAAGAATGAAAATTTGACATTTCTAAAAATCACGGATGTTGTGTCCTCCATTGTTAAGAGTAGTGGGACTGGCTGGCTAGTTATCAGTGCGCAGTTTATCTGTAATAGTAAGGGGATGCGGCACTGCTAGTTCACACCATTCATTTGGAAGGTTGTGGAAGAACATCTGCTGCCATCCTGAAAATACTTTTTAAGCCGAGAACTTTCATATTTCAGCTAACCATGTTCTGCAGGGAGTTACTGCAGCATGAAGAGTCCCATTTGGCACATCATGAAATCAAAAATTCAACCAAGGAGACCCTGAACCGTTGAGCAGCTCAAATCTTTCATCAACCGAGAATGGGACATGCATTTTTTTTTTAACTCCAGGAACTGGTCTCCTTGGTTCCCAAACATTTACAGAGTATTGTCAGACAAAGTAGCGATGCACTGAAATGTTTAAGAGGATACTATCCCAGTCCTTGTGCAAAGTCTTATGGGCAACCAATTTAAAATGAGCGCATCTTTAAAACGAGGAGTAGTACTGTGTTCAAAGTGTCGATGATTTAAGAACAGAATCTGTGGGGCAATGATATTTTTGATGCATGTCTTCCCCATCAAACTGAGAACTTTGAAATACCCTTCAGGCCTCTTAACAGCCTCACCTGTCGGATGCCCCAGCTGTGTGCCGTCAGAGGCAGGCATGGTGAAGTCCGCTTCCCAGATTGGTGAATTCTCGCCGTAGATTTCCTCCTCCAGCATCGACAAGAACCTGACACCAATCAGCGCCAAATATTAATTTTTTTAAAGGTAAAAGCAGAAGGAAGTTGATGCTCCCATGAGAAATGAAAGCAAAAGAGTGTGTTTTCTTACTTGGGAAAGTGTGTGAGGATAAGTGTGCGTTTCTCTGGCAGCAGTTTGTCCTTCTCCACCCTGAACTTCTCCAGCAGCTGTCGACGCGTCACAGTGAAGATGGACTTGAGCAAACTGCGGCCGAACACCTGAGTGGTCTCGTAGCGTGGGAGACTGTCGTTACTCTGTGGGACGTGGCAGTAGCAGAGCCACCTGGGAGCCACAGAGGAAAAAACATGAAAAAAGCACATGGTATCAGGATGACACATGAAAATCTAAAGCGATAAAAAGAAGTAGTTACACAGCTACACACCTGGTATAGTCCACCTTGTACGCTGTTCCATCATCTTTCTGCGTGCGCTGGCGATATTGAGTCGGTGTCTCCAGCTTCCAGTAATTGAGGCACAAGAGGAACATCTTTGACAGCTCAAACATGGTCTGCCTTTCCTTTGGTGCCAGGTGGCTGAACTTATACTGAACAAAATTTAAAACTCCCTTCAGAAAAGAGGGGTGAAGTGAGAGAGAAAATGTTTAGTCAGGAGGAAAAAGTGTAAAAAGCCAGAGCATAACAAACAAAAGAGAGGGTTTATGTTCACCAGCTCGATGTTGGGCTTTTCAAACGGTGGACTACCAAGGGAGCCCTCAACAACCGGCTGGCTCATCTGCAGGATGCATTTCCTCAGCAGCTGAGGGAAACAGCATTAAAAAGAAGACTTGTGTTAATATTGAATGGTGACCCAGGATAAACTTGATTAACAATATGAAAAGTACTCAAATTTGTTGACAGATCTGTTTTACCTACCATATTATTTTAGGTAGGGCTGGGCGATAAAACAATAACGATATATATCAGAAATTAATTTCCCTCAATATCACTATAAAGCATGGTCAATATGATTTTTTTGTTTTGGTAGACAATACTAATAGGCAATGAAAAGGGGAGTTGCTCTGGGTCGGGCCACGCTGAACCAATTGTGTTGAATTAGAACCAAGTAGCAAACAACTGCGTAGTAGCAGGCTGCAGCTACACACAACCATAGCACTTAAACACGTGAAGCCGACAGCACTGTTGGTGAGAAAAAAAGAAAATGAGTGCTACCCCGGGAGAAATGCAGATGAAGGCTCAACAGATGATGACATAGTGGACAACACTGGCACAAAAACATTGGCGGTGTGGAGGTATTTTGGTTTTTTGAGGTCGGACGGTAATTCCATATTTCAGTATTTCAGCAAAGTATGTCGAGTACATGTTCTCAAAAAGTCGGGGAATACCTCAAATCTTTTTCACCACCTGAAGCAGTGCCACGTGGCAGAGCACGTGCAATGCAAAAGTTTACAAACCCTGAGCGGAGCAAGGAGCCCATGGCGCCTGTGCAGCCGAAACAGCCGACCATTCAGTCTGCTTTCTGTAGTGCAACACCTTACTACAAACGTCCAAGAGACACAAAGAACTCACAGGTGCAGTAGCTTATTGTATTGCAAAAGACATGCTACCAATAAGAACTGTTAAATTTCGTTTTATATATCAACTGATATGAAATAAAACATATTGTGATAAATTTTTTCCCATATCGCCCAGCCCTAATTTTGGGACACAGAGTTGCTCACCTTGAAAAGGTAAAAGTAGACCTGCTTGGTGTCTGTGTCCTCCTCTTTGTGCACAGACATAAAAAGGTTCTCCACATCCACCACCATCCCCAGCAGCCTGTTAATCTCCTCCTCAGACACATTCTCCAGGTGGGACACATGATCAGCTGTAAGCATGGCGTTAAATCAGTCACTCATAGCGTGGATACATGAACTGTGCCAAGCTACATAATGAAACAGAAACCCCCCCTGATTAACTCTGGATTTGTACAGCATTAGAGGAAAAGGATGGGCTATCTATACTGAGTAAATATATGGAGGTGGGTTAGTTTGTACCCAGTGCATGTCCACAGCTGCGGCAGGACTCGCTCAGGCTGGCTGCTTGCTGTTGCAGATCCATACGTGTAGCTGATGGGGGATTTGGGTTTTTCCATCCATTGCACTTGCATGTATCACTTGCCTAAGAATAAGCAAGACATGGTTAACACCAAATACAGCAATTCAGAAAATGCCTCTGGTATTGATTTTATTGGTTCATGAATGGTTACACTGACTCCAGAGCCACTTGGTAGAGCAAGCACCTTGGACGGTTACATATAAATGGGTCCGTTAGCCGGTTAGCTAGCTTTAAAAGTTAATCAATACGCTCCGTGACTGCGATATTTATTCGTTTTTTTGGGTTGCGGCACCTTGACTGCGCTTCAGTTTGCGGCTCCGCCTACAGTACTGCTAATTGAAATGATGAGTGCTTTGTTGTGGTGAACTTTGGCTAGCTATGCTAGTTACCTTGCATGCGGAGAATACGCCAAGTTTCTCCAGCTTTTTCGCCCGTGGGAAAGCTCGGACTTGGGCTTTTTTCTGGCTTGCTCGCTGTTGCTGGCTAAGTCCCGGTCTCGCCGGGTCACTGTTTCCTGACCCGGAGCCTGTCGAGGCGGTACTGGACCCAGCTGACCCCGTAGTCTGGGCTTGGAGAAGCCGGGGTTGCAAGGCCTGCGCCGCCGGGTCCGACATCTCCACGCTGCTCGACTCTCTTCCTCTGCTGCCGTTCAGCTCATGTGTCGCCTTCAAGTGCTGCACATAAAATCGGATTTAAGAAAACCGCAACTTATTTTTTAAAAATCTTAACGCTTGAAATAAGAAACTGGTGGGGGTTTTTTTCATTGCAACGGAGGTACTGGGCTTGTACAAAAGACGGTACAAAAAATAATTAACTTCTCTGATAAGACTTTTCAACACAATGTCCGATAAATCACCCCAAAGCGCGAGGGAAATTTCATTTCATTTCATTTCATGTTTATTTATTTCATTTCATTCATGATACATGATATAATACATTGCACTCATCCTTTATTTTATTTTATTTTTTTCTCATGTTAGCATGTGAAATGAAAAGGAGCAGACAGAAGACAAGTCTTATGTACGACTGCCCCTTCACTACAACACATTTATCTATGTATAATAAACTCTAACCTCTTTACATCAAAATTAAAGCGATTAATTAGTGTGAGTTGTTAAATATCATGAGATAATTGATTCTCGTAAGTAATTTCAGTTTCAGCAGAAAAAATAACCCCTGCCTTTTAAAAGTTTTATTTTGAATACCTGTACCGGAAGTTGTCTAATGCCCTGTTTCAATTGTTTTCATTTTCACAAGTTTGTAACGCCCCCCAGTGGACATTACCTACACCATCATCTAAAGCAGGCGCTGTGCTTCTCTTCACAGGAATTTTGAACATTTTTGGATAAGTTAACGATCGTAACTGGGCAGCACTTATTTTTGTGATACCTCTGATAATTACTCTAATAATAAATGCCTTTAAATAAATCGGTCTTTTGTTACGCAGTGACCACAAATGAACTGCAGGTTATTACGTTTATAAAACTGTAATTCCCAGTTGTGACGTTAAAAGTATTTGGTTTATTCGTATGAATTGGAAAATAAATGCACATTTTAAAAAAAAATGTTTGTGCCTTTTGTGCAGTTGTTGGGTTACAGATGTGTTGTAGTGTAAGTTATGACATCTACCATTCACTTCTAACAATCTAAAATCCTAATATATGGTATAAATGGCTTTATGATGGTTATGATTTTTTGTGTGTAATTGTGGAATGTGAAGAATAATCAAACAGACATCCAGAAGAGATAACTTCCCCTCCTTTATTGGTAAAATTACTTCTTTTTTTTTTCTTTTTCCACTTCCAGCCCATGACCCACCCCTCCCATTACCCCCATCTAGCAGTAGTGGCTGCTGTGCAGGTACTGTTGTGCTAGTTGTTGATGCCATAACAGGATGACAACACTGTTGAAAGAAATCCCTCCCTGATATGAAGAGTAAAAACAGAGAGAAGAAAAAGACAAAGGAAGCTGACGCTAACATTTCAATTCACAAAGATGATGAGACAGAACCAGTGCATTTAATACCATAGATCTTCAGAAAAACAAATTAAGACATAAAAAAAAATTCATCATGTAGATTAAGGTTAACAAAACAGCATGTAAAGATTGGGAAGATATTGTTTAGACAGTAACTACTGATTGATTATAAACTTGAAAAGTCTGATACAAATACAGCAATGTTGTCAATACACAGTCGTGATTTTGGTCAAGGAAATAAATCTTGCTTTTTGTATTTTGTCATTTTATCATGAGGATTCAAAAACGTTATATTAATGCTAAAATTACTTATGGACGACAATGTTAATGAAGTACTATTTACTGTATATGGTTTGATAACATAGATGATTGTAAAACCTTTAATGTTGAGGCTTCATAACCATATTGAACAGCCTGTGTCAAAAGAAGTTGAAGTAATAATAGTGATAACAATAACAATGTAATAATTCAATCTACACAGCTCTATAGAGAAGCAAATATCTGCCAACCCCTGCTCTGCTGTTAGGAACTGTCTCTCTTCTTGTCTTCCAGGACACTGACCAGGATGTGAAGGACTGCTGCATGCACCTGGACTGAAGTTTTACTGAAGTCATGAGACCACAATCGAGACAATTTAGAAATTTCTGGTGCATGGGGGAAGCAGGGAGTAGAAGAGACAGAACAGGACCAATCAACCTGTTTTAATTCCTTGCAATGTTATTTTTTTTTCCTTTTCACAAATACAGAAACAAAAAAGAAAATGATGGCCATATTAAGTGCCATTCGTATTGAATCATATTTGTTTTTCCTTCTTCCATGAATAGGACTTTTTTTTCTCTAAGGTGATGTCAAGTGTCCATCATCAATAGAGAGGTCATGGAGCGGCGATTCCTTGGGGCTAAAACATGATTCTGTGATTTCTTGGTCTGTTGGTTCATCATCTTGAGCCATCAGAGGGGCTCTGGCAGTTTACTGGCCAGTGGACTCATTTGCCAAACAGTTTATTGGTGCTCGTAGGATTGTTGGTCCAGCCATGGTTTGGTTTGACCGATGGGACGTTGTTTGACAGCTGGCTAATATCTGGTCTGGTTGATCGAAGCTGTAGATTGGTTGGATCAGCTGACTTAATGATGCGTTGGTTAGTTCCCTCCCCCACAGCACTGCCCACTCCTGCCCTGTGGTGCAGCTTCCTGCAGGTCCACTCCGCCACGCGCTCGTCCAGCAGCACCTGCTCCACCCTGAGGCTCATTCTTAGGAAGCTTTTTGGCTATTAGGGGAAGGGGAAAAGTACAATGAATGGCTGCTTTTAACTGAACAACATTTTCTATTTTAGTAACTCTTATGTTATTTGTCAGAGAAAACATCTAAAGCCTCCAAAAAAGAGATTCAAAGAACCTCTCGTCACACTCAACACGTTTTATTCAACCGCATGGATGCTTACCCACATTTAAATTCAGCCAAATAAGCTATGCATGTACAGCCACGTATTTTTAGAAACCTAGCTTTCATTTCTAGACAGTGTGAGTGGTGGTGGTGGTGGTAAACTGTGCTGTTTTGTTTGTGCTAACAGTCTCTAACCTGCAGGCTTTACTTATCCTGTGTAGTAGGATTCCAAAGAGTTGTCTGACTAACTGTGCAGATGAAGTGACAACACTTTGACAATTGCTTGTTGGCATTAAGTGCACTAAAACCATAGATGTTTATGAGCTTTGTGAATTAAGTTCATTTGGCCTTTTAATTCATGACTTTTTAGAGTGTTTTGCCAGTACAAATTGAAACCAGGAAGCAGTATCAAAGTAAGAGGAGTTTAATAATAAGTTCTGATCAACTAAACTACTGCTGTGATGCAAACATTAGCTGACTATCCAGAGGTAGAGATGATTTCTTAAGTGGATTCTTGTCAGCTCTAATGAGCACTTACCTATAGCCATAAAAATCTCATTGACATTCATTGCAGTCTTGGCTGAAGTCTCCATAAAGAGCAAGCTGTTGTCATCTGCATATGCTTGTGCTTCCTGGAGACAGAGATACAGAAATGGGTGATTTCAGACACAACATATATTTTCAGGGTGGATTTAATGGTCCAGCTTCTCTTTACCTGAAGATCTACGGCTCTCTTGTTGGCCAGGTCTGCTTTGTTTCCTGCCAGTGCAATGACAATGTTTGGGCTGGCTTGTCGCTGGAGCTCTTTCACCCAGTTCTTTGCACGTGTGAAAGTGTCCTTTAAAAAAGTACAACATGCACAATCATAAGCAGGCTGTGTTTAAACTTTAAATCCCTGGTGCGATTTTTACACATTACGTATGAATTTAAGGGCTTGAGGAGCAAAGTTCTGCGGCTGTCTCTTGAACTCAGCAATCATCAACTGAGCTGGCAGACAAGGATCATGCAAATGACTCAAGACCTTCAGACAGCTCTGGCACAGTCCAGGTGACTTACTGTGTTGGTGATGTCGTAGACCACAATGGCAGCCTGAGCCCCCCTGTAGTACATGGGTGCCAAGCTGTGATACCGTTCCTGTCCTGCAGTGTCCCAGATCTCAAACTTGACTGTTGTATCATCCAAACATACTGTCTGTGTGAGGAAGGCAGCTGCAAAGAAAACAAAGCTCATCAGAATGGTGGGGAGATTTGTAGAAAACCAGAGAAGTTATCAACACAGATGAAGTCAAACATTTTACACAGAGGTAGTCACAAGCTCTCTGGAATTATCAAAAAAATAAAAAGTGGATTTAAATAACAGTACAAATTAGGGCCCGACCGATTTATATGCAAGCCAATTAAATCGACCAATTTTAGCCCGTTTGAGACTAATCGGTAATCAGCCAAAACTTGACGATTTTTGCTGCCATTTGAAAAGTTCCCTGACTCATCCTGTAGATGGTGCAGCGACCTCATGACAGTCTTCATCCACTAACTACCTCACAGCACAGCAGAGTGACGGATCTGCAGCAGGCAGCTCAGGGACACGCGGAGGAGAGTGGTCCGCCTCAACAGTAAATTAACTAGTTTGTGAAATACACAATAAGTCAACAAGTTTCAGTTCAACCCACTACACTGAGAGTTTCGGTCACACACCATGTAATATGCAAGCTAACGTTAGAGTTAGCCATCTGCTATTAGCCTTGCTACACTGTTAGCCGTACCAGTAACGGTAGAATAAACAACAGTACACATTACGTGATCGAGCTACTTCGCATGTCTCCAGATGAGACAGGACCGGAAATGTGTAGTTGAAAACGCTTTTTTGGTCTGAGTTTGATCAATCGGTCTTCCTGTCGGCGTGAAGAGCAGTAGCCTACAGTATATCTACAGTATAATAAAGTACACTGTTGATATCTACAGTATATATATCTGTTTTTAAAACCTCATAAAAAATTTAAAAATCGGCCAATTAATCGATAATCAGATTTTTTCCCCCCCTAATAATCGGTATCGGCATTGGCCCCAAATAATAAATATCTGTCGGCCCTAGTAAAAACATATCACACCTATTAAATTTATAAGACTAAATAGCAGCGTGGAAAACAGGCCGTAAAGGTTTGTCTCAAAGTACACATGAAAAAATTTTTGTAGAAACCAGAGAAGTTATCAACACGGATGAAGTCCAACATTTTATATGGAGGTCGTCAAAAACTCTCTGGAATTATCAAAAAATTTAAAAGTGGATTTGAAAACAGTAAAAACATATCACACCTATTAAATTAAAAAGACTACAGAAGAGTGTGGAAAAGAGGCTGGAAAGGTTTGTCTCAAAGTACACATGAAAAAAGGAAAACCTCAGGTATACACTGGGAACATACTGTACACATCCAACCAGCACAACTGCACACTCAGCCGACTGTCACATGACTGAGGAAACTGCACACTCACTTACAAAAGCACACACGCTTTAAAGCTGTGTAATCTTTGACCAGGCATGCAGCCGACCATAAATTCAGCGGGATCTGAAACATGCTGATGTGTTTGGAGTCTTCGGGGAAATCGAGCATCCTGTCCGCATTCTTAAGCCTCATTACTCATTAGGCAGGTAGGAGGAGGAGGAAAATGTTCATTTGATAGGAAACAAAAAGAGGAAATGACACCAAAAGAAGGCCTGTCTCTAGCTAATACTCAAGTGTGTTTTTTTTACAGTAATCCAGAGAGTAATGCGGTCATACCCAGTAACAAAATGTCACTTCACAGAATCTGTTCCTGTCCCATTGTGCGCTGACTATGGTGACCTCGGGGGTTCAGATGAGTTCCTAATGGCTTCCTTCACCTCTCACACACACACACCACAATTTCTATCTGTATCTCAACTACATACTGTCAGCTCATAACCTAAAAATGTCATAATCACCACAATATCACAATCAGTTTCTAAGGGTATAGATACCAAAGTTTCCTTACATGTAAATGCAACATCTAGCTTCACAGCATAAAGACATGGGACAGTAACAATGTGCATTCGTTATTGTGTGCTACCAATAAGCTTCTGTTAAACCTAGCATGTTTACAAAGTAGCAGGCAGGGGGGATCAGACCCAAAGGAGCGAGACTGTAGGAGGTAGGTGCCTTAGATGAGTCAAGTTAATGAAAGACTGAAAAAGCTCCGTCTCAGAAAACAGCAGCTTTGGCAGAGAAATGCTCAATCTGTCAAACCAATCTGTTGTTTTTATAACTGTACACCAGTCAACGGTTTACAGTTTACTCCTGTAGCCCTTGGGCTCTTTGCATTGTCAAATAGATCTCTCCCAGATTTGTGCCAAAGTTAAAGACAGGTAGAGGAAATCCCCAACTGTGGTCTCTCAAGTCCTTCCTGTTTCAAGTAATGTCTGCTGCAGAGCGAATGGATTTCATTTCATCGAGGGCATTTTCTGTTTTCTACCTTACTGTTACCACTTTAGAGGAAACGCAACTTGCTTCTGCACAATCAGTGTACATGTCTGTGATATTTGAGGGATTTACTGGATAATAGGAGGGTGATGTGATCAGCTGTAAAAAAACAGGTTCAGCCACACCTTCTGCTGCACATGCTCAGACAACAGAAAATATTCAGACCAACACACATGCAGTTCTTATGTACCGGCAAAAACATTTGTGATAATTAAGTTATCATCCTGCTATGGAATATGTTCTAAGTTCTAAAACTTTTATTCAGCATTTTGCTTCAAACCTCAGACTGAATCCTCTTACCTTTAAATAACAGCTTTTAAAACATACAGTTTTAAGGCCAGTAAATCATAAAAAAGAGAAGACATGAGTCTATGGATTTAAAACTCTAACTCCTCACCTCCTATGGTGCTCTCCTGGTACTCATGGAACTGGCCTTTGACAAAGCGCAGCACCAAGCTGGATTTTCCCACCGCCGATTCCCCCAACAGCACAAGTTTAAACTGGCAGATCTTGTTGCTCGCTGCAGTGCCATTGGTCCGTGCTGGTCCGCCTCGCCCTGCCATAGCGCAGTGTTGAAGACTGGGAACAAAGATGAAGAAGAGGCCAGGAGTGGAGGGAGAAAGTCTGGTTGACTTTTAGATTGGGGCTCGGTGCAGGGGCAGATGAGGGCTGGGTGAGTCGAACTGGGGTAGATGATGTTCAAGCAGGTGGATGAGCCAGAGGAAGAGGAGACCTCACCAGTGAGAGCTGGAAAACAAGCAATTTAGGATGTTAGCTAAAAACACACTACAGCCAGCCATGATGTTGTCAATCCACTGCTAAAGTCAGTGCAAACCTGCAGAGGTTCAGAAAATATATCAGTTTTTTTCAGTGTTCCTGCTGGCAGCTGTCAATGAAAGTGATGAATTAGCACAACAAACATTACCTGTAAATATGTCAGTTATACAATATCTGTTTTAGACAGGGATTTTATCTGACAAATAATGGTTTATGCTGCTGACAGAGAAACCTGCATTACACTGGGGCTTGGCAGCCAGATAAAGAGTTAATTATATGACCATGTTTAGTATAAACAAGAGCTGAAGGAGAACATCAGTGTCTCTTCTGCCACACTCTGACAGCTTCAACAAACAGTGAGTGTTTTCAATATGTGTGTATGCTTCCCTACGTACCACACAAAACTGTCCTACATCTGTTTAAGAATATAAATATTAGGGGTGGGAATCACCAGTGGCCCTGCAATACAATATTATCACGATACTTGGGCCACGATACAATGTTATCATGATATTTGGGCCGGGGTACGACATTATCACGATACTTGGGCCACAATATATTATCACGATACTTAGGCCGGGGTACAATGTTATCATGATACTTGGGCCACGATACGACATTATTACAATACTTGGGCCACAATATATTATCACGATACTTGGGCCACGATACAATGTTATCATGACACTTGGGCCAGGGTACGATGTTATCACGATACTTGGGCCACGATACGACATTATTACGATACTTGGGTCACAATATATTATTATGATGCTTGCGCCAGGGTATGACATTAACATGATACTTGGACCATAATATATTATCACGGTACTTGGGCCAGGGTACAATGTTATCATGATACTTGCGCCAGAATACGACATTTTCACGATACTTGGGCCACAATATATTATCATGTTGCTTGGGCCAGGGTACGACATTATCACGATACTTGGGCCGCGATACAATGTTGTCATGATACTTGGGCTAGGGTACGACATTATAACACTACCTCGGCCACAATATAGTATCACAATGCTTGGGCCACGATATGACATTATCACGATACTTGGGCCACAATACAATATTATTGCTGTTTTTAACATTTTGCAATACATTGAGTATTCTGAAACAATATATTGCAATTTATACTTTTTTTTTCAACTGTTTAGCTAATTTAGCATTTGTCTTTCCTTTTTGTTTGTCTTCTTTATGCTGTATTTTATTTTCAATTAGCACATCTTGCCAACCTTATATCTATTTGTTGTACTAACTTTCTCCTGCTCTATGATGTCATCTCTGCCAACCTCACTAGACAAACAGTTGATTATATTTTTCCATTATCATAGATTTGACTTCATACAAGTAATTTGAAAAAAATCGATACTTGGTAAATGAGACAATACAATATATCACCAGACAAATTATTGCGATACTATGCTGCATCGATTTTTTTCTCCCATCACTAATAAATATCAAACATGAAAACACAATAAAGTTTAAACATAAATATCATGGGACAAACACGATTATTAGCATGTTGAAGCTTTGCCCTAATGGCAGATAAGTTAAACACATTAGTTCCTGTGAGTCATCTCTTTGACAGATGTCCATCTCCAAATTTCAGCCATGACTTCTTCAGCTGTTTCCCTGTTGTGAAATCCAAACCGGATTGCGAACTCATCACAGATGTTCACCAGCAAGTCAACATTAAAACACGTTAACTCAGCTTCCAGTAGGCCACATGTTGATCAGTGAGAACAGAGTGGCACTGATAAAATGCACACTAACTCTGAGTCAGTCTTGTGGTGGATTTCAGCAGGTTCACACTCAGCACAAAGATAAGAAAAGAAAGTTTATCAAAACTTTTCTTCAAATTAAAGACACCACTCTTATTTGTCTCAGTTATGTTTGAAAACTACACGACTCTTTAAGAGGTCATTAGTTTATTTTATTTTGCTCCGACCGACCATGTTTACAAGTGTGAAAACCTCATCTCATTTTTCTTCAGTTGGCTGCTAAATGTGAGGTCAGCCAGCTTCTGCTTGGTCAAAAGACAGGAAACTCAGCTCAGCTCAAAGCAGGAAGTGAAGATTGCAGAACATGTTTTACTGCTGAGCACGTTAAAATCTGGGATAGCCTCAGCTTTTGTCAATGAGACAACAACACATGATGTAGCAACACAATGGGAGACCCAGGAGGTTCGACTTTTTCCTCAGTGAGTGAGGAGGGAAATGCCAAGAATGTGGAAAACTTCAGGAGTCACTCCTGATAGTCCACAAAGTTTAGCCCTTTTTTTCCAGCTCGATGCTGAGCCAGGCTTAAGCTTCAGCATGTGACATAAGATCACGGCTCTGTCCATGAAATATTCAGTAAAGGCATGTTTCATTTGACAGTGAACCAACCATGCTGCATATGCTTATTATGAGAACAGCTTTCAGAAGTAACAGAGGTACAGAGATTCTTTATCTCGCTAAATTCAGTTCAACTAGAGCAGCTTCAACACATGGTTTATGAGTCTAGAGAAGATCTGTGTTTGATAATTATTCAAACATTCTGTACCAACAGTGAAGTAAAGGCCTCTCTGGACTCTTAAACTGGCAGACACGCACTATCACAAGGCCTGAGAGAGTAAAGGGAAACCCTTCAGTGGCTTCACAGAGTTGGAGACAGAATAAAGGCACTCTGTTCACTGGGTCAAACAGGTGGTCAGGACTCATTTAATTGCAAGCAGCAGAGCTGAGCTCTCACCTGTTCACTTTGCTCATTAAATGAAGCAAAGGAAAGGACGAGGTGACTGACTAGGATTGTGGAGATGAGTGGAGATGAGCTTATCTCAGCAGGTTCTATTGGAATAACAATCAGCAGGACGTGATCATCTTAAAAATTGGTCGAAATGAGATTATTGACAGAATACGAAAGGTCACACATGCATGTTTTCTTTTGTAAAGATATGGTTAATGCAATGTGCTGTATGAACAACAGAGCTTGTGACAAAGGTTCGCAAAGAACAAAAACTCCGAGCTGCAGAAACTCAGACAGCTAGAGAGAAAGATGAAAGTAGCCTCTAAGGAGTCAAGTCAGGATATTTGTCAAGATATTTTTTTTCTGCTAGCAGTTTAATGCAGAATATAATAATTAATATGAAAATTAAATATTACTATTAATGCAACAAGCTGGGAGCCGACTGATAATCATCGCTTCTACAAGGCAGACCAGGTCAAAGAAAAGCGTGCTAGTCTATCTTGCAATCAGAGCCTCTCTGTTTCGCTGAGACAAACCTTCACACATCTCAAGCAGCCTGCGACGGAGCCTTTGATGGTATCCTTAATGGGCCCTGAAGACCTCCACAGGGAAGTGGGTCAGAGAGAACGCCAGAGAGACAGACAGTGGGATGAGGGTGAGGGAAAGAGGGAGGAGAGAAAGGCAGCGCCTGTGAAATATTCATCACTGCCTCCTGTATGCTCCCCTGCCAGCATGATGTCCGAGCACTCAGCAGGAGCACAGATTGAAGTGCATTTAATTCCTAAAAATATGAGCATGTAGACAAATTAAGCTCCTGCATGGATACACCGAGCTCATTTAAGGTACTGCAGTGGAAAATTAATGAGTTCTTGTCTTGTGTGAAACATCAATAGTCAGGGAAAACAGCGGCATCAAGCCACAGTTCGTAACTAGCTGTAGATTGAGAGGCCTCATTTATGCAAAGATTAAATTACGCCTGAAAAATGCCCTATTTTTTCATTAGAGACCAGATTGAATTTACAATAGAGGAAAATAAAATTAATATGACTTACAAAACAATTAATTGTGTAACCTGAACTGAGTTACAAGTTTTATAGAGAAGAAGTCCAATAACCTTAGAGGTTGGTGTCACTATACCAGTTTCATGGCAACAAGCTGGGACTTGTGCTGCACCCTTCACAGGGCGGGGTCCAAGAGGAGCTGCTTCTTTCTGATATGAGGGGCTGCATCACCAGCCCTCTCATAATAGGCTACATTGTAAACCGCTTAGTTTGAAAGAAGCAAATGCATGTTCTCTAAAAAAGCTGCCCATTACCAACACAAGAAAAGATACCTAAATAAAAAAACAGCCTGTAAGATCTCTAACCAAACAGTAAAAGGCTCCTGATTCAGTTAACGCACCCCTCTGCAGTTCAGGTTTCCAATAAAGAATGGCTTTAGAGACAATGAAAGGGAAATTTGTGACTTGACTCAGGAGAAGCAAACAGGGCTCATCATGAGCTGTGAGTAAAGCCAGTAGGATATCACCACTACTTCCTTTTTTTGTGACTTTTCCGTGGGAAACACAGAAATAAGTTATCCACAGACTTTACTGAAATCTACATCTTGGAGTGAAATAGAGTCAAGATGCTGAATCACCCAAAGAAGACAACACATTTACAGACTCAAATATAAAAAAAACAAGGAACATGGCTTTACGTTACATAACTGCTTGCAGTTAAGACAAAGTCTTGCACAGGTGCCCTATGTCATAACATGGGTATGTGTCAAGGAGGACATACACTGATAGAAAATAAAAACTTCAAATTAAGCTTTTTTCTTGCAAACATTAAAACTATAAGTTAGGACAGGCTTGACTGAGGGTTGAGTGATCCTTACAGAATGAATATCTGTTAATAAAGCACATCACTCGGTTCCTATGGAAGTTAAAAACAGCAGCTTTTAATGAGCATGAAAAGGGAAGGGTATCTTGCTTTAATAAACCCAAGTGTGGTATAATGACTGATAATACACAAATACACCATCTACCCATCACGTCATTCAGCATGTGTCACCACGCCAGAGGGACAAGGTCCAAATGTAATAAAAAGAGCTCAAGCAACTGACAGTGGGTACCTTCTCAGTCCCAAAGGTCCTAGCTGTTATACAAGAGTCGTGAAAGAAACACGCATATTATGTCAAAATATATGCACATACATGAATGCAGGCATTAAATCACCTTGTTAGTGTCAACTGATTGAACCACAGCAGAAACAGTCAGCTTGATCATCTATAAATGTAATACCAGCATAATCAGCGACAATAAAAGAGTAATTATATCAAAAAGAAATGTTGTCAGCAGTAATGACACCTTTACGACTCCTTTATGTGATGGCTGAAAGCACAGGTATGCAGGTGTTTACTGGCCTCAGAGGTAGTAAAGGGACAGTAAACCGTATTAACTACACTTAGCAAACATGTCAAGTGGTGTATTCTACAAAAAAAAAAAAAAAAAAACATCAGCACTTTACTGAAGGGAGATAAGCTGGTGGAGAAATTTGAGACTGTGACCACCAGGATCTCCACAGTTACATATATTCTTTCATATATCTGCACAATAACTTCTTAGCAACTTAATGGGCGTAAAGTAAGAGCAGCAATGTTACCAAAACGGACATACCACGCAACCAATTTCTACAAAACAGTATTAAAAACTGCGTGTTAAAGTTTGGACCTAATGCTAACTGGCTGTTTGTTCTGTATTGGTGGACTAGCTTAACTGGCCGTAGCTAGCTCACTAACAAACCTTACACAAAGAAAGACCCAAGCTCAATGTTAACAAAAAACTACAGTAAGACTGTCGTATTATAGCGTAAAATAAGCTAACACCAGCTTTTGCTCTAGCTACAGTTCACGTTACCTGTATTAACCGGTAATATCGAGCGGTATCGGCAAAATAGCTGTTTGGTAGCATAACACGGAGTAGTTTTGCCAACTTGCTAGCGTCAACAAGCTAACCTTCTCTTAACAAACGACAACTTACCCTTTAATTCGCAGTAGCATACTATCGTGAATCATCGTTTAGAAATGCTGGTTTCTGTCAGCGTTAGCTCGGTTAGCTGCCGTGGTCAAGTGACAAAAACGTCAATAGACAACTTTCCTTCTCTCGGCCCCACGTCGTCAGCTGTTCGACATTTGACAAACCCGGGGACTTATTGTAATGTCTGGTGCTGACACGAATTTAAATCATCTGCTTTACATTAATTTTTGTGCCAAGTCTGTTTTATCGACATGATCTGGAGTCTCGGCAGCCTCCTCTGCTCTCGATCCAGACTGGGGGACACTCGGCAGAACCCGGACCTACGAGCGGTTCAACAAAATGTGACGGAGGGAATCTAAATGCTGCTTAAATATCGTGGACATTTACATCACACATTACATTTAGATTTCAGCGTTCATATCAACCCCCCATCTTTGATCATTTCCAGTTATTTGACTTACAATACTTTTTCTTCTTTTGCTGGTCTCATCGGCGGCTGCTGTCTTCTCCTTCTTGGGCTCCGGCCTTCCCTTCCGGTTTGCAATTTTTCCGGGAACGTCCCACTTTTTGTCGGCGGTGGTCTGACCAATGACAACAGCAGGCTGCACAAAACACCACCGTCTGCAGGTCGAGCCGGGCCGTAGTCTCTGTTTTATAAATATTAAATAAAGATTTGTATCTGAAATGAAAACCAACATACGCTATGTAGCTTTAACCAGACAGTCAGCACTAAAATGCTTTTTGTATTTGAAGATTTTTAGTCTGTCCTAAGTTTTATTAGATTTGTGTTCAGACCAAAAAATATCATTTTGAATTTGTTTTATACATCAATTGTGGTATCTATGAGCTAAAACATGAGGTCAAAAACCAATCATGAAAGTCCTCCATTTTAGCTTAGACTAATGAAGTCATAACAGTAGTTCAGGGGTAAGTTGAGCCAGTGGCTCAACTGAGAAAGTGAAGGAGTATGATGAGAAGATCAGAGTTTCAGTTCAGATTGTTGAAATGTGTTACTTTTTCTTTTCAAAAATACAGCTGTGATTCATCTGAATCAAGGCATTCTCATGTTATAAAGGCTTTTTACAAAACAGCTTTTGAACAGTTATATGCAATAATGATAATAATAAATAATGTACCCGTTGAATGGTGTATAATAGATAAAAATACACATGAATGTGAAGAAGTGACTGTTATTTAGGGAGAGAGAAGGTGAGGGAGGGCTGGGGTGGAGAGTTGGGGGGTAGTAGGGATACGACTCGACCCCATACTTACCCCATACACAGGGGTAAGTTGACCATAGGAGACCACTTTTTTTGCATGCTATATTATCAAGAAAGTCATGTTTACACTCATTCTGTTGGTTTTCATGGATGCACAACATCTTGAAATATACGCAGATACACCAGTTAGAGACAAAACTATGATTGCCTTGATGTAGTGATCCGAAATATGAAAAATGGCTCATCTTACCCCACTCTCCTCTACCTGCTTCTGTCAGTGTCCTTCTTGATTTTTTTTTTGTCACTTATATTTTGTAGGATGCAGGTCCTCCTCATTTGCATGGTCCAATTTGATGTTGTTTATTTTTTTCTTTTTTTCCTGCACTACAGGCGTTACCCAAAGAAAAGACCAAAGTTAAAGCAGGAATTTTTGCTTCAGTTTTATTTATCTTGACAGAAAATTAATTAGAAAAAAACATTTAGATAACAATCAATAGCTTAACAGATGGTCTTAGAATATTTGGAGACTAACAAATATTCATTCTATATCAATGCATGCAAAATATCAAGTATTCTGATATTCAGATGTGATAGCTGAGGAAAGCCTATTTAGGAGAGTCTGTAGGAAGTTTGCACCCTGATTAGAGCTTCTGAATTTGTATTGTCCAAAAGGACACTTGACTTCCTTCAACAAAGTTCAGACACAAGTTTCCTTTCAGATCAAATAAAACAACACTAACACGTCTGTTGTTGTTTTTGGCAGCTTTCATGGTAATGCCAAAACTCCTCTGCTCCCTGATGAAGAGCACTGGACATTATCCTAGGGGATTTCTGAAGTACAATAAATAGATAAATAACAGGTTTTTTTTGTTTTTTTTTGTTTTGTTTTTTAAGTTAAGGTAAACTTTTAGATTATGCCTTCATATCTTAAAGTTCAGTAAAGTTTCAGACTTGGATATGTGTGATTTTGAAGGGCTACTGGTGGAAAAGTTGTGCAGGACAACTGCATGGATGTATATTTTTTTCATTTTGAAATGAAACAAAACATTGAAATCATCTTTTTGAATCAGAGAAATCCCACATGCACAGTGCAGCCATGGTCAGGTAGATATGTATAGTTGTTTCATAAAGGCTGAAATGTAAAGGTGATGAAAAAAGAGAAAAGTATTAAAGTATCCCAGCAGGCATATGCATTAAAAAACAATGTTATTTTCTTTTTAACTTAAGAGTTTGTTACCATATTCTTCTCTTTATTCTTTACCTGTTTATAAATCTTATTATCTTACCAAGAAAGTAGATCATGTTTTTTTTTCATGCTGAGCGATGGAAAGTTGTAACCATCCATCACCACTTAGTGGTGCTGTACTCTCAAAGCTGTTAACTGCATCTCAGGCTTTGGTCAAAAATTCTCCTATGTATTAAAATGCCTCAGGAAAGGTTTTGCATCTGCATGTCCTATAATAGACCATCTCCCCATTTCTCCCCATTGACATTACTTGCAGAACAGAAATTAGTGTCAAACAATAGCATCTGATAATAGATAATTTCATATAAAACATGAAAAATACTCTGTACAAGTGTCTCTCATAGTAATGGCAGAAGGGAGAGAGATCAGAGATCATTTTATTGGATGGAATCTGAGCTCCCACAGTCTTTGAAGGTACGGTTAAGTTAATATCATGCAGTACAAGTTACAGAGGCCATTATTGTGGAGTCTGTATTCCCTCCATGTCCAGTGGAGGTGACTGAACTTCCACAGTTAGAGTACTGCTCATGTCCTGATATTCAATTTTGTCTAACCTCTCTTGATACAGTGAAGCTCCACAGTCTCTATCCATCACCTGCCCCAGCAAAGAATATGAAACATCGCGTACGCGGTGCATAGGGCTGGATCCTACCGGCTCACTCTGTCTGGGGCCACCGATGGCACCCGGATGGCTTTGACTGTGACCCGTACAAACTGAAGCATGGACCCTTAATGGGCTGAGTGAGCTGAAGGTGGTGTGATACTGCGGCAGGCCAGAGTGAGTGATGGAAGAACGGATGGGTGTCTGGGGGTTGTTCTGGTTTTGTGGTGGATCAGAGCTGGTTTGGACACTCAGAGGTGAGTGGGGGTAGCCTGAATTCACTGGGGAACATATAGGATGAGAGTTGCTGAGAGTAGGGATGAAAGCATTGTAGGCTTGACAGATGACTGGGTAAGAACTAAGGGCAGGACTGAAGAGAGGGGGTCCTACTCGTGCATGTGGATGGGTCATATAGGGGGAGTTTGGAGTTGTTCTGGAGGTTTGGAAGGGGCCACATTGGCCCTGTAACCTGTGGGCTGTGGTCCCTTTTCTATCAGAGCAGTACAGATGCAAACCAGATGACATAGGGCTTGCTGACTGTAGCAGAGAGGTACTTCCAATCTGGGAGGACACTCCGCTGTAGCCCCACACGTTTCTGGCCGGGTGGCTGATCGCTTCATGATGGAGGTGCAGTCCAGTGGAGATATTTAAAGGGACATGGGGCTGCCGGCTGCTGGAGACGGTCACACTAGGACTGGAAGCCATTTGGACTGTCGTGGGGTGATGAAGCATTGCTGTGTGAGACTGAAGGAAATGCATCATGTTGTGGAGTTCCTTGGCCAGGCTGGACACTTCCTGGTTCAAGTTGCTCACCTGGAAGTGGAAAAAAGAAAGATCTATCCATCCTTAAAAAACAAACAAAAAAACTTTCTTCTGAATGTTTATTTTCTTCTTTTCATTCAGCCAAGCACTTCATGCAGTGATATTTACAACCACATCAGGTGTAACATTGACCTCGTACCTCTTTATTAAGTGTGCTGACATTCTGTCTCACTTCCTCTGTCTCTAGAAGCAGGTTGGCACTCACCTGGAAGCGGTCTATGATGAAATATAGAGAAATAGAGCTGATCTGAAGTAACCCACTACACAGACAATGGTATGGAAATCTTATTCCGGATGAGTAAGTTTATGAATGTGGGTCAACATAGCTAAATAAAATAAGTCAGAAAATGTCCAAGTTTAGTATGTTTCTTTATTCAGTGAGAAGAACTTTCCTTCAGCACATTGTGATTGACTTTTGTTTGCAGTCTTTACCTGTTATGGTGGTCTTTCTCTCACACTGCTCCATGTTAAACTGAAATGAATGTCCATTGTCTTCTATTCCATCCACAACCCTAGTGGATACACAAATTAGTAATATTTTTAGATACATTTAAAAAGAAATGTCAGTTGTTATGTGGGTGAGGCAGAATGAACAGGGTACCTGGGGCTAAGGTTCAGTGGACTAACACAAGGTATGGAGGGCATGAGCAGCTTGGCAGGTCGATGGTTCAAGCCTGAGTCACTTGTAAGACCAGGCAGAGGAGACGGAGAGAGCTCCTCAGTGCAGAACAGCTGAGGAGAGGGGCTGTTACCTCTGCCGCCCTGAACGGGTGAGCGACACAGCCGGAGAGCATTGATGTGTCGCAGCTCCTCTCCTAACAGGGTGCTGAGGCAGGGCTGACTAACCGAGCTTCCTACTTCTTGTAACAGAGGAAGTTTCCTCTGCTGGTGGTGTGTCATGTCTTCTCCAAGTTCCACATCATCTGCCTCAATTATAAAGGGCACTTTATGGTCCACAGAGCCTCGAGCCTAGAAAGACAAGTGATGGACAAAATTTAGATTTCTTTAATAAAACAGAAATCAAATAAAACAGTGCGTCTGGTTCAGTTCTGAAGCAGCAACTGTAATAAAGTAGCAGCACATCTATCAGTAAAATGCTTTATTGAAAGCATTTCATTGCAGCTCACTTGGTAGTGCTGCTGCCCCATAAGCAGAGGCAGCAGCCCTAAGTTCAAGTCCAACTGTTTGTTTTGCATATTATTCATTAGTCAACATAAGTCAATTAACAAAGAAATTATAGTAAAATTACAAATTAAACAGCTATTTTAATATTAAAATATAATTTTAATTTTAAAATTAATTAACTAATTTTAAATGATTTTTCCCCTTTTCTTACAGTTTTTGTTTTTCTAATGTTTTTTTTTTTGTAAAAGAACGAAAATATTGTGTGTTTTTTATAGTTACAGTGATTTCATGTTATTTTACATTTGACATGTTAAATCACACTTTTTTTGTAAATTAAATGGTATTTTAAAAATACAGAAAAAAATCTGTTAAATAAACAGTAAAATTCTGTTATATTACAATCTTTTTTACAGTGTACGTAAAGATGTCATACAACCCTCTTTAAGGTTTCTCTTAAAGGAATCTTACGTTAATTTATGCACTCGTTCATTTAAAAGTAAGTCTCATGATTACCCAATTGGGTGTTACCTCACTTGTCAAGTATGTATGTAAGGTGTTTCCTTCACCAGCTAAAGCCATGTGGTAGGTAGCATAAACTCCTAGACACAGGGTCAGATGAGCCTGATTGTCATACACTTTTTCTTGTTAGGCTACTTGTTAGAAAAGTTATTTGTAACTTAAGCTACTTCCAGTGATTTATTTTGGCTTGTTTTTCTTGTCAAATCAGTTCTGGAGACAGTTTGAATATTAAACATCTGTTACAGTCCATATGGTCTCAAATGATTTTAATAAAAACACACATTAACTATCTGTCTCTCACATGCACTCCCACAGGTTTTAATGAATATTTAAATCCTTAGTTTTGCCAGCTTTACTTTTCTGCAACACTGAATATCTTCATTTTACTTGATTAAAAGGATGAGTCAAACTAACAGTCTAACACATGCAAAGGGAAGTGATGAGCATTATGGAGATGTTACTGATTTTAAAACTAAGTTTGTGTCTGTAGCTTAAAAAATACAGCATGTTTCTTTTTTTCTTGGTGTTTCATAAAATACACATAAAAAAGGGAGTAAAATGCTTTTTTTTTTCTGATACCTCTTTAATAGCTCCAGAAGCTAAAGCTAACCCTAGAAGAACAAACTGCATGTGATACATCAAACCAAACTGGATTCTGTTTCTGTTGTGTTATAGAAGTGGAGTCCAGTAGAGTCCTTCTGTGAAGGTCTAATGACTTCTTCACACACCAAAGCCACTATATAGACCTATAGTTATACAACCTGATGGAAAACTGAGTAGCATGGTGATGCAGGGGTGCAAAAGTTCTCGGTTCCTTAAAATTGAAGGAAGTACCAGTACTTTCCCTTTTAGAGCTGATTGAGGCCAAAATAATTACAAGTACACACAAACCTGTGACAGCCGAGACGACCATGGAAACTTTTTCCCACCCTGAAAGTATCAAAACCAGAATCAACAAGGGATTAACACACAGTCCTATTAGGTGGAAAAAAATAATTTCATAAAAGATGTTTTACTTCAGCTTCACTGCCTTCTCTCAGGTTGTAGGTGAGGTTTTGATGAATGTCAGAGCTGAAGCGGCTGCCATACTCTGGGTACAACCCCAGGACCTCCCTCAAAGCCCTGACGCTGATGTACTGCAGGTCACAGTAAGTCAACGCCTTAACATCTGCATTGGTCTTAATCACCTTGTCCTGCTCTGGGAGGTCAGCCCCGATTAGGTCGCCTTTACCTGTGAGGATTGTCAGTAACAATAAAGGTATAACAGTAAGATGCACATTATAGCTGAGGGGTATAGAATAAGTGAGGCAGGAAAGGTTTAATGCTGACCCAGTATGGCCAGGACCATTCCATCTTTCAGAACTTCCAGAGACCCGGAGCAGACAAAGTAGTTTGCTTGTAGGGCGTCTCCGTGTCGTATAAGATATTCCCCTGGTGCACAGAAGGAGGTTTTAATGTGCAAGGAGAGGGAACGCAGACAGCCCCTGCTGGCTCGTTCAAATACAGGCAGCTGCAGGATGTCTTTGTTCAGGTGCATGGCGATGTCGGCTCGCAGTTCATCTGGGAAGTCATGCAGCAGCTAAAAAAGGTCACAGAACAGAGTATTCAGCCAACGTTTGGAAATGTGGTGTCTTTTAGATACGTGGAAATGGTAAGTGATGCTCAGAAGATTTGGCTGTTAATGTTTCAGCACAATACAGTTCTTTATCTATAACTGAAATCCATACAAGAAAATTTGAAACAGTTAAACTGTTACTAAATGACTACTTTGTAAAGTTTACTTTTGGATTGAAATTTTGCATCAGGAGCATCTCAATGTCCCAGCTTACACAGCAGTAGGATCTACCCGTCAAAGGTCAGAGAAAATTCAGGGAAGCTTGTTGGGAAACTTTAAGTTGTTGAAAGCTAACTGCTGCATTGGTATAAATTAAAGCATATAATGAGGGTGCTAAAGACATCTTTGTAAAGAGGGTGTATTCTAGATTTAGATCAGGAACACAAATGCTGTAAGATAGTCATGGTCTCTCCTCCCCCTTGTCACCTCTATGTTTAATAACTAACATAATTACAGTATTTTTCCACCTTTGAAACAGAAGTGTGCAAAAACTGAAAAATGTCAGGTCAATGCATTCATATGATGATATGCCAAGCAGTTCAGTAAAATGACGTGAGGTGTTAAAGGCAGCTTGTTTTAGAAACCAGAGGCTGTGTCTGATACCTTTAACAGTGCATGAATTATTTGCAGATGGTGGTGGTGGGGGTGTTAATGAGTATTCTCTTTATTATAACTCCTACTCTTGTAATTACAGAGAACTTTCCTGGATCTGCTCTGGCTACTGTTACAGAAGTTCTATCTGAAACAAAGTGCTGTCTACTTAGGAAAATGGAATGAAACTCTGGAGGATTTAAGGTGACCCAAATTTGAGGATGACATTTCTGAAACTCAAGTTTTGTATCTCAACAAAATGTTTTTTGGTTTTTTTTCTGCATGACAAAGAAATGTCTGTGACCAGCACAGGCAATTATCTGATATGTAAGTCACTGGCAGGAACTTACAAAAAAAAGGAAACTGTCTTTTTAAGTATTTTTTTCTTCTTTCTGTTTTTCTGACTATTTATTTTCTGCTGCTTTTTTGTACTAATATATTTCCCCCTCTTTCTGCTTTTTGGACAAATATTTATTCTGTTTTTTGTACTATTTTTTTTCCCTGACTAAGTGAGATACTTCAAAATCGTGCAAGTATTTAATACAATCAGATAATATCAACCACCAGGGCTGATCCAACTTAACGGATTCTCCAGCTCCTAGATAACTTTGACTATGGGGTCAATGAGAGTAAAGCATGTTATTAGTTAAACATCGGGCATGCAAATCCTGAGGTGCCTGCACAAATTAGACAAACTTATGACTATTCCATCTATCTTACTTAAAGAAAGGAGTAAATACCAGTTTTCAAACCCAAAACAAAGTAAAAGTTGATTAAACTAAACACATGGGCCATGTTTGCTTCCAATGAATCAAGCAGAGGGGGATGAAAGTGTCTGTTTTTAAATGATCGTGATCCTTGAGAATAGGAAAAACAATTAGTCTAAGGAAACAAAACAAAACAACATATAGTCCAAAGAACAGAACAGAAGAAATTACGCTGAGAAACAGTGTTCTTTTCCTTTTTTTTTTTTTTTTGGTGAATGCAATACACAAAAATAAACTTTGCAAAAGGAACAAAACATTAGAGGGTATGAAGATCGTAAAATCACCATGGCCAACAGAAACATAAGAAGACTTAGTTTTTATATTTTCCCACCTCGTTGGCATTGATGCCATTGTTAACCGACCAGGTGGCCTGAAAGTACTCCAGCATCCTCTGCTTCAGCTGCTGAGGAAGCCGGTGCACCCGAATGAAATCCTTGAGATCCTTCATTCTGGTGTGGTAGAGAGACCGACGGGAGTACATCCGCTGGATGATGGCTGTTACGTTACCAAAGACGACTGCATGCATCAGAGCTGGAGATGGAACAGTTTATTAGGATGACCCCTGAACTCTGATCATGACTGTGATCATTTTACCAGCAGCAGGAAACTCACCGCCAATGAGCATGATGCAGATGGAGAAGATTTTCTCTGCGTCTGTGTTGGCACACACATTACCAAAACCAACACTGGTGAGGCTGCTGAGGGTGAAGTAGAGCGAAGCGATGTAGGCACTTGGCATGGAGGGACCACCCATGGTGCTGTTGATGTACGGTGTGTCCAGACGCTTTCCCAGTTCCTGAAGCCAGCCTGGTGGAGTCAGAAAATGGTACCAAAGAAACAGCTCTCAGTCTCTAAACTGAGTAAACTAAATAATTAGAAAGCAGTGGTTAAATGTTTTTCTTCAGTTCACTCAGATGACAATTTCTCTCTTATTAGGAGATACGATGAGGGACAGTAGATATCATTTAGACCAATATAATGCCTTTCTGGTGATATAATGGAATTGCTCTGTGACCTGGACATCCTCTGGATCAAGAGGAGGAAAGCCAGAGGCTGAAATGATGCTTTTAGGCATTCAAGCATGGCTAGAGATGTGCTGCACTGGTCCACTGTGGTTGCCTCAAGAAACAGTGTCAGCAAAATTAAACCAGTAAGGATAATTTTGAACTCCTGACTTAGAGGTGCTGGAAAAAAGAAAACACTCATGCAGCCAAATAAAAATAATGCACTCACCTATGTCCCAGGTAACAGGGTCACTGCTCTCAATCTCCTGGCGTCCGATAACATACCACACACAGGCCATCCAGTGGGCCAGCAGAGCAAACACTGACATAAGCAGGGTCAGGACCACAGCGCTGTACTGGGAGTAACGGTCCAGTTTTTGTAACAGGCGCAGCAGGCGCAGCAGACGAACTGTCTTCAGTAGGTGCACCAGTGAGGTCTGAACAAACAGACACAGAGAGGAACTTTTTAATAAAATGTATTCTCGTAAACATGTAGATCACGCCATTGGTATTACACTTACACAGCTGAAAAGGTGAAGTCTATATCTTCTATATATATATATCTTCCATGCCTCATTGCCTGCCTTTAAGAAGCTCATACTGACAAGAACTTAAACAAATGTTACTATTACTAGAAAAGTTTTAATGAGAGTCAAAAACGAACAAGGCTGTAGTTTGAGGGGTCCTCAAAGGTCACAACAAGCCTGAGGCACAGCAGTACTTATCCATGAGAAGTACTCGTGTTGCAAATAAACAAGAGAGCTCGGCACAGTGCTTCAATTTGGAGGAATCATCATCTCCAGCCCGATAGCTCTAAAACTTTAGTGACCGGTCTGAACGTTAGTTAGGGACTCGGAAAAAAAAAAAAAAAGGAGGCAAGTTGAATTATGTGAAACAATTATCTTACCACTGTGATGTTGAAGACGTAGAGAAGATCGAACGGCAGGGCTGCTATCAGATCCACAAAGAACCAAGTGGTGCAGTAATGGAGGTAAATGGATCGGGTATCGTACACCACCTGACCTGACTGACTTACATATGTTGTACGAAAATTCAGGATTATATCTAAAGTAAGACAGAAACAGGAAAGGCTATCACAAAACAGGAATAATATAATGAAACACATGATAGGGAGTTTAGTGTTGCTCTAAAGAAGCCCTCTTTAGCTCCATATCAGTGCTTATCTAACTTGACACATTGTGACCCAAGATAGGAAAAATGGACACAATATCCCAGGCTGTATATGTGACGTTTGACGTGGCAACCCCATTTTTTCAGTAGGATTGATGGAGGGCACTGGTGAGTCTAAATAAGTAGATTCAGGTGCTGTGGTCTACTGAAATTGGCTGTCTGGTGATTCACAAAGAGAGAGACAGCAGGCAGTAACTGGGGTCTTTCCAGACCTGAATGTGTCTCGAAATCTCCGGACAAAACTTCTGGAACGATTAAGTCAGACAGTCTCCTGACAGATGTGCTATCACACTTCCTTTGGAGGTAAAGTGGGACGAAGTGAGAGAAATCTAATTATGATTGGTAACCTGGGGCAACGGAGACACCCTGCGTGGGTGAGGAAAGGTGGGAGGTTTCATTAAGGGTTGGCCATCACCACGGAAACCAGTGCAGTTGCACTGGAAATACAGTTTTACTTAATTTGAGCTGAACATTGTTGTCTTTCTGTAATGCTGCTCAAGACAAGACCATAAACAGGAATGCCTGCTGGTGTGTGACATGCAGTCAGAGTGGGAAATGTTGGAATTTATAACTCCACTGGTTAACAGCTTCTTACTGGAGGAAAATAGAGCACAGTAGATGGTGTATTGAAGAGAAGAGGGCTGATGGCTTTTTTTGAAGCATAATTCTACCATAAGAAAAATAAAAATCATGAGGCAAAATGGCCTCAATGTAAGCACACAATGAGAAAATTAAAGACCCACTCCGATGAAAATCATGTTTTTCTTGTTGTTTACATGTTCATATGGCATTTTTCTGATGCTAAAGGACATATGAGAAAACTGAGTGCAAAATTGCATTTCTGAGTATTTCTTCATTCAAATCACTGTGAATCTCTGGTAGACCCGAACAGCAGGTTCAGATACAGTGAGATTTCCTACGTCACAACTGCAAGCCCCGCCCCTAAAGGCCAGACCTAAAAGTGGAGAGGACGATCGCGGAACAAGCATGTGCGTTAGCGGATTGCAATGTTCGTAAGAAAGCTAATAATGATATTACCTTTCATCATGTCCCCAAAGACATTAGTGTCTCAGAGCTGAATAGCTCCTATGTTACCTTCCACTTTTACTACACAAGCAATGTTAAGCTACAAGCTAGCAGGAAGAGGAGTGTGCAGTGGAGCGCTGTCTCTGCCCACAACTCAGAGGCGAATTGCTAGGGAGCTACTGGAGCTCTACAGAAGAAAAGCCCTTAAAAAAGGCACGGGTTACTTGATTTTGGCTAAAAACTTCATAATCACAGTTGAAAGACCACTGAGAACACTTTAAGAAGTAAAAAAAAAAATGCAGTTGGAGTGGGACTTAAATTTAAAGCAGTTCTGAAGATGTCCTACCAAGTATGAAGAGCATCTCCACTGCTATGTCCGTGCCTATAGTGCTGCGACTGATGAGAGAGTGATGCTCGCTGCCTTCATCATGACTGACAAAGCAGATGTCATAGGGCACGGCCACAGCGACATAGAAAGTTGCAAGGAGAATGAGCCAGTCCCACAAGGCCTTGGAGATGCTGTAGTGCAGCAGGATGAAACGGGACTTCTTCACAGCTGCCACCTTGTACTCTGGTAGAGACGGTTTCTGGAACACACTCTGAAAGACACAACGAAAGGACTCAAAGTCCTCAAGGTTTTAAAAGAAAAGAAAAGTAATAACGCCAAGTATGAGGTCTGGATATTTTGATCCGTCAGTGCTGATTGTGCCCTGTTGGAGAGAAAAAGCTCATTATGCAAAAGCCCGACAGTGGAAGTGCTCTGATTGTATTCAAGGCTATCCCAAATCAAGGATGAATGAAAGATAATTATGAATTCTTAAGATAAAAGATGTCACATTTAAAAAACGACAAATATGCAGGTTTAATTCAGTTCATGGTGAGTTGGTGCTCCCATGAATTGATTAGCACAGTGTGAAACACTGTGGGTCTCCATGGGGTTAGGATCCCTTGCAATGATTGCTCGTGTTCATCCTCATCATCATCATCATCATCATGTGAATACATTTATTCATGTCTAAAGGTGCTTTTATTTCAAGTTAGATAGCAAAGCTCAGCAGTAAAATATCCTAAAATAATATGTACTGTATATCGTAGGTTCACTGATGAGCATTTCGGTGTTCACTCACACTGGTCATTTTCCTCTTGCCCCTCTTGGTGAACAGGTTGCAGAGGTGGTTCAGGATGGTCCGCCCCCTCTCTCGGGCCTGGGAAAAGTGTGACCGGCTGGTCTTCCTGTTCTCTTGAGCAGCTTCTGACATACCTGTGAGTAAACAGGGAGAAATACTTCAGCAAAGCATTACACTCCTTTTGAAAATGATAGGTTCAATATTGTCTCAGTGCCAGGCCTCACCGTCTCCTCGGCTGTAACGACGACTCTTCCCATGAGTTTCACTGACGTCTTTGAAGGACAGCAGGAACAGAACCACCTCACCTTTCTCGTTTTTAATTGGCACAATATCCAGTTGGCACCAAAATAAGTTTCCTGGGGGCATTAAAAATTAAAGCTAGACACTAGAACAACCAAAATGATGAGTGGATTTCTTTAAAAGCCAGTAAAAACATAATAACAATAATAATATAAAAGCCACCATTTTTCCTGTTGAAGCAGACTTCTCCCTGGAACTCCTGCTGGCCCTCCAAAGCTTTTTCCAGCTGCTGGATTACACTTTCATTGGTCTCAGCTCCGTGAAGGAAACTGCAGGTACAGGTTTTCTGCATCACCTCAGTCCTCACAAAGCCAGTCAGTTCACAGAACCCATCAGAGCAGTACACAATGGGGTGACCATGGTGACTCTTTGCATTTCCCAGCAGGAAGTTACTGTCTGCAAGAGAAATTTGAAGGGTGAGATCATTACGGTGTCTTCTTCCTCCTATCCGTACTCACACATCAGTCTTTATTTGATGTGTTTGTTGATGTATCGACAGGAAACTTTTTCACTTTATCGGAGTCATGTTATCTGTTTTCAGCCCTGACGACAAAAATAGTCTCCAGTGCTGGCTGTATCATCAGAAGGAGCTTTGAAGTAAGCTGGTGGTCTGTCTGAAGTCTGAAGATGTGTGCAGGGTCTCATCTGGCTCCTCTGGCTCCATGTGGAACCGAGGTCATCTCAGTAATCAGCATTTGAACCAGGTTTTCATCTGGCCATCGGTCGGATAATGGATTTCAGTATTTATGCAGCCAGAGAAACACAAACACATCCTGGTGAATCAGTTCCTCCCTGATGCCTCAACTGGTTTCCTAGCAACTGCTGGTTAATTGGATATACTAGCTTGAACTGATGCGCTCCGTTTCAACAATCCAGCACAGTTTCATAACTTAAAGAGTTATTTTTACAGGATCGGGCTCATAGTGCTGTTACATTTCCATTGCAGTGATATCATCCTCACTCCTATCAATGATCGGGGTATAAATGACAGAAACTCAGTAGTATAATGCAGAACAGTGGAGCACATCCTCCTAAAAAGCCTGGAAGCAGGAGAAATGAAACTTAAATGCCAAAATTAGTGCAGGACTAAAACATCAGACTACATTTGTTTGAATACAGACTGGAGTCATACTTGTGCTAATGAAGAACCAGACATGGTCATCAATGTAAAATGTACACAATATGCAAAAAAAGGGTAACGCCTCATTTGACGCTTATCTCTATAACACATTCTAAATAGATGTATAATGTTATAATCATGTATAGCACTGTATAACTATAGTTATAAACAGTCATAAATGATCATAATGCTTTATAGCAAAAATCACAACACATTATTAAGCATTTCATCATGAATTACAAGGTGAGGTATTATAATGTTAACAACTCACTGACAATGCCCACATAGATAATGCATCATACATATATTTATGATGTGTTATAATTTGCCTATAAACTTGTATAACTATCATTATAAACACTAAGGCTTTATAACAATAAGTATTAACAATGTGTTATGATTATTGCTATTAAGAATTATGATAATTTCTGAGTGTTTACAACTATAGTTATACAGTGCTATAACGTGATTATAAAGCATGATACATATATTTATAATGCATTATAGAGATAGGCGTCAAATAAAGTGCTATCCAAAAAAGTTGTCTGTTACTTTGCTTTGAACAGCAATTCTTTTGCAAAACAAAATGAAAATAATTGGTTCGTGATAGATCAATACATTTTGACATTTAGATCTTTTCTTTCTATTACTCTGTTAAAAAAAAGGCACAGGAAAAGTGGAATTGTTTGTCTTTCCTGCAGAGCCAAATATGAAGTTGCAGCTGAAGAGTCCTATTCCCTCACCACACTGCAGTACAAAATGCAAAAGACAGTATGCTTATGTCTGAAGGGTGCTTTTATCACTGAGAAACAATAACGGAGATGAAAACTTTCAAATAAATGATTCAGAGAGACAACTAAGGGCTTTTTTGGGGAAAAACACAACATTAAAAGTTACTTCTAACTGCTGGGACCTTTTAAGGTCATTTGGGGGCAGTGTGTGTAGGTGGAGAAGCAGAAGATAATAATGAAACTGCAAATCATTGAGTATAATGCGTGAGATGCTGCACATTTCCTTTGTTTCTCCACATTCGTCTGTCAAGGGGGCTGTGAGGATTTGGAGTAGGCAAATACGGTACTTGGCCTGTTTTAGTCTATTTCTTTGTGCTGTTGGATGATTTGTGAAAGTAAGCAACACAGGATGAAGCTCTCAGTGGATTCTTGTGAGGAGAAACAAAAGCAAAATCTCGGCATCACTTTTACTGAGTATCACACATCTGTGCTTCCTCCGAAGAACTATAACTTAATGTCAATATTTAGCAAGAGTCTATGCTGATATAATTATATCATGGCTAAAGTTAGTGATACATTGTGGGTTTTTTTTTTTACTCTGAACCAAGCATAACCAAGCAGGTTCATGTGTAAACAGGGTGTTTTTTTTTCCTCTCCAGAGGAATGATATGGACTTAACAGTTTGGTGGATATTATTAACCTGCTATGAGTACAGTTAATCTCATAAGAAACTTAATAAAATCTTTCCAAGCTTGTGTTGCCATAGTGATACGGGAAAAAAATGAAGCATATGCCAGGGCTGCAATTTGCATTTACAGGGTTACTAAGACACTGTGCCCTCTGCAACACCGATGACGCCTGCAAAGGATCTGCAGTATCTGCTTCTTCTGGGCGTTTAAAAGGTTTGAATGAAAGCAGCTACTGAAGGAGTGGGGAGGATTTAGTAAAACGCTGTTAAACTGGAGACAATGAAGACTTTTTTAGGGAGTAGTTTGCAACTAACCAAAGATGTAAACTTATTGGTGCCATAGTTCAAGATGCAAGTGGAGTAAAAACTTCCACGACACATTAGCCCTAATAGCCTGTGTGTATTTCTACCTAATCAAATCAAATGCCACCACATGACAGGTCTTGTACCTAAACTCAAATTCTGTCCCTTTCCTTCATGTCTCTCCACTCGCTGCCTGTTTCTATGGTGTCATGTTGTTCAAGGGAACATCCATAAATGCCTGACTTAGCAGAGAACTGTGTATCCATGAATGTAAGTGAGTTCTTTACTGTTAATACTTGGATGACAAACCAATGCATCTCAAGTAGATCCCGATATAGTTGTATTATTTAATCTACGAGTTGGTGAATCACTTTCATCACTATTACGTCTCTAAACCTCCTACTATGAATTAAAAACACTTCTGAGCTTACCAACTATCTCACTCCTGGTCTTATCTGCCTCATTTTCTGAAATCAAGGAGTAAAGTTCGGATAACTCTCCATCTACAAGATGTTAAAGGAAGTCTTTGACTTTATACCCTACAGGAACATCATGTACAAAAAATACATATACATTTAAAATTTTATAAACATGAGTAAATAAACTGAGACATCATACTTTACCTATGAAAAGCTTACAAGTGTTTTGTTTCTTTGCATACTGACATTAGTAGTGAGTGAGTGTTGGCTAATGTTGCCTAACTCCTGATGTCCATTGCACTGGACATCAGACTTTGAAAAAATCCTTGAAATTAATGATATGAGATATAATCAAGATGACTTGAAATACTATCACTTTTAATACTTAAAATTATACGGAGAGCAAATTTGCTTGAACATAAATTCATATTTCTTACTGAAAATGAGCACTTACTCCTCCCTTTTTCCAGTCGCTTAGCCATGCCTGTCTTGTCCAACATCTGTCACTCACTCTGGGCTTGCACACAGTTATGACTTGATTGTGATTGCATAATCAGGATCCAATCAGCAATCAGCACTGCTGACATTATTAGTTCACAAAGTTTTTATTGATTTAGAGCCAGAAATATGTCATGTCCATTGCAATGGAGTCCGAAGGGGTTAATCAGGCTCACTCCACCACAACGACCCCCATCACTAATTATCCATGACAGCACTTGTGGGGAAGAAAAAGATGTGATTCTCACACCCACCCGAGCAATTAGCGAGGGACACTGTTGTTAGTGCGGTGTGAAAAAATACTGCAGCAGGTGCTACAAAATCACAGAGGCAGTTCGATCAGATCAATTAAGGTCTTAAGGGTTTGGAGGGTAAATGATACCTAAGATGTTATATATCATTTCATGAATTTTGATATTTAAGTTTAATCATGTCTTTGGCTGACTCAGTTTCTTACACATTAGCAAAGCACTTGTTCACACGAGTACTTTCAAAGACCTCTGATAAAACCTGATTGGCTTCTGTTCTCTAAGGGATTCATCTTAATTAATTTTCTACTTCACACACCTGGCTGGTGTGAATACCACTTCTCCACAGCTTCTGTTCACATTCACAGAGAGGGTAGGCTATTCCTGGTACTCATCAGGATTGAGATATGAGTTTTTAAGAGACTTTCAGCTGCCTTTTGTTTCCAGAATGATGTCATCATACGGAAAAGCTGCCCGCTTAGCACCAAGTATTCAATGCAGATTTTTAAAACCGAATAGTTGTCTGCTCTGGGGCCATCTCCAATCACTTGGCCCCTTCACCTCCCACTCAGCTACTTGGCAAATCCACCCACACACGCACATACAGAGATCTTCTGGTAAAAAACATGGAAGAAAGGTCTGCAAGGATTGTGTTTATATGAGTGTGTATTTTGTTTTTATACAGAACTCAAGGACAAGACAACATGGAAAAGAAATAAAGAGATTTTCTGTGTGTGCGTGTGTGTGTGTGTGTGTGTGTGTGTGTGTGTGTGTGTGTGTGTGTGTGTGTGTGTGTGTGTAATAGGGAGATACAGACAGCTGTTGTGTTATCACACTGAATTTTTTAATTCGGTGAAGTTGCACATGACAGTCTGACCCGAAAACACTCTCACTCTGTCACACCCTCATCGAGTCTCTCTGCTCTGCGCTGATTCTAAGAAGAGGTGTGAACTGTCAGACTTAGACTGGTTGAGAGGGAACAAAGAATAAACTAACACGTCTCTACGGTCAAAAAGTCAGAGTGAATAATACTGTCTAAGCTTGGAAATAAAAAAGAAACACCGCCTGAATGATTGTCAGGCTTTATATTCAATCACACAAGAGTGCACAGCAGAATACCTCCTGTCACTAAAGGTACATTCAGGTGCATGTGCTAAATTACACCTATGGAGAACCACTGTGCTTTTAGTAAAAGGTTCCTGCACCACAAAGGGAGTGGCCTCTGTAAATGGGAAAATGAGGATGTTATTTAGAGTCTCGTCTGAAATAGTCTAGATTTTGGCACAGCTTTCTGCGTATTTCAATATTAAAGACAGTAACTGTTGGACTGATGATATAAGATGAAGAAAGGCACAATAGCAAGAACAGCATCCTCATGGATTGGAGAAAGGCTTTGTTTCTTTGGGTCTTAACTCTTAAGCGGGAAGTCTTTGTTTGAGTCAGTGTTATAATAACTGTTATATCACGCTGCTCTCTGGTAATAGAATAATAAAATAATAATAAAAATAATAAAATGAATTGTAGAAGCCTGTCATTAACCAAACCAGAGTCTTCTTTACACCCATATGAATGAATAATATTTGTATTAGACAAATAAAAAACCTGAAAGACATGCGCTCAAAAAGCACATGCAGTTATCAAGCCGCTCTTTTGCTCTACAAGTGGATCTATCCTCCTAGACCACATTATCATCCTCATTTCTAGTCCTGGTCTGCTGCTATAACTTGCAGTCTTATAACTTGATCTCGGTACTGTTGGACACATTTGTCCACCGTTGTGTTTTACTGCCAGTCAACACCAAACTGGGTTACAAAATGCCGAAGGCTAAAATCCTAAAAGCAGCAGTGGTAGTGGTAGAGTTGCAGATTAAAAACTGGAATTCATCTATTTACAGGTATCAATATTGTAATTCAGTTCAATTCAGGAACGCTTTAAAAACACAGACATCTTTATAGTGACGTATGCACAAAGAAACATGTACATATTTTTCTTATTTTACGCCCCGTATTTATGATATAGTTCAAGAAACTCCTAAAGTTGCTCTTTAAAAGTGCCAAAAACTAAGTTATTCAGCGGCAAGAGTAAAATCTCCAAAATATACTTACGGGTGCCATCAAAATGGTTTGCAATGGTGTCCAGGAAGGTGTTTTGTGGAGCAAGGAGACCCTTCATCACAGGCATCTTGGAGGCGAAGAGAAGACAGCAGACTCTCAGAAAAACAGGTCGGTCGATATTCCTCAGAGAAAACCTGAGACAGAGAACCACGATTCCCCTCAAGCTCGGCTGTCACTGTTGTCTTGCCGTTGAGAGAAATCTTTGATTTGCTTCATGCAGATATCTTGATCTTCTTTAGAGAAAAGCTCAGAGCTGTTGTAGTTTTCTAAATGTGCTTTTTCATAACTGAGTCCGGAGCTAAAGAATTCTGCTGCACATCCATCTCTTCCCATCACAGCTCCAGTAAGAGAGTGAAGCCTCAGTTCTTTGTAGTCAAACTCCACTTACCATGGTTCCTGCCATCTCTGAGTCCCCTGCCTATCTCTCTCTCTCTCTGTGTCTGTCTCTCTCTCTCTCTCTCTTTCAGAAAAGCCTGTACCATCCCCCTGTTTCATCTCTCTGGTAAAGTCTAAATGATCTCTTTCATACCAAACCTGCACCTCCTGCTTGTCCCTCCCCAGAGAAGATATACGATTTCACTTTCTTTCTCTGTCTGCATTTATGTAAGAAAACCTCCTAATTAGAAGGCAAACAATACAAGCGCTCCGCTGCTCACCTCACATTGTCAACCATTAATCTGTTGCATTTAAAAAGAGTGTGCCTTTATAGATGTGTACGGTGAAAAGAAAAGAGCCTCAGGTTGTGTGGGTTGTTGTGGATATTCACAGCGTGAAGGACACGACTATTGTGTCTGTACAGAGTTGGTCTTTTCTTCTGTTATTCCAGACAAATGGAGGTCAGAGGTCAGGTTGTACAAGAAGCCCCTCTGGGTGGTGATGATGTACTGCTTGGACTAGCTGCTTGAAGAATCCTTCAACCCTCTACCCTCATCACGTTGTAGCATTTAGTTTGCTACCATTGTTGAACACAAGCAAACACAATCATAGCAAAAACGTGCATTAACACACAAAAATCCACCAATGGCAGTTCTGAGTAACTATCCACCCTGGTTCTTTGTATAGCATCACAGTCAATTACCATTTTTGTCTCAATTTAACAGGGTAGTCAAACTGTTGTGTGAAATCACACCTCTGCTGAGACCTGACATTTCATTGACACCTGGGTTATTAAATGTAACACTTGAAAGGTCAAAACACCAACTTTTTAAAATCAGTGTGGGTTTTCAAGCTGCTATTCAAACATTTAAGTAGGATCAGTTTGAAAGACTTCATACATTCCGACTTATTTAGTCATTTTGTATAATTTAGTTCTAGAGAGCCAAAAATCAGGCAGGAGTCTAAAGGTGTACTGCTGCGTGTTGCCCAACAGAAATCCAGAGTTGATTGTTTTCCTTTGTGTGTGTGTGTTCGTGTGTTCCTGCGTGCGTGCGTGTGTGTGGTGTGGTGTTAATCTGCAGCTTCAGATGCTCCCCAGTTATTAAAAGCTGTCTTGTACGGATCTATGTTCACTGCACTAACAATAACAGAATAACAGATTTCCAGGATCATGCGGCATACATGCGTCAGTACTAACGTATGTTTTCTGTTAAACTATTACGCCACCTTTACCATCTGCATGGAAAGCAAGCTGCAAGCAGCTATGTATGTATGTATGTATGTATGTATGTATGTATCTATCTATCTATCTATCTATCTATCTATATATATATATATATATATATATATATGTATGCATATTTATTGTTTTTTTTAATAAAATGCAACTAAATTATGGTTTGATTGAGAAAAAAAAGTTTTTTCAAAAGTAAATGATTATGTCTTATTGCAGTGTTTTTGTGATAAAAGTTGAAAGTTTTATACACCAAAAATCATTAGCATTAATAAATATCTAAGTTGGCACGTACAGATCCCTAATGTGCTAGTAGATGTTTCAACAGAGACCCAATTGCATAGATGGTCAAATCAAAGTGAGCAACATAGAGTAAATACTTACAACACTAAAGTACATGCTAAACTATGTTATCAGCACCATCTAGTGGTTGTCTTTGTTTACCACAGGACTTTGAATCCATTAATTAATCACTGCAAAAAAAAAAAAAAAAAAAAAAGAAAGAAAGAAAGAAAAAGAAAAAAGTAGATTAATATATATTTTTGTAGCTTTGACCCATATATAAATAATTTTCAACAAGACAGATCAGAGTGCACATTAAGAGACAACACAGGGGTGGCTGAACTAATAGAGGGGATCTTTTTGTTTACTTTTGCTGTAGTTTTTAAAATATTCATATCATATTTGAATGTTGAGTTAATCTACAATAAGGGGCAGAGCCGCCTCTTTTACCTGAGAAAACTCCAGTTAACTAGAAATCTGCAGTAAGATGCTGCAAATGTTTTATCAGTCTGTGGTGTCTACAGTGCTCTGTTCTATACTGCAGTCTGCTGGGGAGGCAGTGTAAAACATAGGGATGCAAGGCATCTGAACAAACTAAAGCTGGCTCTTTGGTTGGAATCATGTTGGACTCACCAAAGGATGTGGTGGAGAGATGTACACTGAGGAAGGTGGAGGCTATTCTTAAAATATGGATCATCCACTTTATAACACCCTGACTGACCAAAAAACCAACAGTGGTGGAGAGATTCAGAAAATCTTTTGTACCCACAGCCATCAAACTTTTTAATTCTTCTATAAATAGTAGATGAGATTAGACTCCAGATAAATTAATTTCCCTTTGGGGATACATAAAGTTCTTGTGTTGGATTGTGTTTCTAGCATCTCTATAACATTAGTGAAAATTGGTATTTTTTCAAGAGATTTGAGATCAAGCTAAGTTTAGACTCTGCTGACTCACTTAGCTTTAATGGCTTTAAGTGAACACCTAACTTCTTAGTCCTCTGCATACTGTTCAGGTAAAAATTTTTTTACTGAATTCAACTTGAAGTACTTGTATTTTTTCTCTTCCTAAATTTTCAGAAACTGTAAGACTGATAAAGCCCTGAGCCTTGACAAAAAACAGGCGAGATAAGAGACCTGTTATCAGCTTTATTATTTTATTTCACCACATGGCCTGTTCTAAACATGTACAAAATTGCACATCTCCATGATATCTGATAGACAAACAGACATTCGAGACACCACAATGAAAAGGCAGCAATTTTAGAAAATCATAGTACTGTGTACATGCGCAAAAAATAGTCCCTCTATGCATGAGCCATCAGTTATTTAGCTGCGAACAGGAGTTGTAATGCTGAATCCTGACTGAGCCATCCAGTCTGTGTACTCTGCAGACCTCTCCTCAGTCCTCTTCCCCATTGTCAGGATCCCTGCTGCTGGATTCCTGGACACATGTAGGAGGTGGGAGAGTCGGCTCTGTAGGCGGTTCGTGTCCTCTTTCCTTTTACCTAGAGTGAGGATGCCAGCAGCAGCATCACCCGTGAGTGGTCCCCCCAAGGTCTTACTACCAGTGCGACACAGCAGCACATACAGGCGACAGGAGGGGGAGGGTTGTCTGCAGCACTCAGACATGCTGTGAGCATCACAGGCCATCTGAGACAGCAGCAACATCCAGACCAGCAGCAGGACCTTCTGCTGGGATAAAAGATCAGTTCACAGAAAAATCAACTGAGAGGGAAGGAATGCATGAGCTGGAAACTGACGTTAAAAGTAAAATAAATTAGTTTGAAAAGCACTTTGCAGGTTGCTTGTTGAACCTCAAAATTTAAGTAGTTTATTGTCACTTTGACTTGATGATAGGGCTAGGCGATATGGGAAAAAGCTTATCATTGTATATATTTTTCTTATCAGTCAATATTGATATATATCACAATATAAAAAATGAAATTTTAACAGTGCTTATTGATAGCATGTCTTTTGCAATACTATATGCTACTGCATCTGTGAGGTCTTTGTGACTCTTTGACATTTTGTCATATGGCGTTGTGCAAGAGAAAGCGGACTGAATGGTCGGCTGTTTTGGTGCACAGGCGCCATGGGCACCTTGCACTGCTCAGGGTTTGTAACCTTTTGCATTGCACATGCTCTGCTGCGTGGCACTGCTTCAGGTGGTGAAAAAAAGATTTGAGGTATTCCCCGAATTTGCAAGAACGTGTACTTGATATAATTTGCAGTGCACATTACTCTGCTTCATGTCCAACCTCAAAAAAAGAAAATACCTCCACACCACCAACGTTTTCGTGCCAGTGTTGTCGTCGATGTCATCATCTGTTGAACCTTCATCTGCATTTCTGCTGGGGGTAGCACTCATTTTCTTTTTTTTCACAGATTGTGCTGTTGGCTTCATGTGTTAAAGTGCTTTGGTTCCATGTAGCTGCAGCCTGCTACTACGCAGTTGTTTGCTACTTGGTTCTAATTCTGCACATTGGTTCAGTGCGAAGTGGACCCGGAGCAACTCCCCTTTTTGGCTTTTCGTATAGTTCACCAAAACATGTCAGAACGCCGACTATCAATAAGCATATTGACCATGTTTTATATTTATATTGAGGGAAATTAATTTTTGATATATATCATTATCGTTTTATCGCCCAGCCCTACTTAATGACGGGTGAAAAACTAACTGCCACATATGTTATAAACATAATTCAAAAAGGAGGTATCTGACAAGTTTTCTGCTAAACTGTATGTCTCAACAACACAATTATCATCACAATTATCGACAATTATCTTCATGATTTCATCTATTTGAAGTAAATATTCCAAAAAGAAAGAACCATAACACTCATTTCGGATGCAGACTTATATAATTTGATTAGATAAAGAGGTATAAGGATGGAAGAAATTAAATCAATTTTCAACAAGGCTTTTATTTAGCAGAGCTCATTCTAGCATCTGATCGAGTACAGAGATACAACTTTGCAACAACTCTGTTAAATATAAAATAGTATCTGTCTGCGTAAGTATGACGATTACTGGTATAGGCATGCCAGCATGTTCCTGTGCAACTGTCTGAACTTTCTAATATTTTAAGCTTTTATAACTGATAATCTGTCCACAGCAAAATGTCATCAAATTAAGTTTTCAGCAGCTCTGCTACAATTCACTACAGATCAGCTTCAGGGCTGCAGCTTTGCCCTGTGAATTCACCACTGAAAGAAGACATTCAGAGACTTGGCCAAATGATATCAGGAGTCAAATTTTGAGTTATAAATGTGCAAATGCAAGAAGTCATAGCTCATGAGCTAACCAAGCAAGTATGTCAAAGTCAGCTGCCTCTGCCTTTGAATAGTCAAAGGTTAAAAAAATTTGGTGAATAATATCCAAAACTGGTATCCAGAGTTTGTTATTTGTCTCCACACATGAATTAGAAAGTCAATCTGCTTAATCATTGTTCAACATACAGTCAAATTAAAGCCATCTTACCCTTTTAGACTTGTCCATCCCTGCAGCTTTGTAGAAGTTGGAGTGGAAACACATCATCTTCTGCCTTGTGAGCCCAACAATCATCTGATCTCCTTTTGTCAGGGGCAGAAAACAAGTGTCTTTTATTTCGTCAGGGATGTCCACGCTGATAGACGTCACTAAGGCCAACCACAAAAATGACGCAGAACAAATCAGCCTCTTGCTCATTTGGAGGTCTGATGCGCCGTTAATTAGTGTCCTGAGTCAGAACATCTCCTAGGCTCTTCTCTGGATCTTTGATTAACCGGCGGCATGTCTTTGTGTCCAGATGCCAATGGTTTACAAAGACATACCATTAAAATGACAAGCTGGAAAAACAGTCAATTAGCTAATGTGTCCTATAAGTTCTGTAACATAAGTGTAAAAAAAGGCCCAGATGCCCTTTCTCCATTGTATTGACTATCATTGCTCCTTCAATAGTCATGCTAATGAGCTTCTGTGGTCATTACATAGCTTTAATGCAACAGCCGCTGTTTGTGCATTTCTTTTTCCTTTGTAATGTCTTTAAAGTGATACAACTATTAGAGCCTGAAACTTCAAGATGGATTTAGCGATTTTCTTTATCTATTAGTTCATTCCTGTTTGATAAATAGTAACACACTGGCACTTTTATAAGCCATCATAACAGGATCATACAAAAATGACTTGAAAGAATCACTGAGGTTCAGGAAGTGGTTCTCATCTAGCCATCCTCACAGCATTGGGTTCAATTGGCTAAAAAAAACACATGGCATGTATCTTCATTTGATGATTCATAAATTTTGGATCCAGAGAGTTAGCAGTGCATCACAGTGCATTAAAAACAATCAATAACACTTTTGTACAGGTTCATTGATTGCTTTGGATTCACTGTGAAAGCTGCTTTCAAAATGCCCCAAAGAACCATCGATGGCTGTTTGAACATAATGAAAAATGTCACATCACTCAGTCACTCTCTTAACCCTGCATGAGCATTTTTTCAGCAGACTAATATTCAAAGCATGCACAAGTTATAGACAAAATTCAAGTGAAAGGACCTCTTTGATTTCCTTCCAGACATCAGCATGCATCCCCAATATTCAAGTCATGAATGAGACAGAAAGAAGAGGAGCCGTAATAAACAATGAAGCCAGTTTTTAATGGAGCTCTTACAGAATCCACACTCACTCTGCAGTGAAACACATATCAGGTTATTGTTTGACCCTGGTGTTGTGGTGCTAACCCGTAATCCTTTCAATCCAGTCCCACATGCACTGGTTTTCCTGATCTGCACCACAGAGCAACAGGTGTCAAATCACTGCATATGTGGGAGTAATGTTAAAAAAAGAATATCAATAGAACTAACCACAATCATAATAATATCAATCATTACTGTCCTCGTCTGCAAGATTCATTATAGCAATATATGTTCTTTTGTTACATTTTACATACACTTTACATCTATATTCACTTTATTTTGTGTTTTTATTGACAGCAGTTAGGTGTTCCTGTTGACCTTTGACCTCTAGCAGGCAGGGTCAATATTCCAGTTGTGACTGGCTGATGAGCTTTGCCATTTTTGGACACAGGCTAGCTCCACCCTGGGGACCAAAACGACTACTCACACCACACGCACACACACACACACAGCCCCTGGGGAGGAGACAAGGAGACCCTGTGGGGGTATCAAAGTGATGTCAAAGAATGTAAAAAGTAAGGAATGATATATAAGGATGCAAAGCAGATCAACAGTGTGACTAAACACATCAACAGTTGGAGTGTGTGTTTTTCTATTGTAGCTCTGCATTTCCCTGGTTTGTGCTGAAATGGTCCTCCGTCACGTCCACAGAGCTCAGTCGAGCTGCTGTACTCAGTGCACTTGAAATGAAAATGGCATCCTGTTTTTGAAATGAGTGAGGGATTGCACTTAGTTTTATGTCTAAGGTGGAGGGGAGAGTGTGAGCATTAAAAAATTAAAAAATAAAATAAAATAAAAGCTCAAATACATGCCGAAGAAGTCTCTGGAAATGAAAAGGCAAATGTGTGGCAAAAAATGCCAATGTGAGGTAAAGCCTGTACCCACAGAGCTAGAGTACATAGTGAGTGCATGTAACTAGCACTGCCCAGAGAAAGACAGGGATGTCTTGAATGACTGATCATACTACCACAAGTTTGTGTCCTGCTGTTACCCTTCTGACCCTTGACAGGAGAGAAAAAAGTAGAGACCTAAACTTCCTGGATCCAAGCTGACAGAGTCTTCCCAGTTTTCAAACCTGTCAAGAAACACTATAAACGTAGTGTAAGGTCCCTCCGTCCTTTCTTCTTCAACCTCCTCTCAGACCTGTGTCTCACTTCTAACACGCCGAGTCTTCCTCACCATCATTATCTCTTTAATTCTCTCTGCCACTTCCTCCGTCTGCCCTTTGAAACCACCGCCCTCCTGCTTTTCTTCTACACTCTTCTTCTCTGTCTCTACCTGGCTGTCCCTGTCTCTCTTTGGGTAGAATTCTCTGTGGGCACAGGCTGCGGGTCAGCAGGATGCCACAGGATCATCAGTGACCACCTCCTTCTCAGGAATGGCGTCCAGAGGTCTCTCCGCCCTCTGCTGCTGCTGCTGGCTATCAAACTGAAACTGCAGCTGGGGTATGGGTGGGGGTTGAGGGTAGGCTGGAGGCTTTGAAACAGTTTGAAGCAAAGGGAGAGCTGGTAGCTGGGGATGTTGCTGGGGGAGGGGATGGAGATAAGCCTGAGGTACGGTCTGGGTTTGGGGAAGGGGCTGGTGCAATGGCAGAGGCTGTGGGTGGGCCTTGGCTTGAGGCTGTTGCTGAGTCTGGACCTGCTGTGGCTGGTGGTGAGGGTGGTGCTGGAGCTGGGGGGACGCTGCTCCATTCTTACTGAGGCCACAGGATTGGGCTGCACAGTGGATTTGACGCAGAGTGTCCAGAGCTTCACTCTTAGCATGTTTGAGCAGGTCTGCCTGACCCTAAAATTCAGACAGAGACAAAGAGACAGAAATAAATGAAGCTTTACCAGCAACTTAAAGAAATAAACCTCTGAATAATGGTATTCATGTGACGGGAAACACCTCTGATATCAATTCTCTGAGTGGAGCTTTACATTTTGCACAATATCTTTATAAAAATCTTTAACACTTAGAACTCTGCTGGATAGCCGGTGATCCCACCTGACACCTTAACATTGTTTACAGTTTATCGGGAACTATACTGTGTATCTTTATGGGATAAAAAGTGAGGGTTTCCAGGCATTTCTACACCTGCCACAAGGTTTACAATCCAGCCACAAAAACAGGTGTTTGATCAGAGACGTTTGATGGTAAATCAGCAGTGATTTACCGGTGAAAACAAGATTATTTATCATATTGTTTTGACAAAAAAAGATCACAATCGCTAAATGCTGCTAATGTCTTCCGGGTTTGACAAGCTGTTTTGATGACGTCATGATGTCTTTTTCTGTCAAACTTTCGACCAATTACATGGTCTCATATTCTTCTTCTACTGTTCTCTTGACGGAAGGGTCCAACAAGAGGCAACCAAAGATCAACAAAAGACAAGAAAGTTCCCTGCTTGTCTGTAAAATAAGAAATAATGGTCCTCAATGCTTGGAAACAAGCAAAAAAGAGATTATGAGCAGTATGATGTGACTCTGTCTCATCTCAGACAGGAACTGCTACAAGGAGTGGCATAAACAACTGTAAATAGTGAAAAAACGCCAAGAAGAATTAGTGTCAATATGTAAATAGTTTCTGTTGTGTGTTTGTTCCAATCCCAATACTTCTTCTCCTGATAGCCAAGACATGAGAGAATGATGTGCAGATGATAAAAGGCTTGGTCACTGTAGATTTATGTGTTTTTTGTGCAAAAAAATGTTGGTCTCAATTTCTGTCTAGACTTTGATGGTTCTGAATCTAATGTGACATTCATTTTACACATATTTTTTCATATATATATATATTTTTTTTAACAGCTGAGGTTGTCCTGAAAAAAAAAAGAGTTGCCATATAGATTTTTACAAAAAAAAAAAAAAAAAAGAGTGGGACCAAAAATAGCTAAATGTAGCTGGGAGTTCGAAGGGCTAAAGTAGATTTATTGTAGAAAAGACAAAATAAGATCAGGTAAAGGAGTTACTGTATAAATAATGTTTTCCTGAGTGCATGTCCTCAAAAAATCCAGAAGGGGGCAGTATAAAGCCACTAAACAAAAGCTTTGGATCGCTGCCAGCTGTCATCATGTTTTTCTCTGCTGCTGAATTGTGCTGTCATACGTTGATAATGTTATACTACATTTCTGCTCTTTATTTGGGAGCACCCCAGAGAAGAATCCCTGCCATATGTGGAGGAAGTGGTCAGGGCAAGCCTCCTGCTTTACAGCGCTGTCAAGTCAATCTGGGCCACGGCCATAGCCGCCTGCCTCCTTAAGCTTGCTGTCTCTGCTGTGCGGAAATGCGGTGGAGTCTTAGTCTCCACAGACGGTTATTCCTGTGCATGTGCAGATGTTCCTATTATAAGCACCCGCAATAAGTAAAATTAAAAAAGGAGATTTGGCCAAATGCTTTTACAATCCCCCAGTCTAAGTTTTGACACCCCTCCTCTGGCCTAACTGTGTGCCTGCTCTCACACTTTCTCTGAACCAACATCTTCTGTCTAACATCTGTTCATGAGAAAGCTGAAAGCAGTCTTCTCCTCTTCCATGACTGTGTATATTTTCCCTCTCTCTCTCCCTCCCTCCCACTGAGGTTCACTCTGGACTCTTTCTGACCTGCTGTGACAGCTTTCTAAGTTAACATCCCTGTGAAGTGGCACAGGCCAACCCGTTCTGAACCAGGCTGAAGTATAAACGGTGAAAAGGATATCAGTTCTCAGCGCACATCGTTTTGAATGAGTACAGGTGCTGCCCTTCACACGGCGCCCAACGTTTTACTCTCAGGTGATGTTAATACTCTGCAAGTGCCCTTTTTACCTGAACCACTTCAGCACGCAAACCACAACTATGAATAAGTCATAGTTTGGGAAAAAAAAGGGATATTATGTAAGTCATGACTCACCAGGCATAAAATAAGACAGCGAGCAGCTTGTCCCGTGCTGCCAGAGCTAAATCACGACAGCACTTGTGTTCCAGCAGAACCACCCCTACAGCTGGACGTAAGCTTTCCACAGGGGAGCCACCGCATCCCACAGCTACAGGACTCATTACAATTGACTCCAATCTCCTTGTTTGTCAAAAAATCAAAGTCCCTCATTTAACTCTAAGTGCTAGCAACCTTCACTGTACATTTCTTTCAGGTTACAGTTAAATAGTGAATTACAGTAAAAACTACAATTGTGAGAAAGAACTCGACCCTGAGTTTGCTATTCTACGGAAAAAAGGCTTAAACATGCTTGACACCTGCTTCAGAAGCCTCTTTTTTGCCAGTGTTGGATATGGATTATTCGTCAGAGTGGTTTTAAAGATACGTATATACACATTGTGATGGTTGTGATCTGTCTGCTACTGTCAAAATAAGAATGCAGAGGGAGTTTTGGAAAACAGGCAGTAGGAGAAAAAGTGATAAACAAGTCAATTCCTCCCCCTTTCTCTCTCTGCTTCCTATCAGCGAGTCTTTCCAAACCTGCTGAGGATCTGGCGAGGTTGACAGGTGAAGCAACTACGCATGGCTGCCAGTTTTGGCAAACAGACACCCACCGCTCACCAAATGTTCAGTATGAGACACAGATTACAGCTGAAGAATGGGAGGAGGAGGAGGAGGAGAAGGAGGAGGAGGAGGAGGGGTTATGTTCACGCCAAGATGTCTTCATGCTGAGAATGAGGCTCTCCAAAGAAACTGAAGGACCAGGGAGGGAATGACTCAAGGTGGACAAAGAAGGGATGGGAGGAGTCTGGTGAAATTGGGGGTAGTAGAGGGGATTAGTTTTTCATCAGCCATCTGTTGTGCTTCTCAAATTCTTAAGAGTGTGATAAGGCGTAATTAAGACAAATCTGGCTGTTGCTCATTCAACTTATTTCTCTAATTTATAAATGCTTTAGCTAAAATCTTGACAAATAAGCAATAAACTAAATCTACTCATTGAATAAAGGCACTCTTTCATTTTTTTTTAATACCTTTTAAATTAAAGTACTGGGTTAATTACACTATTCCCTATTTGTTAGTTGCAATCTATTACTGTCTTTTAGTCTGATGAGACCGGTGTAAAGCAATCAAAATCCCACCTTTCCTGACAATAAAACAAAAGCTCAGCTGAGGGAGCTTCTTCACTCAACACTAAATGATTTCAGGGTGATGAGATGAGATAAAAATACCCAGGCTGCTCTGTCCTTATTTAGCAAAACAGGCCCGCCGAGCACAGTCTGAGCAGCATGTGGTGTTTTTATCAGTGTTGCTATTACTACTAGTGTTCATACAGGCAGTGAGATGAGGCCACTGGGCAGCCTTATCTCCTCTTGTCATGGGAAAGGAAAGGCAGAGACATGAATGTATTTTGCTGAGCATCATCTTCAAAGCATGTCCCCGGGGGCCCAGCGGACCCTTATGAGGAATGATGGAGCAGCATGTGTGTGTCTGCAAACAAGTGTGAACAATCCTTTCGTGGCTTGTCAAGATAGTTACACGAGCAAATAAATAAAACTGTGCTTGTAATCATCTGCAATTAATTAAGAGATTTGGGGATTAGAGAGAAGGCAAATATAATTAGCCCAGAGTGCTTTCTTGAGATACCATGTAGTTTAATCTCTTCCTTATCCAGCTGCTTATAGTCTACAAATAAAAGAGAGCACTATGTTGAGCTGGAGGCTTTGTGTCAGGTGTGGTCTTACCTTCAAGACAGTAATGTTCCAAGCATAGCTTTCCATGGCCTTCTGAAGTTTGCGTCCTTTCAGACCCTCCTTTGCTCCGATTCGATGCAGGTCTTCGTGGAAGTCCAGACCTACACACAGACAAACACGTGATCCATCCATGCTTATACATCGACCCAAAAATGACATAATAGCTCTGATAATAGTGAGTCAATATTAGTTCTGAAGCATTCGACCCAAAAAAAAAAAACATTGCATGCTGGGAAAAAGTCAGTGTTTGTAATGTTTCTGATTCTTCAAAGTGGAGCTGAACAAGAAACACAATCAAACCTGGGAAGTACAGACATCAAGACGTGGTTACTTAAAGGGACAGACACCTAAATCTGTTATGTAAGTTTGATCTCCTTCTTGTTCACCTCGCAAAGCAGCATGTACTGTATGCTTATGAGTGTGATTATGTAAAACAAGACCATACATGCCCACAATGTCCTGATTTATATTGTCATAAAGTCAATATGCCCTAAAATCTAGATAACTGATACATGTGCCGTTTTAAATTAGAAGCTAATTCTGTTTTTTACATATTTCTAGTTTTAGAACCAAATTAATAAAACAATAGATCCTCTCTTTACACTCGCCTCAGATAAATATGAATGAAAATATGAAGGCTGGCTTTGCTGATAGTCTGATATCCACTTCTCCACAAGATGCTGTCAGAGATTTCCTCCTCTTCTCTAAACCTAAGCACTGCTTAAATTAGCTGACTGGTTTTAGTCACACCTACCTGCGCCCACATCCATTATATATAACTTTTCCATTTTATCCTTTAGTGTTCAGTTATTTGTGAACACTTTGTGCCTTGAACTTTGAGCTTTTCTAAATCCGAGTTCCTTTTTTTGTTGTGCCTTTGTTTTTCAGATCCGCTTTTGTGTCTCCTGTTATCGAACTGCCAGCCTTCCTTTCTTCCAAAACTACCTCTAAGTTTTCTGCTGGACAATAAATGACTGCACCATGCTGCTTTGCCTTTCACCATCTGTAGCACCTGCCCTACTTTAACCTACAAACTAGGGCTGTAAAGTCCTGGTCAACTGGTCGACTTATTGGTCGATACGTGCTGAGTCAACCAAAATTCTGATTGGTCAACTCGATTTTTTCTGCATCAATTTATAATCTATGGTTAATTTCATCAGAAGGAACGTGTGCTTTCAGAGCACCCCCATTTCAAAGGTAACAGCCTGTCTCAGAACATCCCCCTTGTCTTCACCATTTTGGATTCACCCAAGCCACTGGAGACCATCTCGAGACAGGAAGATTGAAGAGCGTCCACTTAAAGGTGGGGTCGGCAGGATCTGAGGAAGTGCCAGTTTTGGGGAGAAATCTTAAATATAAACACTACCCCTCCCAACCAGTTTTCCCCTCGGCTCCTCCTCTCCCCTCCGTCTCTGCTCCAGCAAGCCCCGCCCACAAACAGACGCTCCTGCTCGCTCGTATTGTTTCAGTTAAATTCAGATATAATGCAGATAAATACTTTAGATAATTACAAATAGAGCCCAGTGAATGTGAAAGTAAAAAGCATTGGTGCTACTGTAGATGCCAACAGACAACCAGCAAACACAATGTTTGCAGGACTTTCACAACTAAGATAAAATGGAATACTCCAGAACCCGAGGTAAACACTTTAGCGGCGCTACAACATGCAGCAGGTCCCGTTTGACAAGAAACATTTCTGTTACAGACACTTGGCTTACTTTGTTAAAGTGGTTTACCTGTCCAGCAGAAAGGTTACAGGGTCCATTAGACCCCGAAGTGTCCCCCATCCTTTATGCTGATGTTGACCCGGCTTCTTAGCTCTTGTCCGGTCTCCGGTATTTATTTCGATTTATTGATGTGTTTTCCGTACTTTCTTGTTGGTTTCTACAATCCAATATTGTAGCACGCTAACTTTGTTTGGGCTAGTGCACGTTATTGAAGGACTTGGAGTGTGCCTCACAACCAATCAGGTTTGGGGAGGTGGGGAATGACTTTTTTTACACTCAAAAAGAGCAAGCCACTCAAAAAAATTTAAAATGTTGACGACACAGACATAACAGAACACAGTGATATTGTTATATTACCAAATGTCATCAATAACTATTGGCTATTGACTGATATTGGCTTTTTAGTTTGAGCGTTTCAACTTTCATCGTGTTTGACTGCCTTCTTATCGAGCCAAGCCGCGTTGCCCCCCACCCCCTGATTAGTCGATTTTTGGTAAAAAAATTTCAGGGTTTTAGTCTCCAAGAATTTCTTTGGTTGATTTCAGCCCTAATACAAATACAAACAGTCAGAATCTCCTTTTTGAAGATGGCAGTGCAGTACTATCTTGCTCCCGTGGTCATTTCTTCTTACTCTTGGATTGTTCAAAACAAACTCTGCAAAACAAAAGACATAAAGCCAGCTCCTCCTCTCAAATGGACACAGCAGCAGTTCAGTGTACAATGTGCTGCATTGCTAATGGAAGTTAAATGGAAGTAGTGCAGTGCAGGCTAACCCTTAATTGGTCTATCAGTAGGTCCGGCTTCATTTAGCCCAGGCAGACCATTACTAATCCTCTGGGCTTTAAGAACAAACTCCCACACAATCTGTGTGCGTCTCCGGCTGCATGTCAGTCTGTCTCTGTCCACTGACCTTACACAGCTTTGTTTACCACAATGACAATGAAGAAACTTCAACCACTAAAGCTCCTCAACACGTTTCATTCAGTCCACACAGTCTTCAGCTTTAGCAGGTACTTCCACTGTTGCAAAGAGAAGTCTTAGCTTTGTTTGGAGAGGTGTTGTTTGTCAAAATAACCACGGGGTTGCATCCTAAATAACAGTTTCAGGAGCAGATATATGATACGCATCATTTTGTGTAATACTCATTCTCTGGTTGCAAAGTAGAAGACCATGTTCTGTCTACTTATCATGTAGTTACAGTCTCCGAAAATACAAAAATGCTGCGCCCCCCTCATGAATGATAAGGAGACATGAATAATCAAGAAGATACTCACTTATCTGAAATACATTCTGCCTCAGCTACATCCACTCTCTCCTCAGCAGATCTGCACATCATTTTGTGCAGAATTCACTACAACAGTTTTTTTCTCCAAATACTGCAGCGCATAAAACAGTTTAAGCGGTCTGGCTTTAAAAAACAAAGAACCTGATCTCTAGCCTAGCAGCACGTATCAGTCTCATCACACCGTGAAAAAAGATCAAGCACTTATGTTGTCTAATATTTTCACAATACTGATGTAGAGCCAACGGAGAGCCCCTTTTTTTCTGAGCATGAAAGTTGTGTTAACAGGGTTTATGGCTGATTTGATCTTGTAATCTGGTGCAGTTAATGGCCTGCTGCTGGTGCTGCACTGAGCCAAGGCGGTTTCGGGATCACACAACTTTGGTAGCGTGGCAGACAGCGAGCTGAATAAAAGAGGAAATTAGCTAGAGGCGGCATGTCACAATACAGCCTCTCCAAGCATTTAATTTCACAATTATTAAGCATTTTCTTCTCCCAACAGTCTCACAGTCATTTTTTTTTTTTGTCACTTTAAATTCAAGAAAATGAGTTAATAAACAAAATGTTGCCCCTGTGGCACACACTGTTGAGACAGGGATTGTGAGCTTTCCTTCGTTACTAGAAAGAGATATAGAGTAAAAAGAAAAATAGAGAGGAAGAAATGATCTCTAAGATAGACAGAGGGACTGATGAGACAACATGTATTGTGTTTGAGCAGACAAACACAGGCAGACACACTTCAGTAAAGGCTTACAGTCTCTGCACAGAGCAGGCAGGGTTCTCTGCTTTTGTAGTGAGTGCTGCATCACTCAATCCAAACACACAAGCAGAGAGAGAGAGAGAGAGAGAGAGAGAGAGAGAGCTACAGCCAGAGGAGGAGAGAAAGGTAAAGTCAGGCACGATCTTCAAAGAAATGATGTGCGGGGTAGAGAAAGATCATACATGAAGCTAAATCAGTGCTATCACTTTATCCACAGTCTCACGCTTTATCTGCGTGAGGCCGAGGAACCGGGAAAAATATAATCACAAACAGGGAATGGGATTTTGTAGCTGGGAAAACAATGACTTTGCAAAGCCAAGAGGAAGAAGGGAAGAGGATATCCCTATCCCTTGGATTTCTGTGGTAATGGAATCCACATGAAGAGGCCTTGAACCAAAATAACAGTCAGCGTGGTCAGTCACAGAGACTCTGCATGGAGGGAGTCATCAATAAATAAGTTCAGGCAGGCTGTGGGAAGGCTGAGCCTTCAAAATTCACACAGTAAAATGTAGTCATGTATTCTCAGACACATAAATGCATCATAATGTTGATTCAGACAAAAAAAAAGTGCATGTCTATTTATTATTATTATTATTGTCATTACTTTTTTTTCTAGTGCAGCACTAAGTGAAACAGTCAATGTTAGGAGCCTTTGCTTTTCCTTTTGAAGAAAATATGCCATTGAACTGCATTGTTTTTATGATCAAATTAATGCAATTCTGTATCTACATGAATACAATATCTAACTTTAAGTAGCATTATGTGGGGCAGTTCTCAAAGTAAGGCCAAATTTAAAAAAGGAGTCCCCTAAAACTGTGTCTTTGTAAGGAACTTGACACACTGATAAAGCAGCCAAATGCAATCATAGATATTGAATCTGTGTCTTTAAAAAATGGTTATAAACCAGTGGAGCACAGGCTAGTTAGGAGACCAAGTGGGAGCTAAATTCAAAAACAGATTAACTATGCATGCAGAGAGTACACTCAGACACAAACACACAGTGGTAGCATCTGGAGGTGCTGGAGTGTGCATCCCAGCTGTCTATCTGGTCTCCCATTAGCGGTGTGCATGATGGCGAGCCATCAATAGCGCCCAGGGGGGATCATCCAGCACCTCTCCATCCTCATCAACACGTCAGCTTCACTGCCCAAATTAAACTGATTAGCTGCAATAATGATGGGGCATAAACTGAACTGAGGAAAGAAGAGAGGAGAAGGGAGGAAAGGGAGGAGGTTGTGTTGGGGAGTAAGAGCCATGGTAACCCAAAACTGTCCCACATCATCCCTGTTTCTCATCTCCTGCTGTATGAGTGATTAATCTGCGGACGTGCGGCTCATCTCGCCTTGCTGGGATTTAAAATGAAAGGCAAGTGAGGAGGCAAGAGGTGAGTTCAGGTCCCTCATTTGGGATCGCAGCCTGCTCCTCATTATGATTAAGGCTTTGTCACAACAGCATTTAGCTGATGAGCAGAGCACCCTCTTAGAGGCTGGGGCCAAAGTGTCAGGTCAATCAAAGGCCTGAAATCAGGCTAAAAACTCCACACCAACACACAACACACACACATCCTATCCAAGCCCACATTTCCCCTCCTACTTTTGACAACCTGTTCTCTAATAGCAACCTTCTCTGCCTCTCACACAGCCAAATTACGCCAAAATTATACCTCCGGCCTCCAGATCAATCGTAAAGACAAAACCCTCAATTCTATGCAAATCCACCATTCTGTTATTTTTGGTATGACTCAACTCTCTGACTGTCTGCCTGTCTGTGCTCAGGCTGTTGCTATTGCCACTCTTGCAATCATGCAGCTTATAAGTTGGGCTTCTGAAAGGTGCATTTAGGGCTTGTCAGTCCGTCTGAAGAACTAAGAAAGCTGTCCTGCTTTGCTGTGAAGGCATGAGTGTGTCTAACTGTCTTCTGTTGTTTTTTTGCTACTCAGTGAGGGATTAGAAGTTCTTGTAATGAACTCAGACAGTCCAAACAAAAGAGAGACCAGGAAGTAGAATAAAATCCACTTACAAAGACAGGGTTTTGTTGAAGCATTTTGCATGGGGAGACAGGTGAGTGTTGCTTTAGCTGATTCTGATTGTGACATTAGACTTCGATGGATTACTTAAACCCCCGAGGGTAAAGTTTTAAGTGTAAGGTTACACAATCTATTTCATTCTCTTGTTTGTAGAGTAATAAAAAGGCCGTTATGAAAGAATTATGCATATATGCAAAGCTAAAGAGGCAGCAGACATACCTATGGGACCCGATGAGTCAGGTTGAATGTGAAGGGGACAAAGAGCGCTCTGAGCGTAGGAGTGTCTGCATTTATATCGGAAAGACATTTGTTTCTTAACAGTGGTGGATTTATCAGAGCAGATATAAAATTGTTAATGCGTGGAGGTGGTGCCGAGCATCATAATTCACTATCAAGAGTGTCTCTCTCTCCAAATGATCTGGATTAATGATATTCATGAGTTAGAAGCAAAGATACAGACGGTTAACATCTTCATATATGAACCAATTTATGTAGATGAAGCTGAGAAAGTCAAAGATACAAGAAGAAAGAGCTGTGTATGTTCACATTAATATGTGGCGAGTTCTGCTTTCCCAGCCCATCTTTCTTCTGCGTGTCCTTAGGCCAACAAGGTTGAATTTCATTTAAGCTAAAAATTGTTTTTCCCCCATTTTGATTTGAGGCGGTGGGGTTACATTTTACAGATCTCTATCACGTAAAAAAAAAAAAGCAAAGTAAATAGATTTTCTTCAACAGTGCAGGGCCATCTGTTTCCCTGACAGCCTGCTGGAAAGACACATTATGTCAGAGAACATTTTTTCCCCCCTTCTTTTCAACCTCACAGGAACATGTCTAGAAGCATCAGTGGACAAACATGACAGTTGTATGTGTGTTTGAGAATGGCAGCGGTTTGGATTGAGGCGTGTGTGTTATTGCTAAGGGTGGGGGAGTGGGCGATACGGAGAGTACTATGTTTGGCATGCAGTTGAGGCCCCCTCAGGGCTAACGCTTCAACTCTGCATGCATTATTGTATCTTCAACATTTTTTACATGGAAATTTAAGGATTCCCATATTTTCGCTTTAATTGGGTTACATGCTCCTTGTTTTGTAGTGTGTGGGGTTAAAGCTCAGCTGAACTCTGCACTCCTCGCCTTTGAAGATGCGTCCAGATCTGGACTAGGAAAATCTCTGAGCCAGGGGATGACTCTATGACTGAGACCCGAGCTTTCAGCCTGGGTACATCCCTAGGTAATTGCATCACACAAATATCATCCTGGCTTGTTGTGGTGTGGGAAGTGAAGCATATGCCTCTCAGTGGGACACCAGGGAGTAACACTGGGCATAGCAAGCTTATTTTGGCTTATCGGTCTCAGGATATTGAGTTGGCATGTGCATGTGAATGATCCCTCCCTGACTTGGGGGTTTATCATAAACAGGGCACACAACAACAATGAATACAAATAGCTTGTCATGTTTACAAAAGTGCTTTGAAGCTCAATAATCAGTCCAAGTCTGTGAGGCCGTCTCATTTACTTCAGGTGTATCTGAGGGTGGCTGTTCGAGGTAAAACATGCAAAATGAAGATCTCAGTATTCAAACTATGTCCTCCCAATTCAGGAGCCGTGCAGCAGAGGCACTGCTGTGTAGAAGAGAAGCAAAGCAAATGAGGGACAATTACTTGTGAATGTAAAAGAGGCTGGAGACGCTAACCCACAGGATTTTATCATCTAAAGCTATTTCTCCCTAATGATCTTATTAGGGTCCATTTTTTGCTCTCACCTAAAAGGCCAGACCTCTTACCTCGAGCACTCTTTTCTCCAATTTGATATACTCAACGCTTCTTTAATTTCATCCCTTTCTTCCCGCTTTGCCCGCCCTCCCCCTCTCATTCCTCACTCTGTCAAACCCTTTTATTCCTCTCATCCTCTCAAAGGGTGTTTATTCATTCTGTCCTCTTTCTCCTGTTTTCTCTGTGGCTGGGAGATTGTTTTCACCTGCCCACTGACATGCTAACTACTCGTCGGTGACTCACTCATGATGGCCTATTCTGTCGACAGCAGCAGCCGCTGCTTGCTGATGTTGACGGAGATGTTGCACCAGTAGATTCACTCGACTATTCAATGAGGAAGGACACAACATGTAATGCATGCGAAGGCTGCAGAAATGCGTCTTTTCAGCGTGTGATTCATTTTGAACGAGAAAAGTTGAAGTGACAGAAACATTCAGCTTAATAAATCATTTGCCTTACAGTGTTATATTTTTTAGAGGAAATATGCCAGCATGAAAAGGTGATTCACAAAAGCACAGATCAGCCTCATACCTCCTGACAGGATGTCCCTATTTTCAAAAAAACAACATATCAGATAATCAACTTGTTCCCTGCCAACCAGTGATGAAACATACCTGCCCGTTGTGCTTGTGTGAGCTTTGAGTAGACGCCATCAGCTGACTCGATCAGTGTTCTGGTGGTCTGGATCATCTGGAAGATAAAGAGGACAGAAGATATTTGCATAACAGGCAGCACTCGCCAAAAGGCACAGCCGGATGCAGTTCTATCCGGGTTCAGATCTGGATGTGATTGAGAAAAGCCGCTAATATATATAACCTGAAATCCTTGGCTCAAAGCAGCTGAGGACTTAAGTGCTTTATTAAACTGCTCACAAACAGTTTAGCCCCAACCAAATTTACACAGGCTGTCATAAATATCTTCATCTGGTCCATTTGGATAGAGTATCATAATTAAAAGTAGGAAATAATTCATCTTATTTAACTAGACTTTAAACTTCTTATTTCACATCATATAAGAAAAAGAGATGAATATTTAATCTGGGAAACAATTTAAGTCAGCTGTCTTTGTTTAATCCGTAGACACAACACAACATGGTCTGTCTCCAGTAATTGAGCGACACTCGGCATAAACAGAATACTCCCTGGATGTTTTACGCAATCTTCGTATGCCCATAGGCTGTATCAAGTGTCAATCATAGAAGACATAAACCCCCTACAAACTTTTAAAAATGGAGCTGCACAGAAAAAAAGAGGACTTGATCACAAAGCAGTCTTAAAGTAAACACATGTCAACATCGCAACCAAGGGGGAGAAAAATTTATATGGCGTGGGATTAACTTTTAAAGTTTGTCTACAGTTCCATTCATTTTGCTCGAGGAGGCGGGATTTATAATCTTTACTGCAACCAGTCACCAGGGGGTGCTGTTCTCGTGGAGGCTTCACCCAGAGAGAAGGCAGACGACGTACATTCTATGTACAGACTATGGTTTAACCATAAAAGGCTCTTCTTTAAAAAAACATTTAAATCTCCACATCTTAGATCAGATTTTGCTCACTTTTGAAACAACGTGAAACATTTTAATGGTTAGTCTTTTACACTTTGTGCTTCCTGTATGTAGTAAGCACAAGCAGGATGTCTGAATCGGTTTATTTTGTCTATATCCTTCTCTCATCTCTTATCGTGGCTGTTATATTTTTGCCCGTTTGTTTAAAATCTTTAGCTTCTGTATTTCTCTTTCCTCTCTCTTTTATTTTCATTTGTAAAGACCTTGGTTGCCGTTTTGAAAAGTGCTCTATAAATGACACCTATATTTTTATCATATCACCACTTTTCATGTCACATGTCGACATTTTAAAGTTTATACGTAATCAAATAATCCCAAAAGTAATCAACAAATGCAGATGAGGACACTTTTTATTTGTTTAGTTCAAAGTCTTGCCCTTTTATACATCCTTAACTTGTTTATTGCACAGCTCATTTCAACGCTAAGGGAAACCTCATCAAATTCCTCGGTGAACTACAAACTACATGATAAGTAATGAAGTTTTTTTTCCCCTCTAAAATCTCATGCTTTGCTGTGTATTTTGGCAGCTTAAGAAAACCAAAAGTACCTAAGGTGTTACTCCCTTTTTCCATCTCTATAATCATCCTTTGACCAACACAGCTGTGAAGTTTCAGCTCTAAACATCAACCCACAGGCTGAAGAAGAGCAGCTGGGCTGACCGGCCCTCCTGCACGGAGAAGGAAGCTAATGAAGTTTCACACTCCTGTTAGCTGGAAGACAGGAAGTAGACTCTCACTTTGTGTGTTTATTTGTGTGTGTGTGTTTGTGTGTGCACATGCATATATTATTTGGTTTTGCTGTTCTTATAAGATGCAGGTGCTGACAAATTTGTAATGACGCTGACAGAGACAGTCCTCTCATTCAGAGGATGATTTTATCTAAGAATCTACAGAAAACCCCCAAAATAAACAGAATCCTTGATAGTTTTTTAAGTATTTCAAGAACCTACACCAGACCCAAGAGGATGGTGTTTATATAGGTGAGAGTTACATAATTCAAAAGTAACCAGCAAGAGTTGTCAGCGACACATGTCTAGAAGTTGCACTCGGTTCACGCCTCTTCCCTTTTCTTTAGGGGCGCTCAAATGCTGATGCAGCCCTAAAAGAAAAATCCTCTGTCTGATCTGTCTTTAGTTTCTGTTTGAGTGCCTATTAAACAGTTTAGCTGTACTATAAACACATCTGTGTGCATGGGCTGTATATAAATGTTCATGAACATGTGTATGTGAGCTTGCCTGACCTGATCCCTGGAAACAAAGACCCAGTGTGCAGACGTTTTGTTCAGCTCAGGGTCACAACCTCAGCTGGCTGCAGCCCACATGAGGGTGACTGAGGACAAGAACTGCATGCTGATTTCTTACAGTAAATGGTCTCGTATTGGCAGCCATGTTCCCATGAGGACACGCAGTTTCACACATGCACATAATCACACACAAACACACAATGTTCTCTGTGCTTAAGCTGGGAGTGTGCCAACAGGCCCATTTAAAGGAGGCACAAACAAGTTCAGTTGATCTGGCTCAAGATTAAGGTCAAGATCAAAGGTTTATGTACTGTAAGTTAAATCTTTTGTAACTTCCAGGACTAGAGTATCGCCATCTTTTACATAGTTTAACATAAAAACAAAGAATCGCGCTCATCAGATTGCGAAAGAGCGAGTTTCTTTGGAAGACAAACTTTTTCTTTGTTGCAACAGTCATTTGAATGCATCTGCTTATCTCTAAACTTCGAAATCTAGATTGAGGCGCCGCTCCTGCACTTCTCCCTGGGAGCTTTTTTGTGGACTGAAGCGTGAGAGTCGCTCTGACACTGCAGAGCCCACCGCCTGGTGTGAAGCCTCATAAAAGCTAAAGTAGGCTCTATTTTAGATCTGCTAGCTGCATCACTACTGATGTCAGTGCTCCGCTGTTGGTGTCAGCAGTGGGAGCGCTGAGGAACTGAGCAATGTGGACACAACAACCTTGTTCCTCAGTCATGACCCACTTCACCAGCTCCCACCAAGCCTCACAGGGGAGAGGGAGGGAAAGAGGAAGGGAAGAGGAAACAGCGGGTGATAACTAATTACAGACAGACTCCTCCAACCCCCCTTTTTTTTGGCCGTGCCAATGTCAAGTGGTGAAAAATGCAGTGTTCTTGTCGGGGAGAAGGCAGGATGGAGAAGGACACGTGGAATAACACAAGAAGCTGCAGCTTAACAATCTTGACCTGGCAAATGGTTTAACCCAGTCATTTAGGGGCCTTTTAAAACTCATCCAGCTGTGTGAATGCTCGACTCAAATGATAAGCAAAGTGGAATTAATGGAGGGAGGAAGCCGGCCCTTCCTTTTTCTTTTTTTGTCCGTTTTATTTTCGTAAGAGCAACAACAATGAAGATGTATGCTGAGCAGGAAGTGCACTCAAGGCCTTCTCTGTTATCACACTTAATGCCTGAGTGCTTTGACATTATGTCTTACCTGCAGTACATGTTTAGTGAGCTGTAACCCAATACAGTAAGAGTATTGTTGCCTCACTCGCCAAATTTTCAACACAATACTGATTCTAAAGAGAATTCCTTGGTAACACACTTGCCTAAATTTGTGTCATTTACATTTGATGTCTCCTTACAAAACCACACGCTGGCAAACTTTGTTGTAGGGCTGGGCGATATGACCTCAAATAAATACCACGAAATATTGACCAGTTCACCTCAATAACAATAAATGGACAATAACTACTCCACAAACTGCTCACCCCCTCCCACATTAACTTCATGTACTTCAGCTGCCGCTCCAGCCGCTCAAACTTTTGAACCGTCCTCCATCTCCTCACCTGTCTTTCCCTCTTTGTTACGGACTGGATGGGGTGGAGTCACGTCTATGATGTAGGACAGCGTCTTAAAGGGACATGAGACCATAGCCTACCTACACACATACAAAACCAACTTTTATTTATTTTTTTGACACCGAATATACCAATATGGGCAAAATGACGTTGGTTATTGTCGTAGATTTTCGGTTTATCGCCCAGCCCTACTTTGTTGTTGTGTGTATTGTTGTTACATACCATGTCGTAGGCATTGAGCACTTTGCGCAGAAGCTCAGGCACAGGACCCTGAGCTTCCATGGTGGGGTAAGTCTCACTCAGGTCCACCGTCACCCTCAACGATCGCTCGCTGTTCATCAGCCAGGTTGACACTGTCAGGATACACTGCTTCATGTTGGCTGCTGGAGTCAGGCCGCACAGCTCTTTGAAAGACACCATGGCATTCTGGGTAGAAAACGTGGAAAAGAGAAAAAGAGATAACGTTACCTGTTTGGTAGATATTCAATCGAGCACAAGCACAAAAGATTACAGTCAAAAGAACCTGAGCACACAGTAAAAATCTGAATGAGGCGTCCTTGTGCGTTCAACCTCTGAACTGTCACTGAAGCGTGTTTCTTTTCTACTCAAACTGATCAAAGAATTTGCACAACTTTTAAGACGGTCAGCGAGGCCAATCATATTTAAGCTTTTTAGATGAAAAATAAACTGATGTGATGGTGGTGCAAAACAAAAGGACAAATGTTCCTGTATTTTATTCACAGATGACCCCCAGTGCAGCGCTTAAATTAGAGGGATCATAATACTCCTGAAAAGATTACAGCGAGGGTTTGTCTCGGTGACATTAAAATGATCGGTTCCCATAATGTAAGACTGCTCATTCTTCAGCCCGGAGGCTTTGAGGCAAAACTTCTGACGAGGGTCTGAAGATGCTGAGAACTCCTTCCTTCTTATTTCATCCTCTCTTTTCTCTCCGTGGACACAAATTTCCTTTTCACAAATCCCTTTTACTCTCTTCTCTCGATGAAAACACCTCGCTTCTTGTACTCGTGTTCCCTTTTCTCGACAAGACCACTGAATGAGTTAGCTCTCAGTCACTAGATAAATAAAGAAATTTCTGTCTCAGCATGTTCTGTTTATGAATTCTGGAACTAAAGGCAAATCTTTCGGTCATTAGACACAGATGTAGATCAATTAGCAGTGCCAGTCAGTCACAAAGTTAATGTTTGGACCTTGTGCTCCTCCTCTCCACATGTTTAAGTGGGACATCATGGTATCCTGCTGTATTTGCTCAGTCATATGGCATTAGCTTGTATTTCGACCCCTCTCAGCTGTTTGAAACATGACTGCATGAAGAGCTTTTTGTCATAAATGTGCAACATCATGTTTTACAGCATGAGGAGAACAAACAAATACTCTGCCAGCCTAACTATCTTTTTCAGCTTTTCTGTCCATCTAAGCAAGATGTTCAAAGGTAACTAAGGAAAGTAGGTGACGGCACCTCATTGTGTTTTATCCTCTTGCCAGCATGAGAATATAAGGAGAAGTTGTGCCTACTATTTTTTTTTTTGTACAGCATTTCTTCTGATTAAAAAGAAACAAGAGCAAGGTGGTGAGGTGATAGAAAAGAAAGATATTAGACAAGACACAAGGCTGAGGGTGATGATGAGAGGCACAGACAAAACTCTCCACAGAGAGGAGATCATAAAAGGAAAAACAAATTCATAAAAAGCTTAAAACTCGGGGCGGGTAAAAACATTTAGAGAGAACAAGCCATGCACTGTTGGTATTTGGGAACCAGTCCACACACTCTGCATGCTACACTATGGGAACCAGCTGTCTCCTTGGGCCGGACCTCCAGGCCTGCAGAAAAACATCTTCCCCTCCAACCCCCAACAGCGGAGGATGTGCTGTCACTGCTGGGCCCGACCTTTCTGCAGATGGAAAAGCAGGCCAGGGGACAAGGTGGCTATCTGAAGCTGCATTTGTATGCTGAGCTGCAGCCTCAGTTAACACCTCTTGGGCCACTGGGTAAAGCAGCGGTGAACACAATAGTGGAAACGGGACAGCTCTGGGGCTCGGGATTAAAACCTGGTGTGTGAGTATCGAGTGAGTGCGTGTGTGTTGTTTCTTTTTTTTTTTGGTAATTTCCCTTTAATATATTGTGTTAGATACACTTCAGATTTATAGTTATTGGATTAAAACACAATTAAATTGTGATCAAAGTAAACTGAGTATAAACAACTAGACATGTGATCGTTTTTCAAAAGCTGTTGTGCAATAAAAACCACCATGTTTCCAGGCCATGATGAAAAAAACATAAAACCCAATGAGAGGCTCATGTTTTTAATTACTCCCTCCCCCAACTTTACTCCCCTTCAAACATTCCCCAAATGAGAGCTCTGTGTCCGGTTACAACCCTGCTTTTGTTTCCGTATGCCCCCCACCCCCTCCCCTCTTTCAGCCTCTATCAGTGGATCTCTCTCCTTTCCTCTCTGGCTTGCAGTATTGAGTTGTGGTGAATAGACCTATGATGGCACTCATGCTTTCCAGCAAATAAAAAGCAACTCCAGGCTGGCAGCTCTCTGCAGGCTCCATCAACACTTAATAACGTTCACGGGCAGCAGCACTCCGGAAAGGACTTCACTCAAGTTCCCCACAGAAATAGTTGATATGTTGGGTTGATCCATGACGGCAACATGAGACTATTGGTGTTTTTTCACGGCAACTTCATGAATCCAATGCAAAACACTAATGATTTGTTATTATGACAGCATACTTTTAGAGGCTTTGCTTTTGAGGATAAAACATGTTATGAAAGGAGTTTAGGTCAGGTGAAATAACACCTTTCATGGTGGAGTGTGTGCCCCCTGCATTCATCCAATGATAGCTGGGATATCCAGTGTTTAAATAAAAAAAAAAAAAAAAAGATAATTTCTTTTTTATTAACACCTAATCTTGGCTTAACGTGGTGTGTGGCAGAGCTTTCAGAGCTGCTCTGCTTGTTGCCTTGTGGGTAGTTGGCACAGACCTTCATTCTGCCCTCCAGCTCCCTCCCCACATCCAAGGCACCAGACTCTGAACAGCTGGCCTCTACAAAGCTCGCTCAAGTGTCCATTTTTACATTTAAAAGGCAAAGACCATTTCTCTCAAACACCTTCATTGATCCTCTTTAAAGCCTTCCTCTTTTTCTTCACCTCTTTCATTCATTTCCCAAAACTTTTATCTTCTTGTTTCAAAAAGAAGAATTTACATTTCAAACCTCATTATTTTGTGTTTTTTAGAAGCAACAGCAGCGCAAGCTTTGTTTGATCTGGTTAAAAGACAGTGATTCAAAACCATCATATCCAAGGTATGTCTAATGAGAGATGATCTGGAGCTAAAGAGCTGGGACATGTTAACAGGCTTTTACAGAACTTAAAATATGTCAGTAGGGCCATACGATACTGGAAAAAACTAACATTGCAATTTTTTTTCAACCCTGCAAAATATGTTGCAGTTTTAAAAAATACAAGAATTTTCACCAGATGACCTGAATAGCAATTTATGCTATGCTGCACTGCTGAAATCTTGTGGACAATTAACCTGCACTGATCTTACCTCTTTTTGTGAATGTTAGTAGAATGGCTTCTGTCTGTCTTAGAGATATTTTTTAGCTTGCTTTTATTGTGCTGAGACATGTTATTTCTTGTTGTGGCAACAGATGAAAGGCACTGCCGACACAGAACACGTGTTTGGTCAACATCATCCTTCTTGTAACCAAAATAATTCCAGATAACTGACTTTGCTTTTCTTTTTGGCAACAAGTCTTCATTTTCGGTGGTTTTCTCTTGTTTGTTGCTCATTTTGCAGTCATTGTTGTTCTTACCGGTGTTATGCCGAGAATCGCGTGCCTGCCAAGCATTGCACGCACCTTGTGGAAATGCACACCGCTCACAGTAGAGTGGTCCACTGGAATGTAAAATTTAAAACCCGTTCAATTCTTAGTGGGGGCTAAACAGTGATGAGTAATGTTTCCTCCGCTCTGATTTTGATTGACGGCCGGCAGGGTAATCTGCTTGGCAACTGAGTACAGAACGAAAGTGATTGGTGGATTGCTGCACAGCACACGCAGAGTCTACATGCAGTGTATCTCAGTCAGCTACCCTTGGAATTCAGTGAGTTCATTCTCCTCCTACATGACAGCATTTGACTATCGTGCCTGTCCATCGTGATGACGATGCTCAAATGATATATCGTGCAGCTCTACATGTCAGGTTCAGACTGTGCACCGTTAAGCATATTTGTACTTCTACAAATGTTCCCATGCTGACTCATAAACCAGCAGAGATACAGGCTTAACCATGAAAATCTGTTGAGGTATCACCAGTTCAACTTCTTTTATCGAGTAACTCTTCTAATGTGCCAAAACATGTCCTAATATTCTGAACGGTGAGTTCACACTTTTGTTAGCTTGTTCGTGAACTGCTGGTTATCAAACAGTTTCATTTCCAATGGCTTACCTTCATCTCCTCCAAATTATTCTGTGCTACTACCTCTAAAATCACAGGATCAACTTCACCTTGAACACACAAACATATTTCTCTCTGTTTTGGGAGAAGACACCTCTTTAAGACCATGCTCATGTCCACCGTTGAGAGACACAAAACTGCATGCCGCTGGATTTCTAATCACATTTTTTGCTTGTTTAGTTTGTTCAGGTCTTTTGTTTGCTGTGTCATTAGACTCTGGTTAGTGCTTACTGAAGCTGGGTTGACAGTCAGTGGTATTTATGACCTGGATACATGCAGTAAAGTGTATGCAGGGGTGTGCTCCAGCAGCTTCTGGAAGAACATGTGAGCATCTATCTAATTTGGTATCTTCCTACACGAGACATCAGCGTTAGATGTTTGATTTGGTTAAGCCTGCTTCTTTCCATGCGCTCACTGCTCGAGCAAAAGACTTCAAGTAACTGGATTTGATCTGGTTATGAGTTAAATTAAGAAAAAGTAATCATTTTTAACATTTTTCTGTAATCTACTAGAACATATCCAAAGTGAGCCGAATAGAACAGTATAAATAAATCTTTTACTTTTATGTGAAAATACGTTGGTGTCCCTCAGTCTTTTTTTCTTCCACCCTCTCACTCGACAAAGAAAGTGCTGTTGATGGAAACGTGTTAGAGAGGTTGGCAGCAGAGTTATTTTTGTTTTGTAAGCCATCAGTGAAGAAAAGAGCCCGTCAACCTAAACTGACAACCAGATTACACAACACACGCCGTGTAAAAGACTCACTCTTTTTTTGTGATGTGATTCGGATGCTGAACGAATGAGACATGCTTTGTATCATTTCTCCGGGCATCACAAACAAAATGATAAATGCTCTGAGAGGCTTCTGCTACTGAAGCCAAGCACACACGGCTGTGACTAATCTTCATTTGCTCATGCAAGGGAGTTTTAAAGTAGTTCACTGAGTGCCTAGCAACCCAGTCTTCTCCTCTGGCCAGTAATTGTCCTTCATTAATGATTACACTATTCATAAACCTCATAATTGCACAGCAATGCCAGTTTATTACTGCTCTCTTCTGCAACATTAATAGAGCACAATTAGCGACAAGCCTTTATCCACAACAAGAAGTGGAAAGAGTCTAATCAGAAATACATCAGCTTGAGTTTGAGGAAGCATTGAAAGGCTGTGCAGAAACATGATTTCTGCTGTTGTAAGTGACAACAACTTTAAATTAAACTCTTGAGATTTTATCGGCTAATCTCTGCCAGATTAGTTGTTCTTTTAAAATCAATTAAGTGTGAGTTAATTCATTGTTTATCATTCACAAAATGTGGCTGCTCAATAATATGACATGCACATACAAAAAGACGTTTCTAAGTTGTGGCGCTGGCTTTTGTTTTTGCTATTATTGTATTATAATGTGACGAAGGTCACATCTGTAAGTGTTTTGGACTTAAGGAAGGAAGTGTGCATAAATGGGGTCCCAGACAGTCAACAAAGTGTTTAATACTGTACAATACCATATGATTTTGTATTTTGATGCACTGAATTGTAATCTCTTCACTTGAAAGGATGAAATTCTTCAATAAGGCCTTAAAAAGTATTTGTACAAGTTATTTGTTATGAACAAATAATCAATTTTGGATCCACATTATTGCACTGACCAGAGGAGTCCATTAGTAGAGGCAACCTGACCTGATATTGATATCAGATATTGGTTTAATATCAGTTATATCAGAAAAAACTAATATCAGATTATATCGACCTGCATTTAAAATCTCCAATATCAGTACTTTGATACAAGCAGTCCATTCCACACTCCGCTCCAGTACCTCTATCTAGCAGCGCCTGGAGCCCATGTGATCACAACAACAGTGTGTACTAAGGTACTAACAAAGTAGCAAGGAGTAGGAGTGAGGTCAGCTGTGTGGCAGTATTTTATGTTAAAGTCCAAAAAAGACACAGAAGTGAAAAAATTTGTGCTAAAATCAGATCAATATAGGTATCGGCCTACAATATCAGTATCATATCGGAAGTAAAAAGGTTTTATTGTGACACGCCTACCCATTAGTCCTGATGGTCAAGAAATAATCAGATAGCCAAATTACAGACTGGCCAAAACCAGCTGTATCAGATGGTCAAACACAATGACTGCAGCCAACTACAAAAGGAAACATTGTGGTAAGACATTCCACTTAACTCTTGGACCACAAAAATATTCAGAAATTATCAACAAAGTTTTCATCTCTTACCCTAAAAAAAGAAAGGTAAATATCTTGCCAATTACAAGCATGTAGTCCCTTACCTGTACATTTTCTCGGAGGTCTGTGGCCTCCCTGAGAGGTTGCGTGGATGCTCTAAAGAGCTCGTCCACCACCTTGATCCCCGTGGTTTTGGTTGTGGTGTACTCTCGTGCCTTTCTGCCCTTCCTTACAGACAGACCTCTCTTATGTGCCTTTCCTCCACCTCGCCTGTTGGTGATGGCCACATGGACAAACAGGGTGGTGTTGGGTAGAAACTCCCCCGTTAGACATTGTAAGGGGACGTGCCTATAACCTGGCTGTAAGCACTCAAATGGAATGGTGTACTGGCCAATGAACTCGTCTCCAATGTAGTCGTCATCCAGCACCACAAAGCGCAGCACAGCAAGTTCTGGTAGGTTGATCTGGAACTCAAAACTCTCATCAAAAATAGGGTTGTCACCGTTCTGGGACACGGTCTTGGTTCTTTGCTCAGCACAGTCAGCTGGAATGCCGTGGATCTCCACATAAATGTAGGGCTCCACAACATCACCTTTGGCAGCAGAGCCCCGAGGTTTTGGTAGGTTCTGCCCACTGATGACCTTGATGTGAAGAAGCTGGGCAGACACCCCGGGTAAAGAGTCCCGAGCATTGGCACTGAAGTAGGACACCTCCTCCCTCATGATGGCTGGCCTCAAAACATACCCGCAGTTGCCGTTCTGCCTGAACCAGCCTAAATTGAGGTCCATCATTAGGCCTGGTGTCTGATAGTTCATGGCTACAATCTGGCAGCCACACTTCCAGAAATCCTGGGGGTTCATGTTGCTGGCATCAATTCTCATGGGAGTGGGATATACCCTTGACAGAAAACGCTTGTTATAGCAGACAAACTCCTCTGGGAACTCATTGGCAAACCTGTTCGCATCGACCTCATTCAATGAGCAAATCTCCCAGAACTTCTGCTCCCTCTTAGAGAGCTCAAAGTCTCTAAACTGGACCGACTTGCAAAGAGATACAAGATCAGAGAGCTCCCTGCACAGTCTTAGTCTCTTGTAGCCAAGGCCATTTAAATGGTCCTTATCATCAGCTCCCACTCTTCTGGACATTTCCAGACCCTCCTCCTCATCGGTCACATCCCCCTCAGCATCTGGGTAGTTAGGTGGTAGCCTCTTGCCCTTGAGGAGGATTTTACCCTTGAGTTTTTCAGGGGAGGGTAGGTAGCTGTCCTCTTTGTTGGGGGGTTCCACATGCAGCTTGTCGCCAAGAATCTTCTTCATGTGCTGTGCCATGACTCTCTGCTGTGGGACGCAGCAGTGGGTCACTAAACACAGAATCAAGGGATACTCAGAGCTCTCAAAAGCATATTGGTTTATAATGTCCAGAACTTTTGAGAGAGCTAGATGTGAAGCTACTGAACTACCCACGTACACGACTGGTTCATTATCAGGTCCATCCCAAACGATGACCTCAATGCTGCGGCAGCCCATCCTTAGAGCTCTGATGTAGCTGCTGATGTCTGATGAGCCCCAGAAATGATCTTCCAGAAGAGAAGCGTTGTGTGACGAGTTGATGTAGTAGTGGGACAGAGGCTGGTTCATATCCTGGCACACTCGTTTGTGCTGTGGGTCAAAGATGTGGCATTCAGAGGAGAGGAGGTAGTGAGTAAAGCCATCAATGGAGAGGTAGCCTCTGTCCCTCCCTTCAGCTGATGGCTCAAATTTCTGAACAATATCCCTGCACATCTCTTCTGTCACACCTTCCACACCCTGCTCCACCTCCACAAACAGCATCAGATCTTTACTGTCCAGATACTCCTTGTTACTGGAAAACTGCACCAGTAGGAAGAAAATCTCTGGTCTCGTGCAGAGCTCGCAGTAGGCCTCCACAAAGGTGTCCATGTTAATTTCCTCTCCATACTGGTCTTTAGCTTTCTGGAGCTCCTTGAACTTCAGCTCTATCCTGGACTCCTTCATCCCGGGGTTGAGCCCTTTGATGATCTGGGTGGCCCTAAACAGATCTATGTGTCCCTCCTTTTCCATATCTGCTAGCTCAAACACTGAGCCAATCCAAGATGTTCGAAGACTTGGTTGGCTAGGTTCCGCCATGTCTACTGTGTGCCGACCATAAGACACTAGATATCTTAGGCCCATTACCCAGGTGCTGACTATATCAGCCGAACTGGCTACCAAATCCAGGGACTCATAGTTATCGCCATAGATGATAGAGAAAGCACATTCATCAGGAAACTGATCAGAGAGACCATTGCTGCGCAGAACTGGAGTTTTCTTTCCCAGACGAACCTCCTTAATGCCCTTGATCTCCAATTTAGCTTTCTCTGAATCTTTTTTGGATGGCTCCCAGCGGAGCCAGTGCATGTCTGGATCCAGAAGGAAGTAGCGGTTGTACATGCGGGAGTTGGACCGCACTTTCTTCATCTCACAACCCTCCATCATGAAGGCCATGCAGGCAGCTGTGCTGTTGATTTTTCGGTCACTTGGCATTGAGCTGAAGGACACGGTTTTCTTCCTCACCTGCCTCTGTTTGGAAGTGTCCTGAAAACAGAAAGAAAGTATTAGACTTCATGAAACATAAAAACTGAAAAGTAAACCAATCTCTGAACAACTCAAAGTTACTTAACACATAATCAACTGGACACTTCCTCTAAAGACATAACAAAATAACAGTTAAATCACCGCTTTTCAGTCTGGTCATTATTCCCATTACCATAACCACCTTTAGTCTGTTATTTTTTCACACATCCTGATCAGCTGATTGTATTCATTTTAAAGAAATAAATCGAAGTGAACCCTGAGGGCTAAAGGGAAGTAAGTGTGTGTTTCCCCCCCAAGGACAGAGACAGCTGATGGATCTCCCTGGAGAATAGTTTAAGTGGAGCCACAGTGAAACACCTAAGGGCTGTCCACGGTCAGAGGCAGATGATGCATGCAGCGTTATCATGATTGATGAGCACCACTTGATGCAAATAAGAAAAGAAGTGACACAACCATCACTCTCCAATTTGGCCTTGTTTTTCTTTTTATGCACAGAACTACTCACTCCATCCAAGAAACAGATCAAGAATACAAGAAAACAGATGAATATTATTCTTTAAGAATTGCTCAAACGCCTCAACAGACTTGTTTTTGGAAATAAATAAACTCTACTCAATGCTCCATTTAAGGAACCCCCCTTTTTTGTTTGCCTTCTAACGAGAAGGAAGTCTTTGGTAAGGAAGTAAAAACCTCAGTGTGTGATTCAAACCTCTAAAATCCAAGACCAAGGCCTATCAGTTTTAAGTAGTAATTATGGACCATGAGCAAAATAGGATCATCCTATACTTATAGAAACATATGCTATAGATCTTTCATACATCATAAAGAAGTCAAGAGATGGATAGATGATTATAGGACTGAAACTTAACATTAAATAATGCTGGGACCAAAAGGGTTTAAAAAATGTTCAAAATATTTACAGAACTTCTACAGAAGCACTTTCTCTTGCAGTTATAGTTGTATGCAGCTGTTCAGAGAGCTTCTGCTCAGACCCAAGGGCACATGGTAATTCATGCATCCTTGCCAAGACTTTGAGGGTAATAAGGTTGATTTTAGTTCAGCTGGAGGATAACACAACTCAGACTCTTTCACAGAGAACACCGAGAACTGAAAGGATCGTTTTGTTTGATTTACAAAGAGGACAGATTTAAGTGTGTCAAAAATTATGAGTCCAGCCAAAGGTCATCAAGGTGCTTTTTTTAATGCTATAAATGTTGAGAAAATAATCACATTTCCTCCCAAATGTCAAGTTCTTTACACTCATCAATGAGCTCTTATATCCTTCTGAGACGGAAAACTACAGTTTAAAATATCGCCTATTTGTAAAACTGCCAATATCTTGACTGGTTCACTCCTCTGGTAGAATCAACCAGATGCACATTTACATGTCTGGGGTATTTAGGATATATGAAGAGAGTTTTACAAAAATGGGAGGAGAAGCTCTGTTCAGGTCTGATTGTTTCCAGGTACTCTTCAGGGAAGTTCTGCAGTCACAGAGGGTCAAAGAGTGTGAGGGTATTCTTAAGTCTCATTAACATGCTGTTACAATTAGCCAGACAGCCAGGCAGGACAGCAGGCTCTAACCCTCTGCTTCAGTTTTATAACAAAAGGCAGGCAAGGAAAGTGTGCTCTTAAAACCTAATTCTTTTTATAGATGGGAGGATTTATATATTCGCATTAGTAATTAAGGATAAAAATGGCCAAAACCTTTTGAAATATTATGGTGAATCCTTATTTTGAGAGAACAGATTTTATAACAATCCTTTTAAGCTTTGGAGATAATTTTACCTCTGTGTTTTCCCTACACACAGATTTCATTTTACCCTTGATTGGCCTTGCCTCAAATGCACTCCCTCCCCTTCTTTACCACACCTCTGAGCCTCTCCTGGAAGAAATGCCATTTTTACTGTTTATGAGAGAGACTGCTTCAGAGCCTACAGCCTGACTGCCTGCTTCAGCTGTGTTCTGCTGTTACCTAAGACTTATTGGGGTATTTTTGTAATCCTTTCCATCTCCTTCACCCCCTTCTCTCTGGTGACACTTTCAGCCCCGGGCTGGGTCAAACACCCCCTAATGAAAGAGTGAAGCTGCTGGGAACAGGACAGGGTGTGAGACCAGTTGACTGACATGCTCTGAGGGGCATTAACACGTCATTGCACTCTCTGTCATTGTCACACCCCAATGAAGACCTTCGACATCAGTGACACATGGTGGGATTACTGTGCAATTAATGCAACAGAAGCTCTCAGGTTGGGTCAAACTGCAGTGCATTACTGAGTGATAAATGCCAAAACAACAACTATCAAAAGGGTAAGGCAGGCAAACTGATTTACTTCTTTGGATTACTCCAATTTGTTTAATCTTGTTTGTTCTCATGTCCAGCTTTTAAAAGGTCAGATGTTGATCTGTCATCTTAAACTACCAAGCTAGCAGCAACCAGAAGACCGGGTGGACCTCCAAAATAGAGCTGCCAAGTAGGAAACTGTTCTTCATTCTGTTCATAAATAACAAACACTGAAAATTTACATTTTCCTTTCTTGTGGATGATATACTTTTTATTCTGCTCAGACCAAACCTCTTTACCAGTCATAAACTGCTTTTAACACTGCTCACCCAAATCCTTCAATCTTGTTTTAAACGCTGACAAATCAAAATTCATCCTGTTTAAAATGTTAAATCTGAGCCACAGATTTCCCCTTCAACCTCCACTTTTCAAGGTACTCCAGCTGAGTGTTTTACTTGAGACATCTTGGTATCTTAACAGATAAATTGCTCTTTTAAGTCTCAGCTGGTGGAAAGATTAAAACTGAATTTGATTTTTTTTTTTAATGAAGGATTGGTTTCTGTCTTTCTTTCCAGTCCTTAAAAGATACAGGTAGCTGCCACCTTTATGTCTGTGGTGGACTACAACAATGTCTTGTATTTGCATGCCTCTTGTCTGACCTTCATGCTCTGGGCACTATGAATGTGTCGGTTGGTCCTCCTTGTCTGCACGTAGACTAACACACTTGCATATTCTTATTTACAAGTCACTTATAGGCCTGCGTCCTTTATTCCTTTTAAACTACGTCAGACAGAATAGAACCAGAACTTTTCGAGGGTCAGACCGGAGGTGAAAAAGTTGTTAAAATGTGAGTTTTCTTTGCCCAAAACAAATTACAAAAATACGTTTAAGTATGTAGAATATTTATGACTGTGACTCACTTGTTTCTCTATTCATTTTGTGTTTTGATATATTAAAATGTCTGCTTTTCATCAAAAACCTTGACAACTGTGCTGCTGCTCATCTTTACCAGGGCACAGATTTTTAACTTCAGTAAGTTTCTCCTATAATAAAGAGTAAATAAAAACAACAAAAATAGCAACCGTTTTCCCAAGGTCATACAGAGAAACAGCCTTTAAATTCTGAAAACCTATGCAAACACTAAAAACAAACGCAGCCACTGAAAAATGCTGTTTATACAAAAAGTGCTGCACAAAAAAGACTAATGCATTAACAGCAAAACTGCCAAAAATACTTAGTAAACATGCAGTCAAAATAGAAAAGCACAAATGGTTCTGTTAATTCCTCATCACAATAGCAGTGCTCCACACCTGTAGGGCTGCTCACTAGACCAGATTTATTAGTGATAGGAAAGTGGAGGAAATGAGGCGGTAGATGAATTGATTATAAGACAATTACTGGAATAGTGTATTTTTAAAGTAAATGCAGCACTGCCAACAAACACAACAAATAAAAACCTTGGAGCACTGGGTGTTTGAAGTTGTCATGAATGTAGAAAAGACAAGGCTGGGCCAGCACCAATCCACTGCATTTCTATTATTCCTCGTGAAGAAGAGAGCTGGTCGGATTTGCAGTAAATCGCCTGATAAAGTCACTTCCTTCTGCCTTCTGTTTGCAGCTTCTGCATCAGGTTTGACTTCTTACAACACTGCGTCATACGCAGCTTGTTTCTGTTTTCATTTCTGTTGGATTTTTTATGTTTGTTTTAAATTTGCAGCACATTTCTCCAGATGTAAATCACTCGAGTTGTTGCAACATGTTTGCACATGCCAGCCAACATGCTTGGTGTTCGTTCAAAAACAGTGTAGTAGACACTGCAAGGCTTTCACACTCTTGTGAAGCTGGGGTTTGTTTGGGTCAATCCTATGCGCTGTATTTGTAAGAGTTAAATATTTTACCAGTTGGGCTGTTGACAACTTGTGGGTTAGAATGGGCTGTCTTATCGTTTCAACCTGTCGTTTGACTCCCAGTCTGCTGTTTTTCCTAAAAAACGAAAGCCTCCTTCATTTCTGGAGAAAACAGAGCATGCTAAGTTTGAGAAAACAAAAATCTTGGAGAATTCTTGAAGCCCTCTTGCTGTAGCTATAACCTTTTTTCAGAGGTACTTAAACAGCATCCCTTTTCAATGTAGACAGAGAGATGTAGCTCAACATTTCAGGGCCAGTAACTGCTCACATCTCAGCCACTGGACTGTGTAAGTGCCCAGCCTGCTCCTGATCATATGTAGGATGAACACCAAGCCCCACTTCCTCCACATCCAACCAAACCTCAAACCAAGCTCCCCCCATTCCGGCTGCGCTGGCTGCCAGCCACCCATTACTCCTGGCTCCCATCATATCTCAACTGTAAAACAGGACTGCAGGAAAGCAGTCAGACACGGCTCAGATCTCGCCCACAGAACTTTTGTGTCATTCACATGTGTGTAATGAGAGTTGGTGAATAAGGCAACAGGGGAGCGTGGGTAATGGGGAATGATGACGCCCTTTTACAACATGAGTCATAAGTATGTGTGCTGTGTTCGCCTGCATGTGTGCTAGGGGATCACAGGATCATTGTCTGCATACATACTGAGCGCAATGGCAGAGTAGATACATTACACAACGAAAGGAACTGCCAACGCTACACAGGCATTTTCATCCTGAAGTATTACCCCCAAGGGTACCAGGTTTTTATCTAATCATTGTTTCAATCAAATCAATAAAACAAGGAAAAAAAAGGTTTTCCTTTGAAATCTCCTGAAAGAAATTAAATCTTCATGTTTTTGCTTTGGAAAGAAATGAATAAGAATTCACTCTCTTCAGGTCGAAATTTTCTGTTTGTGAAAACTAACTGAGATGCTGATCCTGTTAGTGTACAGCTGCTTTAATCTTAAAGGGATATTCTGGCGTAAACCCTGATGAGTCCATCAGTGAGTGCAGTGGAAAATTTATGATTATTACTTCATGGAAATGCAATCAGACTTAGCCACTAAGGCATAAGAAGTAGCGCGTCTGCATTGCACATACGAGATACACAACAACTCTGGTTGCATTTCCATGAAGTATTAATCATAAATGTTCTTCCTTGAGCTGCGAAACTCCGCTGCACTCCGTGATCAACTTGCTAGGGCTCCTCCACAAACAAGTGGCTGCTGGAGGACAGTGTGTAAGTTGTCTTTGGTCTCTTTGCTAAAAAAAATAGGCAAAGCTGAAAAAATGTTTGATGGGTAGTACTATGGCTGGGACCCTATATGTACTGTTGATGAAATTAGGTGCTGTTCTGAGCATTATTTGTAGCTATATAGTGGCTTTTTGGTTGAGGTGTGCGCATGGAGACGTAGACGGCTGTGTATTGCTATTGCGCGGTCATTGCTAAAATTGGTATGACCAGAGGAGCAAGCAGTCGGCAATATTCAACTCTCAAGGGGGGTCTAACTTGGTGTTACTATGTGTTGACCATGACTTAAATTTACGCCGGAATATCCCTTTAAATATCGATCATATATAAGCTATTTCTTTCCCTGGATGTTGTTGAGACTAAGCAGGGTGAGGTTTGTCACAAAAGACAAAGAAAGTGATGGAAAAAATTACATTACAATTAAATCGACCTACAATGATCAGATGAAGGTAAGAAGCATGAGTACCATGACCTTCTGCAGAAGTACTGTTACCATAAAGAAGGTCAGAGCTCCTGTTTTTGCTTCAAGGGGTTTTCTGCTCAGTAGGTCTCGGTTTACTAACACAAGTTAAGTGGAAGGTCAACGCTCCATCCCTCCTCTTCCTCAAGTCTCCTCATTACTACAAAGCACAATAGTGCCACTGACTTCTGTATCCATGATAGTTTCACAAACTGTGATCTCAGTCCTCCTGACAGACAGAGTTAAGGGGATGACATCGAGATTCACTAACAGATGCAGAGAGAAGTAAAACAGACTGTAGAAAAGAGATGGACAAGAAACTGAGGAAGGGCGCTCATTTAAATGGGTTTTATATTATTCAGAGGTTTTTGCAATACTCCTCAGCCTTGATGCTAATGAAGAAAAATTAAATCGCAAAGAAAAACTAAATTCTCACAGGGCGATTAAAGAGAAAGAGAGATGGAGGGGTAAATACAATGTCAGAGCCATTTCGCCTTGGCAACATAACATTGTTTTTCATCATGCTTATAAAGCATCTTAAATTGAATACAGATTCTGGAAATAGGAGAGGCGAGGGAGTGATGGGGAGAATAAAAAAAGACGGATGAGGGAAAGAGAGTCAGGGGGGAGTGAGAATTCAGGCCTGTCACCGTTTGTCACAGTAATCTCTCATGTGGGCGAATGCTTTAATTCTCACAGTGGCACTTTCAGCCGCACATTGTGCAACTCATCACACCATTTTAGTGCAAGTTTTGCAGAGCACAAACATAATGTGTGAAAAGAGAAATCTAAGGTCTGAAAGGGAATGCGCCTGAATTGGATGTGTGAAGACATGGTTGTGTTCCTTCCAGCGCACAAACGGATTTACCTTTTCATCCAGGTGGTCTGTTGTTGTGCACGACTTCTCTGTGCCTGGAATGCAAAAGCTCCAATTCTGCTTTTAACACTCTTTCCATGTTCAGATAATAAGTGGAAATCCCCTGGAGGACTCTGAACAAGCCAAAGAGCAGCCAAGAGTTTCACTAATTACTGGCCCACAGAGAATGGAGGTCAATGCTATTGAGCTGTGGAACCATAGAAAAAAGCAGCAAGTGCCATAATCCAGCTTAGATATTTCAGTCACACAGCACTTGAGTCCCTTTATTTGTACTGTCTGCGTTACGGCTACATAAAACATTCAATTCTGCTAACCTTCAGGTGAGGCCATAAATCATTTCACACTTGTCTGAGTTCACTACCCATTGGAAAACACACATGATGGTTCATATACAACCTGATGTCAGGCTCTCCTGCGACTTCTCCATCACTCCGCCCTCCATCTCCCCTGCTACTTTCCTTATGCTTTCCATCACCTTCATTCACCAATGGGGCCAATTATTTCCTCCAGAAACTATTTCATAAGCTCAGTCCAGGTGATTTTGTGCGTGTGTATGCGTGCATGCTTGTTGCTTAGTGCAAGGGAGGCAGAGGTAAAGAGAGAGAGAGAAAGAGACAGAGAGAGAGAGAGAGAGGGGCAGGGAGGGAGAAAGAGGAAGTGTGTGTGTCTGTTTTGCAGGGTCAAGTCACATCTAGTTCAAGTTCATTTCATCACAGTCACACGCTCCTGTTTTATCAGTCTGTGGTTGTTCTCTTCTGTAGGCAAGGTGTCTGCTGTCAATCTCAGCTCCCACTCACTCAGAGTGATTTTGTGTCTGTCAAGTCATGTGTGTAATTCTGCAGAGGCTGTGTTAAATAATAACACAATAATCCTTGTGCATGAAAAGGGGGGGGGGGGGGGGATGCACTGAATGCACTAACAATTTCCTGCAGAATGCACAATACCATACAATATACCTCTGGTTCAGCCAAGGATGTTTCAAGGTTGGTAGGTCGAGGTACTGTCTATTCATGATTTCTCTCTCGCTGCTCTTCCATTGACTATTCACACTTTGTACAAGCTCTGTGCTTTCATTCACCTAATGTATTCTGACCCAAAACAGAGTCTTCCAAGATTACGAGTAGGGGTGGGAATCACTAGTGGCCCCACAATACAATATTATCGTGATACTTGGGCCACGATACGGTATTATTGCGATTTTTAACATTTTGCGGTACAGTGAGTATTGCGATACAATTGCTAATTTAGCATTTGTCTTTCCTTTATTTTTGTCTTATTTTAATTTGAAAAATCAATACTTGGTAAATAAGATGATACGATGTTTTCACCAGACAAAATATCCCGATACTATGCTGTATTGATTTTAGGAGGAATTCCATGTCCAATCTCTCTCCGGGTCCACCCATACATCTGAAAACACATGCACCAGTGGCACTGCGGGAACTTTGGATCAAAAACTCCCACAAAATGTCACTCGGTTTCTGTAAGATAAAAACTTTATCTCCAAAAAGCATCACAGGCTTTTCACTACTCAAAGGTACATTCAGGACCTTTGCATACTTACGTTTTAATCTCATAATAACAGAGACACCCAAACCGTTTAGAAGTTCAGACAGAACTTTCAGTTTTTTATACTGAATGTGCCCCGTCTATAAAAAAAGGTCTGGTGACTATGTGCTGATAACAGCCTTATGCTAACAGACTGATAGCTATGTGCCAAGTCCCTCACAGCGAGTGCTACTTGGGGCACTCTCTGGCTCAGAACTCTGTTTTAATACATCCCCATGGTCTGCACTGCTTTAATTAAAGAGCGTTGTCTGATCTCAGAGCATTCCTCTCATTACATTCATTACCACAATGTTTTCTCATTTCCCCAAATGTTTTTCAGCCACAGGCACCGGATCCCCGCTCTGTTTGCCAGAGATGTGGAGGGAGTGTGTGAGAGTAGAGTGTGTTTGCTGAACTCTCGATGATGACCACTGAAAGGATAATTGTTGACAATGGTGCTTTGACACTTTGGCCCTGTCATCAGTTCCCTCCTCTGTGTCTCGCACTTGTACTTTCCCTCTCTCTTGGCTGTCTTCTCTCCTGTTTTGTATTTCTCCCTGTTACTTCATTTTTTTCTGAATAATTCACTTTTTCACAAATACACTCTTTCTTTTCTTCTGTCCTGTCATGCTGCACCAATAAAGACAAGTAATACTGGGAAACAATTAAGGTTAGACTAGCTGCATGCTTGATGTTCCACCCTGTGGGAAATGATCTATCACTTCCTGAATAACATCCGACAGTGGCAGCTGTTTTGAACCCACTCAGAATGAATGACTCGTCTGCCCGAGGAGCCCTGAAGGCAAAGCGAGGGGAAGCCAGAGGAATTCTTTTGGGCACACACAAACACACACTTACAGACACATTGGTTGTAGAAATGTGTCCGTCTTGACCCGTTTTTTTCCTCTTTGTCTATGTTAGACTGCAGAACAGGAAGTGAGATTGCTGCAGTAGCTCTTTTGTGCAAGGCTGCACCAGATGTGGCCTCCTCTGATCCACATCAAATGGAAGTTTGCAAAGGATCTCTCTGAGGCTCAGACCATTTCCAGCCTGTAGTCCTCAATGTTTCTTAGACCGACATGTTTATCAGAGCCAGACAGGGGGGGAAGCTGAGGATGAACGGGAAGCTGATTAACAGCAAATGTCACCCTGCCAGTCCTGTGCCACACATCCCTGCCACACAATCTCGGTATAAAGACTTGAATGAGATGTGAGTCTGCCAAAAGATTCAAACCAACTCTGCTACAAATGAGACAATATCTCGGATGGTATCTGTGAGGTCTTGGAGATGACAAATCTGATCTTAAATGCCCTAAAAAATCCAAACTGTTGTAGAAGTTGCTCCTGAATTTCCAGGTTGGAGCGTGAAAGCGGAAAGAAACAAATAAAGCCTAAAATTTCCAGCAGCTTTCATCAGCCCTTCCCTCACATCCCTGTACTTTAGTCCATCAATGTGGCCTCACAGGTATAACCTTGAGTGCCGTCTGCATTGCAGTGAATGGCGGCAGAGTGAGAGAGAGAGGTGCCCCCGCCTGCCACCAGAGAGCTGTGCCGCTGCTGCTGCTACTGCTGCAGTACAGGACACCTCTGCTTCACTCCACTCCCTCCTCTACCTTCACTACACCTCACCTTACTTTTCAATCCTATCCCAACTCCCTGAATGGGTGCAAAGTGAGAGGAAGACAAAGGTGGCTAAGTATCCTGCACCGTCTTCTTAAAGAAGTCCCTTGTGGTGCCGACAAACCGCAACACAAGTGTTAAGACACATACACACATACACACACACACACACACACCACAACCACCACAGCTTGTTCTTGATAGCAATTCTGTGTTTCCTCTGAGGTGGGCTCTGAAAGGACGTTAGAAATCTGAGAGAAAAAAAAAGGACAAAGCTTGAAATCTGTATCAACAATTTTGTGACACACTCCTTGAAGAAGTTCTGCACCCCCTCACAAACTCCTACGTGCACACACACACACACACACACACACACACACACACACACACACACACACACACACACACACACACTGCTTCTTTGTTAAACCCACATAGTAGTATGGAGGTACACACCAGCCTCCATGTGCAGTACACTCACTCTCCAAACGCCCACTGAGAGTGTATTTTAAACACCCCGAGCTGAGATGCTATTTAGGCACTGGAGTAAGGAGGCTAAAACTGGCAGGTGTTCAGAGAAGTCCAGTCACCTGTGTAGGTGCAGAGGACTGTGTGTGGGTAGCAGAGCAGGCCAGCTTACTATAGCACAGCACACATGCGGGCCTTTGGTGAAGGCTATTGTTTTGTTCCAATCCTCCATCTCTGCTCGGCGTTTGGCAAAAATAAGACAGCATCTCTGAGCAGCCTTTGATCAATGATGCATTTTCTCTCTGACACATTCCACGCCTGCGTCCGTGAAGCCCACTCAACTCTATAAATAATCCCCGTGAGCCTGATCTTTGGCTGGGCTCCTTCTGTCTCGTCAAGAGGCTGGCAAACCAACTCATGGACTGTTTCGGTGCCAGGAGAAGAAAAAAGAGAAAAAAGAAATCTGGTGTGATATCGGCACCCGGGTATCTTTGATTTGCACAGCTCCTTATTCTTCCACATGTGTTAGGTAATCATTCTCTATTACATAAATCCACAAAGCACACTTGGACCATGAATGAATGTCTCACATTACCTCTCTTGTGTTTTTTTATACTGCCTGTTAGTGAGAGTAAGCTGAGTACATATCATGCTTAGCTTAAGTACAAAAGAACGTTTCATTTCCTTTGAATTTTAAATCACTGCATCTTACGTACCCATTAATGCAGCTGCTATAAAATGTATGGAAAATTCTGCATGATACTTTTTTTTTGTATTTTCTCTAAAATAAAGGATGCTACTTCTAGGGCTGGGCAATAAATAATAATGGTATATATCAGAAATTAATTTCCCTCAATATCTATATAAAACATGGTCAACATCCTTTTCGAATGTCAGCATTCTGCCATGTTTTGGAAGACTATACGAATAGCCAATGAAAAAAATGAGAAAAGAATCATTGCAGAGTGAGAACCAAGTAGCAAATAATTGTGTAGTAGCAGGCTGCAGCCACACACAACCATAGCCCTTTGACATGTGAAGCCGACAGCACTGTCGGTGAGAAAAAAGAAAATGAGTGCTAACCCCGGCAGAAATGCAGACGAAGGCTCAAAAGATGATGACATCATCAACAACACTGGCACCAAAACGTCGGTGGTGTGGAGGTATTTTGGTTTTTGAGGTCAAACATGAAGCAGAATAATGTGCACTGCAAATTATGTCGAGAACATGTTCTCGCAAAGTTGGGGAATACCTGAAATCCACCGCCTGAAGCAGTGCCACGCCATGCAAAAGTTTACAAACCCTGAGCGGAACAAGTAGCCCATGGCGCCTGTGCAGCCGAAACAGCTGTCCATTCAGTCAACTCTCTCTCATGCAACGCCTCACCAGAAAATGTTCAAAAGACAAAAAGACCTCACAGATACAGTAGCTTATTGTATTGCAAAAGACATGCTACCAATAAGCACTGTTAAATTTCACTGTTATATATCGATATTGAAAAAAATATATTGTAATAAACTTTTTTCCCATATTGCACAGCCCTAGCTACTTCCATAACTGATCAGACTTGCATCAACTAGCTTGGAGCAGAGCTTGGCTGAACTGCTGCAGAGTTGAATGACAGTTTCATTAGTTTTTTTTTTTTCTCCCAATGGTGGAGACAAATGTAGGACATGAGAGGAAGTGAGTGTATTCATGTGTGTTTGCTTTAATGCAAAGTGAAGGGAGGGTGGAGGACACCCGAGCAGAGTGGTTCAGCGAGCCCACTTTGCAAGAGCTCCAGGTGAAGGTGACCTTTGTGTCCGCCTGCAAAGCCTGACAGGGAAGACTGTTGTAGAGGATAATCAGATCCATCCTGCTCCAGAGGAAAGACAGGGGTGCAAAACTGGGGGGGGTCTCCCCCAGGAAGAAAGAAAGTGGTAAGCATGGAGGGGGAAAAAGGAGGAAGAGCATTTCCTATTTTTAGGTCTGGTCTCACTCCTCCTCCTCCTCCTCCTGCTCCGTGCAGAGAGGAGGGGAAGGATTCCCTGAGAGAGAAGTGAACAGCAGGAGGGGAGGTGAATGTGATGAGGATGTGTAAAAAAACCCATGCTGCTTTTCAGGCCTTGAAACAAGCTGACCCAATTTTATCAAAACGCTCTGGCCACATCTAGACTCATCTTTGAGTGAAAGTACATGCTCTTGTTCTTAAAGGTCATGTGAAGGTGAAGGAGTAATCATCACCAAGGAGCAGCCTGGCTTTTCATCCTGTCCTTATTTCTTCCTCACATCACAGCAGAGAAAAGTGACACAACAAAAGCAGCATTACCGACACAACCTTCACAGCAGGGTCCTCAGGAGGTCTCAAAATCTGTTTGGGGTGATTTGGAAGTCTATCTGCAGCATTACTTTTTGTAATCCTCTCCAGATTGAGCTTCATCAGTAAGACCCCCTAGATATGCGTCTCCTAGACTCTAGTAGATCTCATAGTTCCTTTTGTCCTTTGGAAAAGCAGCATTGACTTTCAACGACTCTTTTTCTAACTGGCCAAATATAATGTTAAACCTAGGTTGAATTTTAATTAGACATGAATGAATTCTAACTTGCTACACAGCCTTTTAAAGATTATCTATGCACTACGGCACCAGCCTGTGTAGATCTATGCAAATGCAGACTGTAGTGCACATATGCACACTCCCACACAGCTTAAGAGAGAATCTGAAATCCGTATCAAATGGAGGAAGCACCTATAATGAGTCGAATAAGTGAGTGAGGCGCTGTTGGGCTATTTTGGTCCTCTGTTGTGTTGTCTCTTCATGTGGTTGACTTAACAGCTCCCTGTGGAGCACGAAAAAACCTTGTAAGCCTCAACCGGCAGCTACAGAAGCGCAAGTACCAGTAAGAGAACCACATAAGAGTTAAGGGGCGGATGTTCTTGGGTTGGGTCCTCTGCCCCCTATCATTACCACTCTGGGCGTCACTGTGAGCGCCTGAGAAGTATATGTACATCGTGGAGCCTCTTGCTTTTGTAAGTCGGTGCTGCTTCAGCTCTTTGAATTCTCTATTTTTGTGAACACTTACCCACATTTCATTTAACCCCTACCCTCCTATGTGTTCAAACTCTGAGCTAAAGTCATGCAAAATATCTGTAGGCCTTACTTTCAAAAACAGTAACCCTGCCCAGGGTCACAGCATTAGTCACATCTCTCCAAAGACAACAAAGGCTTTTGTTGTGCGTTTGTTTAATTATTGAGGGAGAAAAAAAAAAACAGTGAAGAGAGCAGCACTTGAGGTCCTTCAAAAGGGAAAATAAAAAGCCCACTTTGGAGTGGCTGCTTTGACGTACAACTGTGGAGTGTGTGGGTGGTACAAGGGCAAATCGGGGGGTCCAGGGTCAGACTGGCTGTTGAGGGCCTGGAGTGGAGGACTTCAGCTGTAGAGAAACACAACACATATACACAAATAAACAATTTCCCCCTGCAGAGAAAAGTCCTGCTCAGCCAAGACTGAATACAAGGTTTCTCCAACAAACTGGAGCCTCTACCCCGAGAGAAAAAAAAAAAAAAAACATGTCTGAAGTGAACCCTAACACAAGACGTGAACGAAATCCTATGTAAGCTTGAAAAATCAATACACCTCCAGTGTGGAGGTTTGGGTTCTCTCCTTGGTAAAAACCAAAACCCTTCAGCAGCTTAGTGAACTCAGCAGAATTTGAGGGCAGATCAACGGACAGACACGCACACAGTGTGGAACCTGCAGGGCCCCCTTCCCCTCATCCATCTGCTGCTCCCCCAACCCCTCCTTGCCTTTCTTCCTTCCTTCCTATCAGCATTACTTTTCCAGGGCAAAACCTCCTCATCCAGCAGGGGCTAAATATGACCATCATTTATAGAGAGTTCTTTATTTCCCTCTGCCAGTGCTTATTACCAGGAGTTGTTTAATCATTGGGTCGTGCGAGTGAAGCTCCTTTGTCACTTCCAGTACAAAGAGCTCATTGAGATTTCACATGCTGCATCCGTGAGCATCCTGGCTGATTTAGTACACTCATTAAGGACAACAGCAAGCTCTGCACTGCTCTACTGTGCCGGCTTAGAGATTTAATGGTATTGTAACACTGCAGCAAGGTGATAATGACAAAGATGGAAGTTTAACTACAGTCTTCTAGCATTAGATATAAAAAGTATTTACCGATCTCTCTCTCTCTTTCATTGCTTTTCCTCATAGATCTGTGTTTACACCGAGACACCACCTGAAGGTCAAGATCTGTCAAACACACATTTTTACACGTGTGCACACACATCACAACCAAGTGCAAATGCTGAGTAGTTAATCTGATCAAACATACAGCTGCATAATTCTGTCTGAATGTCATCAGTGAGCAAACATGGTGTTGTGGGAAGGAAGGAGACATGAAGGTTTTGCTCACTTTCAAGAAAAACAGGAAGAGAAGCAAAGCATAAGCAAATTTGCAGGTTTTAACCAGAGACTAGAGCAGAGGGTGTCTGCAAGCCACACATTTTTACAATAACTTTGAATTAGGGCTGCAAGATTGAACAATTTTAAACCGTAATCAGAATATTTAATTATGACTATGTTAAAAAAATTAAAATCATCAAATCGATTTTCCTCTCCATCATGTTTCGCGCCTTCAGGGCCACCATGGACTCCCCTTTCCTGCGAGAGCGCTCCCCAGTTCCTACACACACCAGTGTAAACAAACATGGCGTTTGCAAAAGAACGCGATCATTTCATGGCTAAATAGGGCAATAGCAAGTCAGTCATGTGGAATTGGTACGGCTTTACAGTTTTGGATGAAGAGCAAACCACTCCCCGCTGCAAAGGCGGTATCAACTCGACAACATAGAAGGGAGTTCAAGAGTAAACCGTAAGTTTTTTATCGGCGTTTTGGGTGACTGTAAATGGTACGTTTGCTGTAATCCGTAAACGACTACCATTTCATCTCCGTACGGATGCCTATCTGCATCTCTCTCAAAACAATTATGTGACACACAGCACAACTCTTTTAGGGCTGCTGTGCATGTCCGGCAAAAACAACCTTTACACGCATGCTCTGTACTCTTCTTCTGTCTTTTGTGCATTTCCTGTGCAGGGTTACAGCACCACTTACTGGCTTGGCATATGCACTACATCGTTTTTCATGGTTTCGTTTTGAGAAATGATGCCAAAACTTTTTATTTTTAAAGTGAAGTTATGTAAAGTTGTCACTTAATTAAAAAATCGAAATTGAAAATTGAGTTTTTCAGAGAAAAAAATCTGGATTTTATTTTTGGCCAAACTCGCGCAGCCCTACTTTGTATTTTATTGATCTAAGAAATGCTTCCTGGGCTTCTCCACACCCTGAACGACAGTCTAGTCGTTCCACACCCTGAACGACTAGACTGCATCCTGTCTATCTGTCTCTTGCACACACACACACACACACACCTTTGTTTTTCACCAGCCGAGGGCTGTCAATCAAAATGCTGTTTGATCCCAGATTAAAATCAACTGCCAATTTCTGATGCATGAGTAATTGAAATCCATCAGCGCTGACCTTTCCTTATGGGGCTGAGGCAAAGCTGCACTCAGTGTTTTTTTTATTTCATTCACAGACCTGTGGCGTGGCAGGTAAAAATAGATCTACACCTAACACAGAAACTTCTCTTCCTTTTTGCATAAATGTCAACACATTCATTAAGCGATAATGTCAGAAATAGAGGGAGATCCTGACTTGATTTGCAAGGTTAATAGAGTTCAGAGGAGGTGCCGCAGATAGCTGAACTCATCAGGTGATGAAAGATACATATGGTAACACAGGTGCGCTGGCATGCAAGCAATATGTTTTAGTAGTCTATTAAATCATTTTAGAGAATATATAAAGAGGGAAATTTGCATGAGTTTTGATTTGATGGCACATGCAGGTTGACATGCATTTGGTTCTACAAGGCGATGTTAACATCTCGGGACCTCAGTTTTGTTTGTCTTTAATTTGTCAAAGCAAATATTCAGACATCACAGGAGCCAGGACAAATAATGCACCAGCAACTGGCTGTGAACAATTGGGAAAATTGGAAATAAGTAAGTGTTTGAGATTAAATGAAGGGCTGAGCGGAGCAATGCAGTGTGCTGATCGGCTTTCCTCTGTCATGAGAGAAGAGAAGCCTTTTAGCCTTTTCAGATGAAGTGTTTTGTTGTTTCTTCCTACAGATGCTTAGCCTATGACATTAACACTGATGTAACAGCTTAAGAGCTTACGTACAGTATTTTGTGCAGACTAAGAAGCCATCCTTGCCAAATATTGTGAAACTGGACATCATGTATTTTTTTCTATTTGCCAATATTCAGCAGCACAGAAAGAAAGAAGAGAAACAGTTACAGACAAAAATAAGGCACAAAGAAGAGAGAAGGGCAGCAGTGGTGGGAGTGAGATACAGGTACCAAGTGGAGTTCAGGTTTTGTTGGAGTGAGTGGAGCTGAAGGGTTGACTGCAGGCAGGTATCGTGTATTTGTGTATTCAGACACAGGATTTTAGTCTGGTATCAGCTGAGCATTTGTTAGCTTGTTAGTTAGTGTGTGTCAGCAAAAGAAAGGAAAATAAAACCCTGACTAATGAAAACAGGGGATATTTGTCGGCTCTAATGACAAAAAAAAGGCAACCTCAAAGTAAGGGGAAACCATGAGAAATAAATAAGGTAAGGTAGTATGTGATACCAAACCATCTCTATATCCAATGCTATTGTCATTATCATTCACATTATCACTATCATCACGATCAATGCTATCATTATAATCAGCCTTGTGACACACAGCAACAATATTAATGGCGGTAGAGATGTTGAAAGCCACATGGTGTGATAATAGTTTCTTCATCAATTGTATATCACTGACAGATGTTTGACCAGTAATCTGCACCAGGTCTCATACGAAGGTCACTCTCCTCTTTTCATTTGGGAAGGGATGTTATTGGGTCTACATTTAGTGACGATGTTTTTAATTTTGATAGATCTTCTGTACACAGTGTAGATTTTGGATGATTCGCTGTGATTGTGATTTTGGTTTCAAGAATAGATCTTAATTTCAGATATTAAAGGTACTGATCAGTCCTAAATGTCATGACATGTTTTGTTGATTTAGTTTTTCACTGGTTTTGTTATTTGAGAGTATTTTCTTTGTGTATTTTCCCTTCTGTTTCTGTTCCCTATTGTTCCTGTTCCCCTGTAGTCCAGTCTTGTGAGTTTCCAGTCTGTGTTTGACCCTGTTTCCATCCTGTTCTGTGTTTTATTCTTTAGTTCTTCTTCAGTTTTCAGTGTTTCCTGTTTTATTTTGTAGTAGTTGATTCCCTGTGTTTCTAGACTGGTTTCACTTCCCTAGATTTCCCTCCTTCGTTAATCACCCAGAGTTTCAGCTGTGTCCCATTTGCCTCACCTGTCGCTCGTTTGCCATTCTGTATATAGTCTCTGTCTTCCCCTCTGTCCTGGCTGGTTCATTGTATGCCGATGTGTGTGCATGTCTGCCTGTTGCCCATGATCTTTTATGCACAAATCCCTCGTTTCCTGGTGTTTTTTTCCCGGTGTCTTTAGTTGGATTTTATCTCCTTGTGCTTTTGAAGTAACTTTTTGTTGCTTTTTATTTCGTTCTTTTTAATAAATCATTTTTTTGTTCTGCATTTGGGTCCTTTTTTCCGTTGTTCAACTCTGCCATGTGAAACTACATATAAGAGGATGTGATCTACTGTATGTCTATGTTGAGTGTAATATTCAAGTTATGCCAGACAAGGGGGCACTAACAAAAGTCGGTTTGCAGAGATTATTGGTTTTATTGGCCCAGTGAATAGTTTTTCTCAACAGTCTTCTTGCCCAACATTAATCTGTGCAAGTTGGTAATCATTTGTTTTCACAGCAGCAGATAAAAGAGTTGAAGAACAGTAAGTTCAGAGCTGTTTTTTCAATAATTAATTACATACATATCATCATATTTAGGCACTTATTCTCATGTTTAATCATCAGGAGAAGTGACAGCAGCAAAATTATTACGTTTTTCTGGGAAAGCTGGGACAGAACATGCTGCATAACGTTGGTTAAAAAATATTTAGTAATATCAGATGTTAAAATAGAAGCAAATCTCCTCTCATTGAGGTCAGTGTTGGTGTGTGTATCTGAAAGTTTTAGTGCACTGCAGATGGGATAGTTTAATCACTGGTTAGGCAAATCAAGAGCTTCAAAACAGACAGTTTAACCAGAGAATCTGTGCACGGTTACAAAATCAGACCATCTCTAAAGCAACTGTTTTCATGGCGAGGCCAGAGTTTTGAATTACATACAGCTGTTTTCAAGAACTGAGGGTTTTTCTGCAGAGAGAAAAATAAAAATTGATTGAGCGGCAGTGAGCTGGTCCACCAACTCTGGGCACTTGGGATGTGGCCGCTCCCTGGGATAAAATCAAAAATAGATCCACTGTGAATAATCATATTGAAGGCTTGTGTGAAAAACACATTATTGACACTTTTCAGGACATCAATCCTCGAAAACCACATGAGTTTAAACTGTGAAGACGAAAGTATTCAATGTTATCTTAGATGTTATCAACAACTCAAGTCCTGATTTTCAGGAGTAAGTCCAAGATAACACAGTCAGGCCAGGTTCACACTGGTTCATAGAGGTCCATTCAGTCATTGTAGGTTCCTGCATTAGTGTGACACATCAACCTGGATCAGCCCTTCAGCATGCTCTGTCTCTTATACATCTGGTCAGGTGCACTCTGACTATCAGGGGAGACATGCATAAATGCACATGTAGTCAGCTGACATACGAACACCTTTACTAAAGTTTGCATGGTTGCTATTTGCATCTGTCAAACAAATTCTCAACTACTCAGGGACTGTATTGAGCTAATACTTGCACAAGTAACAGCTAATGTAGTCACGCTATCAGCCATATTCCCACTTTTGACAGCTAATTAGCTGACATCAGAACACAGCCAACATCAGCATTAAGCCATTTTCTATTTCACGTTATTTTAATCGTTTACAAATCATAGATGTATTAACACATGAGCAATAACTTATTTAGAGTTGTGATCACAATGAAACGAGATTTTTTCTTAAGGTGATCATCCCACTGAAATATCATGCTGGACTACACTTACTTAAAGCATGATGCAACAAACTCTCTTTCCCACTCCCTCACTCTCTCTCTGCCTCTCTCTCCGTTTCCCCCCAACTCAGCAGCAGCAGGTGCTGTCTTACACGAGTCTGGTCCTGTTCAAGGTCTCTGCCCGTTAAAGGGAATATTTTCCTTACCACAGTCACTCATGTTAGATGGAATGGGTCAAATCTGTCTCGTCTTAAGCTAGGGTCTTTGTGATAAATCAAACAATGAGTGTGGTCTAGACCTGCTCTTTTGGAGAGCATCTTGGGATAAAGACTGTTGTGATTTGGCGCTATATGAGTAAAAATTGATTGATTCATGATTGATTGATCAAACCTGAACTTTGGCAAAACACTCTCAGTTTCTCTTCCAGAGGGGAAATTTAACACTGCGAAGTTCTCCATCTCACCTTAAAGAAAAAACCTTAGAAAACAACTCCATGTCTTCAACCTTTCTCAGGAGCATGCTTGGCTCGCTGTGTTGTTGTGCACCTACACACACAGCGAGGGCGGAAGACAAGTGTTGAACTTTACAGTCACTTTGAAGACTAAGTGCTCTGTTTGTGGGGCTGTCGAAGTGAAATGCTCAAACTAAGAGGTATCATGTTGCCTTACAGTGCTACGACAAATGAAGGTTTTTAAAAGCACCTTTTTTTAAGCAGTAGAATTGATCTTAAACTCAAAGTTACACTAAAGTGCTAAAAAGACCTGATTATCATGAACAAAGTACAGCATTCAAAACACCAATATATGTTTGTACCCATTTAACTTTGCCTCTGTAATTCATTAACTTAAGATGTCAAGAGAGTTGCACAAAGGGGTGAATAAAAAGGCCTGGTTGCCTAGCAACTCGGCGATTTCTTTCATTTGTTAATTTAGACTCAAGGAAGGTCAGTGACTGAAGGACAGTGAGAGGAAGGAACATCCTCAGTCTGACTTAAAGTGATTAAAGTTAAAGAACACAGAAAGTCAAATTCTTGAACGCCCCCTGTTTTGACATATGTCATATACTGTTCTTTACAATGTCTTTTAATGAATTCTTATACCATAAATATCTAAGTTTGCATCGTAAACAATAAACATGACCTTACTTTTCAGGAGAGAGCTGCAGGAAGCTATTCAAAGTTTAATTTAAAAGTCTGTGTGTTATTTAGCTATTTAAAAAAGTGGCAAAATGAGACACTGAGCATTTAATGTTCGCTGAAGAATCTATAAAAGGGCAATGTCTGCACCTGCAGAGCGATGAAATACATTCATTGTGGAGATGTGATGAAGATGAGAGAGGAAAAGCTCAGTAACAGTGGTATAAAGCTGAAAGCAGCTATGTACACTCACTCAGCCGAATACATCCAGTTCCTGAGCTGTGCAGAGGTGGTTTGAAGGACACGAATCTGAGTGTATACCGCCGGTGCACGAGGAAAACAATGGACACGACAAAATGAGTCATCCTCTTTTAACTCTGCCCAAACAGTGTGAAAATGCAGAGAGGAATCAATACACAGGACGATGGGAGTGTGAGAGAAGGTAGCTGGAGCTGTGGGTGTTTGCTCACATGCTCTTTCCGGCACAGCGCAGTGGCTGATTTTTCACAGTGTCAAAGGGCAGATACGGAAACACAAAGGGAGCAGAGATCAGTCTGTTTTTGGAGAAAGAGCTCATAAGAAACACATTGAAATGTTCAGATAGATACAGATTGGAACATAATTAGGATCACACTTTTTTCTCTCACTCCTCTAATGTGCTTTTCAATGTGTTAGGTTTAATATCAGTTTCCATGCACACAGGTCTATTGCTTCACATCACACTAGTGAGGAAGGAGTGATGGACAGCTGTTTGTAAAAAAAACTACAAGAGCTCTCATCAGTGCACTTCACAGAGTCTCTCTCTCTCTCTCTCTTTCAGTTGCTCTCCATAAGTGCAGAGTCAGCGTAATGCAAGCATGCGCAGCACAAAGACTGAGTCACCCAAACTTTCACAAAATCACAGATCAAATCAGACAACCATCTATGTTAGACCTCTGAACCCACACTGATTTTTGCACACATCACTTTTATTGAGTGCTTTTGCTGTTCGCACTCTTGTTCCGGATCCGAGCCATTTGTTTGTACCCCCCATGACCCGCTGTCTAAAATCATCCCACATCCATTTGTCAGACACACACAGACAAAACCATGTGAGCCATTACCACACAGATGTCTCTCCTCCTCAGACACACAACATGTACACACAAATAGAGTTGACTGGATGCGTTTTCCAGCTGATTGTTCAGCTTTTAGCTTCTGCTTTTTAAAGGCTAGAGGGAAAACAATTTCCCGCTGCACATCCTCTTTCACTTTCTGTCATGCTCCAAGACCAGATAAAGCAGCAGTTCCTGTGTGCTGACGCAGAAAACAACCAAATTATGCAAGACGTGAAAACAAAGCACTCACATCATGATTGAAAATAATCAAGGTTGTTTGAGTTTTTTTTTTGATGACTTCAAGGAGAGGAAAGGAGTCCAAGATCCTCCCAGAAACATACTCATTAAAACAGCCGGAGATATCCAAAAACTCCAGATCACGGTGACACCGCACTTCTGTTTTAATCTGACCTTAATGTGGGAGTTGTTCTAGTCATATGACTAGCTCAGGCATGACGGGCTTATGGGAATAGCTGTGTGCTTATTTTTCCACCCCAGCTATCAGTGCTGTTACAGTATTATGCACAGCACAGCGTGCTTGACACGGATGAGCTTTAATCAACAGTGGAATAAATTTTTAATGGATGACTAAAGGGGAAAATCGCGGGCTGATTCAGGCAGGTGTCACTCTCAGTCGAGGAATGAATCAGCTTAAAGGTGCTGGGGTATTGATGAGTAGAGTGACTCGATACAGAAGTCAAATTAGAGCTTCTCAATCAAACATCACGCAAATGTAAGGGGAGCTTTTGACTTATATACGCCTTGAAGAAAAGACATATACTATGACGTGTATGGTTTGATGAATAGCTTGTGTTAAAGTCGGGCAAATAAAATCTGTTGAGGAGTATTTTCTTCAAATTTGACTAAGATTTGAGAGTTCAATTCGGCACTTTTAAAAGGACTGAAACAGGTGAGGCATCTGTTACTAACAGGATCTAGCAAGCTGTTCAGGAAGCTTTGTCAGGTCCTTTTTGGCATCCAATAGTAACAAGAACTAAATTCTCGCTCTATCCTGAAGTTTGGGATCAGAACCAGACCATTTTGCTTTAACAACTTTGCTGATCTAAGAGAGTTTATCCTCAGAGTGCTGTTAAGCAAATAGTCACCTGTTTTATTTGATGGGCTGCAATTTTCACAGCTGAGAGGGCACACGCCATCACAAACACTGATGTTGTTTCAGGGAGTTTAGCACTAAATTCTAGAGTTTCTTTCTGAGCTCTTTTTCACCATGGGTACCTCAAAACTAGACTCTGTCAGTATGAGTCACAAGGACTGAAAGACCCGAGTTCATACTGTGCAAAAATGTATAATTTCCAAGAAGATTTCGCAGTTAAAAACAATTTCGATTTTAAAAGGTATGTTCTTGATATTTTCTAAAATCCTGCAAGGTCATTATTTGCTGAAAGCTGTGGCCCTGCAGGCATGTGGGGGCTGCAGGAATATATTCCACTTCAAGGCCCCGGCATAGTCAATAACACATTTCCACAGTTCAGACCTCTATTTCAATTTATTTCCAGTCAAGAGCTCCATCAATAAGGGCTGTAGCAATCGAGCTGATACCACAAGCAGGATAATGGCCCTACATACATGACAGCCATAACATACAGAGGTATCACATAAAGGATGGCAAGCAAACACACAGTCTCAACCTCACTGGCGATCACAGTTCCTGTCAGTCTGAGATCAATACCTAAAGTGGGGGGAGGAGACGGTGGAGGTGCTTGGCACGAGCCAAGCAAAGGAAGTCGCTTATGACTGATAGCTGGCTGCCAGCCTCCTATATCACCTCTGCAGCGTTGACTCTTGGAAATGTGATCCTCCTCCTCCATCTCTTCCTCCTCCTCAATGTCTCCCTTGTCTGGAAGTGAGCTGACAGGGGAGGGAGGGGCCTGGCAGGAGAAGAGGGAGGGGAGGCACATCCTCTCACAAGGACAAACTCCTGGGAGGACAGGAAAGCATTTAACAACATTAGCAAACATTGCACGTGCACGCCTATGCCTGAATGTATGCTTGTGCTTGTCGCCCTGGGACATGCCGTTTGGCCTTCACCTGTGTTCCACTCTGGTGCTCCCAACATCACTGTTTGATAAACTAGCTCTTAATCGGATTGCTGTGCAGTTATCTGCTAATCTAATGGCACCTGGCCAGCCTCAAGATTTAACTGACCATCACGTCAGCCCTCCTGCACCACCTCCAAGATCTTCTCCTCCTCCTGACTATTATTCTTCCACTACTCTGCAACCTTGACTTGTAAACACCTCAGCTTTCACCTTGACCTCCCCCTACTAGAGCAGGCTTATTCTTTATCTGCAAAACAACCTTGCAAAATAGCATTTACCCGAGCACGTCTTTGTGCGTCATTAAGATACTTCATACAACCTGCATTTCTTGGCTTCCTTACCGTCATACCTTCTTTGCAATTCTTTCATATCCACTGTTTTCCCCTCCTTCTGCTCTGACAGCAGGCAGCTTTATTATGAGGCCTCTTCTGCAGGTCAACTGCAGTGTTTTGAAGTGACAGAAACAACTGTCACACACATACACACACACATATATATATATGTACATGCATTAAAGGCCTAGGTCTAAGGGTCTCTAGAGTCTGGAGTCTAAGTGGCAGGTTGGGAAGAGGCTGCACCACAGGGGCCGGTGTTGCCAGCATTATGACTCCTTCAACAGGAGGCTTAACACACACACATACACACTCACACACACACACACACACACACACACACACACACCAACTTTACCCTCCTCGCTGCCACTAGCAATGTAAACAAAGAGCAAATCGTGAAATGTGCACCTGTTTCTAACACTTAAAGCCACGCGCACATGTGTGGAGCCTGAGGGGGGTTTCATCCATCTCAGCATGAAGTGTCAGTGAATACAGCATGAATACTAATTACCTGAGGTGATGGACAAAGATGGCAGATATGCATTAGACATGTCGTCTCCTTTGTTTTTCTCCTTAACCTTGTTCAACCATTTCCTGGAATACCTCCAAACCATCGATAAGAACATTTATGATCTTTGCTCATCCAGCCATAACCTCTGTACACATGCACAATCACATAAATACATTCAAACACACACAACTGAGTCAACACTGTTATCAGGTAAACAAGAACAGGAGCATGTTTGGAAATGGGTGATTCATAGAAATGAAGGTGCTTTCTTTGACTTCAGAATATAGTCATGGCCGCTTGTGCACCCTTGGTCATGTTGTCCACCTCAAATGTTCTCAATGAGTCACTCATGATTCAAAGATTGAAAGCTTTATTGTTTTATTGGGAACAAACTCCACAGCTGTTCAATTCAAAAGCTCCTCCTCTTTGTTTTTGATCCACTAAATTCAAAAGAGAAATTCACGTCTTGACATTGAGAAGTACTTGTAAAGTTGCATCTGTCACCTCTACGATAAAAAAATTTTTATGTTTGTATTGAGGTCAGGAATTTCTGGTGCAAGGTCAAGACGATACTCATCATGATAAAGTGTAAATAAGCTAATGCATAGATACACATGCAGTAACTACCATTGTGATACAATACAACGTGGTTCAACAATGTGAAGCAATGATCCTCAAAAACTCAGTGAGTTTGACCATTTATTAATCAAATGAAAGTAGGACCTTTTTCTTCAGCATATACCCATTTTAAATTTGGAGCGGGTAACACATTAAAATTTTCTTTTTACTATTATGTCACATCACCTCTTGTTTTCACAACAATTATTTGAAACCAAGGACAACATTTTCTGGTGTTTTTACAGTTAAATGTACCATTCTCGTCTTATATAGTTTCACCTTGGGGTCTCCACTGTGTCATAATGCACAATGCAATACAATAATTCAACCCCTCAAGTAGGGGCTGCACGATTAATTGATTTAAAATTGTAATCAGTTTATTAAATCGTCAAATTGATTCTCCCCTCTATCATGTCTCACACTTCCAGGCCACCGTAGGCCACCGAGAGTGCATAAATCCGTAAACAACTACCATTTCATCTTTGTGTGGATGCCTATCTGCATTTCTGGAAACAATTATGTTACACATGGCATAACTCTTTAATGGAGTCTGGGCGTGTCCAGCCAAGACAACCTTACTACGCATGCAAACCGCACATTGCACTTTGTTTCTGTATTTTATCTTATGCACTCTGTTCATGCAAAAATACTGGTATGACTGACATATGCTTTTCTTTTTACCTTCTAAATAATCTTTAATGCTTTTTACCTCCTGAACTGTTTTATGTAGATGTATTTTATTTGATTTATTTTCTTTTAATGATGTATGGCAGTGTTTTAAATGTCTGTGCCTGCTGCAACCCGATTTGTCCATTTTTGGGAAATAATAAAGGTGAAGTGAAGTGCACCATCCCCTTCTGTCTTTTCTGAAGTTTGGTGAAGTTCTCACTGAATAAAAAATCTAAATCTAAATTCGAGTTTTCAGAGAAAATAAATGAGATTTAATTTTTGGCCAAAATCGTGCAGCCCTACCATCAGGCAAAAGCACTCTCCTACTTCAGGGCCATGCCATCGCAAAAGAATGTACTTCTTGCATGCATCTCTTTGTTGTATCTTACTTCCACTGCGTATCAGTACATCTAAAATGTGCAGCCAGTATTTCTAAACCATGTTTGTGAAAAGGTTTCATTTATGGAAGCAGCAACAAACTTTAATCACAGAAACGGTTATTCAGAAGTGATTTTGAGCCAATGAGGAGATTCTCACCACAGAGCTATGTCTGTTTTTAATGCAGTGACCCTGATGGCCAAGCATCACAGCCATCCAGTTTTAGTTATTGTTCCTATCTCTAATGATTGTTCCTGGTATTAAGCACTGCAGTTGATTAAGTCCTCACTTTTTTGTGTAATTTTACATTGAGGAACATTATTCTAGCAGCACCTCTGCAGTTACACCATGTCCCTGCCTCAGGTGGGTTTATAATAATGCTGCCTGTGTACTTTGGAGCATCACAGCACATTTTGTAAATTGCATCTAACTTGTCAAGTTGCCAAGTCTCTCTGTAAAACCCAGTGTTCCCAAACTTTTGATTTGAAAGCCTCTGTCTTTTTTGTTTTGCACGACTCCTCTGCTGTTCTCCAATGCAGTAGTATACGCTTTTGGTTCATGCACATAAAATAAGCATATTGAAAAATATATAAATGTATAGAATATGTCATTTTAAATTGATCTGATTGTACCACATTTAATAACAGATATGTCTAGTTTTCATTAAAAAGTTGCATGAATCAGCTGATGTGAATCACTTGCTCCATCCCTGGTTTGCACGTGTCTTTTACTCCTCAGAGTGTTTGTTTTTGACGCAGGAGACTTCTGCATGTTGTTCATAAATGGTTGTGGATTTCTAATCTGCATCCTTGCTAAAACATAGTGATATTTTAACAGCTTAAGTCAGTAAGTCACAATGACAAAGCACTGATTCTGCAGAAGCTAATTCTGTCTTGTGAAGCCACTATTTTAGGATCTTATCTTGCTTTTACTGATGGGACATTCAACTTGGTGACATTTTATTTCTACTCCTTTTATTATTTTACTGGAAGCCATTTGGATCTCAGTTTATCTTGTTTTTATTGAGGGCTTCCCTCTCAGCACTGAGCAATGTCACTGCTTTTGTTTGCCATGTATTGTCTTGTGCTGCTTGTTTGTGAAAACAGAACTGTCTTTCTCACTGAAAACTTGATCTACCTGCATGTACAAGTAAAATCACCTTGAACCTTGAAATGTGGTGACAGAGTGATGAGCGCAGAATTGTATTTGTGAGCTTTGGTACTTTTTGATGCTATTAAACGTTTAAAAAAAATGTTTAAGGCATCCAGTACTGAAAAATACTTAAGTATCTACTATGTTGACTAGGGGTGGGAATTACCAGTGACCCCTACGATACAATATTATCACAATACTTGGGCCACAATACGATATTATCATGATACTTGTGCCACAAAACGATAGTATCACAATACTTGGACCATGAAACAATACTATTGCAATACTTGGGTCATCATACGATATTATCGTGACACAATATATTGTATCATGGGCCAGGATACAATATGTTGTGATTTATACAATTTTTTAAACTGTTTAGCTAATTTAGCATTAGTTTTGTCCTGATGTTAGTCTTATTTACACAACATTATATTTTCATTTAGCACATCTTGCAAACCTCATATATATTTGTTGTACTAAGTTTCTTATGCTCTATGATGTCACCTCTACCAACTTTACTGGACAAACTTATTTTTCCATTATCATTGATTTGACCTCATAATAGCATTTAATTTGAAAAAATCGATCCCTGGTAAATGAGACGATACAATATATCACCAGACAAAATATCACAATACTATGCTGCATCGATTTTTTCTCCTGCCCCTAATGTTGACAATCTAGATATGCAAGGATGTATGTTGTACAACATAGGGTGAGAAACCACTGAATCAGTGTTTAATCTAATGGTTTAAGATATTAGTCTTTGTTGTCTCAGATTTATACCAAAGAGCTCAAGATCAGTCCTGAAAATAATACTAGTGTGGTGGGTGCAAACAGAGACCACCCAGTCAGCAGAGAGGTGAATTTTTCTGTTTGAAGGAACCGGAGAGAAAGCTGCCACAGAGCCTTTTCAAACCTCCCAGAGAGCAGGAATGCTGCGATATGCACAGGTTAAAAATGAAGACAGGAGGAGCATATTTGTAGCTTCACTGAGGCATGTACATGCAATATGTATGGCTTTATATCTTCACTCTCTTCACTTCCACTTCCACTGCCTGTCAATCCTCAGTGTCTTTCAGCTCTCCCCTGCTTCGTGACTGGGCTGTTGGGATTCGGCTGCAGCTCTCACTGTTCAGGATAACCGCCAACTGTAGGTGCTAATAGCCTATAGCTGCAGAACAGACAGTGCCCTCTCAGTTCTTCTACACCTCCATTCCTCTGCCTTTTCATACTTCTCACCCTCTCCTACTCCTTTCTCCTCCCTTCCTCACTCTTCTTTTCTCTCTCTATCTGGTGGGCAGCAACCAAAGCAGTCTTGTTATTGATCTGTAGTTTTCCCCCATTCCCTACTACTACTACTACAATTCTATTTTCCCATGACTGATCCAACATAATGTCTTCAACACCAAGGCCAAGACCAACAAGCAGTACATAATGAAAGTCTGATTCAATCTAAAGAAACACAATCAAAATAGGATCTCTGTGCTACTACGACTACTACTAAGAAAATGGTTGCTGGTTCTGAATCTCTCTAGAAAAATACACATTTAACTCTTACTTCTATTTCTAGGTACATGCAGTGTTTAAATAACAGACTTATTACATACATATGCCCATAAAAAATGTAAACATGAGACATTCAGGTTACTGCGTTTTGTAAATCAGGGATGTATATGCATTAGTCGGCTCAATGATTAAACGCTGTCACACTCGCTCATCAGCACCAGAACGGATATAATCTCATCAAGCTTTGGGTGAAAAGCAACCTGACAGAGCATCAGGCAGCTTTGTTTTCAGAACAAAAAAGGCTTTTGTAATCTTCAGCTTCAAATATGGCAGACGTTTACAAAAACACAGTCACTCTTACAAGTTGGCACCACAATTACAAGTCGGTTAAACTTTAACTTAATGTTTATATCACTCGAGCTAGAAATGTTGGTTATTTAATGTGTCTTAGCTGTAGCACAGCTTCCCATCTGTAGCCAGCATCTCTTGATGTTGTGCAGTACGGCTGTATAATAGTGAAGAAAATGGAGATGGAGTTGCACACAGGCTGTGTTGGGTTTATGCAACCACTTGACCAAAGCAATCTATAACAAGTAGAGGTGTAAAGGTACACATATTCATATTGGACCTATTAAGTACAGGACTTCCTGTACGGTGCACATTAGGGCTGGTTAATAAGCCGAAAATTTACCAATATCAAAATTTACGACAAAAAAACTAATAAATAAAAGTTCGTTTTGGATGTGTGTAGGTAGGCTATGGTCTTGCTGTCCTAAGTCAGAGATGTGACTCAAACCCCATCCAGTCTGTAACAAAGAAGGAAAGACAGGTGAGGAGATGGAGGACGGTTCAAAAGTTGTATCGGCTGGAGCGGCGGCTGAAGTAGACAAAGTTAATGTGGGAGGGGTGAGCAGCCTGTGGAGTAGTTATTATCTATTTATCGTTATCGAGGGGGACTGCTCAATATATTGTGATAATGATTTGAGGCCATATCGCCCAGCCCTAGTGCACATGGCATTCGGCTAAACACAAGACAAGCAAGAACTAGAAGATCCTCCACTGACATAAAGATCTCCTGTGTTGGAACACTACGGTAGATAAATCGAAGGTAGTTTGCTGATTCTGTTTGTCAGCAGTCAGGTTCATTGCTGACAACATATCAAACTTATGAATACATTTGAAGTGGTACAGTACAGATGCAAAGATAAAAAAAAACCACTGTTCTCCAAACTCAGCTGCCTTTACCTGGTAACTCTGAATGGACTAAAGCGATGACAAACACAACTGGAGTTTTTATGCAGATCCGCAACCGTATTCACATGTGTAGAGCACAGGATTTAACTGCATGTTTAAGGTAATAGTGCCCTGATACAAAATCCATAAAGTCAAACCAAGCCTCAAAAGCTGCTGCTGTGCACAGCATCTGCTGTAGCTCTGAGGACTGATGGATGGACATCTATGTTGTCTGTTTCTGTGCATACCAGACCGCAATTGTTGTGTAGTGTTACACTCCTTGTCCTACACTCCTGCACAGACATGCGAATGCTGAAGCAAGTGGACCAAACTGATTGTTGTCAATTTTATATGTTTTTTTTTTCCTACTGTTTCACAATTGGAACATTCCTGCTGTAGATACCTGTGGCCTTAAATTTTCATCAGGTTATAATCTTAGGCAAATAAGTGGTTACATTTACACCAAGGACCAGTTTTGTTTATTCTGTCCAAAACAGGTTTTCTGGTTCAGTCTTTAAGTAGTCTTTACATTATTTATTATAAAATCAGACATACAGAGGTGTTTATCATTTATCTCCAAAATCCCATTCCTTTATATAATCCTTGAATTGAAAGTAAAATGAGGCTCAATCATACACGCAGTATGCCAAGCATGAAGCTGATTACTGCCATACAAAATTTCCACTCATGCGACACTTCTCCTCAGGGAACATTATTCGACTTCCTCAACAGCCGATAGTGTATCAAACACAAAGCTGTGTGAACACTTGCATTCTTTGTTGTGATCATACGCTGAATTAGTTCAATTTAGTTTCTTCTTATGTTTTATTTTCAGCCTGATCTGAGTGCCACCAGTACCAGCCTGCTGACAATCAGAGCCACGCACATACACGCTGACCTTAATTCTCCCCGATTACCAACCCGACTCCCTTGTTGCACAAATGTCTGACCTTTTCACACAATCAAAAGCATGCACTCAAAGTTACACTCACTTATGTGTGCACCTCCATCCAACAGTCACACACACACACAAACATGAACAAGTACTCAAATGAAATTGGATTGCACGCTGAACTGAGAACACACCCTCTCTCTCTCTCTCCCTCTTTCTCTCTCTCTTTCCTCATCTGCACCTTAGCATCCGTCTAAAAAAGGCACATTAAAGGAGTGATCCTCTCAAACACCTTGCCAAGGCTGTTGACAACTGGGTCAGCCTGTGCCGACAATTTGCATCCACTTCCTGACCTGCTCTAGTCCGGCTAAAAAGGATCTGGCATTATAAAACCCTGATTATACGGTGACCACAAAGTAAGAATGTCACGGCTCCAGGAAGTTATTACGATGGTAATTTGAACATGTTTTTCCCCATTAGCTACCGACTGAATGGCTTTGTAGGGCTTTATAGTTTTTGGGCTGAATCACCTGCTTTGATTTCACTCAGAGTTACTAAGTGTTTTGAGTACAAAGACTTCGCTTTTTGATACTCAGATTGCAAACACGCATGTTTCTAAAGTATTTCTTTCATTCCAAGTCTCTAAACCTGTAAACTTTTAATAATTTGAGCAAAACTTAACGATAGCCTGACTCTAAGTGAACTGGAGAAAAAGCACACCTTTTCAGTTTCTGATCACTTTCACATTTTCCTACAATGACAAGCAAACTTTGACCAAAACACATTGTCCCTGAGGCTGATTTATCTCCTTTCAGTTGGATTTTCTTTCTCTACTAAGGCACTGGGGCTTTTCAAACTATTTTTTTTTTCTTCGTGCTATGAGGGAAAAAGGTGTTTGCTCCTAGCTGAGAGGCTCAGTCAGAGCTTCTGCAGCTGTATAGAAGAATAAATAAACATTTGGTTTAGCATTGAGTCGGCGTAAATGGTCAGACTGTCAGATTATGGTTGCAGAAAGACCTGATAAAGAGGGATTAAGCCTTTCAAGCTTTCAACTGTTTAAGATGTTCGGCTGTTTTTAAACAAGGGTATGTTTGCAAGACTCATCTTGAAGAGTCACACTTCAGTTTCTCAGTCCATCTTCATTTTCTTATCTTTTCTCGTCTTAACCAGCATGAAATGTTAAGATTTTGCTGTTCGAAAAGACTCTTTTTCCTCAATAATTCACAAGTTTGAAGTGGATCATAAATGATCATTTGTACCTCTAGAGTATTCCTCTTCTCTTTCATAGAGACCCAACATCAATAAAGTCCCTCTCTGTCATCATGGCTTCTTAGTCTCTCCCTCACATTTTCCCAGCTCCAGGGGAGAGTTGACTGTGCAGTATCATATTTCACACTGCAAAGTCCTCATCTATCTCTCTCTCTCAAGCCTGCAACACACTCAGTGCAGAGAACACCAATAAAATCCCTCACTCAAAAGTCAGAGCAAAGCCCAGCCTGCTCCCCCCTATACACACTCTGTGTACTTTCAGAGAAAACATAAATATACAAATGGATACTCAGAGGATGAGGACTGCTGGACCAGAGACCCCAGGCAGAGAGAAAGCTTGGATTGCATGAGACTCCTGTACCCTAAACCTCAGATTCCTGAAGTCACATTTTAGACTAAACTCTTGAGGCTAACTGAGGCCTTTCACTGTGATTTACAACCACTACACCCATACATCATGGTGCCAAAAACATGCTCTGGATTACAGAACACATAAAGACATAGAGCTCTCCTTAACCAAGCTATAAAAAAACCCAGTTAAATAAAGAGTGAAAATGTCAAGAGCAGACAGTCTGTGTTTTCTGTTGCAGCTGCAGGGACACAAACTGATGCTGCAAAGGAAACGCTTGCACTGCAAGAGTGTTTGTATGTGCATGAAAATGGTGTGTGTGGAATTTTTGAGTGACATGCTTGCACTCGCACTGTAACCTGCCCGAGGAAAGAAGCCCGAGGGAAACACACACTCAGTCACAGACGGAGTGAACAAGGACATTCTAGCACGAAGAACAGAGAGTTCAACATCTGCAGCACAAACAAGGCAGATGGCCTCGGCAGCATCTGTGCAGGGTTGTGGATGAACAGCCATTATCTAAAACATCTTTAACAATATGTGATGAAGAGAGGAGTCTGATGTGATAGACTTGGTGAATTTTTTGTACATGCCACAGTTAAAGGTCAGGTCACCCTTAGAGGCGCGTTATATATACTCGAGTGCACAAAAGAAAGAATCAAACTAGAGCAGCAGAAGCCCAGATAAATTTTGTATGCATGTTCCAGCCGCAAGTTGTGTTCTAACAACTCATAATGGACAATCATTGAAATCAAACAAGACAATTAAACTCTAAATCACAGCCCTCTCCATTTACATAACCACTCAGAACCTGTGCTTAAAGCCAAATATTCCCACTTCCTCTGCCATCTGTGGCAGGAAAATGGCACCATCTGTGAATCTTTGGCAGAGCCGGGTTTCCAGGGGGTCCTCATAAACCACCCTAGTACAAAAACCTGCACTATGGCTTAATTCCTGATATCTGTAAATAAGCTAAGTGGAACCATCTGATTACTTGTCCTCATGAGCCTACCAAAAAAGATTAATAAGCTATATTGGTTCATAATCCATTGTGCATTTGGCATCAAGTTTCTGTATTACATTCAGTCTATATGGTAAACATTTAGCCAAGCTACAATCTTTCAACCAGCACAAAGCACACTGCAAGTATTTCTGACATACAGGCTTAATTTTTAAAGACCCACTTCGATGAAAATCATGTTTTTCTTGTTGTTTACATGTTCATATTGCATTTTTCTGATGCTATCATGAGAAAAATAAGCACAAAATTGCATTTCTGAGTATTTCTGCATTCAAATCACTGTGAATCTCTGGCAGGACTAAACCACAGGTTCAGATTCAGTGAGATTTCCTACGTAGCAAATCCAAGCTCCACCTCCAGAGCCCCGCTATGCAGGCCAGACTCGGGGAAATAGAGAAGGCGATCGCGGAACAAACATGTATGTTAGCGTTAGCGTAATATTACAAAATTAGCTCGTAAGAAAGCTAATTATGATATTAACTTTCATCATGTCCCTAAAGACATTGGTGTCAGAGAGCTGAATAGCTCCTATGTTACCTGCTACTTCTACCACACTGGCAGGCTGCAAGCTAGCATGAAGAGGAGTGTACAGAGCAGCGCTGTCTCCGCCTACGACTCAGAGGTGAATTACTAATGAGCTACAGGAGCTCTGCAGAAGAAAATCCCTTGAAAATGACACAGGTAACGTGATTTTGGCTAAAAACTTGATAATCACAATTTAAAGACCACTGAGAACACTTAAAAAACGATCAGAGTGGGACTGAAAATATTGTTTTTCTTTTATCCTTTTGCTTTTTTTTACCACATTCAATCATCTTCACCCTGAGATTTTTCCAAAAGGATTCACGTTTTTGTCACAACAAAAACCAATTCTCAACCATATAAATAAGAAGAGCTGGTATACCTGCCCTTTGTGAGAATGCAGCAAAGTTACACATTAATATTCACCACTGTCACTACCAATATTGAAGTGGCTGCGGTTGGAAATGACCACACACGAGCACAAGGACACAAACGTTCCCTCTTGTAATCATTCTCTCCCTGTTTCAATCTCAGGCATACAGATGACTCTGCAACACCACTGATCCCAGCAGGAGGAAGAGGGGGTGGAGGAAGAGGAGAAAGAAATGGTGTGGACGTGAAGACAGTGCACTCCCTCTGGCAGACCAACCAAACAGATTGACTGTCTTAGTAAATAAAGCTGGGCCGATGAGGACTTGATGTTGGTCCTACCTGTAACCCCCCCTTTTTTTGCTTTTTTAATACAGTGAATATTGAGAGAAACTGAAAAAACAGAGGCAAATCTGCTTCCTTTCCTGCTCTTCAGCAACAGCAAACCCAGGATTCACAATATCAAAGCATAAAACTAACCCGAATTAAAGTTACATTAAGAAACGGCAGAAACTTTTCATGTTCCAGAACTTTTTTATTTTTTGATTATTTCAAAGTGTTTCATCAGCCTTAGTCACACAGTCCTCTTCTGAGTATCAAGTTACATCGGCTTCCTGTCTAACTGCACATTAACCAGATGACAAATTGTGACTGAGAGGAAGCGCCGTATGTTCTACAGGCATCAAAAATATGTCTTAAAAAAAGCTAGGTGGAGCAGCTCTCACAGACATACTATCCTGTTCATTCATCAGAGCCCAGTTTCTGCCGGCCAGATTAACTTTAGAAACACCCAGCCTGACTAATCTGCATATGACTCAGTCTGGTTTATATCCTGGAAATGACAACACTTATCTGGGGAGAGAGCAAAGGCTATTCTGTTCAACACTGTGTGGTCATATCTCCTTATCAAACATGCACTGACTGTTTTAGCTTTGAAACACCATGTGTTAGAAAACCATCCCCTGCCACAGCCACAGTGTGGCAAACACCCTACAAGATTCCGACAGATAACGGCTTACCCAAAACACGCCCTGTTAGTGTAGATTCAATCAATTGTTTTGCTTTGAGGAGTAATGCAGGGCTCAGCTTGAAATATAAGTGATAAAGGTTTTGTTTCAAGTTATGATCTCTCAAGGGAATAAGCGACGCATCTTTAGACTCCATGAAAAAAATGGCTTTTTAGTGCAACTTATGAATGTCAAACATGTGCATCATCCACCCCTGACCTTATGCCAGCTGTGATTGGCTCCAGCACTCCTGTAACACTATAGCATTAACTTTAAATGAGTGATGGATGGATGGATGTGAGTTTAGATTTGACTGAGGTTGGTGTAAACCTATTTTTCCAAGTCTGAGTCTACACCTGTCACAACATTAAGCAGTTGTTTTAGGGCTGGGTGATATGGCCTCAAATCAATATCATGAAATATTGAGCAGTTCACCTCGATAACGATAATTGGCGATAACTACTCCACAAGCTGCTACTTCGTCTACTTCAACCACCGCTCCAGCCACTACAACTTTTGAACCCTCCTACATCTCCTCACCCGTCTTTCGCTCTTTGTTACAGACTGGATGTGGTGGAGTCATGTCTCTGACGTAGGACAGTGTCTTAAAAAGACATGAGACCATAGCCTACCTACACACAACCAAAACCGACTTTTATTTATTTATTGTTTGGATTTACGGTTATTGTCGTAAATTTCAGGACAGGTAAATTTTCGGTTTATCACCCAGCCCTAAGTTGGTTTATGGGAAAGAAAAAATCACCAGATCAAATCAGACAAAAATGAAAGTGCAGACTAAAAATAAGGAGAAAAGATAGTCATGCATTAATCATAGTTGTGTATTTCGATTTGCACTTCCAGGATGCTAACCATACTTGTCTTAGAACTACATTAGGGGCTCTTAAATGCAGCGCCTCTCCATGGATGAGTGACCTGTGTTAAACAATTGATGTATTCACGCTCTGTTTAACAATAAACTGAGGATTAAAAGACAAAGAAGCTTGTTTGAGATGTTTGTATTTTACAGTTTGCTGCTTTGAAAGAATCAGCCAAAGAGCAGGCGATGATTCAGCAGTTCCAGACGTCTGTAATCACCACTCCACATCTTCTGCTGCCTCCTTTTCGGTGCAGTGCACATCTTGGTTTTCCAAAAATATCTTAGTGTTGAGTGTTTTTGCTGCTGTTGGAAAAATGGAAGAAGTTTTGCCTTTAAAAGATCTTAAAAAGTATAAATTAATTCTACCCCGCCTTTCCGGGTCTCTATCCATTATTTCAGATTACAATTAGCACTTTATCTGTGGAAATTCTGAGATATGAGCAGTAAAGCGGGAATGTGTTCTTTGTATAATCTGGTCATTATCATCATCATCATCATCACCATCATCATCATCATCATCATCATCTCAGATCATCCCACTTAATGTAATCAGTGTTATTGGTTCAGGCTCACTCTGTAGTGTACTCAGTCAAAAAGGCCAGGATGGACAAAGAGCAGCCTGACAGAGGGATCCAAGTTTGGACTCGAACCACTGCTGTTCTGGTAAGTGCTAACCATCTACCTGTGGGTTGCTGTCAATTTCCTGTTGCAACAGCTTGTTTGAATAAGAGTAACCTACTCCCCCCCAACTCAAAATGCACACACCCCTTTAAGTGGATCCCCCCTTAGGGGTCACAGCAGAGGTCAAGTGAAAATAATCAAATTAAGTTGAGACAAAGGGGAACCAAAATACGATCCAAATGGACAATAGACCCAAGAACAAGCTAAAAAACAGGAGCAAAAGGAAAAACGTAGGTGACACTGCATTGAAACATTTTAAGATAGACATTTGTATTAGAGATAGATTGATTAATAGGCCAAAAACTGGCATTTTGATATTGTTGGCATCACATTGGGCCTCAAAAGGCCAATAGAGCCGCTATCTTTCAATCCCCAATGACAGCATATTAAACCTCGAACAGTCACTGGCAAGGGTTTTACATAAATTCTATTCTAATTTATAGAAAAAAGCAGTTTTACCATGTATATTTTATGTATATTTTCTTACTTATTTCAAGTGGCTAAAAATTTATATTAAATGATCACTAATTTCTATTTAAAAATGTGAAAAAAAGAAAGAAATTATAGCTGAGACCAGTCCAGACAAAAATGATCCATCAGGGGGTGGACCTCTGAAACACTGAGCTCCTGTCTATCAAATCCCCTGCAGCTTTTTTTTCTATTGACTCGCTAGACAGGTTTTCAGTGAACTTAAGACACGTCAAAAACACACTAAATTACCTGTGTGAACTTCACATGAGGCTTTTGAAGAATATTACTTTATAGTAACATTATGCAACTCTGCTTCTATTTTTTTTTAACATAGACAGTCTGCTAAGAACAGAATCAAATCCTCATGTCTGATAAACAGATATTTCCAACAAGATTATGTCCTCTGTCGTGGTGCCAAAAAAACCCAAAATGTCAATCATGACCAGACAGTCATCTCTGATACGGATGACCTTGAACGCACCTTTGAAAAGACTGCCCGGCCATCAGCCTTGGGTAGTTATGAAAGGTACTGATGTCAGCGTGGTTAGCTCCAACAGTGGGACCTCTGTTGAGTCATGTGTAGGATGGAGGGCAGCTGGATTCAGGGCTAGAGCAGGTCAAACACAGAGCTCTACAACTGCTCATGGTCAGTAAGTGCGGCACAAAGACTTGAGATTAAAATTAGTGTCTTCTTCTGTGTTTATCTAACATCCAGTTTTGCCCCGTGTAGCAGGATGTGTAACTTCAGGAGTGGGTTTGGAGATGCATGCATGCAAATATTACCACTCAAGTTTCCTACTCCTAAACAAGGAGATTTCAGTTATCTAAAATCAAGTAACACAGTTTTCTAATCCTGTTTTTGAAGTAAAAGTAACTGACCTTCATATAAATAAGAAATGAAGCCTTAGCAGATACAATACTAACACTCAGGGCCAATACTGAGCCACTCTATTAATGTTCCAGTATTACAGCATGAATCAGCAGCAGGGTGCTGGGTGCTTGAAGAATGAGGGAGCGTAAGTGTCAGATGTTTGGAGGTAGTTCATGCTCACTGTGCCAAAAAAGTTCTACTGCTACTTGCAATTTTTGCAAAGTTGTTACATTTTATCTTCGACGTTAAGGTTTCAGCATAAAAGGCGTCTTGTCTGTGCTCTAGTGGTGGTGCACACGGATGATTATTTAATACCAGTGTCAGACCACTATTTGGTATAATACCGATATTGTAGCCTACCGATATTGATCCAATATTGGCACAAACTTGTGCATGATAAATTTTGCACTCAGCTGCAACGTCTCCTTCGGACACAATGTTGTTGTGCTCATACGGGCTCTGCGTGCTGGATTCAGGTGCTGAAGCTGAGTCTGGAATAGACTGCTTGTATCAGAGTGCTGATATCAGAGATTTTAGATGCAGGCCCACATAATCCGATATTTGATTTTTTGTTGATATCGGGCCGATGTCAATATTGTATCTGGACTAGGGCTGCATGATATATCGTTTGAATATCGTCATCGCGATGTACGTGTGTGCAATAGTCACATCGCAGAGCCTGCGATGTTGGAGGTGAATGAACTCATCTAATTTCAAGAGTAGCTGACTGAGGTAGACTCCATGTGACTCTGCATGTGCTGTGCAGCGATCCACCAATCACCTTTGTTCTTTACTCAGTTACCAATCAGACTACCCCGCCAGCTGTCAATCAAAATCAGAGAGGAGGAAACCCCCCCCTGCACATGGAGTCGCTGGCGCTACCGGAGTTGAGCCAAGAAACGCGTGTCCCCTGAGAATTACTTTCGGAACATTCTTCATCACTATTTAGCCCAACAAATAAGAACTGTATGGGTTTTAAATTGTACATTTCCCTGGACCACTCTACTATAAGCAGTGCGCGTTTTGTGAGGTGCATGCAATTCTCGGAGGACATGCGTTTCTTAGCACAACCCCAGTAACAACAACAACAACAACAATCGCAAACTGAGCAACAAACAGAGAAAACCGCAGAAGATGAAGACTTGTTGCCAAAAAGAAAAGGAAAGTCAGTTATCTGGAATTATTTTGGTTACAAGATGGATGATGTCGACCAAAATACGTGTTCTGTGTTCATCTGTTGCCACAATAATATCCCAGCACAAATAAATATCTCTGAGACAGATAGAAGCCGTTCTACTAACATTCACAAAAAGAGGTAAGCTCATTGCAGGTTAACTGTCCTCAAGATTTCAGCAGTGCAGCATAGTATAAGGTGCTATATAGAGCATCTGGTGAAAATTCCTGTATTTTTTAATATCGCAATATATATCGCAGGGTTGAAAAAAATCGCAATGTTAGTTTTTTCCAATATCGTGCAGCCTTAATCTGGACACCCCTATTTTGTATTGTTCAAAACCTGCAGACGAGGTTTTGGATCTTGGTCTCTAGGGCAGTGAAAGCAGAAGTGTCTGCCCTCAGTTCTTGTCTATCAGAGCACTGGAAATGAAGGACAGCCTCACCTCCTCTATTAAGACGTCTCCATTTCACTTATTCAGAGAAGCCCTCGCTCTCAGTTGACAGGATTGCCCCCTCCGCCAGCCAATCCTATATGTCAGTCCCGTATTAAGCATCTCAGCACACTCTTGAGCAGATGAGTGGCACGCCGGGTCATAGAGGCTCTAATCTATTACATGAGGTCATCAGAGGATGAATTGATATCCTGCCACTCATGGAGGAAGAGTGCCAAGACAGAGAGGGAAGAGGACCTTACACAAGACCGATTGATCTCAGCGTGTGATCTTCATTGATCTATATTCCCACTGGACATTCACTTTGTTTTATCGCTCATGTCTTTTCTTCTCTCCTGAATATTTCCACAGCCAATTAACTGTTTTTTTTATACCTCACAGATCTGTAAAGGACATGTTTTTTTTTCCTTCTATCTGCTGCCAAGGTCTAGGACTCTACAGACTGCAGTGAAGAAAGGGAAACAGAAGAAAAGAAATATATAGCCAATATGTCCGAGATCCTGTTCGGATGCAACCCTATTATCTTTAAATTCTTGGATAAATCCTGTTTGCTTCTTTCCTTTTGTACTGGTTGTCAGTTCCCCCCGGCAAGCAGCCAGGCTGGAGCCAACCTCGCAGCTGTCCACAGTCCAGCATTATATAACAAGGCTGCATCACAAACCCCCCTCCAGCCACTGTGCAGACTCTCCAGCATGACACTGTCACCCCGCTGAGGAAATGACAAGGGGACAAAGTTGGATGCCAGCTTGAGGGACAGGCTCTCCAACCCCTCTATTCTAACATTTGCTGGTTGAGGGTCTAGTTAATGAGGTAATGCAGAAATCTAATTGCTCATTTGCTTTCTTATTCCCATGGACCCATAACCCTTTCACCTTTAAAACCTCCTATCAAACACACACATGGAGCAAACTGTGGCTGGAGTGTGGGTGGGTGAGCTGAAGCTATAGGACATAGCTGCAGAATGAATGACCCACTTTCCAACATGCTGCACTCTAACAGTATGTACCATTTCACTGCTATAGATTAATTATCAAAATGCTCGAGTCAAGAAGACACACTGAATGAAGGCTCTGTGACCAGAATGAGCTCTTGATATATTCATGTTAATGCACAAACCTGTTCGACAGGGCCACCATGTGATCAGTGTAGAGCAGAGCGAATTTAACAACACTCCTGAAAGGTTCACGCAGAAGGACTTCTGCAAACTCAAAAACAACTTATCCATCCCAGTCTTATAATAATGATCTGAAGTGATTTGATTCCAATTTAATATACTCTCTGAAGATGAATTCTAAAGAAATGGACCCCCCACTTCTGCATATTTTTCCAGCTTAGCCAGTATCACTTTAAAAGCTTAAAAGTCTCAAGTCTGTTCCCGTCTTCTTCCCTAAACTAACAACATGAGTATCCGTAGCAAACACGCTCATCCAACAGCGAGAGAGAACTGGGAGAGGAAATGTCAGCGCACTACAGGGGTCATTAACAGTACAGTTATACTCAATACTTACCATCAACACAATTAAAGACCTAGAGAGTGTGGATCACTCTGGTTTCTGAATTTATCACTCATTCCACCCCCCTTCCAGGCTGAGCTACAATTTCTCAGTTTACACAACGACAATAAATCACTCATTTTTGGGGCAGTACGAGTTGAACTGCAGTAATTTATCACACCATGCTTACAAAGCACAGCAGGATCACTTTCTAGTATCATGTGAGCTTAATATTTGGAGAATGAGTATTTGAAGACTTGTTATCAATCACACTGAAACCGCAAAATCCCCTCAAGCTTTTTTTTTTTTTCCAGGTATTGCTCATGAGCCTCACAGTGGCTGACTGGGTGTTGTGAAGACAGGGGGGATTCATGGCTTTGTAGCCATATAACATTTCAGGTTGTTTTGTTTTTTTTCAAAGGAGGAATAAGGATTGTTGTAGAAAAAGGAAACTCCTCAGGATGAAAACAGACACTGGTGCTGCCTTTACTTGGGTTTCATTTCATTAATTTGGCAACATTCAACTAGTGGCAGAGTCTGAACGTGGGCTATGTTTGCCCACATTCACAGGAAATTCAATACTGGAGGTAACAAAGTGTAAGCCGGTGTTTTGTGTCAGCTGCTCAGTAAGCTCAGTCTGATATGACAAAATGTAACTCTTAAAGGTGACCCCTACTACACAATACTTCTATCTTCACCATGAATCCCTTACTGAAGTCTGTCATGGTAATACATCGCACTCCATGTTGTAAAAGCAACACGTAAATAATGACATGATGTAACCAGGCATGAAACACATGGAAATGTTAGCCATCTTTCTTGTGTCTGCGTGTGTTACACAAGTGAATTCACCTTATGTGATGGAAGCACTTATGAAGGCAGGGTTGCCAATGAAAACACAAAGATCATACTTCAAACACAGGACCTCAGAAGTCCAGCCGCCTTTCTGTGTTGTACTGACAGGGTCAATGCAGTAATAGTTGTTACCTAATATTACAGATTTCACCTTTTTACCACTGTTTGACATGGCACTTAAGATTCTGCCTGCAAACCAGTCCAGCTCAGAACCTCAATGAAAATATGTCTTTTAAACTTTCTTTAAAAAAAAGTGTCTGATAAAAGACTGTTAATGTTCTTCTGATCTCAAATGCAGATTTTAATCCTGTTAGTCTTGCTTTGTGTAACATATCATATTCTGTTGGATAACTGAGGACATAAACAGGCTTCTGTTTCCCCTCTTGAATCAAAATTGTAATGGGAGATGTTATAAAAAGAAAACAAACTTATTAAGATGTTTTCTAGGGTACCCAATGGAACTCTAATGACCCCCCAAAGTTTCTGGACGAACTATGTTCTGGGTTTGCCACACATTTGCAGAACTCTCTTTGTAAAGGACACTTCTGGGGACCCCCTCCCCCTGTCACCTTGAGAATCGTATCTAAGGAGAATTGAGTGTTTGAACCAACCAACCTTCATGATGCCGCAAGGTGGATTCCCAGCTCCTTGAATTCTCTCAGAGGAATTATCACGGCTGCCACTCCCGATCCTTGGACTGCCGTGCTCCCGGTACCGTCCATTGGTGTAAACTCCTTCGGCCCCGTAGCCCTGAGCAGCGGCTGACACCTCCAAGTACGCCCGGGTACCGGTCGGCGTCAGAGCGGCCGTATCGCTGGTGATCCCCGCTACGTTGGTCGCGCCCTGGGCCGGCTGGGTGCCGATGGCAGGATCCAGAAAATGTCCCGACACAGCATCTGAAGCGTGTACCCCTGCCATGATCCGCTGATGTTACAGCAAAGCCCTTCCTTCCACAAGGTAAAAACAGCCCATTCTCTCACAGCACAGAGGACTTCTTGGCGTCCAGGGCGGCTTGTCTTCTTCTCCGGATCAGTGCAGAGTCTAACACCGGGCAGCGGACGGTCAAACTGAGCCGTCCTGCTGAGATAACAAGCAAACGGTGTACCCCACCAGAGACCTCGTCTGATTAGCTTTCCTCAGGCATGTGCACACAACTCACTGCAAATGCTGTCTTGCGACGAGGGTTTGCTGTCGCCGTGATTGTTCACGGCGTCTCCCCGTCCTCAAAAATCTGTTTTGCTCTCCACGTTCACTTCTGGTGCCTTTCCGCTGTGCGCATCGCCTCACGTCCTCTGCACTTCTGCTCTACTTGCAAACAGGAGAGCTCTCCCTCTACATGCATCCGCGGGACAATTCAAGACTGAGAGCGCAGTCGCAATGAGCCAACACACGCACACGCAAGCCCGTGCATTCACAATTGAATCCAATGGTTCGCGCGCAATCACAGTGTTATCCTCCAAGCGTGCGCGCGTTCAATGTTCTCGCCAAACAAAGCATGCAGGATTTCGAAAGTTGAATTGTGCACATGTAAGCTTCACAAGAATTATCCATTTTAATTTAAATCAGCGTGAGAACTGAGGGTTTAGACTACTCCTCACTTTTTACAATTAGCAGGCTTTATGCTGTCCATAAGAGGGAGCTAAGGAGCCAACACATACGTGGATATATGCTGCATATATGCTAACATTTACTAACATGGAGGGAGCCATTATAAAAAAATATCATTTAAAGTTTACTTGGATGTTTTCTTGTGTCCTCTCAAAAGGCCTAGATGAAACCCAGACATATCTTTTGGCATCTAGTCTATTGCTGAGTCCTCTTTGTTTTCTAAATCTTCTCAAATTAAAATCGGCATGTTCAATATTGCAGGTGTCACACTTGAGGTTGCTGTTTCTGCTTTAGCTGCAGATTAAACCTTATTTTTACATTCCCTGCTCATCTTGCTGACATTAACACTGTAAATTCTCCAACAACCACTCTATCTCTTTAACACCCTGTCAGTTTATGTCCCACAAGCACATGAGTGTCCCAGCTGTTTGCCTGTATATCTTTCCCTTCTTTTTCTCCTTCTCACTCTCCGTTTCCTCCTTTCTTTCAAGCAGGCTTGTCTGTGCTTGACTATCAGTCATCATGGGACTTCTCGTCCATCCATGCATTTTCCTGGATGTGTTGATGCTGAATATTCCTCTACAGAAAGATTCAGTCACATCTGCCGCCCTTACATTCACTGGTGTGTTTGTTTTGTCTTCAATCTTTGAATAAAACAGCCATTGGGTTTTTTTATAGTTATTTAAATTACTGTTGCTTTTCCAATGGCTGGTCTCATTACACACCCATACCTGTAAGTAGGGTTTGGCAGCATGAACAAAATCTTCCATCACAATATGAGTGATTTCATATCACAGTAACAGTGTATATCACGGTATGGTTTTCCCCCCTGTAAATGCAATTAATTGCTTAAAATTTTTTTTAACTCGGATTTGTTTACAAATGCAGCCGTTTGCTCAGTACTGACACTACTCTCTGCGTCCGCCATGACCATCACCAGTGAAGCTGTTTCTTCTTTGTTGAAACTATGCCAAGCAGTCTGCATGACACGCTGGTGATATACAGAAACGCAAATGGATGCGCTCCAGCTTTCATGTAAGTGAGCGCAGGCAACTATAAACTGACTCAGAGAGACGCAGCAGACATCCCTACTCTCTCTCCGGTATAAACGGTATAGCAAAATTTCTACCGGTGGACACTTTTATACCGTCACACAATATATACCGTCATACCGCCCAACCCTATCTGTAAGCACAAAACATAGCTCTTCTGAAAACAATAACTTCTTCTAAATTAGCATAAAAAGGACAATCAAACTCTGCACTTCAGTCTTTTTTCAGTTTCTGTTCTAGCTTCGAAGAAGAGTGAAGGCAATGTTTTACTGTTTCTGTCCAAGTAAGATCTTTTATAGCTGAATCAGAGTGTCCCCTGCAAAGATCTCTCCTTGATACAAGGATGTTCCTCCTTTATTTAGCGTCTCCATTTTGAGATATTGAGTTGAAGACAGTCATAGGAAGAAACAACAGATTGCATGTATATTTACATGGAAATAGCCCAGAACCTCGTAACCCTCTGAGGCCATGCTGAGAAAAACTACAACAATGGAGGATGTTCAATTTAACATCAGGCCAGCTCACATCATCAGACAAGACGTGGCCAGTAAGCTAGTATAATGCAACCCCTTTAATAACCCACCAAGGACACAAATCGAATCACGGCCAATTTGTATGAAAGGAATCACGTAGAGCAGAGGGCGTGAGCTCAGCGTCTGCTCGGATTTGTCAAATGTGACCAGACTAATCAGAGCCAAAGCCATGTCTTTGCATCAAAGACAGACTCAATCCTGCATTCAGATTCTTATCATGTCAATGCTGCAAACAATAGAGGAAACCTCTCTGAGAGATAACACCCAAATCACACCCAGCAGATTGCTGCATACGGGATATAATCATCAGATGCTTTGTGTCAGGGGGCGGGACAGGCCAGAGGAAGTGTCTTATTTTTTAATCATACTTGTTTCCTCTTGATTATTTCAAAGAGATATTGTTGAAAAGGGGTCATAATCTGCCTCTGTAAGCACAGCCTCTCAAAATAGCAGTCTGCCATCTAAATATTAATGATTTACCAGCTGCTGTTAGAGCTTAGACACATCTCTGTAGAAAGAAAAAAGTGGAATTAATCTGTTAATACTTGCTGGTAGACTGAGATGGTAGATATCAAGAGGTGAGTGGTGAGATTTCATGCCCCCTGCAGTCCTTACTCACTAACTTATCAAAACCCCCTCCCTTGTGAACCGTCAGGGTCTTGTATTATGCATTCTCAGAAATAATTCAGCTGAAGTTCTGCTTTTAAAAGCCTCCCAGTGTCTCCCAGCTGTCTTACTCTAATGTGGAAAGGCCTCTGACAGCGTGTCCTCCAAACATCAGCTCCATGCTGGTGTAAAACTGGTTCAGGTGAGTCCACAGCAGGTCGCCACAGCTGGTGGAGGGCCAAAGGATCCCTCATTGATCTATTTTCCAGGGACTGTATGTTCTGTATGCTATAAAGACCAAGCTTCAGGAAAGGACATGGAGGTCTGATGGATGACCTGATCTGAAGTGACGGAGAAAACACATCTGTTTGGTCTAAGAGCTCAAATTAAACAGCAAGACAGAAGGAAAGAGGCACAAAGTAGGCTGTGTCAACATACCAAAACACTGACTTGGCAATGTTATTCGAAAATAAACCCATGTTGATTTCCATTGAGGTTAGCTATGGCTTCCTGCGGCAGGATGTCAGCCATAGCAGTGTCAGTAAGGCACCACTCCCTCCTGTTGCAGCAGCTGTCAGGATCAGCTCATTAGATCTCCTTTGCTCTACCCATGAGTCAAGTGGCTACTGTATTGTTGCAAGCTGATTATTGATCAAGTTTTCTAACCCCAGCTGGGAGCTGAGGTTAATTGGTCAAATGCTTGAGGCTTTATTACTGCACAAGAATCCTCTAGATAAACACTTGTTTGCTGATTTCTTCCCTGACACATTTCAAGGATAATAATCAAGGATGATTTAGAGACAAGAAGAAAACCATAAAACAAGAATCCTTCCACAGGTACATGTGAACCTAATATTTGAATATTGGTACCTAAAAGAGTTCCTGCAGCTAAAAGCTGCAGAGCAGAGGGTGTGTTTTCCTGAGTTCTGCCACCGCACTTCCTGCAGCAGCCCATGTGATCATCAGCTTAACAGGAACAGAAACTGAATTACATCTGTCCTTAGGAGGGTCTCTTAAGTAATATGGTTCAGCAGTTTGAGTCTATGGTAACAAAAAACAAACAAACAAAAAAAATAAGCTCTTTAAAGATATAACTGTATGAAAAACAACAGCTTTCAGTTACTTTTTGAAATAAAATCCTCAATAAACAATGAATTGAAGTATCACTCTTTAAATGTATTGTTGACTATTATCATTTTAATGGCTGTCACGGTTGTGAATTCTGATGTTTATATCTTGTTTAATGGTTGATGGACACAAATAAAGGAAAGTATATAAATATAAAACTTAAACCGGAGCAAAAATAGCTACAATGCTACTTTGAGGTAAATCAGTCACATTAAACCTTATGCTTAAAGCAATTTTCTGCTGGGCAGTAGCTGCCTGCAAGCTGCAGCCTGTGTAAGCTTGCTGCTCACTAAAGAGGTCCTACTTTAAGCTAATGTCACTACTTACAGTCTTGATGCAGAAGATGAGATGATACTCTTTGCCATCCTCCTTCCTTTATTTATCATACACCATCTTTGGTAACACAAGTTTGCTGATAAGTGAGCGCCTGACGAAGATCTACAACTTGATGTGAAAGTTACTGGTTATAACTCGACTGAAACTGAATGGTTCTCCTTCTATTTGAACTCTAGGTTTGAATAATGTATCGTCTGGAGGAGTATTAATTTATCATAAATCTGTAGCATCATACATTCAAGCTAAAGCTAAGCCTGCCAGGTCAAAGGTTGTTAGTTGATTTCTGTTGGAGACGTTAAAATGAAGTGAAGACCAGCATGTGCATTTTCATAGAAAAGCCCCCAACGCATGACTGAATATACAAAGAATTGGTTTTATAAATGCCAAAAAATTGATATTTTGACTATTTTCTTTGCTCGGGTTGCAACATAGGGGGGTCTTCAATAGTTGGTCGACTTATTGATAAAAAGGAACTATTATTGTATGAATTATTTTAATATTTATATGAATTATTTGAGAAGACACAAAATTACTCTCATACATGTGTTTTTAAAGTCCCCATTTTTGTCTTGAATGGGCGTTGTTTGGATTACATAGCAACAATTACAGTCAGATAATAATTTTTTTCTTAGCATGCTGCTGTTTGCATGAAACATTGCTGATATAATACCAAATATTTACATCATCAGTCAGCACACAGACCCTTGTTGAATTCCTTGTTCTAATCTTTTGGACTATGCTGACACCTGGTGGTGACTTATTTCCAACACAAGCCAAATACATAAAGTAAAGAACATGAAGAACACATAAGCGGGAACGAGTTTGCAAACACTGCTCTGTAGTGCAGCATTTTTATGACTATAACTAAATTATTAAAACATTTGCCTGACTCTGGTACCATTAGATTATAAACAACTATTACATATTATTATTCACAGTAAGGCAAGTTATTATTATTATTATTATTATTATTATTATTATTATTATTATTATTATTATTATTATTACGGTTGTTGTTGTTGTCTAGAAATAACACTCTGAGATCTTATGATCTTAAAATCTTGTGTATTCAAATTTGACCAAATAACCATCAGGATGTTTGTGTGAGCAGAGACCAGACTGATACTGACACACCATAAACAGGCGAAATTCACCCCCATCTGAGAACATGCATGAGTCAAGGTATCAACCCACAAGGACATCAATGAAGAAAAGAGAGTAAATCATAATCTTTTAAGGCAAAGCTACAGCCTACATATAAAGTGGCCATTTCGATGTTTCATCCAAATCAAATGTATATTTCACATTTGAATATTCTCGAGCATATTATGGTACGAACGTCCTTCTATGAGTCTGTTTTCACAGTTTTAAATCTTTTTTGGCAATATCTTATTTCAACCGTGCAACAACTTTAATGAAAAGAGTCCAGTGAGCAACATTTCGGCACTTCTTACAATTTCGCCTGATTACCATTGCTGACCTGAACACATTCCAGCCCCTCACTGATAACCTGCAGCTGTTTATTCTCATAACCTAATGTGACTCTTTTCACTCATAAGGAAGAAATAAATGAGTTTTTCAAAGTATAACCTGATAATGAAATAATTTTTCTCACATTCATTAACTTCCATGTTAATTTGGTTTCCTTATCACCTTTGCCAGAACACACAGGTAATTGGCAGTAAAGCTGCAGTCAAAACACACACACACAAACACACACATCCACATCCACAGAGTATATGCATAAAATCTGTTGTGTTCACTCTGTCCACCAGGTGGTAGAAGTAAGCTGACTTACCATTGTATGTCCTTTACACCATGGGGTGCAGCTGTTATAGGTTGTGAAAAACTATCTGCAACAAAGAGCAGTACAGATTCATTATATCATTATATATTTATAATATTCATCTATACGGAGACTTTGAGATTTGGCATGTTCATTTTTGTTTGCTGTTGAGGACTTTTCCCTGAAGTAAAAAGTCGCCACTTTAAAAAAGAAAGAGTAGTTCTACTTGGGTATTTTCATTTTATGCACATTGTGGGTGTTTTAATGACCTTCAAAGTTATATATTTAATAAATATTAGTGTGCTGTCCAGTAGATATGTGAAATCATAAATTCCCAACTGCAGAGAAACTGTGTTAAAGCTACTTTTTTCAACAACAATGCACAAAAGCTGCATATAAGAGCAAATGTTATCCTCTAACAAAGCGAGCCTCTCCGTCATGACGCAGATACACACTAAACCTTTTGCACTCGTCCAAACTCAGTTAAAATTATTTATAAAACTTTATTTTCTTCTTTTCGACTCAACAGCTGTCTCTTGGACAAACTCCAAGGGACGAACAAAAACCACAAACATGGTACATACATTGAATAGCACACATGAAAAAATACACAGTCTACAGTGGAACAAAGCTTCAAAATGATGAGAATGAAGAATATATCAAAGACCGCCCATGTCATTTGAGGAAAAACGGGAGAGAAAAAATGGGATACAAAAGAAGCTTGAGAGAGAAATGAACAGATATACAAGGGAATATCTTCATAATACTGTTATGTTTGTTGGAAACGCACAGAAGTTCTTCTCTGATTTCCAGTTTTTCTGCGTCGTCTTTCAATGTGTACTTCTGCTGAATCGTGACCTGCACCTTCTGCTCGAACTCAGGAGATACTATTTGAATGTAAATCCATGCATAAGGGTGACATACAACAGGGGAGTGCCAGAGAAACAATAATAAAATAGAATTATGATAAAGAAAATAAATTCATATATTCTGAATATAGATCTTATTTCATTTGGCTTGTACATCTGCTAAGCAAAGCAAGTCATTCCTGAGGTGCAAGGCTGCTGTTAGCGGCTTTTTTTTATTTCAATGCTTGGTGTCAGTGTGTGTGTATCTGTGTGTTGTGTGTGTGTGTGTGCCAGGGGAGAGTTTAGGGTAATAGTTTCAAGACTTTGTTTGGAACTTATGAAACTGTCGAGCCAAATATTAAAACAGAGACTTGACATGTCATGCAACCTTGAGTTCTATATTCGGCCCGGTGGATGATAATTCTGTGCAAGCATGTAAAGCGTGCACGCCTTGCAACATCAGCTGCTGGTGCAGACCTGTTGTCTCACATGCACAAGTTTTACCACAGTGTCATGACACGGCTACATGGATGAGTGGACGGATGAGCAGAGAAGTAAGAAGGAGCGCAGCTTTGATTATCTAAACATTGACCAGGAGAGTGCACAGGTATATACAGTGCTCAGCATAAATGAGTACACCCCTTCAGAGTTGTCAGAAAACCTTTAGATTCCTTTCAAAATCAACATTTTCTATGACTAATACTCCCCAAAGGTATGCCATTGATTGCAAAAGAGATTTTTTTAAGTTACATACAAAAAAGTATGTTTTTCAATTTACCACCCGGATGCAAAAATGAGTACACCCCAATCAAAGTTCTGGGAGCAAAGCTAAATCTTAGTAACCGTATCACCTTATTTTCATCTTATGGTGAATAACATGTTATGTTGAACTCAGCTTTGTCAAATCCTCACTCATTTAGATACTGAGTAATACATTACTATCAATAGGGGATGTACTGACTTATGCTGGGCACTGTATATAGAGATGTAGATACGCCAGCGTGCTGTAGCAGCATGCTACGTGGCAGCCATCTTAGCGGGGGCAAATTTCCCGTTGAAAGCATTAGATGTAAATGGGAAATAAATCAGATCTTGCTAATTTTTCAACCAATTTTCGTTCGGTTGACTTTATTTTAAACGTCAAAACATGTGCTATTAGTACAAAACATTGAAGTTTTTTTTTTAAAGGAATTTTTTAATCAAATGCTCTGTATTAATAGCACATATTTTAGTGTTAATAATAAAGTATCCTCATGAAAATATATTGAAAAATGATTAAGATGTGATTTATTTCCCATGTACATCTAATGCCTTTAATGGGAAAGTTGCCCCTGCTAAGATGGCTGCCACATAGGCACGCAGCTCAAAGGGGCATGTCGTATCTACTGTTCATATCTATGGGTGAATGGACCTTCATGCCTCTTTACTTCATCAGGTGAGCAGTTTTAAGCATAACACAGCCAAAAATGTTTGCCAGGATTTTCTTCACAGAGATTTACACTTTTAACACAGAAAAAAACAAACCTGCATGCTACGTGTGAGTATGGTGCAGAAAAAAAACGAGGATACCAAAAGAAACACTATCAGTAGGATAATGTGAGGTAGCACTGATGAGGGAAACAGAGGGACCTGAGAAGAGAAAGCAGGCAGCGCTGGGTAAATGCTCAGATTTGCATTTCTGTGTGCAGGCAGGAGACAAATAGCCCTGTGAGAGTGAGGGAGGTGCTGAGACCCCCTCTGCTGGGTTTTAGCTGGTGAACAAATCAGAACAAACAGATTGTACACTTGTGCACATGTGCTGATGTGAGTGCTGTCAGCGGCAGAGAGTTGATCTGCCTTTAAGTTAGTGTGTATGGATTTTGATAAACCGTAACTTAGCAGAGCAGTGAATCCTTGATTTAAGCTAAAGCAAAACTTTTCATAGAACTATCTATTTTTTTTTTTTGTACCAGAGGGCAAGTTCAATGTAACTATCAAAATACTGATAACCAATTTACAAAGAAAAAATATAACAAAATAAAAACATTCAACTGTTAAAATGACTGCGTACAAGATCATTTTTTTGAAATCTGTTCAAAATCAACTGGAAATGCATGCACAATGTGAATGAACAACCTTTTCTTTTCTATAACACTGTAACATTGTGTGTTTTGCATGATACCTAATCTGTTTTACAAACACTTATGGACACACAAAAAAACTATGAGAAGGTACTGACATGCATGCTGTCATGATGAAATGAGAAGAAAATCACGACCATTATTAACATTTCACATTATAGCTATCTGAAAAAAAAAGAGAGAAATGAATGGAATTAAACCATGAGAAATGTCAATGTAAGTGGGGCAAGTCAGGAGGGGGGGTTTTGTTTGGTGCTGTCACAGGTTAAAAGTTCAAAGGTCAGGACTGCTGGCCGCCCCACTGGCTCTCTACAGGCCGCCGGAGGAGCTCCTCGACATGCCTCGCCACATCCATGGTGTCGTCCAGGTCAAAGTCTCCGTCTGCGTCCAACATAGAGTCACTCCTGCCACCAGAAAGGACACAAGGAGAAGAGGCATGGCAATGAGATGCCCTTTACTAGTAATAGATGTACACACACACACACACACAGTTACATCATAGGTTGAATGGATTTGTTGACTCACATAGGTTGGTATATGTTGTATGTATGAGGGTGATTGACAGGTGCTGGGGAGGCGCCTTGATCCATATAGGTTTGATTCCCGCTTGCCGGGTCTGGATTGGCTGTAGTAAACCTGTACACAGAGACACACACAGGGACACACACATAAACACCAGATAAAAGCCAATGAGTCGGTGTGCAGCGGTTGCCTAAGCAACTACCCTCAGCGTGTTTCCCAGGCCTCACTGCATCATTACGGCCATTCTCTGTACTGCGGGAGGACCAGCCGTGGAGACAGGCAGGGAGCGGGTCCTGCTAACTAACAAGCCTAACTCTAATGATGAGTGGGAGACAAGCTCACTCAGGAACCACGGCTGTCTTTAATTGGCCTCCTCCAACTGTAACAGCTAACTAATAGCTGATCTGAATTCAGGCTCCAATATTTGGTGATTAACTCTAAATGTTGCCATGGATAATATAAAAAAAAAAACTGTGAGAGGAATGAAAGACAAAAGAAGAGACAGAACAGGAAATAAGGCAGAAAAAGGAAGCTCAATACTTACTCGGGTACCACTTGTTTGATCTGCGGCTTCACGTAGCCATCAACTGCTTTGGCTGTTGAACAAACAAACACAGGGAGAGAGAGAGAGAGACGGCTCAATGACTTAGACACACAGCAACTAAGATATCTGCTCATTCTGACAGCGGCCCATTCAAAGAGAGCGAAGAGTGCTTACAAAGTGGTGGGGTGTAGTATTTGGAGAAAACCTCATCCTTGGCTCGGTCAGGGTAGAGGAAAAGGAGGTGATTGAGATCGCTGATGCGGTCAGCCAGAGAGCGAATGGAGAAGTCTTTGGTTGTGTACGGCATGAGGTTCCAAACCATTCTTTCACCTGGGACACAAATCACAGCATAATTACAACTTAGGACAACTCTGTGAAGACAGTACTCATAACAATCTTATTTACAGCTAGTCCTTAGACTCTAAGGAATGCTAAGGAAATCAAAAACTCCCTCATTTATCTGAGGCTGTATTTCATACCCAGTGATTTATAGTCTGCTTCTCACTTCTTACAGCCAGAAATGAAACGGCTGTTTTAATTCTCCTCCATTTCCAATTGTTGGACTCTGACTGTGTAAGACTGTGGTTATTTTTCACACTTTAGAGTATTTCTAACATTGTAACTGAAACCACCGTTCAACTCTGTGTAGGGCTGGGCCATATGGGAAAAAGTTTATCACAATATATTTTTTTCATATCAATCAATATCAATAAATATCATGATATAAAAAAATCCCTTGTCAATCTTAAATGTTCCCTGTTACTCTTAAATGAAATTCAACAGTGTTTATTGGTAGCATGTCTTTTGCAGTACACTAAGCTACTGCATCTGTGAGGTCTTTGTGTCTCTTCAAAATTTTGTTAAATTGATTTGTGCTAGAGAAAGCAGACTGAATGGTCGGCTGTTCGGCTGCACAGGCATCGTGGGCTGCTTCGCACTTGCTTGTGCCAGTCTGGTCGACGATGTCATCATCTATTGAGCCTTCATTTGCATTTCTGCTGAGGGTAGCACTCATTTTTTTCTCACCAACAGTGCTGTCGGCTTATCGTGTTAAAGTTCTATGGTTGTGTGTAGCTGCAGCCTGCTACTACACAGTTGTTTGCTACTTGGTTCTAATTCAGTATGATTGGTTCAGTGTGTTGCGAACTCGAAGCAACTCTCTTTTTTTATTGGCTATTTGTATAGTCTACCAAAACATGGCAGAAAGCTAGCATATTGACCAAGTTTCATATTGATATCAACAGAAATTAATTTTGATATACAGTACAGGCCAAAAGTTTGGACACACCTTCTCATTCAATGCATTTTCTTTGTTTTCATTACTATTTAAATTGTAGATTCTCAAAACTATGAATGAACACGTGGAATCATGTGCTTAAGAAAAAAGTGTGAAATAACTGAAAACATGTTTTATATTTTAGATTTCTCAAAGTAGCAACCCTTTGCTTTTTTTAGCGCTGCAAACTTTAGCTGTTCTCTCAATGAGCTTCATGAGGTAGTCACCTGAAATGGTTTTTGGTTCACAGGAGTGCCTGAAGTAACCCTGACAAGGTACTTCTGTCATCTAGAGCAAAGGGTGGCTATTTTAAAGAAACTAGAATATAAAACATGTTTTCGGTTATTTCACACTTTCTTTATAAGTACAAAATTCTACATGTGTTCATTCATAGTTTTAATGCCTTCAGTGATAATCTACAATGTAAATAGTCATATAAAAAAATAAAGAAAAGACATTGAATGAGAAGGTGTGTCCAAACTTTTGGCCTGTACTGTATGTCATTATTGTTTTATCGCCCAGCCCTAGCTCTGTGTATACTAAGAATGAATGAGCATAAGAAACATTAACTTTATCTCACAGGGGTTCACGGCCAGCATACTTTCCTAACGTTGGAAATGAAGTAATTCTGTGTGCTGCAGCTGATTAGAAGCTGGATCCTTGAAAGGTTTAAATTTGATTAAACTCCCTGACCTTCTAGTCTGTTTTATGTGCTATAAATTTAACATGCATAAACATATCTTACCTGCTTTGTTAGGATTTTCTGCCACCCATGCAATTGTAATCCCTCCAATCTCAGAGTCACTAAAGCGCAAGAGAAAGGTACCGTTGGGTTTGGACATCAGCATGTCCTGAGCCTGCTGCTTGTTCACAAAGCCTAATATGGCACTAAAAAGAGAAAGAAGTAAAAAGGGGGAAAAAAACATTAAAACTGTGATGTGCATTCCCTAACCTCCCCACCTCCCTCTTTACAATTCTACTTTACTTGCCAAAGCTCCCACTCCCCTGGTTGCCATGGAAAAATATAAAACTAAGCCACTGACTGAGTCGCCAGAATTGACAAAATGGGGACAGAAAAAAATCTACTTTTAGAACAAAAAAGCCCTGTTGCCAAACTGAAAAAAGGTACAGCGTGTTTTTAATCTTTTCGTTCTGCTTCAGTCAGTACTGAAGCAAACAAAAACCTCTGCAGTTTTCTTACCCATCGTTCCAGTGGGGTTTGAGATGCTTTTTTGTGAGTTCCATCACACCATCAAACCATTGCCAAAAAGTGAAGTTCCTCCCTGGCAAGCTTTCCTGTGAGAAAAAGGTTATTAAGTAAGAAAACAGGACTCTAATGGACGTATACATTCTTTAAACATCCAGCCCATAAATGCAGGGAACAACCTGTCCTCTTACTGTTTGTGTTTATAATTTAAGTGTGCAGCTGTATGTGTGTATATATATGTTGTGTGTGGGGATGGGGGTAAATAGAAGAGGGGGTGAAACTGTGCATGTGTGTGTGTGGGTGAGGTTTATACAGCAGCCTGTAAAGTGGCTGATGTTCCTGTAATCTAATGAGACTGATGGTGCACAGTGAATGTAAGTGCGCTCTCTGCCATCAACTGCTGCTTTGAGCCAGAAAATGAGGCCTCCAGCCTTTCACAGTGTGGACAAACAGGCACATTAAGATGAAGACCTGGCTACCAATGAGGCGCTCTTACTCAAGCCGGCTACAGAATAGGGCTGTAGGAACACGGCAAATGGAGCACGAAATATCTCACTGTATGAATAACCAATAGTAAACGATTCCATGGAGAAGATGCATGCTTCTCAAATGGCTTACTGAAACTGTCCTGCAGGCATTTTAAAGATGGAAGGAGGATAAAACCATTCATACTCCCATACATTATTCACAGATGAAGACAGATAATTCGTATGCACTTTAGATAAATGGTGTTACAGTAAAAAGATGAGTCACAGGAGAGGAGTCTTAATGCTGACCCGATTAAATTGCGACCAAGTCATTGTCATGTTACGGTAATCGTCAGGGTTGTTGCTGGAGCTGCTGAAGGCCTTCTGAGCAAGGAAGACCAGGTTCTCTTCAGACAGACCTCGGTTACTTTGCACCTCAGCCTTGTACTTCATATTGATGGCATCACACAGCTGAGGCCATAGCACTTTATCTGGCACCAGGAAAGGCACCCGTCCCTGTAGATAAAAAGCAGAGTATTTTCTTACGTTGTGTGTACAAAGGATACAAACACAATCATAGATAAACAGTCTTGTACATAGTTCTATATCCAGAGAAGGGTTTTTTTTTTTATGAATTTCATAGTTTTTCCTGCAAACTTTCTGTACATCTCTTGTGAGGTGATTCAGATTAAACCAAATAATCTTGCCTAAATTTATATGCTAGTTTAAAGAAAAAAATGCAAATCAGAAGACTGGAGATGACAGGGATATTTTGGCATAAATATAAGTTCATCTTGAGAGATGAATGTTGCCAATTGCTTGCTTCTCTAGTTATACCGACTTCAGCCATGACCGCACGATAGCAATACACAGCGGTCTACGTCTCCATGTGAAAACCTCAACCAAAAAGCTACTCTATAGCCACAAATAATGCTCAGAACAGCACCTAACTTCATCAACAGTACATATAGGGTCCCAGCCATAGTACTAGCCACCAAACATCTTTTTAGCTTTGCCTGGTTACTTTAGCAAAGAGACTAAACATGACTCACCCACTCTCCTCCAGCAGCCGCTTGTTTGTGGGGGAGCCCTGAAGAGTTGTTCACCAAGTGTAGCAGATCATTTCCATGAAGTAATAATCATCATAATAATTTTGCACTGCAGACGCGGTAGTTATTCTGTCTTAGCGTCTCAGTCTAATTGCATTTCCATGAAGTAATAATTATAAATGTTCTTCCTTGAGCTGCAAAACTCTGCTGCACTCGGTTATCGACTCACTAGGGCTCCCCCCACAAACAAGCGGCTGCTGGAGGAGAGTGGGTGAGTTGCCTTTGGTCTCTTTGCTAAAGAAATCAGGCAAAGCTAAAAAGATAAGCAACATTCATCTCTAAATTCTCGCCGGTATATCCCTTTAAAATCTTTAAATAATGGACATTTTTGTTTTAAAAAATCTTAGATAGACCAGACAGTATAAGAAATAATTTCCATTTCACAGAGATTAACACATTTACATGTTGACAAAAACAGCACTGTAACAGTAAAGTCAGGCTTTGATACAGACAGTATTATCACACTGAGTAATAGTGTGACACAGATACAATTAAAAAGACATCTAACAATAAAACTGGAAAGTGATAGAATACGCATCTCTGAAAAATTCCATACGGAATAAAGAATAAAGAATAATGATGCCAGTACAGATTTTTGCACACAGATTCCTGTTCAAAAAGAAACATTTACTCACTGGCTCTGCAAAAGCGTTATCCCACAACACAGTTGCTGTGGCATTATTGTCTTGGCTGCCGTGAACTATCACCACAACAGGAAGTGATAACGTCTGTAAAAAAGAAGAAGAAAGACCATCAGCAAAACAATGCGGGAACAATAAATGCTGTACGCACAGCAAAACAACATGACCTTGGTAGTATTTGTGTGGATAGAATGGTAAAAAGAGCTTTTTAAACATCAAATCGCTGTAAGGACGACAGGGATGAGCAAATGTGAACAGTACTTCAAAGCAGGTGTGGGAGCGGATACTTTTATGTTCTCTGGCTGAGTCTTAGAATGAACAGATTTACGCTTTTGTATAAGGAAGAATGGATAGTGTCTTCTGAGTCAAGGCTGTTCAAGCCTTTTCTTCTACCTTGTCTTTCTGCTTGCTCTCACCTTCACTTGAAAGACAAGCTCATTGCCTCCAACGCTAAACTGGGACTCGAACAGGATGGTGAACTTCTCCTCTGTGACAGATTCTGCTCCTCGCCGGTCCGATCGTTTGATCCTCTTCAAAGACTACATAAAAGATGACAGGTGCAAGAATAAGAAAATACATCACACAGATGGCTGCATGATACAAATGGACTACATGGGGCTGACATTTAAGTAGTCCATGGAGGGTCTCTAGAGAATGGTGCTTACAACATGTGGTATGTAAATACACCCACACTGGACGGTAATCTGACAATAACACTGGACACCTCAGTGCAGCTCCACCCTGCTGCTCCTAAAGCTAAATACATAATAGGTTATGATATGTAATCAATTTATCTAATGTATAAACATGGTCTGAGAGCTATGTGCTGTATGTCTTGCACCAGATGGTTCCCATGAAAACAAAGTATGGAGCTCACCATGTTCCTGAAGTGTGCACTGAGAGTGCCTGTCGTCTGGTGGTACTCCATCACACAGTTATTGTTGAGAATTTCCCCACTGCTGTCACTAAACAAAAGACACAATCGAGAAGTATGTCAATTAGTCGTAACGTCTGCTGGACGACACTTGAGTTCTGAGAATCCCTCTCGACCCCGAATAAATTAAAACGACAGAAGCCGTGTGAAAAACATGAGGTTTTTCAGAATGGTGTTCATTTTCTGTGTAATTATAATGACAGTTAACTACCACTAAATGGGAAAACACCAAACAGATGTTTTTGGTGTAGCTGATTGGGTGCAATACCAAGTGGTTTGGATAAGTGAAAGCAGATGCCGGTTTGGTTACGCTGTTATATGCTCACCCATTCAACCACTGGCTGTCTGGCTGACCTACAGTCTTGGAAGGTTTCTGTTAGTCAAGAGGAATGTGGACTGAGGTGGTGGAACAGGCTAAATGTGGATTCAGCATCCACACCAGAGATTCCTCTGAGGCATTGTTGAAGTTCCACTCATGGCTCTGTGGTTAGGTCTGGAGACACACTAGACCAGAGTTCATCCTGGGATCCACTAATCCCTGCAGAAAACTGGGAATCCTTATCTAACCGGCGCCATGGGGGCTCGTCAGAGTGTCCCCACAAAAGGAAGAAGGGATCCCGAAAAATGTTTATTCAAGGAAGAGAGAGTGACAGTGTTGTTGCTGCAACAGTGTAAAACACCAGTAAGGGTTACTCCCTTAAAACCATCCATCCATTATCTTAACCACTTTTCCCATTCAAAGCCGTGGGAGGCTGGAGCCTTCCCCAGCTGTCATTAGGCAAGAGGCAGGGTACACCCTGGACAAGTCACCGGTCTATCACATATTCAGACACAATTATTTGTGCACACATCCACACTTAAGGGCAATTTAGAGTGACCAGTTAACCAGACAGGCATGTTTTTGGACTGTGGGAGGGAGCTTGAGAACCCTAAGAAAACCCACACATGCACTAGGAGAACATGCAGAAAGGCCCTTGTTTAACCTGTGATCTAAACCAGAGCTAACCACTGCACAACCGTACAAACCCACTTTGTGAAATATCTGATTCAAGAATGTTTTTGACGGACAAATTCAAAATAAAACAGGTTGTTAAAGTTGAACTGAGGGAACTAGACTTACTTCCTTGTGTTCTCGTTCTTCAGCAGGGCCTTGGCTTGTTGTTCACTAATGATGGTGGCTTTGACCTGTGGAGGGTTCATGTGCACGTTCAATTTACCCCCCACCAGAAGGCGCACTGTTGCGGCAAATTTGGTTTGGGTTTTTAACACCTGTGGTGGCTGTTTCTCAATGATGAAGGTGCTGTAAAAGGAAAGAGAAGAACATACTGAAAGTCAGAAGACGGCAAACGGTATTCAGCATAGCAGTAATACATTACGTCAAAATCTAGCTCTTACACTTTGCTGCATGAAATCTCCTCCTGCATTTTTAGTAGGGATGGGAATCACTCATGGCCCCACAGTGCGATAGTATCACAATACTTGGGCAACGATATGATAATGCTGCGATTTTTAACATTTTGCAATACAGTGAGTATTAAGATACAATATGTTATGATTTATACAATTTTCTCAACTGTTTAGCTACTTTAGCATTTGTCTTTCCTTTCTGTTTGTCTTATTTATGCTGTATTTTATTTTCATGTGGCACATCTTGCAAACCTTATATATATTTGTTGTTGAAACTTTCTTCTGCTCTACGATATCCCCTCTGCCAATCTCACTGGACAAACAGTTGATTTTATTTTTCCATTATCATAGATTTGACTTCATGTTAGCAATTAATTGAAAAAATCAATACTTGGTAAATGAGACGATACAATATATCACCAGACAAAATATTGCAATACTATGCTGTATCAATTTTTTCTCCCAACCCCTAATTTTTATCAGATAAAAATTGTATTTTATGAACATATTCATATCAGCAGTACCATCAAATTGCTAATTTAAAAGAACAGCTAGTTTGAAAGAAATATTTATTTTTCAAGTTAAAAAAAATGTTTCTTAATTGTGGCCAAATTTTTAGATAGACACCAGGAAGCTGTAAACTAATTTGGTCACAGGATTTCAAAGCAGCATGTTTAACTGCAGGAATATTATTAGATTAGACTGTTTTGGACATGAAACATGGTTTGTGTAACTAAAGTAATGACTGTGCAGACCACAAACAGGGACAACAATTACTTCCTTTTGAAACTGTTGCTCTGATTCCACAGAAGGGCATGCCTAAGGGGACTTTTCTCTGAGGTTGGCCAAACCTAAACCTGTGCTTGTAGTACTGTGCGTGATAGCAGTACATTACAGTTTGGATTCAGGCTTGTCTGGGGCCAACCAGGAATCACTGCTACAACAAAAAAAGCCTCCTAAGTGTTATGGGTCCCTGCAGGGACAATCTTCAACAAGCACAGAAGAGGATGCTGTCAAAAACTTCAGATCAACGCTGAGCTGAGATTGTAACACAAGCAGACAGGACTCACATTCAAACTATATAGAGTGAAAGTGTTTGAATCTTCTTTGTATATATTATTTAAAATCATGGCCCCAGTGGCAATCTTGATTCTAAACTAGACCAAACTAAACCTTTGTTATAATCCAGTTTAATTTTCTGTTGATCTGACTACTGACAACTTTAAATGTCATTTCTCCCCAGTGTTCCTGTTTGGCAGTCTTTTCTAAGGATCAACCAATATGTTTATTTCTTTTTTTTTTTAGGGCTGATACTGATACAGATTATTAGTAATTAAGGAAAACCAATAACCAATATTTAGAACCGATATTTATTTGCAGTAGAAATTTATATTTTGGTATCAAAATTTTAGATAACACACCTGGGATTAGACTGAACACAGTACACAGTTTGTTTTGTACACTGTGAAAATCTGTCTGATGTTTTATTGTCTGAACAACAAAAACAACCAAAAGTGCAGGGATCTTACAGCAGCACTCATGATGAACTCTAACTGTAACTAACTAGAAGCTTGAGTTTTCATTGGCTGTCTGTGTAGCCCATCAGTGGGGACTGTAGGTGGGACATTGTTTCTCAGCCAAGAGTGGTGACTTCAGGCAGAGAGAGGCGGTTGTGTAAGAGCCGAATGAGCGCACTTTAAAATAAACTTATTTTATAGGCTACTGTGGAAAAAACAGGTGCTGCCAATTATTATCAAAATGCTGAATATTGGCCAATATTTTTGAATTACTGGTCGATCCTTAGTCTTTTCAGCACAAATCTTTGTCTTCACAGTCTGTCACTAAAACTTTGTGTAGTGGTTTCCATCGATAGTAGTAGAGTCCTTAATAAAAGCCTTCACAGAGATGAGGAATTCACCAGAGAGAAAACATTTATTCAATCAAAAAAATATTTTAACTCAATTATCCTTCAACCATGTGAACCACTAAAAAACTGTAGCAAGTTCGTAATACTAGAAATTAAACCTTACCAAGAGCCTCTTCTAAAAGAGTTCCACTTATGAAACTTAGGGTCACTGTAATTGTATAAAAATATGAGTTTAAAACGTTTTTAAAAAGTAAGGACAAAGTTTGAAATTGTTTTTGACCGACTTATTTTGAAGGCATGAGTTTTTCTGCTCTATAAATTGATAAATGTGTTGCTCCTTTGTTGTATTTCTGACAGATTAGCTGCTTTTGGAGTGTTTGCTTAGATTAGCTGGGCCATCCTGTTGTGTGAATCACTTGCCGTTTCTTCCCACAACAGTCTGGACTTCGGCCAATTGGGAGCCCTAAAAGAGGGCGGGAGTACTTTCCTTGATAGACAGACTACTGTAACCAATCACCGTAACCAAACATCTGACGTCATCACAGTCCGCAACTGTGTTCCCTGCTGGGCTCTCAAGCATCAAGTAAAGGTTTGGTAATATTTCAACGTGTGCAAGCAAACAATGTCTTTTATGTCTTCTATATATACGATTTCTGCAGACTTTGCAAAATCAACTGCAGAATTAACGCTTTGAAAAGCCCCGCAGCATGTGTTAGACGTCACCATCTACACATGGACCAATCAGGGGCTGCCTTTCACTGTTGTCCGGGGAACAGTGGAAACAAAGTCACTGACTGGCCCGGTTATGTTCTGATTTGTAATACACGCTCCCAATGGGCCGAAGTCCTGACTGTTGTGGGAAGGAACGGCAAGTGATTCATGCAACTGGATGGCCCAGCCAGGCTAGTGTTTGCTGTCATGTCAACAGCATTTGCTGTTACTGGGGTAACCACAGATGTCCCCCATAGACTGTATATACTATGGACAACTTGGCTCCACCTTCCGCCATTATACGAATTTGAAGCTGAATTGTTCTTGGTATTTCTAGGATTCAGCAGGAGAGTTGCAGTGATGACGCTTGGCTCAAACAGCGTATCCCCCGGGTGAGCTACGCAATCTTTGTACGCCCATAGGCTGCATCAAGTGTATATCGAAGAAAACATGAACCCACTAATAACTTTTAAAAAATGGAGCTGCACAGAAAGAAAAAGACTTGAGCACAAACCAGTCTGACAGTAACTACATGTCAACATCGCAAGCGGGGGGGGGGGGGGGGGTGTATTCTGTGTAATAAATTTCTAAAGTTTGTCCACCGCTCTATAGGGATTGCTGGAGAAGGCGGGATTTATGACCTATACTGCAGCCTGTCACCAGAGGGTGCTGTTCTCATGGTGGCTTCACACAGTGAGGAGGCAGACAGCGTCCAATCTATATACATGGTCTATGGTGTCCTCACATTAACTTAGAGACTAAGATACAACATTAGCCCTGAACTTTTGTAGAAATGACCTCACTCTAGCAGACATCACTTATCAATAATGCAGAAAACAATCAAGTGAGTGAATACAAACAAACATGCCCTGAGATGCCCACATGTGTACAGACTCAAGTCCAGCATGTCAATAATGTTATTAGGGGGGATAAGTTAAATTCCAGAGTAACTTCATTGAAGGACCTGATAATATCTCTCACTTTGTTGACCAAAAACTGACCTTAAGTTGAATAAGTAGGACTTACTCTCTTAAAGGTTAATATTCACTGAGGGAAAGGGCTTTAGTGCACAAAACACTTGTACTTGAATCTGATTTTCTCAGCCAATCTTTGGAAGTACGACTGAAGTGCCCCACTCAAGACATGAGTGATGGCTTGGCCCTTAATACTTGCAGTGTTGAGAATTAGATTATTTATTCTAGAGGGGATAAGAGAAGGACAAACACACAAAGACAGACAGTTTATTTCCTCTGTAGTTGGACAGGTAACCCTGTATACAAAGAGACACACCTGGTGACCAGTGCTGAGATGATATCTGTGATGGTGCTGTTTAGTTCATTCAGGAGCTCTTCGATGGGTCCAGGGATGGGTAACTGTTGTCTCAGGTGCTCTGCCCTTCGAATCTGCTGCCTGTTCTGCCAGATTGTTTCAGCCAGCTTCTCACACCTGACACACACACATACATGCACAAACCCATAAAGAAAGAAAGGTTGTAATCATTCCTAAATAAGGAGAAACATCTGAAAGTGAGACATGCCTTTTCGTTTTATTAGGACATGAACCCAGCAGTAGTCAATTAAGAGCTTGTAAATGGGCGACCCCTTGATTTGGGTGGAAATCTTGTGGCTGTAGACTTGATGGGAGGCAGAAAAGAACTCACCAGGACTGCAGGATGTCCAGGCCTCCCTCTGGCGGGCCCCCATTGCCTGCCAGCTGTTGCCGTCTCTTCCACTGGATCAGCTCATCATCCAGAATGATGGTCTGCTGTTTCCTCAGCAGCTGCAGTGTTTTCTGGTGCTTCTCTGCCAGGTCCTGCACATCATCAGAAATGTCCACATCAGCAGGGTACAGACAGAAACAAATTGATTCTGAAAAGTGTGTCCATGATCATGTCTAACCAGTCTGTATTTCTGTAGTGTGTTGGCCTCTCTGGTCAGCCATGCCTCCACAGTGGCTCTCTTGCTGAGCAGGGCGGGCTCCCGTAGCTGTCGGTCAGCAGGGGGGAGTGTGGCCAGGCTGGACAGCTGAGCTGAGCATGGGTGGTATTAGTTGCCGTCCAAGTAGGAATGAGGTGAGTGAGAAAGGAGGGGGAAAGAGGAGTTGAAGGAGAAAAAGTAAAAATCTTAATGCTCACAGACTCTACATTGCCCATGCTATCAGAGCTGCAAGTCAGAACAATACAAAATGTATGCAAACGGTGCTGGATTATGGAAGCTATAGGCGTTCATTTTTTATTACTGATGATTCAGCAAGATCACACATACTTCAGACAGCTGTGAAATGTATTTGAAGAATGTAGTACATCTACACATTTCCAAATGTTGATATTTGAAGCTCTATTATACACTAGATTCAAACTCTTCTGCATACAGTCATGAAGAGTGGAGCAAGGGCTGCAGACCAGGCTAATTAAAGCCTCAACAAATCATTAATATCATTAAATCAAATACTTTCTCGATAGATTTTTTTAAACCTGGCAGTTAGTCATTGAGTTCAAATGTATTAATTAAGCAGAGAGGTGATAATAGCAGCTTTAAAATCTGTTTCGAACAACCACAACTTGGTCTGTAAAACAAATGGCTCATTGATATTTGGTGATGGAAACATAACTGAATAATCATAGCAGCATTTATAAAATGACTCTGGTTCCTGGTCTCACCCTGGATGCGGAGGCTCTCCTGGTACTGGATGATAAAGTACTCCTGGTTGTGCTGGAGCTTGCGCAAATCATTCTCAGTGTCTTGGGTCAGTAGGCGCAGTTCCTCGAAAGCTTGGTTGATCTGCTGGTACTTCTGGGACATGCTGTCCAACATCCCACCCACCGGAGAGTTTGACTATCAACAATAAGACCAGATTTGGAGATGAGAGTATTCAGGAAATCAGTCAAGGGTAGTGTTTTCTTTTTTTTCACTGGATGATGCAGGACCTGTGTGTTGTCTTTCACCATACCAAAAATTGCCTGCACACTGATGGGTTGAAAAGGGAGCTACAAGTGAAATGCACCGATGAAACTTGGATAAAAGCCTAAGCTGGGCCCTGCTTGTTGCATTTTGGCTATTTTTCTGTAAAATCCCCAGTAAGCACAAGCCTGATGACGGTAATCCTCACAGACAAGGTAAAATAATTCATTTGCTTATCAAACTGAGGCAGACTGTGTGGTCATTTAAGGGTCTGACAGAGAGTACTGTGGTGCATAAAGGTTCAGATCTAACAGGGTGAAATTCAATCAGCCCAAATATGCATTCCACTAATAGAAAAGGCATGTTATGACTGGAAATCAATTCACCCCAGGAGTTGCTGAGAGTCACATGTTTTTTACGCACTGCTGGCTTTATGCTTTTATAACTCGCAGCCTGTTATAAAATGTGAAAAATCTGACTTCCATTGGACTTCATGCACATGCACAGGAGCAGTACAAATGGCTTAGTCTGATAAGATATTTCACAAGAAGTGTCTGTACGGATCACATTAATAATAAAAATGTAATGAAATCTACAGAGTTATTGTGAAAGGTTTGAAGCAGAGGGGGAAAAACAGTAACGAAAGAAACCAATCCTTAATTCAGTCGACATTAAGAGGTTAGGCTTCTAGTGGGATCCTGGCAAAAAACAAGTTACTATACTACAAGTTATTACTTTAAAGGAATGTATCAGCTGATTTTAGATAAAGTACTGGGTCAATAGCACATTAAAAGGATAATTCCCCAGAATATCCAATAATTCATGTCACAGGGAGCTAATATGGCAAATATGGTGCGTGTGACACAACAAAACAAAAGAGAAGGAGCCTCCATCGTGGAAACTATGTCGACTACTGATAGCTAAACATGTATCTGGCTTGCACAGTCAAAAAGAGTAAATCTTTATTATTTTCTCTTTGCATTTCTTCCATGTGATGAAGATGATTTAAAGATATGATCTTCTAAAAAAAATTGGCATGATCTAAAAATGACCTTTTTGGTCTTACTTTTAACTAAATTATATATCATTAACTTTAAGTGTATTTGCATTTATCTTTTCTAGTTTTAATGACAGGATTGTCTTTTATTGGGCTCTTACTTTGTTATCTTTGACTGCTGTTTTTATTTAATTTTATTTATTATTTCTTAAACTTCATTCTGTGTTACTTTGTTTTTAGACTTTAGCCAAAACCTCCAGTGTTTCCTTATCTTGAATTTTAAAATGGCGTTTCCTCTGTGCACACATTCCTGTTTCTATGAAATCAAGTTTGTGCATTTCAATACATGTTTCTATTGCGTTTAGATCGTGTGGTGGGAATGAGGGGTTGGGTTGGGGTAGATTTGAGTATTTTTTGTTTCTTATATTCCTTTTTCTGTGTGAAGCACTTTGTGCTACATGGTTTTGTATGAAAAGTGCTATATAAATAAAGACTGGTTGATTGATGATGTTCAGTTAGCAAAGAAGTAGCTTGGTTGACATGTCCTTTCAAGGGCTACTTTTTACTCTATACAGTGATTTCATTTCAGAGTCTGAGCCTTTCACTTTCGCTCTGTACAGACGGTGAATCAGTCAATCTATTCAGAGAGAAAAAAACCCTTTTATACATTATCATTCACAGATAAATTAACTTTCTGCACTTTAGTTTGTTGTACTTTGAGATGAATCCGGTTTGCCACAGCTTCTTGACTCTGCAAGGTTGTATTCAGCAGAGATGAATGAGCACAAGTATGTTTGCAGGTTTCAGCCCACTCCTGATTTATACAGCACATACTCACATTGGTGGCCTCTCTGACGAGCCTCTGCTCCGTGTAGAGGATGTGTTTGATGCATCGGACCAACTCCAGAGGACAGCGGTCATACGTGCTCTGAAAGACAAGGAGCACATGTGCTTTGTTAAGGCTTGTTAGCTCCTGACGGGCAGAGCGGCCGCTGCACACAAGACTCGGCAATTAAGCTGCCTCAAGGAAGCTTGGTGAGTTCTGGAGCCAACCTTGAAGACACACTAAAAGCCATTAGAGGAGCTTAATGAGCCCCATCTCTGAAGCACAGCACTCACTTATGCGGAAAGGAGTCTTTGGTGCACACACTCACACACACACACACACACACACACTGTCACACACACACCATGATTGACTAGTTTAAGTGTTACAATTATGATTTTCCCCTCTGTATTGATAATAAATCAGGGTTTGACTCTCAGTTTAGAAACTATTTGGTGTTATTAGTTGTTGTTGTTATTCCCTGTGTGAATTGTTTTTAGCAAAGTGAATTTATGAGGACATGTCCTCTAACAAAGACAATATTTGGCATAAAACAATTGTCTGTTTTATTTTTCATGTATTTATTTTGTATTTGGAGGGAATAAATCTCCAGATCAAAAAAAGAAAAGCAAGGGCGCAGAAATAATGCTACTCTGACAGTCAAGGGGAAAAACAAAGTGGTAGGAATCTGGAATTACAGTGTGATTTTGGGACGGCCTGTTTCTCTGCTGTGTTCCAGGGAGGGGAGAAGACAAACAGAGGAGCAGATCTGTGAGCAGGGAGCTTCATAATAAATAGCCGAGCTGGCTGGTTACCAAGGCCCTCACTCACTCAGGCTGTCTTCTTGTTTTCTCAGAGTGGATACATCCTGTTCCTAAACATTTGCCCACTGTGTGCTCTATCTGAGAATGATACCAACAGAGGCGTTACAGTCCAACAGTGGTGCTTTACAAACACCTGCTTATCATTTTCACATCGTAAACCTCTCTCTGAGACATGGTCACTGTCTGAGCAGCTGGAAAAACTGCAATCCTGATGAAATATTCTTGTTTTTGTCCATGTGATGACAGGAAAAGTCACTTTCTATCTTTCTTTTTGTATCAGAGATTTTGAAGAGAAAAAAGGGGGAAAAGGTTGACTTACTGGGAGGTCTGAATGAATCCTGAAAGGTGTAATTTGAATACTTTTTATTCCTGTGTGAGCCCAACGCAGTTTTACCTCTCTCAGACTGAAAGCCAAAAAGTGTTAATTCAGACTGTACGAATAGGCCAAGAAACATAAAAGTTATGAGGACCTGTTTATCCATAGAGGTGGTGATTTTCATTTTTTTCTGATGGGTGAGGTATATTTCCTGAAGGCTTACCCGGAGCTGGCTAGCGTAGTGTCCCAGTTTGATTTTCAGTAAGAAACCATCTTCTCCCACTTGGTGCTCAGCCTTGTTCTGCAGCTCTTGGATTAGACTGTCCAGCAGGCGTTTGGCCTTGAACTCCTCCTGTGGGTTCTCAAGGTCTATGGCATCCCTATCAAAACAAACAAATTAACAAACACACAAGACACATGCATCAACGAAAGCACACGTTTAAAGGATGAGCTTAAAGATTTCAAAATGACTAACAAGCCAGTCAAACCAGTCAAGTTCCAGTTTGCACTTATCACTTTTTCTTACAGAACAAAGGGGGGAAAAGGGGCATTTGTACTTTTGGAAATAATGCGAAGAACACATTACCCATGTGTGCTATTTGAGCATGAGAGATGGCTCCAAATCAATCACAAGTGGGAAACAATAACACAGAAATCTGAGTCTGATTAACAGTGAAACATGGTTGTCAGTAGATCCTTCTCAAAACAGCAGAACTAACAGCTAATATATGGGGGTAAAGAAAGGGGATTATTGACAAATTAATCACAGATGATGGATGGAGAATCAAAACTCATGCCAAATGTCACTAAACTTCCTTCAGATGTCACTGCAATTTTTTATTTAAGAGTTTGGGATGGAAGAAAGTAGCCAATGAGGGTTTCATCAAGTCACAGTTAAGTGGATGTTGACATTTGGGGTAGAAAGATGAATTCTTCAATGGCCAAATCAGATCCATGTAGACACTTGTGATACTTTATTTTTCAGAATGGTAAAAATACAGGAATGGGAGAATGGAGGGAAAGTCAGACATAATTTTTTATGGGTTGTGCAGTAGGGAGGGGCGATAAATTATCGTTCACGATAAATTGTCAGAAAAACCCTCTGAGATAAATATTTGTCATCTCATGATAAATCCCATAAATGCAAGTTGATGACGTAAACCACTGACGTACTCACAGCCATAGCCCACACAGGGCAGAATAACAAACAAACATGGCCAAAGGTGATGAAAAGGACGTTTCTGAGCAGCTCGTTACTTAATGAAGCTCCACATGAGGGATTTCCTTCAAGATTGGAGCTTAGATGAGCACAATCAGGTATGCCTGACATCGGACAGTGGATCTGCTGCTGTTCACTCTGTGCAATAAGAGTTTTTAATTAATGTTGAGAATGTTTCTACATTTCAGACCTGTTAGATGTCATTAGTTTTCTCCATAACCTACCACTCAAACTTGTAGTCAAGTATCTTATTTGACGATGCCAACTGTTGTTCTCAAGACAAAATGAATCCAAAATACAGACTGGAATTATAATATTTTTTTATCAGGACTTGAATCGTTGTCGCCAGAATGGGGAATCTTATTGTGATAATTTTTTTTAGCCCATATCGCCCATCCCTATAGCTCAGACAAATGCATCGGTCTAGATGTTCTGTTTAGGATTTAAAAAAAAAAAAACATACCAGACAAACATTTGTACAAGCCTACGTGTGGACATAACTGTGCATACACACACGTATACAAACATACTGTGTCACTGCAGCAGAGGAACTCACCAGAGCTGGCCCTCGATCCACTGGGACAAATAATGTCGCACCTCAATGGGAAAGTGCTGCCCGTACAGGGACTGCATCTGGTGGAGAGCATCACCCTGGAGCTGCTGGGCCTGGATCCACACTGCCATCTTCAACACCCTGAAGTCAGAAAATTGGGTTTTGTGAAGCTGTGAACTGCACGTCTTTGACAAACTGCCCTGAAGGACAAGTGCTGCTGCTGCTTTGCATAATGCCTGACTCAAGGTAGAGTGTGCGCTTCCATATTTGTCTTTCTTCTCATGTTTTGTTTTTGAGTGCATTTAGTGTGCTGAAAAGCCAAGTTGTTTCCAGAACTTTGGAAGACAAAATCCCAGCTAAATGAAGATAAATCTAATAGGAAAAAAACTAATACACAATTTAAAATCTGGCTCCAAGGTTCACTATAAAGACAAATTAAACAAAAATCCACGTTGCATTATCTGAATCCACGATGTAATGAAACCCCCCTCAGCTCAGACAGTATTTCTCAGCAAGAAGAAAACCTCCAAATATAACCTACAGATGTTTCTGGTTTCTCTTTACAGCTGCAGCCCGGAGCCATAGTGGTCGAGCTGGTTGTGTGTCTTTACTCTGAACATGTCGAAGGCTTTAACAGGATCCTCTGTTGAGCCAACAGCTCCACATTGAGGGACACTGATGCTTGTTTTCCAGTCAACACACCCCCTCAACCTTTCTCAAAAGTGGCACAGTCACTGTCAGTAAAAGACTGAGCGTTATGAGTACGCGGGAAGTTTGTGGTATTTGTATGTGTGACTGTGTGTGTGTGTGTGTGTGTGTAGAGTTGCTCGTCAGTGGCTCTGCATGTGTGCATCTCCTGTGCATCATTGTATACGTAATTGCAAGTGACAGACCCACAAATACACACACAGAAAAGACAGAAGCAGTAAAAAGCTTGATCAACTACATCTATCTTTTCTCTCTCTTTCACTTTCTCCCTCTATTTCTGTCCTTTGTTTGTATCATATATATACAGAGTAAAAAGGCCAACAGTGCATGTTACATGCTAATGTTGCTGAAGTGAAAGAAAGGTTTTTCACTTCAACTATTTATACCTTGCAAGACGGCACTGCAGCTTAAACTTGTCTGATAAAAGAGTTCACCTCTCATCTGATCATCAGGTACAGCAAATAAAGGTGTGTGTCCTGATGATATCAATTATGTATTATTCCTGCACCTATATGCATGCACACTGAGATGAACAGGGACGGATGATCCTGTCAGCCTATGCTCGTGCTCCTGCATTCATATTGTGTCCTGAACTTCAACCTTCAACTCAGAAACTTTTGTTTAGAGATGCGCCGATCCATTTTTTTCCGATCCAATCCGATACCGATACCTGGTCTGAGCATATTGGCTTATGTCCAATTCCGATCCAATACTACTGTTGAATGAATGAATGAACTGTATACCTTGCCCTGTGAGTGAAGGTATCAGGCTTTACATTAGCCATGTTAAAAAAAAGGTAACAAATTAACACAGATATAAATTTACTTAGTATTACTTTTTAACAAATAACAAATTGCACATTAGCACACAGCAAAAAGAAGTAAGACTTCCATATAAACATTTAGTGCAGAAGAATAGACAGACATGGAATATAGTGTGAACAGAATCGCTGTGTTGCTGTGTATGGTATTAATTAAAAGAAAAAAAAGACTGGATCGGAACGCTGGATTGGCGTCATTCAGCAGATATCTGATCCAGTTAATTTGCCAATATCGGAGCAGATATCTGATCCAAATATCAGATCGGTGCATCCCTACTTTTGTTTGCTGTGTTTTTATTCACAGGCTGACAGATATCAGAATCAGCAGCATTTTTGCAGCTATGATAAAATACTCAACCAATCAATCAAATTTTAAATACAGTGCCAATTCACAACAGTTGTCATCCCCAGACGCTTTCCAAAGAAAAAGAGCAGGTCTAGACCATTCTAGACCTATACTGCTAATACTGCTCTCAGAAACTTAGCATCTCACTGGAGTTACTCTGATTAATGGATCATGACGGGCGGCTTCAGAGTGCTGAGATCACACTATTGACTGTCTTTTTAACGGACTTAAAAAGTTTCAGCACAAGACTGTGTCTTATCTGTTGTATGATAGCAGACAACTCACAAACTGTAAACTGAATCAACCTTATAATAGACTGTTATTCAGTTTGAAATACAGCTCTTTTTTTTCTTTACTCTGTGTATAACTGAGGGCTTATACTCAGCAGATTCTTTAAATACAGTTAAATCCCCGACAAACGACTGCTGTGCACAAGTTTTATCTCTGAGGGCATCAGCAGCAAGCATCAGCACTTGTACTATCAGCTGATTGGAGGAGGAGCTGTACAGGAAGAGACCTTTTATACCTCCCTTTTCTCTGTGACACTCATTGTGGGTGCAGCAGCAGTGTCTTTCTGTACCATCCTGCATTTAACCAACATGCATCAAAGTGCACAGAGCACACCTGGTGCTTCGGCTTCAAACTGTGTAGTTTGTTGCGCAGCAAGATGGGTGAGTTTCAAAACTCTGTCTGTCTGTCTGTCTGTATATCAGATCTTAAAGATGTTTGACCCCCATCAGCACCTCAGTTCTCACCTGCAGCTCAAGTTTGACATGCCTGCACTTTTAATCTAACCACAACATCCACATGTACCGCCATGACCCTGAATTAAAACTGAAAATTTACCAGGGTTTCTTTTTTTTTTATTGGTAAGTCCCTCCTCCCCTTACAAGAAAAAGAAACCTATTTAACTTCCAACTTGACAGCCTGACTGCGGACTTAAAATAAAACAAAACAAAACAGAAAGAATCTTCAGCTTACCTCTTGCTTTCAGCTGTGCGTTACCATGTAACAGCAGGAAACGCTAGAGAGGAGCACCACAAACCTGAGACAAGCAGCGAGACAGAGAGAGAGAGAAAGCAAAAGGAGGAAGTGAGTCAACTTGGGTGCTTCTGAGGAAGCTCTCTCTCTTTTTCACTTGGACCAGCATTAATGAAAAATAAGAGCAGCTGAAAGGGAGAGTCCGCTTTTCAGATATGACATTACTCCATTTGTGGTGGGCATGACAACACAATGACTTTTGTAGTTTCTACAAAGGAAGAGAGCCACAGTTCAAGCTGCTTCACAGATGATTCGATTCAATCTTGTAACAATAATCAAAAAAAGACATCTGCGGGCGAATATCAAAACAAACTACTGTTCATCACCACCTCCCTCGGCTTTCTGCTATCGGTTGTTTTAATTGCCGTGATGTTGAATTCCCTGAAGAACTTTTTCTCGAAACATAGTGAGAAATAAGGTAGCTGACGGATGATAAGACAGGATGGCCGTTACAGAGCCAACAGTATGGCCAGATCAACTGTTGCTGTAATCAGACAAAACATAGAAAGCATTGCACTGTGACCCACAAATCTATAAAAGAAGAGCAGCGCATTAGTGGCTGCAAAATCCTCAGAAACATCTGCTGCAGATCCCCCCCCTCCAGAGCAAGAAGCTCCCATTGCTGCGCTGTTGTCTGTGCATATTTAAATCAGCCATGAAGCATACATTACATTGAAAGTGCCCCCTTTTTTATGTAAATAACCCTTATCTGTATGACCTACTGCTCCAGAAGAAAGCTGTGTTACAAGAACTGAGGCTGGTATCACCGTATTTCTCAAGTTTGGGCTTCCAGGAAGAAGAGCTACTCAGTCCCCTCCCAGCTTATCACATATCTGAAGATGGAATTGGACAGCTACTGTTGGTATTTGCTCTATTGACCTACTGTATTATCTCCACGTTAGTGTCCAGATAGTACAGTCGGTCACTAGAGCTCCTTTTCCTCGAAATGTATGTAATCTGTTTTCTAATAGAAAACAGTAACAATGTTTTTTTATATAAAATGGTCTCCAGAGCTGCTCAGAGTTTTAAAAAAATGCCTCTCAAGCTAAACTGAGCAAAATCTCTTTAAAAAATATGATGCACTATGGGAATTTACAGACCACTACATTTGTTCCTCATCTGTAATTGAGGCCAGCAGAGAGGCTGCTTTAGTCACTCGCTAAACTTGCCTGAATCTTAGACTAAAGTACTAAAGTTTATTTACTAAAGTAAATGTTGCATTATTGTTTTTTTTGGACAGCAGATTTGACAAGAGAGAGAAAATGAAAAGGTGGCAGTCCTTCTCATTTTCTAAGTATACTTCTGTTGCTTTTGTCAGTTTGCATAGCAACCACAAAACACCAGTTTTACTGCACAACAAATCTTGTAGACAAAACTTCAGAGCCTGTAAGTCTTGTGTTTTTGTCTCTGTTTTTTAGGGTCAATAAACTTAAATGTCCTACTAAAAAACCCTGATCCTTGTCAAACTTCACGATAGAGAGAAACTGTTTTCTTTCCTTTCACTCTTCTTTTTCAGAGACAGTGACATTTTGACCAGATTAGACCGTATAAAAGTGTCACGGCAGCTTTGATCTACAGCCTGGCTGTCTGCTCTTAAGTCGAGCCTATCATGCTTGTGGCATCTCTCATTGCTGGTTGGACACTGAGGAGGCAGAACAGCCGGATCACACATGCTGGGAGAAGTCTCTGGACTTTATTTTACTGCCTGGGTCTGTCCTGACTGCTCCGATCTTGATGCCCTGTCCTGCTTTTTGTCAAATTTAATCTCTCGATCTTTTAAAGTTCTCTTCAAAAGGTTTTATCTGCAAGTCAAATCTTTAATCTATTAAAGCACTGTTTTTGTTTTTGAATCGTGAGGGAATGGTAAGGCTAAATGTCATCTTCAACAAGTCAGCATGCTCTGCTACCAGAGTGATACAAGCTTCAGATGAAACCCACATTTCAAACCAAAATACAGACATGCCCAACGCTGTTTGGACTCAAATCAACATATAATTCTCATTATTGAAGTGGTGACTGAACAAAAGAAACAATCTGTTTTTGATTGTTTCTGCAAAAGCTTTATTTTATCTGTTTATTCGTTATCTTCTCCATTATGGGACTCTTATCATTACTCACTAATGTATTTCTCTGTAACAGCAAAAGCTTGGTTTACAGTAACAGAGTCATGGTTCTTCAGAGAAGGCTATTAAGCTATTATCAGCTGGATAAACAAATTATCTTTAGGTCATCCTAAAAGGGGGGGTCTGAGACAGGCTGTTACCTTTGAAATGGGGGTGCTCTGAAAACATTAGCACTGGGTACATTCCTCCTAATAAAACTAAGCATAGACTGTAAAGGTCCTTTCACACCGGGACCGTTTTTGTCGTGCGATTATTTCAGACATCAGTATTTTTTTTTCGAACTCATGGTCGGCTCATGGTCGATTTTTCTTAAGTTTCGCATACTGTGTGTCCACTTCTGACCAATCAGATAGCGTGTTGTTGTGACGTCTGATTCACCGGTATATCCAACATGGCCGACCACCTGATTGTTTACATGTCTGAGAACAGAGTGCTTTATGATAAAAGACAAACATTACAAAGATAACGACCTGAAGGACAACATAGCGTCAGATCTCTCATATGACAATAGTTTGTGTGCTTTAACAGTTTGCTAAACACTTTTGTTTTAACTTTCATCTGTGCTAACGTAAGCTAACGGTTGTTACCATAGTTTCATGTGCTTATCTTATCGCTTTAGATTGGCTGACTGTTTGGCTTGAGCGTGTGAGGATGTTTCCAGCTTTTCTTGCAAATCAGAGGCGAAGAAGGCGGGACTTTCTCCGGGAAAAGTCTTACTCTCATTGGCCCCAAGTCCACCAGTCGACTAGGACTTTCCAGCCCTAATTACAACAAAGTATAATATATGCTAGACAGCAGACTCTGCTCTGTCATTATTTTATTGACCTTGCTTTGAGGTGGTGTGATTGTATACTTGTGTTCCTTGCTTTTTGTCCACTCCCCACACCCACTCATATAGACACTTGAAGGGTTAACCAAGGTCCGTTTCACCTTGTTTAACCCTTCAACGATCATATGTGGCTCTTCTCTTTTATCTTTATAGCCATTTATACTGACTGAAGAAGAAAGACCTTGGATCTATCTCCAAAGCCGTCTCATGCTCATACTTTATGTATCGTTCGATTTGAATTTACTGCTTTCAGCACTGCCAATAGATTTTTTTTTTTTCCTGCCTCTCTCTGCCTTCTCTCTTCCTCTCTCAGACACACACTCCTATGCTAAATGCTGCAGCTAAACGGATTCAACACCATGGTAACACCAGACACATATTAAATGAATGAATCAGCGTTGGCTGCCAGTGTTCGCAACGCACACACCTTCAACTTGAGCAAAATAAGTCTTTCCTTCACCTTCATGCAACATTGTCGAGAGCAGAAGCAAGAGTACACCGGATTGTTGTATCTGTACCCACTGAGCAGAATCATGTTTTAAATATGAGTTGATAAAAGCAGGAAGAGAAATCTGAAATAAGACATCCAGCTAGCATTACACATCTGCCAAAACAAACAAATCAGAACCTTGTCCTGACCCGTTTCTGCACGGTACTCTTTCTACCGGTACCAGCCCGTCCTCATGTGCTCCTTCTTGGACTCAAAAGCTACTGAGAATGAGAGTGCTCATTATTTCATTGAGCTTTAAATTGTGCCATACAAAGTTCAGCCTTATCAAGACGAGAACAAATCATGAACTAAATAGCAGCTGGTGTATTAGGGGGTTTAAATCCTGTTCAAAAACAACCCTGGAGATCTACAGCGTTTAGTAGACTCAGAACTGATTTGGGGTTGTTGTCAGTCAGTCAGTCTGTCTCCCTCTTTGGATTTGTACGTACAAGAAGCAACTCAGATTTCATTTCCAGTGGTTAACTTGTTGCTGCTGTTCTTGAAACCTCAGAACGGCGGATTTCACAACTGCTGGAGATTGTGTATTTTTTTTCTCTTCTTTCTCACAGAGGAGTCCTACATGGCTTATGTCCACATGTTTTTCTAGACTGTGATACAGATTCACAGAAACTTTCAAAACAGCACATATATCATGTACCCGTGCCAATCACAGCATCTGGTAATACTCTTCAGTTCCTGCAGCAAATAGAGTCCAAAACAGACGAGAACTTCAAAGCGAGTCTGACTCAATCAGCTCTCAATGGAGAAGAGAAAGAAGAAACCCTTGTTCTCTATATTAGGAGGTTTTAACAAAAAGGAATCACATGGGTTTTAATAGCCAAGTCCTCTCTGGTGTGTTCTGCCAAACACATGGAGAATTCAGAACACCATGAGCTTGTAAACAAGGAGAGATTCTAGGTAAGTGTGCTTGTGTGAAAGGAGACCAAACAGCAGACATCCTCCTCTGCTCACCGATTTGTTCCAATTATCTTCCCTTGTGAGGCAGTGCACAATAAATTACAACTGCAACCATCCAGGCAATAGAAACAGCACTGCCATCAATCTTTGATAAGCCATACAGGTTGTATCATCAGTTGAGACTTTGTTGTACTCAAAGATTTGGCTGTAAAGAGAAAGTTTTCAAAAGCCCAACTGAGTGATGTTGTGATTACCCAGGGTATATGTGTGCAGTCGGTTCAGACATAAACAAAGGCAATTACACACAAACTCCTTTCACCCACTCTTTCCTCTGAGGAGAAACTGCCATTCATCAACATGAACACTTCCTGTTTAAAAAAAAAAAGAGAGAAAAAACGGCACCATTCACAGCCATCTTTTGCCCTTTTGACGAGGTCAGTCCATGCCCATCCAGTTAAAACTCTAAATGTACAAACTCTAAATGTGTTGGCTTTATGAAATAACTTTGTAGACATGATAAACACTGTTACTTCATTCATACTTGTAAAGATAAATCTGCTACAGTAGGCAGTTTATGAGGCAGTTTATGTCTTGATTTCAGTAAAAGTCTACAGAGCTGCACTTTGAAGTACACCCTCAATATAAATGAACCTGTTCAAGGGATTTTGGGAAGCTAGGATTGATTGAACCAATAATTAAATAAGCTTTTTGATCATGCTATGCATATTTACTTTTTCTGAAATCTTAATATTTCATGCTCATATTTCATAAAGTATCACGCCTTAGAGTGAAGATAGTCCACTAACAACTTACAGTCTTCCAAAAGCCAATCGCCATCAGGTGGAAAGGTTTGCAATCATACACTCTGTTGTGTTTCATGTTCTGTAGGTCAGACTGACGATAAAAATACAGGTGTGCAATTACTTAGTTTAATATTGGGATGATAGCAAAAAGTGGGATAAATAAAGGAGTGTTTAAAAGTGCATTTAAAATAATCATCAGTTGATCTACTGGCTTGTTTGATCTTCATCTGGCAGCATTAAAATAACATTAAAGCATGACAACCATCCCATCCATCAGGTATGCTTACATAGACAGTAGGGGTGGGAATCACCAGTGGCCCCACAATACGGTATTATCATGATACTTGGGCCATGATACGATATTATCACGATACTTGGGCGACGATATGATATTATCATGATACGTTGTCCAAAATACGATATTATCACGACACTTGGTCCAAGATACAATATTATCACGATACTTGGGCCACGATTAACATTTCGCAATACAGTGAGTATTGAGATATAATATATTGGGATTTATAGAATTTCTTCAACTGTTTAGCTAATTTAGCATTTGTCTTACCTTTATGTTTGTCTTATTTACACAGTATTTTACTTTCATGTAGCACATCTTGAAAACCTTATATATTTGTTATGCTAACTTTATTTATTTTATGTTATTATTAAAATGACATAAAACACATATTTTACTTGACTGCAGTTAATTTATACCCTGTTTTAATTGAGAATGCCCCTACTTCAATCAGGATGAAACTAAAATCATCTTGCAGCCGTGGTTAAAAATCAACCCAGTGACTCCGTTTCTTCCTGCAGTTCTCACTTCTGTTTGTTGACAGTGGATGGGACCCTCACCTTTAGCAGAGACTAAATAGCAGCCAGACAGAGAATAAAAAACTGAACTTCAGTGTGCCACGATTAAAGAGTATTATTTCATAATCCTGTCAACACAGGTTGCATCAGTAAAAGTTCACTCACCTGCGGCTTTCTGCAGAATGACCTGTCCCCGCTGACCTCTCATCCCCATTCACTTTTATAATGGAGTCTGTCATTTTGCCTTTTACAGTGAACTAAAGAATAAATGAGTTAGGCCTGAGTTAAACATGGTCTGCTGTACACTGTATAAAGATGAATTATACCCACTTTATCTACAAAAGAAGTAGAAGATATATCTTAATTAATTATCTTTATCTTAATTGATAAGTAATAAATAAAAGCTTTGCGCCTGAAGCTTAAAGATACTCTGATTGGTCATGATTAGGGCTTTTAAGTTTATAGCTTGAATTCTTTATTTTGAACAGAAGTCCTGAAAATTGAACAAACGACTATTTTGATTCTTGGTGCCACCCTCTGCAGGGTATTACCAGCAGAAGGAACCCTGGATAATTATCACATGACCTGATTTGTCTGATACAGGGGGTCTACGTAAACAGCGTTTCTGCCCCTTATTCAGCCCTACTGTTACAAATGTTCTCCCGCATTGTCATATCACCCCGTGCCAGCATTTATAAATAAAATCAAAGCAAATTTGCTGAGTGTAAGATTACACTCAAAGCTTACTTCCTCAAACATCCAGTGTACATGGCTGCATGTTTTACAGCAAATGTTGCTCATTCAGGAATATTACAAAATGAGAAACCAAACACATGAGAGGCCTGTCAAACCTGACCCAGAGAAAAATGTGTCAACAGAGGAACAATTTCTGAAAAAAAGGATGATAGTGAACCGGTCAGGGGTCAAAGCAGAACATGGCTTTTGACAATCAAACTTGTAGATGCCCCGGGGTGAGGAGCAGCAGTCGGGACATGACCCATAATCCCCTCCAGACCAAATGTCCTCATTACATCACCCAGCGCAGATCTGGCCAACCAGTCTTCACCACAGGCTTGCCAAAGTAGCTTTTTTCAGCCAAAGGACAGCAGATGCTCAGTCGTTACAAGGATCATCTCCAGACTCATTACCTGACCGTTCGAACTCCACAGTGATGTCGACTTTCAGAAGGCATCAGGGAGTCTGATGAGGGGAATACAACTCTTTATTCACATCGAACACAAGGAGTCAAGTAATGATACATGAAGAAGACACGGGAGACTGTCACAGGGGAGCGCATGACAAGCCAAAGTACCAGCAAGTCAAAGGGTGGGACAGACTGCTACAAGAGCGTCTTTGTGCTGTCCGACCTGCCCTGAGGTCCTGCTGCTGTGCTCCAACCAACATCCTATCACGCTGTCAACATGACGAAGATCACTTATTAGCTCCATGATGTGCTTGAGAGAGTGTGAGAGTGTGTGTGTGTGTGTGTGTGTGTGTACGTGCAGTGTGAGGAAGTGTTGACACATGCTTTGTGTAGTGTCTCACATTTGAACGTGGAAAAGCTTTAATTAAATACAGCTACAAAAACTGAATTAACACTAAAGAGAAGAACAAATTTGAGGCTACAAATCATCCTCTGAGTCAAACATGTTTCCCCTGCAGGCGCTCACAAAGAGCCACATTGTCAACTCATGTTGTTGCATCTTCATGCAACAGGCGAGGAATATCGCAGTCATCATTCAATTCTCACATGAGCTAATTTTGAGCTGTTATTGATAGAAAGACTAAAAATAACCAGGACTTTGTCTGCAGATACAGATCATTGATATTAATGTGCACAAGTGAAGCAGTCAGACGTAAACTAGAGCTACTCCTTTGTTTAAAGTTCCTGTAGGGAATTTTCACTATGTGTTGATTCTGGCGCCCCCTGAGGTTTATCATGATATATTTTTTCATTTCAGTCGATATTAAAATAAATATCGATATAATTTTTTTTTTTAACAACATTTATTGGTAGCATGTCTTTTGCAATACAATAAGAAACTGCATTGGTAAGGTCTTTGTGTCTCTTCTGTGGCTGTTTCAGCTGCACAGGCACCAGGGGCTCCTTGCTCCGCTCAGGGTTCGTAGCCTTTTGCATTGCGCATGCTCTGCCGCGTGGCACTGATTACAGGTGGTGAAAAAGATTTGAGGTATTCCCTGACTTTGAGGGAACATGTACTCAACATTATTTGCAGTGCAGATTACTCTGCTTTATGTCCGACCTCAAAAAATCAAAATACCTTCACACCACCGACGTTTTCGTGCCAGTGTTGTCGTTGTTGACAATGTCATTATCTGTTTGAGCCTTCATCTGCATTTCTTCCAGTGGTAGCACTTATTTTCTTTTTCTCATCGACAGTGCTGTCGGCTTCACGTGTCAAAGTGCTATGGTTGCGTGTAGTTGCAGCCTGTTACTATGCAGTTGTTTGCTACTTGTTTCTAAATCAGCACATGATTGGTTCAGCGCGGACCCAGAGCCACTCCCCTTTTCATTGTCTAATCGTATAGTCTACCAAAACATGGCAGAATACAGACAATCAAAAAATTATATTTACCATGTTTTATATTGATATTGAGGGAAATCATTTCTTGATATCGTTATTGTTTTATCGCCCAGCCCTAGTTCTAACTCAAGTGAAGTTATCCCGAAGTGAAACCAAACCACACCATGTTACCAGTTTTTAGTCAGAGAAGCTAGCCTACAAAATATTGATATGTCTTTATAGATATGTTGCTTAACATCATGATAATCCCTTTCCTCATTCTGACCTTTACAAGCAAAGGCAGTATTTTCTGACACAAAAAAACTCATTTTGCTGTTTTTACAGACAATTGTGTAAATCTATGTGAATCTCAGCTATTAAAAAATGTAAACAGAGAAAGTTTTTCTGCAGATGCAAGTCATTTTGTTAAACACCTACCCACCAGCAGAGGTTTTAGACTTTAAAAATAGCTAAATAAATGCAATGAGTCTTTGTTGTGATGATCTGGTTTGCTTTCCTAGGCCACAAAGAGGCATCAACATTAGTTTCAGTTTGTTTTATAATCAACAAAAATAACCTCCTCATAGGGGCTTTAATATGTCCATTATTTCAAAAAGCCAAACTTTTTAAATAATTGCTCAGTCTTTATATGGTTCATTTGTTTATTTGATAAAAAGACTGAACAATAATAATCTTAGATTTCTCTTCTTACAACCTGGCCCGGAGAAAGGAGAAGCATTAACTGGTTCAGGACGAGATTTGAGTGGAGTTGAGGAAAAACAATGCTTCCAGATGTCTAAGCAAGGGGCATGGACTCGGTGGGAGCATGCAGAATCCTTTAAGATCACCTGGGCAGAGCTTTGAAAAGCTCAGCCATCACACATCAAGTTTCTCCAATCAGTTCACATCTTCCTCCTGAGCCCAGCCAACCTGGGGCCCAAGATTCTCCACAGTGCAAGCTGTACCAGAGGAGGGGCAGCCTGAAACATATCTTGAGCTGCTGCCCGAAAGCGCCAGGAGAGGGGCAGTACTGCTGACGCCATAATCAAGATCTTGGGCGGACTTCATCTGCATAGCAATCCAGCACAGCAAGATCCAGACTGCCTCCGTCATTAGATCGGGACCAAAGACACATCGCCATCAGCCCAGTTTTACAGGGGGCTTCTCACCACCGCTCCTTACTGGCAGCTTCAAGTCAACCTTAGAAAACAGCTCAATTTCTACATCACAGCTTGCAAAATTCTAGTAATTTTCAAAGTTGGAAACTTTTCATGGGAATTTATCGGGAATATATGGGAATTCACGGGGATATATGGGAATAAACGGGAAAATATTTTAGAAATTTACAAAATTGAAGGTTGGCCGGAAATTTACCAGAACTTTCCGCCCCTTTACAACCCTAATCACAACCACTTCTATTCGCCCAGATGTGTTGCTAACTTCAGACTCCACCAAGGAAGTGGTTCTCCTGGAGCTGATCGTCCTCTGACAGGACCAAATAGACAAAGCTAATGAACAAAAGATGTCAAAATACACAGAGCTCATAACAGAGAGCTGGAGTAATGGCTGGAAAGCCTGCTGTGAGGAGGTCAGGTGCCGAGTCTTTACTGTACATTCACTACTGCGAACACTCAAAGTGAAAGGACTGCAATCTAGGAGAACCATCAAGAACACTCTTGAGGTTGCCGGGTGGACCTAGAGGTGGCTGTGGGTCCGTAAGGGGGAACCGTAGAATATCACGCCACTTGGACACAGCCGGAGACTGATCTCTTCTGGCTGGGTCGCTTAGTTGAGGGTGTATAGTGATTAAAAACCTGAAATACCCTATGACCCCAGGTTCTTTACTGATGACTTGTCCGAGTATCACAGGAAGGTATATTCAACTCTAGATGAGTTGAACTCACACACACATCAGTCAGTTTGTCATGACAGGTGGTAGAGGAGTCTCCTGTTATCACAGGGGTCATCTACAGAGGACACGGTCACTTCTACAGAGCTGAGATGTTGCCCTTTGTTTCGCACCCTCAGACACACAGAGACACACAGAAACACACTTCACACTGACAGACCAAATGTAATTGTGTCGAGAGGAAAAAAGAGCCTGCACATGCCCTCAGGAAGCAGCTTTCCTACAGCGCTGCGGCAGAGACTGAGGATACTCTTTGTGGTCTAGCTGTGATGATGACCCACTACAAATAAAAGAAGAAGATTGTCTCCTGCAGGCGTTATTGTGCCATGTTCATAGAGCTGGTCAGCAGTCTGTGAGTGGGCTATTGTGTAGGTAATGTCAACACAGTGGCAAACATCTGTCAGTCCTAACACCCTTAAGAACTGAGTATTTTCTGTACTTTGAAGGACGCCTGCTGAGCATGGACATGCTGTGTGTACTAACTAGAAAATACAGGGTTGAATAAATGAAGCATAATGTCATATCTGCTTGCAGTAGTGTATGCATGGACATTGGCTAATGAACTAACACTATGACTCCTGTGGATTTTTTTGCATGCATGCAGAATCACTACAAAGAACTGATTTTAGACATCTTTAAATAATCACCAGATGCTGTTTAAAGGACCAAAACGGATGCACAATCATTTGTTGGCCTGGTTTATCCTTTACACACACAGGGTAGGGGTGGGAATCACTACTGGCCCCACGATACGATATTATCACAATACCTGGGCCAAGATACAATATTTTAGTGATTTTCACGGTTTGCAATACATTGAGTATTGCGATACAATATATTGCGGTTATACAATGTTTTTAAACTGTTTAGCTAATTTAGCATTTGTCTTTCCTTTATGTTTGGACACTTTGTTCTATTTCGTCTATCACATCTTGCAAACCTTATATTTATTTGTTGTTCTAACTTTCTCCTGCTCTATGATGTCACCTCTGCCAACCTCACTGGACAAACAGTTTATTTTATTTTTCCATCATTATAGATTTGACTTCATATTAGTAACTAACAAAAAAAAAATCGATACTTGGTAAATGAGATGATACGATATATCAACAAACAAAATAGCGCGATTCTCTGCTGTATCGATTTTTTCTCCCACCGCTAACACAGGGCAGTAATCTAGTTTGGTTTAAGAGTAAAGGTTGATGGTAGGAAGGCAACTCAGCAGCCAATCTGTTATTCCTGTGACTGTGGCTGGTGCTGAGAGTTAGCACAGCTGCCTGCAGGCTGAGTGATGGAGCAGCAGTCAGTATGAAGAGGAATCAATCAGGGAGTCATAATATACTGCAGGTGACAGCACCCTACTGGACTCTGCCATCAGGCCTGGAAAATAACAATGTGTGTCACTGCCTGGTTTATGCCTCCACTGGTTATGACTCTGCTCCATGTTGCAGGTCAAGTTATTCAGCAGGCTGTTCTCCTTTTTTAGGCAGCTTCATACCGAGGGGCTCCAGCACAAGCTTAGCGTGGTTAAGGGGAATCTATGAGACATGTAGGCCTGCATGATATGAGGTTATATGTGGTTCTCATGGATGCAACATTAAAATATTAGTGAGTGGCATTATGTAACAGGATTAAACTCCCTCTGGTTATGCTCAACACGCCCCCTAAAAAAGACCAATGACTGCCTGCATCAGACTCCCACGGCTTGATATAGAGATAAGAGGTTGACAGTAATCACCTTTTGTAATGCACTTTCAAGCCTTAGCATGCCCACAACTTCATATTTTGAGTTAAATTACAAGAATATGGATTCTCTCGTATTTTGACACTATCAGCTCTTTCCTTCACCACTTTCTACTTAATTTCCCACAGGCCCATATCATCACAAAAAAGCTGAAGTTTGTCCACAGCTAGATCTCCTATTCATCTTTTAAAGAAAATTTGATATTATAATTTCCCAGAAATAAGATCACGCTTTTTATCTTGGAAAATAACTTCATCATATCAGGGTGTAAATGGTTGACGTGCAGTGCGTCTCTATCCATTAGTACCAGCAACCTTTAGTTCCATGAGCTTCTCTTCCAATAACTAAATGGTTCCTGTGGCTTATATTTGTCTGTGTTTTTACCAACATCTACAGACCCAGGAAGATTCAGGGAAATCAGGCCAATACTCTCAGGGACACTCATTTGGTAGATAAAGCAACTAATACAACTCTTAGTTTAAACAATATTCCGACGTCTTCATGTGCAAACCTCAACCAAAAAGCCACTCTAAAGCCACAAGTAATGCTCAGAACAGCACCTATCTTCATCAAAAGTACATATAGGGTCCCAGCCATAGTACTAGCCATCAAACATCTTTTTAGCTTTGCCTGGTTTTTTAGCAAAGAGACCAAACATAACTCACCCACTCTCCTCCAGCAGCTGCTTGTTCATGGGGGGAACCCTGACGAGTCGATCATTAAATGCAGCAGAGATTCCCAGCTCAAGGAAGAACATTTATGACGCTCAAGGTCCTTACACACAACAACAACTCAAATATACGACGCGAAATTATGAAATACTTGGAGGCAAATTTTGAAGCGCCTGACTATATACATCAAGCGCGATGCGATTTTGCGACTTTCCGGGGGAAAAAAGACGCAAAAGACACAACACCAGACTGACTGTTTTTCAGTTCTGATTAGACATTAGTGTTGAAATGGCTGTCTGTCGTGATAGCATGTACTGAGTTGGTGCTGTGACAGCAACGTGATTGAGTTTGAGACAGTGAAAATACATACGGTATATTGTATCTGAGCAGGTTAGCTTACGAGCTAAAGTTACTTAGCACAGATGAAAGTTAAAACAAAGATATTTAGCAAACTGTCAAAGCACACAAACCATCGTCACATCAGAAATCTGACGCTATGACTCTCCACAAGTCGTCCTTCAGGTCATTATCTTTGTAATGTTTGTGTCTTTTATCAAAAAGCACTCTGTTCTCCGACACGTAAACAATAAGCCGGTCGGCCATGTTGGATATACCAGTAAATCTGATGTTGCAACAACATGAAATCTGATTGGTCAGAAGTAGACACACAGTATGCGAAACTTTAGAAAAATCGAATGTGATCCGAAAAAATAGATGCCACAGTATCGCAGGACAGGAAAACATCGCTGATGTGAACGCTTGTATTGACAGGATATGGGGTCGAAAAAAAATATTGATGTCCGAAATGATCGTGCGAAAAAAACACTCCCAGTGTGAAAGGACCTTAAGGCAGAAGAACTACCGTGTCTGCAGTGCAAAATGATTATTTTGATGATTATTACCTCATGGAAATGATCCGCTGCACTTGGTGATCGCCTCGTCAGGGCTCAGTGTTACAGTGTGTTTGACTGTAACTTAAACTAGGCTGGAATATCCCTTCAAGTCTCTGCTAAACTAGACAGCAAGGAAATAAAAACATCTAACTAGAAGATACAGAAGGAGACATCCAGGAGACAGACAGAGAATGCCCATGGACCGTTGAGTTTGTTTCCCCACATCACATCACAGGTCTTAAATCTCCTGGTACACACCATTTCTGAGCCCACATATCAATCATATAAGCCACACCCCTTCTTATGCATTTCTATTTAACTTAAAATAGTCTGATCAAAATGACTGAATCAGTAGAAATGCATCCTTATGTGGACTCTAAAGGGGTTTTCCCTCAAGTCTCTGACACAACAGGAACTGCACTTCTCACATTTCTGAATCTGCTTCATTTTTCAAGACTGCAAAGAACACACATATTTGCACATGCTCAGATAATTATGACGAAGGTATCTTCTAATTTCTAGAGTAGGCGTGGATTAAAAAAAAGTAATTTTGTTGAGTCATAAGTGAAGTTAGCTATTCTTAAAAATATATGTACCACTACAATTTTCAGATGTCTCATTCAAGAATGAAGCTTACTCAAGCACAACATGCTCACATACACACACAAACACACATACCATGTGTTCTCACTTGCTGCTTGCGGAAAAGGGAATGAGATCTCTACGGCTGTATTTTTATACTCGCTGAGTCCCTGGCAGTGTGACCTCATTGTGCTCAGCTGGCCTGCTACTCTCTGACCCTCCCCACCCCCCTCAGCCCCCGCCCTAAACCCTTTCCAGCCAATGATCTGCTTTGTTCCACCGGCTCACACTCTCCAACCATCTGGACAGACGTCTAAGAGAAGAGCAGGTCAGGGTATTTGAGGTGAAACTGCTGCAGCTTGTATGTGAAGAGGAAACAGCGCAGCCTTGAAATACTCTCAAGAGTGAGAAAGAATATCTTGTTTGCTCTAGAGTAGTATAGCCTTCTAATTGAACAGGAGGGGGGAAAGTATAGAGAAGCTCAACAAATGGACTGCCAGAGGGTACAAAAATATCTACAGTAATACCTGAAATCAGAGCACAATATGGCTGTGTCAAAGCTTTTTCACCCTGAGTGTAAAAGTGCATCCCTTACTCTCTGTTTATTGAAAGCACACTGAAAGTGTTAAATACACAGAAGTGTGACAGCAACCTTTTTTTGTTTGGGCACTGGTGTGCAGCTTCACCCTGTTTTTTTTTTTAACACCTTATTGACTTGAATGGGAAACCAGTGGTACAAACTCTTCTCTCACACAGACTGCAGAGATGGTCATTAGTGAATAATAAGTGTAAATTGTCATTCTGTTTTGGCAACATCATGTCAAACTACGAGCATTTATATTTATGGGTGAAGCTTCTTTAGCACCAAAATTTCAGCCACTTTTCACACCTTTGAATCCTGTTCATGAATGAACAAGAAGCTGTCAGAAAAAAATGAAGAAGAGAGAATTTTGCTTTGACATTATTCAAATCACTCACGTATTTGTCTGTCTGTCTTTGCCTGGTCTGTTGCAGGGAGCTTTTCATGTTTGGATCTTTATTTTATCCTCATGCACAGAGCTCCATGCACAGGTCTGCATATGCATCTGTCTGTGTGCATCCCTGTGTGTTGGGGTCAACTACAGAGAACCAGTGGGTGGCGTTATATAATGTGTGGCCCATAGGGAGTGTTAAATGTGGACAAGGCTTGAAGCTTGAGTCTGCAGCAGCAGGAATGCCAGTTTGTTGGAGTGGAGCCACTTGTGGCGCAGAGGCCTGCAGCCAGAAAACCACTGACAGGCAGCAAAGACAACCAGCTAGCCAGTTGCCACTGTCCAGCAGTCTGCTATAAAGAATCATGAGCCCAGGATGGGGTTAGTCCAGTTGTACAAACAGACACAAGTACAAAGCCTGACCTCTGACCCTTCATGCCGTAAGAGATGTGAAAGAAGATTTTCATTGTTTGGCTTAATAAACTGAAATTGATTCATATAGTTGAGCTAAAAGACTTTGATTAAAGGTTGTACTGCTGACAAGCCTCTTTTTTTATTGTTATATAATAAAAAAAGCAAACAGAGAAGCTCTTTCATCTGACTAACAACCCTGGGGCCACAACGCACGATGGACCAGAGAGCTTTGGACCCAGCAATAAGAAAAGAAAAAAATCATTTCCTAAATAATCGCCCAACAAGAGGCTTAACCTACATACAGCGTGAATTGAAAACAAAGAACATGCAACAGATTCAAATGATTAAGTTCACCAGTCCATGTGTAAGCCGAGGCCACTTGGGGTGACTGTCATTTCATCCAGTCCCTCTCCTCTGAACTAAACACTAGCAGGGGGAACTCTAATCTGCTAAAATAGATCTTTGGCAACATCATGGTTTTAAACCCCACCTGCTGCGTCATTTCCACATAGGTGCAGCATGACAGTATGAGGGTCTGCTGCCTGTTTCTCTGTCTCGGTGAAAACAGAGTTAAAGACAACCTGAAGGTTTCAATAAGACCTCTCTGTTTATAGCTTCAAAATGTTGGTATTGTATACTCTCACTAGTCTGCGATGCATCTAGATCAGACTGTGCATGACTGACACAAACTTTTAGCTAGTCAAGCAGACCAGCGTATTAGAACTGAGGCTATTGTTTAGAGTCAGTACCAGCCATCAGGGCCCCTAGCTGTTTTTGTAGCTCTGGGGAAAGGGGGCCCTAAGAGAGGATCAAACCAAATTAGTACTTGGCATACAAACATGTGCGAGCACACGCACAGGAAAATGTTTTGCTGGGATCAACAATGAAAATTAAAATTGGTTGACAACAAATTAGATTGTCAATAACCAGTTTGTTTGGTCACTTTACATGTTGTTCTGTTGGGAGAACATATAACAGTGTTTCCTGGAGCTGAGTTGCTTTTAATAGAGAGTTGTTCTTGAAGTCAGTCGTCACTGATAGGTGCAAACAAGGCAGCTGAAGCAACGTCAGACCAGGTGCACTAAAGAAAATCCCTGAGTGTTGTCCATCAGCATGCAGTAGAGAGAGTAGGAGGAGGCTGTGAACAGTTTTTTCTCAAACAGAGAAAAGGTCCTGACTCAAGATAACTTAAAAAATGAGACAAAATTATTATTAGTAGTAGTATTATTATCATTAGAGGGAAAACTGCTTTAAACTCCAGCAAGGTTGATGTTTAAATCTTAACAGTGAGGTCAACATTGAGGGCACTTCTGCCAAACTCTGCCATTTGTCTGTTGTTGGTGGATAAACAGGGAACATCAATCACCGTTCCTGGCTCATGGTCTGTTGTTCATCCATCCACCAGTTCATACACCGTTTACTCTCCTCCACATGTAACCAAGAGGATTACTATAATCTGACTGTTAAAAATATATCCCATGACCCCGACATTAAAAATCTGGTTTGTTCTGTTCAAACACTCAAATACTAGAAAGATCTGACAAAGACTCAAATTCCAGATTAACAACTTTCCAAACAGATTAGAGGAAAACATGAAGGTTTCATTTACGGTGAAAACAATCCAACACACCTTGATACACCTCATCAGACCTCCCTGCTCATTCGGGTCATTTGACCTCCTTCCCCTAACGCCAGCTTTGTTGTCTTCCCAAACAGCGTGTCAAATGCCATCTGACAAGTGAACAAACATCATAGGGGCCCTCCACGACTCACTGGGACCACAGAGCTGGAGATGCCCCAGACAGAACCTGAATGAGGGGGAGTGTGGGGGGTCACTGAGGAGATGTGGTGAGGCCCCAGATGAGGGTGTTGTTTACATATTCTTGTGCAAGGGCAAATGAGGAGGTGGAACCGTAAACCCCCTAGGCTTAAGAAGGGATTTTCAAGAGCTACTGTCTGATCGTGGTCACAAGAGGAAATGAAACTATTTGATACATCCCAGAAAATAGAAAAGCAATTTTTATTATTTCTGGACTGGGGCTTGGAAGGAAGTAGACAGCTGTGCACTATTATGGCTGGGGGAGAGAATATCCAATGTAAAAAATGTAAAAAAAAAAGACAGAAAATCTTCCTGCTGATATTGAAGGGCTAATTAAATGATTAATTGGATGAAACAGGCAGAAATTCCGCCTGGAGTCAGAAAATTTCCTCTCTAAAAAAAGATGCTCACGTAGGTTCTGAAGCGACAACATTGTGTTGACTGGGTGCTATCACAGCTGCTTAAAATGTCGCTGCTTATATCAGTGGGCAGGCTGATCGGCTGACTGAACTCTGACTCAGTGACTCACAGATGCAGTGGTAGTTTTGAATTTTCCTCAGTTGTCCTCTATCCCAGATTTAGAATAAATGATGAGCAATTGACACTTAACCTCTAAGTGTCCACCCTGAAAACACAAATGACTGTCTTTCTCTATAATTACTATGACTGTCAGACTTCCTTCCCCTCTGTCTATGGATCACTCCTTTACTCCTCTCTTATTTACCTGCTTGTGCTTGATTCCTGTTCTACTGCTTCTACTGGTTCGTTCTCCCTAATTTTGGCATTTTCTAATCTGTTATTCAGGCCTTTTCTCACCTTTTCGCTGTGTGAACAGAAATTGTGTCTCACTGCCAGGGCCTGGTCTAACTGTGAATAACCCACAGTCCCTGCCCTCCAGATATATTTAGTTCGAGGGTCTTGCAGCATGCCCCTGGCTGCTGTGGATTTGGCCGTCGTGCTGCGAGAGGAGCAGGGAGGAGACGAGCATGCACTGTGTGAGCTTGCATCCATGAGTAGGATTCAGGGAAATCAATGCTTTTCATCAGGAGGAATAAAGGGTCTGCTGCTGGATTAGTTCAGCAAAGCCAATCACTCGACATTTACATGTGATCGCATAAGTCAGCCTGACTCTCTCAACAAAGCCAACATGAGAAATCCCATTCAAAGTAACACCGGATTCATGTGTGTGAATACTCTTACATACTCTGTTACACTCCATCACAAGGACTCAAGTTCTAGTCAATTTCCTCTCTCAGTCATGCAGACAATCTCAGAGAGTCCCATCATTACGCTGGCGGAGATTGTGTGTCTGCACTCATGCACTGTTTGTGAGTTGTGTGTGTGTGTGTGTGTGTGTGTGTGTTTGTAGAGGGGGGGTTTGAGGTTAGGAAAATAAGGGTTATGTAATGTTTCAACATCTTCAAACTGGTCTTACTACATAAAAGTATCTGGATAAAAGAGTGCTTTAAGAAATTCTTACATAATGGATGTAATATAACTGTTAATAAGACTTGTAAAGAATGGTATAGGGGTAGCAGGCATACACTACAGGCCAAAAGTTTGGAAGCAAGGCCATTACAGGCCGAACAGTTGGGAGTAACTTCAAGTTTTTGTTCACAATGCTTTTTTAAAAATTTAGAGTTTTATGTATTTTGGGATGTATTTACTCCATGATTTATACTCCTTTATAGCATGATCAAATGTTGCTTTCATGGAAATGCACCATTTTACTCCATTTACCTTTAGATATACATTGATGTTAACAGACCATTGCTACATATGTCATCAAAAGAGAATAAGGGCTTAGTTTTAGGGTTGAAAACATTTGCAAGAGTCACAACTTCAGTGCAAAAGCAAAAAAAAACAAATCACAGTTGGATTATTCTTTTGAGAGTCTGCATACAAAAATCCTAATAAATCTCAACTGCGTTCAAACTACCACAAAAATGGCTAGAAATAAGCAACTGAGTAAAGAAACAAAAGTACAGATTTGTACATTGAGGAAAGAAGGATACACAGAAAGAGAAATTGCAACCTGGAAGTTATGATGATATAAAAAGACCTGGACGAAAGAGAGTTACTACAAAAGAAGAGGATAAACATAGCATTGTCACCAGTAAGAGAGATCGGCGAAAGACAGCACCACAAATAAGGGAGGAAATCAACATGACAAGGTCGAAACCCATATCTCTGACAACCGTGAAATGACGTTTGAGAAAGGCTGGTCTGAAGGGTTGTGTATCTGCAAAAAAACACTACTTCGTCCACAGAACAGGAAAAAGAGATATGAGTGGGCAAAAGCTCACAAAAATTGAACTCTAAAGCAACCGTACATCCAAGGGGAGCACTTAAGAGTAAAAAAGTAAGCTGCTATAGGGCTCACCCCCTCCCACATTAACTTCATCAACTTCAGCCGCAGCTCCAGCCGCTACATCTTGTAAACCATCCTCCATCTCCTCACCTGTCTTTCCCTCTTTGTTACCAACTGGGTGGGGTGGAGTCATGTCTCTGACGTAGGACAGCGTCTTAAAGTCCTTTCACACCGGGAGCGTTTTTTCGTGCGACTATTTTGGAAGTCAATATTTTTTTCGAACCCGTATCCTGTCAATACAAGCGTTCACATCAGCGACATTTTCCCATCCTGCGATACTGTGGCATCTATTTTTTCGGATCATGGTCGATTTTTCTTAAGTTTCCCACACTGTGTGTCCACTTCTTACCAATCAGATTGCGTGTTGTTGCGACGTCAGATTCACCGGTATATCCAACATGGCCGACCGGCCGATTGTTTACATGTCTGAGAACAGAGTGCTTTATGATAAAAGACACAAACATTACAAAGATAACGACCTGAAGGACAACTTGTGGAGAGTCATAGCGATGGATCTCTCATATGGCGATGGTTTGTGTGCTTTAACAGTTTGCTAAACGTCTTTGTTTTAACTTTCATCTGTGCTAACGTAAGCCATAGTCATAAGAAGTAGTAGGCATAGTAAGCCATAACGTAGTACCATAGTTTCATGTGCTTATCTTATCACCTCTGATTGGCTATAAGTGCTGACTGTTTGGCTTGATCGTGTGATGACGTTTCCAGCTTTTCTAGCCAATCAGAGGCGAAGAAGGCGGGACTTTCCCCAGGAAAAGTCTTCCCGGGATGCGTCTTTTCCCCCCCGGAAAGTCACAAAATCACATCGAGCTTGATGTGTAGTCAGACGCATCAAAATTCGCCTCTGAATATTTCAGAATTTTGCGTTCCATATTCGCGCCGGCCCCGGTGTGTAAGGACCTTTAAAGGGACATGAGATCATAGCCTACCTACACACATCCAAAACCAACTTTTATTCATTTATTTTTTTGACACTGAATACCATTAAGGGCAAAATGACGTCAGTTATAGTCGTAAACTTTGGTATCTGTAAATTTTTGGTTTATCGCCCAGCCGTATGTCCAAATGGATCATCTAAGAGTTAAAAAGTAAGCTGCTACCATGGTACTCAGAACAAACCCCTACAATTTGAGGAAATCTTTGATTACATACTGAAATGAAGGTTCAGTCTGATCATAAATCATGTAAAAACTGAGTATGTGAAACAATGAAACAATTACATGACCAAATCCAGGATATGATCCAATAATGTTGGTTTAAATCTTGTTGCATAAAGCAGTACCATTATGGCATAGTATCTTCATATGTGATATCATCATTCTGCCCCTCTTCTCCAGTCTCTTCTTTCACTTTAGTTATCTCCTCCTCTTCCTCTTCCTCTATCAGCACTACTGTAAACACTAGCGCAGGCAGCCTTTTAAGAGACCTGCCCTTTGATCTTCCCAGCGTGTCATGTGTCAGAGGTCAGAGGTCAGATAGCTGCAGTTTCTCACACACAGTATCTAACCCAGTCACCAGAGCTCAGGGACTACCCCACCACTCCACCCCCCAACCATGTCGTTGCTCCCCTCCCCATGATTCCCCTCCCTTCATGGCGGGCTCAGTGCTTTCAGTAAAGGTCAACCCCACCTTTACTGCACAGAGGTCTCTGCCCCACAGCAATGAACAACACCGGCAATGCTTTCTGACAGACAGGACTGAGCTCATTCAAACAGAACTTCCTATGGTTTCTTTTAGAACAATTATGTTATAAATCCTTTGTGTGAAATAAAGATTATCTCAAGAGGTCCCTCTGATAAGACCTGTTTACCCTCTGGTACCTTAAGAGCTGAATTCATCATTCATTTTGCTGGAGTTCCACATGCAAATTACTCCATCGTTGCCTCAACAGGCATTTCAGAAAATCACAAAATTAAGCCTTCAGCCTCAACTGATCCAGCTCAAAGTTATCGCATTACCAGAACGATTCAACTGTTCCTTCAGGTAATAAATTACAAATAACAGCAAATGAAGGCTAAAGAGCCTGCTCTACCAGGGGGGCTCATTTGTTGATCTGAATTCATCTCATGGCTCTTTCATTAGCTCCATGCACACTGAACTAAACCAGTTCCTTTCTCTTTAACCAAAACACCACACTCAAGGTTTCACTTTTCTTTCTTTTGAAACATAGTTTTGAAAATCATCAATGCAGCTTTACATAAAAGAAGTGATGAATGAGAACTAGGCTTAAACCGTGACACTTGTTCGACAAGGGCAACATTGGTAATGTGGTCTTTGAAGGTAAGCGTGGCACATTAACATAGTAAAGATATGCATTATGGAGGAGCTCCTGTTGACAATAGGGAGGACTGTGTCTGTTGTTGTGACCAGAACCTTCCTCGGCATCCCCATCATTCAAAATAATCCTGTTAACATCATAACAGAGGAGGACTACTCATATACAAGCAGAGTCCACTTGTCATTGACACAACCAGGTCTGAGCTGAGATAGTGAGAGTAGACCGGTGAGCTTCAAAGCAACAGGCTGACATGACTGTTCCAAAACTGCTTGAAAAACAACTTTTCGTACAGAAATGTTTCAACATGCCTGCTGCCTGAGTGATAGTCCAATAGTGAGATTTTGTGTCAGAGGAATATGCAGTATAAACTAGAATCAAAGTCCATGTAGATGAATGTGAACCTGGCCTGTGAAGCTGATTTTTGATCTGGTAAAATAAGCAGCTATTACTCATCTGTCATACATAGTAGCTCTCAAAACTGAACTGTGAATAAGTCAGTCTCCAGGGATCTTTTAACACAATTTTCTACCAGTGTATGCTGGGAAACCAAGTGGTACAGACTCCAAGCAACATTATAACACCGAAGGTGCAGTATGGGGATGGCACTGGATGGCAAAGAGGACAGTTTATTTTACACTTAAGCTGCTTTTTTTAACATTTTCAGTTAAAGGGACATCTCAGTCCCTGTTGTATATTTTAGCTCAAATATGACACACAAGTTAGAGATATATTTTAATATTTCTAACACATAGTCAGTAGGGGTGGGAATCACCAGTGACCTCACAATACTATATTATCACAATACGATTTTATACAAAAACTGTTTAGCTAATTTAGCATTTGGCTTTTCTTTATAATTGTCTTATTTACACTGTATTTTATTTGCATGAAGCATATCTTGCAAACCATATATATTTGTTGTACTCACTTTCTCCTGCTCTATGATGTCACCTCTGCCAACCTCACTGGACTAACAGTTGACTTTATTTTTCCATCATCATAGATTTGACTATATATTAGCAATTAATTTGAAAAAAAATCAATACTTGATAAAAGAGACAATACGATATATCACCAGATAAAATATTGCAATATTATGCTGTATGTATTTTTTTCTCCCACCCCTAATAGACAGGCTATTTTGTTAGGCAGTTACACTATTAAATTAGATCATTTTATTTCCCAAAATTAACACTAGCCATGAGATCAGGACACTTTGCAAAAAAAGCGAGCCAGCTGTCAGAGACAGCACAGAACAATACTCACAGGACCTTCTACTAGGATTCCCAGATGCCTCTCTGTGTACTGGGTGTTCATTTTTTTTTCTCAACATAAGCCCACTTACAATGTCCTTGCAGATAGAAATATGATCAACCAGTAATCCTAATGTCATACTGTTGTTATGTTGCATTGATGGGATTGTGGAGTACGGTGGAGCTGCTTATAACAGGAGCATCATCCAAGCAGGGAAACAGGGTAGTGCTCTCTTCTGTGCCACATTATACAAAGGCAACAAAGACATCAACCTCATGGTGCTGTATGCTTGGTAGCATCAGAGCGATTAAGGTAGATGCACAAGGATAACCTGGACAAGTGAGCAAGGAGACTGAAGTAATTGAGAAACTCTCCAGCTCACAGAAGATAATTTCTTAATGCATTGTAGAATCAGTGTGTTTACACGGCTGTAACAAATACAGGGAATGTTAGAAACCATTATTGTGAGACACGATTTATCCCAAAAATCTGATCCTGATTAAATATAAATGCAGAATCTAAAAGGAATACAGAAGAGAACTGCATACCTTTCTATCTATAATTTACAATTCTGCACACATCTCATTGCTTTGCTGGCTCAAGGAGCAGAGATAAGAGATCATGTAAGAACGGAATTATTTAACAAGGTTTGAAGGTAAGGCAACAAACAATGAGTCACAACGATGCTTAACAATGTATTAACACAACATGAACTCACTGAGTTGTCCTAGCCTCCCCTTTCTGGCAGTGTATATTTAACAGTGCATGTGATTGACTCACATGGCCAAATCCCTCAAAGGGGTAGCAAGGGACAAAGAAGGCAGCAACAGATGGGATCTTATAGTCTTAGACTGGGCAGAGAGGAACTCCCTTTAACAGATGTTAAATATAAAAACCATAATAGGCTAAGATTTGACTCTAATGTAAAGACTGAGTGGCATCTGCAAGGTCTCACTGACAGTCTTGAACTCGTTGTTTATCAGCAGTTATGTGTTTTATGGTGCACAAAAATGGGACAAAATGGGAGTCAATCTTTATCTGTCAGACTGGAATCAGCAAGACCATCCATAATACACTGAATTAGAATATGTTTGATTGAATTACAAGTTTTGAATTCATTTTAGAGGCAGTAAATGTTGGTTACAGTAAAAGTTTGGTTGTTACTTTGTTGGATTGGCAGGGCAGATGGAGATTTTGTTTTATAGCTGAAGGCACAGTGAGTTCAGATCAATACAAGAATAACAGCTTCACAAATCCAGACCCTTACTCAGCACTGTAGTGAACCTTTGCCCAATAACGCAACAACAGCCTATATAGTGACTGCTTATCACACTGTAATATTAATCTAAAGGAAATTTTCAAAGTGTGCTTAAAAATGAATAAATGCAGCAAAACTCACAAATGTTCTGACCACATCACACAGAGGAATGCCGTTTTCTCAGACACTATCTCTGTTTGGTTGAGCCCTATTTATACTTTAATCCAGCCCGCTTTAATCCAACAAAGAACAAAATATAAATGAGATATAAGCATAAATAATTGAGAAATCTTTTCCCTTCTTGTATGTCATCACAACCCTTTTTTTTAATCAAATAGTCCTTATAGTAATCATCCACGGATGTCAGCTCTTCCCCTGGACACAAGGGAGCATCCATGACCTAAATCTAGCTGAAAGAAACACATGCATTTGCACACGCACACGCCACCTCTCAACAACAAGGGTCATGAATAATAGCAGCACAAACAACTGGACTAAATTGTTTATAGGTTCCCCCCAAATGCACATCATGAGTTGTATTGTGATACCATGGGACACATCAGGTGCCATCATTTTTCTGACTGCATGTTTTCTTCCAGTATTTCTTAAGCACCATCCCTATCTTGTAAAGAGGGTGTTTATTTTCCTCTTAGCTTTATTAGGTTTTCCACTTTAGCCCATTTCCACTCAGCAGCATTATCCTGCCTACTTCACAAACAAGGATCTCCAGTATTTTTATGCCTTGTAAAAACTAGGGGTCAAAATCACGTCATGGTCTCCATCATCGAAATCAAAGAGAGGATCGATGATCCCCTCCCTCCACATCCGGGAGGTGTGCAAAACGGAAGCAAATGACAACGCCGCACACTGTAGCTGACGTGAGCCAATGCCACTTATGACACCATGGCCAGTGTGGATAAACGAGATGTGGCACCAGAACTTGAAGCCGCTCCTGCCTCTCACAAATCTAAAGTATGGAAATACTTTGCATCTCTGGTGAGTTATGTTGACAATGTTTGTGTTGTCGACAAGAAGACGGCAGTGTGTAAACTATGCTATGTGCATGTAGCATACCCGACAACGGGTAACACAATGCACATGGCCACACACATTTGCCAGCATCACAAAGATGTTGATTTAACAGATGGGAAAACACCATCACTGGTCCAGCCTACCATTACAATTACAGTACAAATCGTAATAAATAAAACCAATGATCGTAGACTAGACTAGTCTAAAAATGGCATAGGCCACTGTGCTGTAGGAAAAAGAAAAGAATCGAGAATCAAATTAAATTGTGACCCTAAAATTGAAAGTTAAATCGAATCGAGGATTTCTAGAATCGTGACACCCCTAGTAAAAATTGATACAACAATACAGAGAAACTCATGATTTGTTTAATTTTGGGGTCTGTGAACCAACATGAAGTAACTCTGTAATGCTTTGGGGAATTTAAAAGAACCCGAGCATTGCATCAGTTTGTTGTATGTTGCTTAAATCAATAGTAAATAATGAGGGAAGCACCTTGTTTAGCCTTAGCTGCCATGCGACCTAAGGTAGCCACTGTTCACCTCATGTAGCCTGTACCCTGACTGTATTGATGATCTTTACTGCTTTGTGGCTATATTGGGGTATTGTCCTGCTGATGAACCTCTTAATATTTGACATTATGGGATTGTGAGGACAGTGCCAGTGGGTGGTGGATCCTTTGTGTTGTGTCACTGGCCTCTGTTAATACTCTTAATTTGCTATTAGTTTGCTGTTTTATTTGTTACCTAATGGCTACTATAAATGTTTGACTTTTCTGGTAACACGTTACCTGAAGTCACCTGGTGTCTGTTCGTCTTTTGTGAACCCTAAATCTGAACACTGACCTGGTGAATCTTCTTAATCTTACACCTGCTAAAACTTTGAGTCCTGATTTAGGAGCTGCTGATTCTTGTAGTGAGTGATCTTGACTGCAGTAGAAACATAGGTGGTAGCATGCAGGTTGACGGTGGCGGTGAGGACTATGAAAATCAGGGTCAAATTTTTGTCCTTGAGCAATTAGGCATTTTTGTGAGTTTAAATCATTTGTGCTCAGTCTGGGGTTAAATTGACTGAATGGAGATTAGATGTCATCTTCAGGCTGCATTACTTGCCCAGAGTGAAAAGTTCTACATCGCAGCTTTGAAATGGACTCAGCAGAAATATTTCACCTAGATTATCTAATCTGAAACATTGAGAGGAAGATCTGAACAGACACATAAATCATTGGGCTGCCTTGTCTCTGCAACTGCTTCTTCTTTATCTGGGTCGATGGGACACATTGTTTAAGACAGTTCATGTTGGGCCAACCACAGCATCATGCACAGCAGCACTGATAATAGAGCAGAAAAGATACACAGACATACATAGATGTACTGTGCATTGCATCCCAACTCGCTCTAAGGTCAGATATACAGATTAACAACTTGTCACAGGAGGATGGAGGAAACTGTATTTTAAAGTCTTAACCCTTGTACAGCGTTTAGGTCTTTGGGACCCACTTAGCATGATAAAATATACATTGCATAACATGTTAACTCTTTTCACACCACATTCACACACTGATGGTAGAGTCTGTTTTCCAAAAAGTTTATTAGTTTTAACTAATCCCATTTGTACACCTCCAGCGGAGCCCCCAGGGGTTAAGTCAGTGTCTTGCCAAAAGTCCCTTTGGCATGTGTACAGCTGGACCTGGGATCAAACCCCCAACCTCCCACCTGAGGAATGACCAACTAACTCTACCACTAAGTTACAGCCACCAGCAGGGAAAGAAGGTCTTGTTGAGCTTGACTCTACCCTGAGACTGTGACATGAGTGGAATATGCAGGAGGCCTCAGCTGTCCGTAAAAACAACACAACAAATTTTTTTTTTCATGTACCCGAGGAGGCAAGCAGGCTAAGCCTCTTGCGTCTAGCATCAAGTGGGGAAAGTGGCAGGGGGGGAGTTTGACTAGTGCACCTGTCAAACAGTGATGCAGGTGTCTTAAGTCCAACTCAAAGAGGACAGAAACCTCCTGTGGAGCAGAAGGGCAAACGCTCACTTGATCTTGCTTTCCAGGTTGTATATAGATTGTAAAAGAGGGACTTTGAGATCCTTTTGACTGTCTGGGTTTTAAGTGGCAAGTGTCAGAAAAGTCACCACAGCCAAGTATTCAAAGAAACACTGCTAATTTAATGCTTTCTAACAAAAATAATAATAATAATTTCACACTAATCTCATACATATTTTCAATGGTTGCACATATATGAGTGTGTGTATGCATGCATAGTTTTTCTGTCTGCAACTGGTATTCCTGCACAATAGTGCAACAATGTTTCATTTCAAGCACCTACTTTACACCCTTCCTCTCCCACACACCACCTTTACCCTCTGGTTTACAGTAAACACTCGATATATTTTTTTACATACAAACCCGTGTGCAAATAAAGGGCAGGGTGCAACAAATGCAGCTTTGCCCGTGAGGCTCCTTATTAAAGGCGATAACGATGGTAAAAGGGTCCCTACTCAGAGGGGCCTTGAAAATGATTTTTAAGAGCACAAAGGTTCGGAAGATTACATAGCTGAAAACTCTCCAGAATACAAAGATGACATTTCTGTCAATCCAGATTCTTGTAGTGGTTTTAAAAAAAAGATGAGACTGAAAATTAGCAAGCCTAAAAAGTCTGCCACAGGACCAGCACTCAATTCCAATATTAACCATGCTGTCTTTATTACATGTAACTGAGTTCATTTAAATCTCTGTCAAATATTTTCCATAAACTGTTTTGACTGTATTGATTTGAAAAACCCATCAGTGTGTCCTCCAAACCCACGAACACAGCCTGAGTGACAAAAACATCACGAATATCCAGTCAAATCATTGCCTAATTTCATCCACTGCACAATGGCTTTGTAATGCCTCAAGCAGCAAGACGGCAAACTTCTTACACGTGATGTTAACTGACTTTATGATGATGTTTAAAATGTTAGAAGTTCATCATATTCTCTTTTGCTTTCTCTTAAAGCCTATGTGGGCCCACGGGGTGCATGCAAGGACAAGTGCACTATTCTTTATTCCCGTCACTGAGCAAGACTTTGCTGTTCTGAGTCTTTTTCCTCGCCATAAAAAATGCCCCACCATATGATTTACCACGTATTTGTTTGATTTCACTGAAGCAGCATTGTCATAGATTCCCCTCTTTTCCCGGCTGTCAGTTGGCAGTGTCCTCACTCCATGGGTGATAAACCACCCTGCCTTTAGAAGTAGGACAGCAGGCCAAGCTTACAGTATACGGTCAACACCCACAGCATGAACAAACAGTGTGGGTATAAAAGAAGAAATGAAATGCTAATACCCTTCAAAAAGAGATTTGGGTTCTTTAAAGAAATGTATCACTTCACTTAGAAAGGAATTTTACATAATCCCTCAGGGTCTTTTTTAATTTAGTACCTCTTGACAGAACCAATGAAGCTGCTTTCACTTTTACTACCCTCTGTCACTTGAAAATGAAAATCTTCTTTGTCATCTTGGTGGAAAATAAATGCAGCCCTCAAAATGAAATACAGTCCAATTGAATAACTTATACTACTTTGATGCATACATTTATCAACCCCAACTTTATTTCTTGACTCTGTACTTACTAATCAAAGCTTCTTTCCATCTTTTTAAGATCCCAGAATTCACATGATGGAACTTCCTCTGAGGCAAAGGCTCTGGATAAAACCATTTGTTCCTATAATCCATGCATGAAAGATCAAGCATGAGTCAGAGTTTAAAGCAGTAATAAAACACAAAACATGTTGTGCAGAGTAACTTTGAACACCACTGGCTGAGACGTCAGAGATCAAAAACTCACTGAATTATAAAGATAAGATACAATGCTGATCAATCCTTTTATATAACTTGTACTCAAGAATTAAATTGAACTCATGTACACCAGAAATGACAGCCTGAAAATTATTTCCAACAAAGAGACATCCATTCATTCCCTTTATGCATTTCTTCAGACTCTTTAATATCTTCACATGATTTTCAGATCAAAAAATCAGCTCCATGAGCCTGCTGTCTTCTGATTGGTCATCTTTCCAGAGGCTTTCCAGAGGCTGGTGTTTTGGCCCCGCCCAATACTATTTTGGTCAATCAGTAGAGCAGCATTACCCCACTCTGCTGTGCTTGTCAACTCACACACTAATGGAGGCAGTAAGGAGAGCCTATAACACTATAACAAGATCCTGTTTGGAGCAGTAGACGTCTATTTTATAGGATTATGACAAAATGAGTTTACCCGATGATGTGAAATTTTGCATGTAGTATGGACACCAAACTTTGTAGCTTTGCAGATTTTACTGTAAATGTGGAAAGGCATATCCCCCCACCCTCCCACCCTCCACCCCTTTAATCTTCAGGGCACAGAAGCAGTCGTCTGCTGCTGGTCGCTGAGTTTCTTTCGGGGTTACTCCGGGGTTACAATTCTTTCTGAAAAAGCAACCTCACGCGAGTCTGTGAGTGAAAAAGAAATCCACTCCTCTTTTCTACAAAACTGCCCTCCAGTAAAGAGGCAGCTTAGCAGTAGCTCACAAGCTGGCTTTGCCAACCTTTGGGCTGAAACCACAGCATCTAAAACAACAACAACCTGGACCAGGCAACAGAATTAGATTTTTATTATTATTCTGCTCCTGCAGCATAATAATTATAATCAATATCAGAGCATTAACCTCTGAATGCAGCATTTGGATTTAAGAAAAGAGGGACACAAATACCTCATTTATAATTCATGTAATTGGAACTCAATGAGAACTGGTATTCATGTTCACTTCACACAAGGGCAAAATTATTTGGGGCCCTAAAATAACTAATAGTAGGCCACATTTATTCAAGTCTATACCTGGTCAGTCAAAGTAATAAAAAAGGAAGTACTATTCAACAATGATGGGAACTGAATTGAGCACTTTCCTTTCCTGAGGTGTGACTCCCTTGACTTTTGAGGCGTTCTGGCTACCCTTGTTGTGTCACTGAGATAATGACCTGAGGTCTTATCATGCTTCTCAGCGTCTGCCAGGGCTGAACATATCCTCCTTCCACTAACTCACTATACTGATGAGAAGAGGAATTCAATGAAAGTTTGGCAAAAAAAAGAGCGTGATAAGGAGAGAATAAATACACTGATGAAGGGACAGAGAGAGAGAGGGCAATCTTGGAAAAAAAAAGAAAAGAAAAATTACTCGATGACAGCAGTAAAATAGCTTGCTCTGTTTGCAGGCAGTGATCATGGGACAGAAGTGCACACTGTAGATGCCAACAATCAGCAACGCTATTCGACAGATGGATCAGAGCGCTCCTGGCCAAGACCAGGCTAAGAGCTCATGGTCATGTGACCAGTGGATTAGCATTAGCCCAACTGAAAGGGGGAGGAGGTTAGGGTGCCTGTCACCACATGCTTCCTTATCACTTCCCTTTGAATGTGTTTCCCTTTCTACATCTCTGTGAACCTTACTTAACCCCTTCTTGTCTTGTTAATGTCACTTTTTTTGTTTTCATAAAGTTGAATTATGAAAGAATTGAATCCAAAGCAAAGAGTCACTCAGCCTCTCTGTCCATCCTCTCCTCCAGTGCCGACACTGACAAGAAGCCCCGCGCTAAGGACAGTCATTAGTGTATAAGTGACTCTGACACATTTGACTCATGGCTCAGTCAGACTGAAACAAATGATCTAATTCTCTCACTTCCAGCTACTAAAGATGACATTGTTGAGAATGTGTTTTCTCTGCAGTCTTCCTAAACAACCACCCCCCTCCACACACACACACACACACACACACCAAACAACACACACTCACACATATTCATGCACACACAGTACTTCAAATTTCTCATGAGTCTTTTCCCGCTGGCTGAACCCTACACTTGTCTGGCAGTGTGGAGTGTAAAAAGAGAGGAGCACAGACAAGCCATGCTGTGAGCACATGGCATAGAAGCCTTGTAGGATAACACATTGGGTTCCCCTGTCTCTCTTGCTACCACTCCTCCTACATCTGGGTCTCTCTGTCAGGGACATAGTGTGCCAGCCAGTTCATGCCTGGCCTGCATGCCATGTCCCCTTGCCAACCTCAGGCAGCGTAGTTTTACAAAAACCTGAGGAGAAAAAAACCCAACCTTACTCCTCAACACTCAATGCAATGTTAGAGGTAGCATGCAGAGTAATACAGTGTCTGCCAATGAGGTTAAAGGCTAAAAGGCATTAACCATTGCTTCCCCGTACAGCCAGACTAATGTGACATGTTACTCTCAGTGAAAAGATGGCACATGGGACAGAGTCTGGGGGAAGCTTTGTTTGCTTGTCCAAAGAAAACAGTGATGCAATGTTTTATGAGCCAGCGACATAATCACAGAATGTTTGTATTGGACGTGTGTCACTGCTGCAGGTACGCTCATTTGCACACATATACACAACCACAAACATAGCACGTATGATCTTGCAAATCATATTACAGCGTCAGTGGCATTTCAGTTCTGTCAGCGCAGCCATAGGTCTGGGCTCAGGATTGATTGATTCAGTTGTGTGCAGCAGCTTTGACAGTCACCGTGTACACTGACCTTTAAGCGCAATCCTTTGGTGCTTTTTCAAACCACATATCAATGGGTAAAACGAATACACGTCAAATGCATAATCAGAAACGCTGACACTACATGGCACGGACTTCATCTGAAAAAACCAAGATGGTTAATGCTGACGCTCATCTTAAATTCACAATTCAGCTTCTGTGAGACCATGACCTCAGTTGACATTTATATTAGCCTTCGAGCCAAAATTTATCAACAAAGAGGCGTATCTTCTTCATCTCCAGCCTGACCCTCGGAGCGCAAGATGACTTAGGCACAGAGGTTTACTGTATGTCTGTTTGGAGCTCTAGTGAGATAATAGTGGCCTTATTATACTCTTATTTTTTTCAGAAATCAGGACCATTACCATTGGGAATGAATTAATATTTGCCGGTGAGAGACCTAATCTCAGTTGATAGTTGTTTTTTTGTATTATTTGTATGCTGCTTTCCAGCATTTGAATAGCGTTTTAGGCTTTTTCCCTTTCTAAAATCAAATCTATGTTGTTACTAAAAGATGATATAGTGTTTAATCATAGGTGTGTTTATCTCAGCAGGAGCCTGTTGCATAAGAAACATCCAAACTTCTGGGTTTAAACTATGGGAATGCATCAGTTTATGAATGCCTGTCTGTGTACTGTCTATTTATCCAACCACAGCAGTCCAACAACTGTCACTGAGGACAAAGTCCAAGATTTCTTTCTGAAATATAAAGTGGGAGGATTTCCCCTTTTATCATCACCCATTAAGGCATATTCAGACCGCAGTTGAATGAATCAAGCAAGGTATTTAAGTGCACACCGTGGTGTCAACGCCAGAAAGACAGTCACTGAAGAAAAGCTCTCTGACTCTAACTGAAGAAAGCCCATTAAACAATTATTAGACTCCGGGTCTGTGAATAACGCTTTTCACAGCTGAAGATTATAAAAGCCGGAGCCTATGTGTGTGTGTGTGTGTGTGTGTGTGTGTGTGTGTGTGTGTGTGTGTGTGTGTGTGTGTGTGTGTGTGTGTGTGTGTGTGTGTGTGTGTGTGTGTGTTGCTGTTAGTTATCGTTATTGTTCATTTTTAACCTCGGTGACGAATAACGCCTGATAACAGGTGACAGTGGAGTCGTGCGAAGCTTGGAGGGAGGCTTGAAAACTTACTGAAGATTCCTCTATCACAGTTAAGAGAGGCCACTGCTAGCAGAGGGTCACATGCAACAGTAAACTCCCTGACAGCACATACATGCTGTCACTCCATGAGGGATTATTAGCTATAGGAATAAAACAACGATTTGAAAGCTGTCTGCCAGGGTTTGTAGAGCCTAAGAGGAACAGAAACAAAGTCCGACAGAGAGAGCACGGCGGCGGCGGGTTTCCATTCGCACCGCGGATACGAGCGGAGGAGCGACGCCGCGCTCGCAGTTTGTTTACAAAGCGCTGTCAGAACACTCTTTCGCAACGGGGACAGCCAGGGGGACGAGACGGGGGACATTGACCACTTCAGACAATAAAATACACCTTCACAAGACATAAAGCCGTCACACTTACCTCTGTCGAGCCACCGAAGCTGCTGTCCTATCTCATGAAATGCGGGCAGCGGCTGCAAGCGACGTGAGAAACCAACAGCGGCGGGGAGCTCTCTACGTTAGTCAGCCGTCTACTTTCCAACAGTTCGTTTCACAGTTCACTGCGCCCTCTCTCTCTCTCTCTCTCTCTCTCTCTCTCTCTCTCTCTCTCTCTCCTTCTCTCTCTCTCTCTCTCTCTCTCTCTCTCTCTCTGACTCCAGCTACCCACTTCCGGCGGCTCTTTAATACAGTGGTTAACAGTTTCTGCTGATTTTTTTTTATTCTTAAAATTATTGATTTTATCTAATCACTTATGAAAGATTGAGACAGATGAAAATAACCCATAAATTATCGTGTTTTTTATTTTTTTTTTATTTTATAGCCTAGTTTCCAAACAAGTGGATCGAATGAATAGCTTCTATGATATATCCTAAAACTGTATAAGCTTCATTTAAAAGCACATTTTTTTTCTCTATTTATCTCTCTACTTTAATTTTAGGCATATCTTTACATTATGAGACAGTCAGAGTTGTGACTGGTTAAATGTTAGGGGTTTTTGTAGGCTGATTTTATGCTCAACAACAAAACAGTCATAGAAATGTCCAATAAAAAAGTCAAACCCAATGAAAGCTCCGTAGAAATAGAGAGTTGTTTCTATCATAGCCTCTGAATTAAGTGAAAGACATAAATTGAAAACAAAGAGAGAGAGTTAAATCACTCGCTTTCTGCACTGGTCTTTAAACTCAGACCCACTTTTCTGTGTCTTGCTGTGATCAAAGCTGTTCTCTGCTGCAGATAGTTGGGCTACGAGCAGACTGGTTGATTAGATTAAGAGTAATCTACTGTACAGTCATCTTCTATTCATCTGAAGGCTTCACTCCCAAATATACTGCCCTTACTCAGTGAAACAGCGACACCATCTGGTACAAAAGTGGAAGTTTTGCGTTTAACCCTCGTCGCAAACTTTTTTTTTTTTTCAGCACTAGCAATGGAGTTTGTTTTTCATGCATTTTTAGAAAGGTTACCATGATAAATGTCACTTCAGGGAGAGTGTTGACTTCTTCTCAGGCTACACAAGGCCTTCATGTGTTTACTCCTCAGCCTGAAGTGAACTTGTTGGAAGGTGCTCAATTTTAGCCACCATATTGACTCACTTTAAGGAGCATTTATAATAGGTCCATTCATAATCTCTTAGGTCAATCTCATAAACTCAGAATTTCAATCCTATGGCCTCAAACCCACAAGTGACCCCTGCAGCTAAAAGGAAAGATCTGACCATGATGCAGGTACATCACTTCTTGCAAAACTGCTCAAAAAAACCCAAATGTATGCACCATCCCTTTTTCTTTCTTGAACTCAGAGGTGACAAGAATGGACCTTATGAATGAAAACCAAGATCAACATGTTCTATAGAGGCCCAGCTCACATTTGAAACTAAATTCCAATCTCAAGAGATCTATATATATATATATATTTTTTTTTTAAGTCTTTTTGCAAGTGGAAAGCCAGGGGATTCATTTGCAGGGAATCCTAAGTGGAAGGCAGAGTTGGACCCTTCCTGGAGACTCTAAGGAGACAAAAAGGAATCCACTACCATGCCATGGAAAAAAAAATTCCCCAAAGAACTCTAAGGTATTGCAAAGGAAAGTGAGATTGCTGCCCACAGGTTTTAGGCCCCATCTAGCTCACTGTTGTAGGGTAAAATAGTTCATGAAAACGTAGCTGGTTGGTATCTGAGTTGTGTTTGATTGGAATTAAATGCCTTGGCACCAGGACTCGCACTCTGTCCACACCTCGGTTCACTCTTGCTAAAGACGTAGTGGGATAGAGCCTCCATGTAGATACACTAACAGATCCAACTCTTTCCCCAGAAGGGTAACTGTACTAAAAGGGCATAAAATAAGTGTTAAAAAGAAACCACAATAGACGTAAGAGTGAACTGCATACTTGGAAAAACACTGGGATTTTTGTGGTCGCACGTAAACAGTCTTGTTTTGTGTGAAAAATGTTTAGCCTATGGAGGGGAAATCCAGTGGAGAGAGAGAGAAAGAAAGTGAGAGAGAGATGAGGTGGCAGAGACTAAAGATAAATCTGCTTAATTAAACATAGGGCATTGTGCACCTGAGGCACATCCACAGTATAAGAGAGCTTCATACTGCTGCCTGAGCAAAATAATGTACAAAAAGAGACAGCCAGTTGTTGATTGCTGAGATATGATCCATTGAGTGTGTTTAATTAACAATATATTCCAATGAAAGAAAAGAAAATAGATCAGATAGTTATGTGATTAAAGTGTTAGCACATTATTTAAAGTTTACATTGTTGCTTATATTTTTATCTTATTTAGAAGCCTAAACTGCTGAATTAGAGTTTTTCATTAGAAACAGACATGAAAATGAAACAGAAATTTCTGGGATGTTAAAAAATGTCCCTGTGTTTTGCATTCGTGAAATTGTTGTGTAAGACTTTGTGTCCCCTTTGAAACAAATGTGTGATACTCCAGTGTGTTTTCAATATCGCTGCTGACTGTAAATCATCTGAAAAATTCCCCGTCACGCTGCAGGAATAATGACTTCATTTTCTAACTTCCATGTAAAAATGTCATTATTTATGGGCTGCGTCTTTTTACACACACACTCTCTCTCTATCTCTCTCTCTCTCTCTCACACACACACACACAATCGACCAACCCTGCTGCCCTGAGCTGAAGCTTTATTGATTCTTCAGATCGATTGGCTGCAGGCCAGAGGTGATGGCTGACAGTTGCCTCACAGACAGCTGAGTCAGCAGCTGCTGACGGTAATAGCTGTAGATCTACACACACCCTCATCTTCTCAAACCATTTCCTCTAGCCGCGACAAACAAGAAACAAGAGCGAGGGAACAGCACAGAGACGAGTGATACAGGGACAGATCACTGTTTGTTTAGTTGCTTTATCTCAGCTGGCACATATTCTCTAAAGGACTCATGGGAAACCCAGCGGTCACATTAAGTTAAAGCCAGAGTGCAGTTGAGCAACAAACATGTAACACGGGGTTTCCAAACAGTAGAGTCCAGTAAGTCTGTGCTGAGATCAGTCAGAAGAGAGAGTGACTACTTGATTTTGTCACACATTAAAAATAGGAAGTGCAACAACAGGGCACTCAAGTAAACACTTAGACTTTAGGAGCTACTGAAGATATTTACTAAGAAGAACGGATTAAATTGTGACAGCTTCGACCTCAATTTGATGAGACATTCACCTGTCACCAAATTTCCCTTTCTTATCAAGACCAGCTGAGGTTATCTGACCCTTTCTCCGTAAAGTCCCAACCCTTTCCTTATGTATTTGTCACACTTTTGTTACACCAGGGGAAACTCCAAAGCTTATCTATAGCTTTCATAATATTGCAGGCTTTATTATCACACTTTAGTTTATTTCCCCATATCTGAAATCGTAAATTCTTTCTGAATGCAAGTCATCTCCAAATCCATGGAACAATAAGTGTGCAGTCAATAAAAACTACTGAGCCTTTCTAGATATTACAACACTTCTTCTTTAAAGGCTGTTTGTTTATCTGTTCATTTCTGATCTGCAGCAGAGATATAGGTACAGACCATGATTCTGAATCAGAAACGCCTTTGTTGAGCATCTTTTCATTTGATATCTGTTTTATGACCTCACTTATCTGTGTGTTTTCTTCAAAGTTCCTGGGGTGCTGATTGGCTACGTTCACTCAGATATGGCTCCGCATCTGCTTCATTAGCCTGCTCTCATGTCTCTCTTATCCTCCCTGTTGAAATCCTAACAGTGTTAAATGAGGTGACAGATATTTCACATATTATGTCTTGATACTTTCATTGTCAAGTTTGCTTGGTCACATGGTGTGATTTTCTGACACATCACGAACAACACCTCTGGATGACTGAACTCGGTTTTTAACTGGTGGTAAATTACTTTTTATTTCATTTCATCAAACAATGAATAGTTACAGCGTATTTTACAGGAAACTTGTCTCGACATTTCACAACAGGACAAATGTGGCTTCTAGGAACAGTTAAAAATATGATTTGAAATCACACATCAAATCAGATGACTTCAGGATTTAACAATTATAATAATTAAAACCATCAATTTCCAAAGCATTTGCAATACCAGTGATCACAAATTACAGCTAAGTGGGAGAAATAAAACATTTAGTGCGCTACATTTACAGGTAAGGTCACATCATTTCTCACAACACTATGATGAAATAACATCATATTTAAAACTACACATCACCTCTTTCCTCTAAACTCTACATTTTTAACACTATGAATGTTGCTGAGAAATATTAGAAATATTTCATTCTGAGAAAAATAATGAAAAATATGTTAAAGATATTGTTGAACACCTGTGACAGAGGAATTTGGCATGTGGTTTAGTACGCAAAAACACCTCGAAAAAGACTGTTAAAACTTCTCAAAGCACAACTCTTTAGCGGCATAGCTTATACAAGAAATACTAGTTACATTTTTTGAACATATGATATAATCATTCTGAAAGTGTATAACGCAAAAATACAATGCTCTCAAAAATATAATTCAAAATAGTAGGATACCTATGATTATAGGAAAATACTCAAAAAGGAGCAGGATGTTGCTGACAATGTGATAAATCAATATCAGTCAACAGCTTCACATAATAAACTGTAGGTGGACAGTCCAAAACACTTTTTCAAAAGGAGAGTTTTTCGAATTATCCGATCCCCTTCAGTGTGATGGAGAGTTTAAACAGAAACAAGAACTAACTGTACAGGGCAAGAAAGAAATCCGGACACGACATCAAATCCAGACAAAGACAGAAATGAGGACGGTCAACACATCTCTTCACATGGTAGGGGATGATACATCCATGTCCAAAGTGATCGAGTCTGCAGAAGAAATCCAAATACAAGTGATTATTAATATTCTTCAATAGAGGCCAGATTAGAGCAAATTCAGGGTTTTAGAGTTTCCGTTAGGGGCAACATCACTGCATCAACTATTGTGCACCTTGTGTTTATTACTCACCCAAATGTCCTGGATTAGTTTCAGTGTCGTTATGCATCAGAGAGTCGAGGGTGCGAGGTGACATGGGGAACAGGTCGCTGGTGTTTCCGGAGTTTGTGCTGCAAAAGACAGACAGAGAGAAGACAAATATTTAATGAAATGTTCACTGCTGGTCAAACACACACTTAGATGCTTCTTTTGAACTGTGTTAGTCTGAGTACTTGCAGTACAAGGGAAACAAAGGCTTCTCTGCCGAAAAGTCCCCAGCTTGTGTTTGTCCGTGTTTATAATCGCAACTATGGCAGCAGAGTTATCACCGGCGAGAGGTCTATGATTAACCGGCAGTGTCAAACCCACAATTTAGAGATAAATATGTGATCAGTCTCTCAGTTTGCACTAAGTCATAAGGACAAAAAGGAGGATGGAAAAAAAAATGAACAACAACAAAAAAAAAAAAAGTATGGCTGTTTGTTAAAATGAAACATAAAATCAAACCAGGAAAGGGTTGGTCAGACTTTGAGCAAATGATCTATTTCCTGATTGTAGTTTAGGCAATGCTAGGAGTACTCAAACACAATCGCTCTCGGTATTACACTGATTGGATGTCAATGACACTTTTTTGCAGTTAATGTCAGTACAGTTGTTTGTTAGCGCGGTGGATTAAATAAACAGAACAGGCCATAACCTACAAAATATGTTAATAACAGTACAAAAAATGTCTTCCTATGTCCTTCTACTATCAGAGAGCTCATATGATAATGGGGTACAAATGAAAGGTTCTGGCTGAGGAATCATGATACAGATGTCTGAGAATTTCTGAGTTTGATTCGAATGGAGAAGGATGATTGACATGTAGATGCTATTGTATTAGGGGACAGGAAAAGTGGTAGTGAGTTCGAAACAATAACAGGAATTATGTAAGTGAGGGGACTGGAACAATTCCCCTGTGACCCACCCATGAAAAACACACAAACAAGAGTGACAAGATGCACACACAACCCTACATGCTGCCTCCCCCCACAAAGGCCTACCCTGGGAATCCGTTCCCAAGCAGCTCACTGTCTGGCAAGTCCATGAACACGGAGGGACACCTACGGAGACAGGTCAGGATCTCACTGAGCAAACCTCTCAATGCCATCAAACTCACGACCAAATACAGCAAGAATGGCTGCCTGTCCTGGGTGCTCGCTCCTGGTTTTTGGTTTATCTCACATATCAGGTTACTGATACAAACACGTGTTCTGCTCTGTAGGTGACAGAGTCAGAAGAGTACAAGCGGCTGTGTTTATCTGATATCTTTTGAATCGATAGTTTCTTTATCTTTACGTTTTAGCAGCACAGGGTTCCACAGAATTACAGAATTGATCTTAATCATTTCTGCCTTCCTTAGACATTCAAAAATGTCAGAATGCAAACGCCATCACAAAGAAAACGCATTTTTCAAGGTCTAGAACCATGATAAGTAAAAAAAAAAAAAAGACTAGCAACAACCTTAGGAGTATCATCATAACTGGGTAAGTTTATTCGCTTTGGACTGAGAACAGACACAATTCTTTACTATCTGTAGTTTTGCTTGTAAAGAGGAAAAATAAGTGTCACATGGTTATTTTTCAAATTAAACAGAAGATCCTTTAGAAACCAACCGAGCATGTTAAATAGACGTCTAATGGTCCTTAGACTCTGGGCTAAAATCAGTCTACCACTGGTCTAAAAATGAACAATTTTTAGCCGTTTAAACTCAGACTAGCCGTCGAATAGACTAAACTACAATGTACATTGATCATCGACAGTTAAAACCGTTTTAATCCAACACTTGGCTTTCATTAATACAATTTACAGTTGTATTTTATCTAATATTTAATAATTAATAGATTAAATTCTACCATCTTGATTCACTAAAATATAGACCGATTATAGACGGGTGAATTTCTGTCTAAACTTAGACGAGATGTCAAATAGACGTTAACACTTAATTCCAACCTTTTCCAAGCTCAATTTACTCAATATGGTCAAATGAGAGGACAGAGATGTTTTGAGGTGATGTCTCATTCACTCTCATATCACTGATTTCCTCCTGTCTTTCTTTATATTATTTATTCCTAAAAAAGGAAGCGTAGATCTTGTGAGGAAACCTCTTTTCATTATGTCAGCAGTTCGTAAGGGCCACCATAAAGCTAAGTGCTCGCTGACATTATGTCTTCCTTTGAAAGCTTGAGACTGAAATGTCATGATCAAATAATAAGAAAAAAAGGTACTCACGGGGTAACGCAGATGAACTTTGTCTTCAAGTACGGCTGAATAGCTGTTAGAAAAAGAAAACGTTAACTCTCAAATGCATACTGAAGTACTTTTGTTTTTCTGCAAAGAAATCAGTGCAAAGACTTACTGCTTGTCGAGTCCCCTGCCGCATCAGAATCAGGAAGTGTTTCAGGTCTGCAGTACTTGCCGAAAGCATCCTCTTTGGGGACTTCAGGGTAGAGATATACAAGAGGTGAAACCAGGATGTTGGTGGCATCCATGATCTTGTAGCCCATGATGATATCAGCGAAAGACATGCTGTTGAGCTGCTGCTTGGTGTAGGGCTCCACTGACTGGATCTGGGTCTTTCCTGGAAACATTCATGAATGATCAGTGATACGAACGTTCATCAATCTTTTTTTGAAAATATTACAAGTAGGTCAAAAAACTCACCGCTGATGTCCTTCTCCACCCAAGTAAATGTAATGCCCCCCTCCTTGCTGCTCTCGCTGAAGCGCAGAAGGAAAGTGCCAGGAGGTTTTGGACTAAGAATGGCCCTCTCCCTCTCTTTGCTGATAAAGCCCATGATATACCTGAGAAAATGGACAGGAAGAAGTATAATCAGTTGTCTAATTTACAAAGAAAACTACTAGAAAATATATGGCGAATCTCTCTGCCTGCTCAAGGACTCTTCTGCGAACAAAGGATGACATCTCACCCTTCATTCCACAGTGCCAGGATGTACTTCTTCACCAGGTCAATGATGTTGTCTAGCCACACCCAGAAGGAGAAGCCTTTGCCAGCCATGTTTTCCTGGGAAGAGGAAGGAGAAAAAATAACTCACACTGAACAATAGCAAGATGGCAATCTGAATCCTGTGTGGTTGGTAGGTGACTTACCTTGCAGAACTTGGCCCAAGTGATCTGACAGCCAGAGTAGTTGACACACGGTCCTGGAGGGACAAATACTGAATATTAACACACGCTTATGTACAACACAGTGAAACAAAGGATGCATGCGGAAACCTCTTAGCATGAAACCTTACCTAAAAGCTTCTCAGCCAGAGTTGTGAGCTGTTCAATAGTCAGACCTCTTTTGGTGGTGGAGGAAAACTGCCAACTGAGAACCTCAGCCACCTGGTCCCATGTCCCCACAGGAGGCTTGGTGAAGAAGTTCACATTCTGTATCGAGACAGACAGACCAACACAGTTCAAAACACATATTTTCACACTACATCATATAATGTGCCAAGAAGGATCAGCTTAGCCCCTTTCCACCAGGGGGTGCTGTCTTGCCTTTGGGTGGTTTGTGAGCATGTTGTACCACAGGATAGAAGCCCAGGCGTTTGGCATCTGGCAGATGTTTGAAATGACCACCACAGGCAAGGAGTGAGTCTGAACAAAGACAGAGAGGAACTCGATTGAGTATGTTTGTAAAATAAACAAATATTAGATGGAAAATAATCCCCCTGTTGGCAAACAGATCACCAAATAGAAAAGCTACGAACAAATAATCCCTCCGGCCTTTGTTTCAATATGAAGTTATGCTAGGGGTGCGGGGAATTGTGCCTGCTTGTCAAGATTTGAGTCAATGTCACACACCTGAAGTCCAAAATGCGTCAGGTTGACCTTCAAATGACCTACTTGACTTCAATGAAACCAGCGCACCTACTGTCTGCAAACTCAAGGAGTCTTCTTTTTTAAAAACCCATGAGTCGAGATAGCTCTAAAATCTGTGTGACAGGTCAAGGTTTGGGTTTGTGGGGGAGGATTATTTTGAAGTTACACCCAAGGGTGACAGTCTCCAAGGGAGGAGGACTTTGTCAATGACTCATTAGTCTGCTCGCTTATAAGGTCGGGGGTGTCAAGAAACACAACTGGCCTATTCTCACAGTTTAGTGCTGTTAATGGTTGCTTTTCCAACTAAGATAAACTGAAATTTTTTCTTAAAAGAAGTCCAAACTCGTGATACAGAAACACAATACTGACCTCCAGATCAATCTTTAAGCCTTGGTGGTAGACTTCTGTCTCAAAGGTGATTAGATGTAGCTCCTCTGTGACAATCAGCGAGGCCTAGAGGAAGCAAATGAGCAGATGTTCATGTTGCAGAGGTGTAGAAGTGAAAGCGAAACCTCTTAACCTTACACACAAAATGCAATTTTACAACCGTTTCAGTTTACAACTGCACTTTTATACCAAACTTCAGGGGAAATACTCACATCACTGTTGGTTCTGCCACCATTACCACACCTCTGTTCTCTCAGGGTCTGTAACAAAACAGGGAGTTAATGCTTCATATCATACATTATCAGTTTTCCATTAGTGGAAACTCTGATTACTCACCAAGTGCTTAAACTCGGCTGAAAGGCTGCCATTGTTGGATTCCTCCATGTTCATAACTTTTGTGTTGGTTCCCAGGATGTTAAATTTCCGTGACCTAAGGAAATCAGACGTACCAAGAGGTTAGACCTTTTTTTTAGAATAATACACATTTAATGTCTTCAAAAATGTTCTCCAAGTCTTACCCTCGAATTGCAGCCACATCACCAGACTCTCTGAAAAACAAACAATTTTAATGAGTACTGCACATGTCCTACTCATCAAAACTTGATTACGGAAGAAGATTAGGGCCACTGGAGAAAAAAAAAATAAAAGGCCTTTAATATTTTTTTAATAGTTATTCTGAGTTTAAAGTCAAAATTCGGACTTTTTTTTCTCAAAATAATAATAATTACAAAAAATTGTATCTGACTTTTTTTTTTTCCTTTCAGGGGCCCTAATCCTCTTCTGTACCTACTCATTGAAACTTGATATCAATTCTACCACAAAAGAAAAGTAACGTACTTATCGATGCAAACTTTGATTTTCAGCTGATAATTGAGTTCAGGAAACTTCACCAGTAACCTGAAAACAATAAGAGAAAATATACATTGTTTACAAGTGTTCTTGGTATATATACACATGTCATTTGATGCAGCTGCTGTTGTGTTAAACAATGACTGTATGTTGTTCCTGAGTTGTCTTTTTTGCAAGGCAACATCTTACCTGACTTTATTTGTAAACTGTACTCCTGTTTTTATGACCAGGGGTCTGTCTGGATGCATGGGCATGCAAGGCTGTCTCTCCACCACAAAAGCGCTACAAGACAAAAGTGGATCATTGTGTTAACTAGAACCCTCAAGCTCTGTGCAGATCATGATGTCAGCGGAAAATGAAGCCCATACAGTACCTCTTCATCAGGTTTCTAAACAAGTCCACGATCTTCTCCTCCAGGGCGGGCCGATGCTGAATGATGGGGTCTCCTTTGTAGGACACCTTCTGCTGGAGCTCCTCGAGCTTCTTGATCTGCTGGCGGATCTGCAGCTGGGACTCAGCCAAAGATGTGATCCTGGTTAAAAAATAAGCCTGTTTGAGTCAAATGTCCTGATGAAAAATTCCTTGCTTTCACTCTCTCCCAATAGTAATGGTGGAGCTGACAAGAGTGCAAATGACCTAAAATACTCGTAAAATATAAAGATCATAAAAAATTTAAAAAAGGAAAATCATTATAACAGAATTTGGTTGATTGGATTTGCAAAAATCGCCCCATATGAGTTGCTAAAAATCATTTGGAAAATGCTCATTCTCTTTTCTTCTTGACTAGTTTGGGCTAACACAAGGCTTGAGCCTAACCCAGCCCCTAGAGAAGTTGGTCGCCAGTCCATCATGGCGAACACATGACCAACTAGCCGAGGAGCGAATACCACATTTTTTTTGGAAGAACATTAAAAAAAACTGCTTAACATTCACATTCCTGGAAATAGTTTTCCTTTTTTCCTTCATCTCAGACATGTAATGTTTCACGTACCTTGACGAGTTTCGGCGGAAACTTTTACCTTCCTCAGAAGTGTCACTTGGTGGTTGGTAGGTGTGAAATGTCATATCAGCTGGTGTTACAGAGACATGACCCTCCTATCATTTTTTTTTTTTTTTGGACAGGACGGTCACGCCTCTGCAGGACGCTGCTCCAGGTGTGTGAGAGCATGTATGCCCACTCATACCTGTTTATCGTCCCCTGTTTATCGTTCATCATCCCTGGGGCCTGTTTCCTAATTTTCATGGCTTCCCTAATCCAGCACTGGTGCTCATTGTCCTCAGTGTAGATGACTCCGGCCTTATCTGGGAAGCCATTGAAATTAGGAAACGGGCCCCAGTGACAATGAACAGGGATGAGAGGGCATACATGCTCTCACACACCTGGAGCAGCGTCCTGCCGAGGTGAACAGACAGTGGGAGGCATGACCGTCCTGTCCAACAAAAAAAAAAAAAAAAGAAATTGACAGGAGGGTCATGTCTCCGTAACACCAGCTGATATGACATATCACACCTACCACCGAGTGACACTCCAGAGGAAGATAGAAGTTTCCGCCGAAACATGTCAAGGTACGCGAAACAGAAAAATAAAAAAAAGAAAAAGAAAACTATTTCTAAGAAACTGAAGACATAGTGAACATTATTCAACTATTCGCATCCCTGGTTACCATGTTTCGAGGCGGTCAAGGCAGATGTTTGGTGGACCACCAATGCAAGCAATCTGCTGCCTCCTCTTCCAGTCTGCCAATTCTTCATCTGTCAGGTTCTTCTGCACGTAATCCATGGCAGTCAGCAAGCCTCCCATCTCTGTCACAATTTGCTACAACATAGAAGCACAGCAGCTATTAGACACAACTGTTTGTCATTATGAAGGATTGCAATAAATTTATCAAACTGATGGCTTAACATCCTAACATTCCTCACACAGGTAAGAAAAGACACTCACCCTCCTGAGCTGGTCCAGGGCGCTTAGCATCTGCTCGAGCTGAGCCATCTTCTGTCTGGTGGCAGCTGCTTGGCTGTTTCCATTTAGGTCCTGGGACAACTCTTCAATGTGGGTGAACATATCGCAGGTCAGAAATTAAAGCAAGGTCTTTTTTTATTCTTCACAAAATGATAGTTTAGCATGGATTTAAATTAATCAAAGAAAACAAAATCCCCTCTTGAGGTTGAATAACTAGCTCGTACCTCCTTGGCTTTTCAGTGTCTTGTAATTGAAGTCAAAGTCATCCTGTAAGTTCTCAAGCATTTTCATCTTCTGTTCCATGTCCTGCAGAAAAAGAGGCAATGAGTGAACATTTTTTTTGTATACCATAAGGATAAAAAAAATAAGATAACTTAAGATCTGATGGAAACTCACCTGCACCCGCTTCCTGATGTCTTGAAGGTTGTGCTCCAAGATCTGCTGCTTCTCTGTCACTACCGTCCCAGTGGGGTGAGCTGCCTGTCCATCCTGCAGGAAAATCTAAAATGATTGCACTGACCAACATGTTTGTGATACACTGCATCACTGTTTTACAACTGTAAACATACAGACTGAAGCTCTCTGATGAAATATAAACAAGACAGCAGGGTTAGTGCAGCTCTTCTGTACCTGTGCAGCAGAGGTAGCAGTCTGCAGCAGTCTTTGCTCCTCCCACAGGCAGCGGGCAACGATGCGGGCAATATCCATTGGCTTTTCCAGGTACTTGCTCTGCAGATGTTGTTTAATCCTGCGCAGGTTATGCTGGTAGAGTACATTGTTCTCCTGCAGGAAGCGGCTGTACTGCTGATCTATTTCTCCTAAGAGGTTGTGGAACACCAATGTAGCGTGCGATTCCTTATTGGCAGCATAAGCCCTTTAAAAGATGAGGAAAAGATAATCAGGATGAGTGCAGTTTGTGCAAGAGAGACTACTGAACCATTATAACAATCCTGATCGTCATGAAAACACATAGTTGATGATGGTTGTCTGACTGTGGCGGCAAGAATGCCTGAATGATCTTCTGCAGAATAATCTGCAAGTTACTTATTCCTAAAAACATTTCAACATACTATTAAAGCTGTATTTTTAAATCTATTTTCTATCTGTCTAACTTGTTAACACACAAACCAAAGGAAAAACAGACAAACAGATCATCACGAGCATGAAAAGTTTCTGTGCACTACGATTAATTATACCATGAGTTCCCTATAATCCTGTCAAAGACAATGGCATTACAAGGAAGAGTATCTCAATAAAAGTTAAACAATAGATGTGCATGGAAAAGCTATCTGCCAGTCACGCTGTGAGGCCAAAAGTCAGGAAGAAAAGTTCTGTGTAAATGCACATGATGCTAAATTAGAGAAACAAGCCAGGAGGTCAGTTCTTTCTTACCAGTCTTGACTCTCAATCCACGGGGCAAGGAACTGCCGCAGCTCCATTGGGAAGCTGTCACTGTACAAGTGATAGAGCTGCTCCAGATACCTGGTCTCCAGCTGCTGTAACTGGTTCCATTGGGCCATCCTGACAAACGCCTCCTAAACCTACACAAATTAAGATGGAGAGCAGTAAGTCTAGGAAGGAATACATTTAACGGCAAAGAAGGAAAAAAAAAACAAAAAAACAAAAAAACACAGAACTGCTGTTAGGTGCTCTTAAAATGTCTTTCTTGAACAGAAACTGCGAAATGTCCTTTTTCTCTGAAAATGAAAACAGCCCCTCAGGAGGCCTCTTATTCAGCAAAGTCACTTCCTGTTCAGTGAAACTCTACGCCTACACAGAGAAATATAGGGCAATGTGAACAGCTGTCAATTTAGTGAACAAATAGCACTGAATGATCTTTGGTCTCATGTCAACTTTGGACTCCCTGACAGTAAAACCACACTTCCTCTTTGCATCTTCTGAAGAGCCAGCATCGATAAAGATGTGAAACTCAAAAACATACTCTACTTTATCATATAAAACTAGACTTTTCACATTCCTCCATAACCATGCTCATTTTATGGCTCACAAAGACTGCTTTTATCCACCAGATCCATACGGTAACTTATGCTAGCCTTCTCAGTTTACCAACAGCAGGCTCTTCTCTTCCCCCGAGGGCTGTAAAACTACACTCTGACAATAACCAGACACTCAGGAAAGCCAACAGAAAGTCGTCTCCTCCATTTACATTAAATTACAAACTGAAGCCTTTTTCAGTCCCTTACATAACCTTTACGCATTGATGCAATAAAAGTACAAAGTCTGAGCAGTCTGTGGCTGGCTATAAAGTCACATTGGCATTATTCATGCGCAGTGCACTTGTCAGAAATCAGGAGTCTAGTCCAGTTTCATGTCACTTCATGAGAACAAAGATGCGCATAGCCATTATCAAATATAAGGTATTGCAAGGTAATAATCAAGATTGACCTAAATTAAAGATTTAAAAAAAGGATGACTTAAGATAAATAATAGAACGAAAGCAGTGCCATGCGACTAGCCAAATCAAATCTGGTCTCAGTCCTCTGAGGTTTGAGGCCACTGTTGTTCCTTCACGTTCTGAGTGGTAAATAAAGCGTAAAAACGACCTCTGTGGAAATGTACCAGCCATTACACAGTGCTGTATTGTAGCTTCGAGTACATCTGCTGAATTTGGGGAAGGCCCCAATAAAACATATGCCTGTCAATTTAAACCCACCTCGTGTCAAAGTCCCGAGGACATCCAGAGTAAGTCATAGCAGTTTTAGTCAAAACAGTGATGAACAAGGTGCTTTTTCAAACATAAAGGATGATGCAAGCATAAGTTCCCATGACCCAAGTTCCTGTGTAAGTGAAAGAAAAGCATCTGCATGGTGTAAATTTCAGGGGATGTGAAAACACAGAGGATCACATCAAAGGGTAGCCCAGTCAGGATATTCAATGTGATGAGTGACTTCTTTCGTCTCTGTCATTATCTGATTTTGTCTGTATTAATTTTATTTTTACTATTATTATTATTATTATTATTATTATTATTATTATCATTCACTTTTGACCAAACTTTCTGTTGCTTGTTTATTACACCTAAAACTGCAATAAACTAATATTCCTCTGGTACTATTTAAAAGGTAAAAGGAGACCAAGAGGCACAATTAGATTAGTTTACAAATAGGTGAGTTTAACTACTTCAACCATGCATTTCCATGCACTGACATATTAAAATTAAACTCTACTAAGTTAAGCATCTCTATTATGTGGCTTGGCTGCAGACATGCAGAGCTCCTTGGTATTTTATCTGCAGAAACATCAGTAACCTAGTATGTTCAGCAGTCTTTTTGATACTCTTATTTTTAAAGTCATGTTGCAAACTATCCATCAAATCTGAACATAAAGACTACTTTACCATGTGTTAAAACAGGGTTAAGGGTTTCTTTTACAGATGTTTATTTCCCAAACTATCCATCGAAATGCAAATACACACAGTTGCACAGTCATGTTAGGCAGATGTAGGCTGTTCAGCCAGTTTCCAGTGCCTGCTGCATGAACAATAGAGCACAATATGATTCCTTAAACCATGCCAGACATATTCCAGGAAGTACTGAACAAGGACAAGGAACAAGGATTTGTTAAATGGTCTTTGTTATGACAGGTGATATTACTGCCACTAATCCCAGTCTCAGTTTATGTTTCTTATGAAGGCCATGCATAAAAAAGTGAAAGCACTTATCACAGTCATAAGTGAAGTTGCATTATTATGAATCATAATGACTGGCTGAACCAAAGATTATTCTAGAAATCAAACTTGGCCCTACACCCAAATAAAGAACACAATGTCATGTCTTTGAACTCTAGCAAGAGCGATGAGAAAAGGAAATCCCTGCGCAAGGATACAGACATGTTGGCCTGTCGGTGGGATGGAGATGGGCGTGACTAACGAAGTCCGGCACACAACAATAGCCTGAAATTCACAAGGTCCAAATATGCAACCCAGACAAACTTGAACTACAATCTAGATATAAGAAGGTATGTATTATCAATATCAACGCAATTCATCCAGATCATACAAGAAAAACAGACAATTTACAGTCCGTTTACCAGCGCCAAAGGGAGCCTGCAGAAACATGTTTCATATTAAAACATTGAAAAATCTCATATCAAACTTCACACTGCGGATGCAACACTCTTACTCCAGCTTTGCTAACTTATAACCAAGTTTTAATGGCACAGTTCAAAGGCTGATCAATAACATCACGAATTGTGGTCCATGTTCAGTCCAGATGTATTAAATGGTGCCATGATAATGGATCAGACCCCTCCGCAGGTCCAGCCCAGTGTTACATAAATGAGCAGAAGTAAGAACCGCTTACCGAGCTCGTGTCACTGTCCTGAAAAGTTGCTCCTTCGAAACAATTCGAGAGTTTCGATTTAAAACACCACTAAAACCTGCCTGTGACGACTTTAAAGAATCAAACACACAACCTCGAGGAAGAACACACTATCATACGTCCCGGCTCCGTGTGTTTCTTACCAATATGTAGACCACTTCTCTGATGTACGTGCAGTCTTTGCTCACCGAGGTGGCCTGCTACATTGCAGTTTTTCCAGCCACACAAACCCTACAAACTAATAAATTGACACCTCCAAAAGCCAATGTTAGCCGACAACTATATTTCAGCCAATCAAAATGCAGTTAATAGCAGGAAAGGCGGGACATTGCTGTTTGGTTGGTCGAGGACGTCGTGTTTACTGCTGTCGAAACTGCGCTGTTACATGTATAACGCCCTCCCTACTGGTGCGCCTCAGTTTAGGCCTGCGCGCTGACGTAGGGAGGAGGGGGAGCTGACGCTTCGACGGAACAGCCAGGCTGGAAGTCATCTGAATTACTGGCAGTGAAGACGTCATCAAGAGTGTAATAACAGCAGTTCTGTTCAATAAAGACCTGTCTGTCAATCAGAGTTCAGGGATTTACCCACACCTTTTTCACTTAAAGTGAAAACACACAGACTCACACACCCCATAGATGGCGTAATTTTATTTATACAATTATGAAGAAATGGCTCTAAATTAACAAAAAACAAGCTCACAATTTATGTTATTTGATAAGTTTATTGATATTTAAGTTGTAAGCAAAGGAGGCCTTAAGCACATCAGAGAAGGAAAGCTTCATGACTTTATTGAGAATTAATCATGAACATTAGAGCATTTTTGTTACAACGTGTGACTGACATTTCTTTCTCAAATAATATTTATACAAGCTTTGCACAACCTGCCTCACACTAACAGTAAGCCACTTTTCATGATAAGTTGATCATAACAAGGCAAAATATACATGGTGGCAACATCACACATTTGATTGAAGGTGGACCTGTATATTACAAGTGTTTTGACAATGTTGATGTTTTTAATAACAAAAACACCTTTTACAATTAAAAACCTGCATTAGGTCACGTGCCTGCGACAGATTTATTTTGCCCACTTATGAAAATGTCTGGGAATATGGTATGCACATATTTCTCACAATCAGAAACACACAGACACAAATATACACACCAACAGACATACACAACCTTTTTTCATTGTCCCTCTCACTGCTCTGTACCCTGCTCCATGCTCAAAGGGGAGCACTCTCCTTAATTGCATTCACTATCCCATTGATTACTTTAATGGTGCTCCCTGCTACACATCAGGCCTCCAAGGCCCACAGTACAGCAAGATCACACACAGGGTTCAGGGACAAAAATGGAAGCTCCTTAGTCCTGTCTACAGTCCCTGTTCCTGTGTGTTTGCCTTACATTATTGACACTGTCACAAAGTGGACACTGCCAGTGCCAGTTTAAATCATGACAGTTACTCAAAACCATAGGCTACTTGTCTCATGTACGACCACCTTTACTGAATTTGAACCATTGCCTCACTTTAGGGGTTATATTTTGAAGGACATAAGTGAGGACATTCCCTAAATAATTTAAAAGTCCACAAATATTCTTCCACTCTAATTGCAATGTCTGTGAACTGAACCATCTGTCAAGTGTCCCACCATTCCTCTGAAATGTAGACCAGACTGAGAATTATATTTGCTGCTTCATGTGCTACGCAGTCCGTCATTAAACTTTCATTTTGCTCTTCAGACAATATTTTTTCGGCTTGGGATTGCCATGGGGACATTAAATAGGAATGAGCAAATGTAATTTGATGAGCTGTGACCATAGAAACCATAGTGATGACTGTCATTTTTCTCCTCTTGTGTGCAATCATTTGCTTTGTGGGAGTGTGTGAGAATAATATGTCTAGGTAAAATAAATGTACCACATTGAATTATACATCAGTCATGTAATGCTGTTGGCAAACAAGGTTTTTAGAATAAATTTCAAAGGTATGCTATTAGAAAACTATTGCTTTTCTTTATTAGAGTACAAACATGTACACACAAGGTACTGATGTGCTGTCTTTGATGTGCATATGAAAGTTTTATTAGTTATTCTGAGCATTTGTTCTTCATGAGGCATTTACTACTCACCTGGGAAAACAATCTGTGCCTCTTGTTTAAAGGTGCTTTATATTCAATAATAAAAAAACAGTCATGGGAAAACACTGGATTGAAAATAAATAGTCCAACAAATATATCAGGTGTTACGATGGTACTATTTGTGAGAGCTCAAATATTCTGAATCTACCTCTACCGTCAGTTAATTTATATTTACAATAATGACACTGTCGTTTTTGGTAAGATGCCGTATAAGCGGCACTAAATCATGACTTTTCAAATAAGGAAAAGCAAGTCCATTTCCTGATATATCCTCAGGTCAAAAATCTCAGGTCTTTATTTTCATGTATGCTGATGTCCTTAATATTACCTTTTTGCTCATTCCTTTATTTTGTATGCACAGAAAACATCCCTCGAACCCTCTATTTAATGCAAAAACCCTGCCAATAACCTCCGTTTTCCACACCTTACAATGTGCATATCATTCATGGAAAATAATACAATTATCATCACAGCTCAATAACAGAAACTATTTTTTTACAGTTTTTTTCTTTCTTAGAATCACTCATTTTATCAAACCAAAAAAAAAAAAAAAAAAAAAAACAGCAAACATCCTATTCAAATCTAGGATAACCAGTTAGCTTGCAGCATGTGTTAGAGTTAATGTAAATGCTTTGCTTTTCCTTTGTTTTATAGACAATATGTGTATGCTGAAGTGAAGAAAGTATGAAAGTCATTCCTGTCTGGTATAATAAAAAGAGAACAGAAAACAAATGAGATATTATAGATTTTGATCACATCTAGAAAGTCTATGGGACTAATACTGTGTCCTTGTGTTTTGACTCATCCATCAAACTCTCCTCTTCTTGTCAAACTTTTTCTTTTTTCTCACAACCCTGCAGATCTGGGATGCTCTTTTCACTTTGAGTGGTCTGGATCCACTCTGACCAGCTGAGAGTCTTCAGTCACTTCCAGCAGACCTCCCATGTCTGGGGTGTCTACACTCACTAGCTCCCCTTCCTCCACCTTCACATGCACACCGAGCCCGTTCTCCTCTCCCCCCGGCTGGCCCTCTGCCTCGGTCACTTCCACCATCTCTGTGTTCTGCAGCACCTCCTCCTCACCTTCTCGGATCTTTTTAACATGGAAGGTGAAGGGAGGGACGCGGTACACCGTTGTCTTGGAGCGGGCGTAGACTGTGTGGTCAGGGGTTAGGGACTTCTTCACCTTGTCTTTGGAGCTCTTCATCTTCGCCCTGCGCTCTTGGTTGGGTGTCATGCGGGTCCCAAGCTTGCCCATCTTTTTTTCAAAGCTGTGCTTAGTTTTCTCATAGTTGTCACGGGTCCTCTGTCTTGTCTTTTCCAGGTTCTCACGGGTTCTTTGCTTTGTCTTCTCCAAGTTCTCTTTGGTCTTGAGCTTGGTCTTCTCCATTTTCTCTTTGGAAAAGGCTTTCTTTATGTTGTCGACTTGCTGCTTTGTAGAGCGTTGGATGCGCTTGGTACGAGACTCTTCAATGATCTCTTCGATCTCCACCTCCTCATCTGAATTAAGGTTATCTGCTAGACCTTCTTTACCCTCTTCAGGTATCTGCTCGAGGCCCTCCACAGCTGTACCTTCAACCACTGTCTCTCCGGTCTTAGATTTGGAGGTCTTTAGGGGCTTCACTTGGTCCTGAGAGAAAATGGGACAGAAAAGAAAAACAGAAGACCGTTAAATCTCAGCTGCACTATAGGAAAGATTCACACCGTGAGAATTGATTAACATTTCAATTTGACATTTAGTACAAAATTGCAGACATGTTTCTATTAATTCTAATTTTAAAATTTCATTTACTATCATGCAACCATGATCCCGTAAAAATACACTTAATAGCTGTTGGGTGAGGATCAAAATTAAAAATTGGGATGATATTTCACACATTCATTTATTCATTTATCACATACATATTCAGGACACACATCCCTTAACTGCTTGTTGCTGGTCTAGAGTGCCATCTAGTGGCAAAACCTTTATCACTGAACAACTCTAGAGTCATACAAAAACAGGCAGTGAAACATGACCACTTAAGGTTTTTTTGCAGTCATTTCTCTTGATAACTTCCACAGAACTTTTCAGACTTCATTTATGTTGAAATGTGTTTGTCTACCACTGAACAGAGTATGTTCCTAAATGTTAATTCCTAAGTAAAAATGTTCAGGATTAGCTAAAAAATGGAGATGACAACAAACTCTAAAGGTGCTTTCACTACACAGTCAGTCAGTCAGTTTCACAGACAGGCAGATTTATTTCCAGATTTTGGTCCATGATAGAAGTCACACATGCAGACAGTTTAATTATACGACCAGGTAAAGACTGGCTCTGTAAATCTGACAACTATTCAGCAATGATAACTGTAATACCATAACTCTGCGCTGGCTGGCAGGAGTCCACAGGGGTGAAACTAGACATCCACATAGGGAGAAGCATAAAAGTTCCTTTGGTCTTACACAGGTCCATATGATATAACACCCATCTGCTATTTTATCCTCCTCACAGCAAGTTGAGGACCCCAGAGGGATTAGCGAACCAATCGCGCTGCAATCCAGAACCAGAACTTACTACATCTCTTTGCACCATTATCTGTACGGTCTGATGTGTGGATACTCACAGTGTTGTTACATTTTCCCCACCAGTGAAAGATTTAGTTGATTTGAATATTTTATGGCAAACGTGTTCATTCATGTAATGTTGATGACCATATTTTAGTCTCTAAGAATTGGATGAATATGTAGATAATTGTGAAAATCACTTTTTCCCCTCTCAACTTAAGTGTTATGCTTATTTGGTTTGACCTGTCTATGCTACATTTAGAGAAAATCTAAAAGGCACATATCTGTTTATTTTTCCAGATTGAAGTCCTTTACGTTGGAGGTCATGAAAAAAGAAAATCATTTTCACAAGGAAGAAAAAACTTGTCAAATTTGTCACCATCACCATGTCAACACATCGCACTTCTGCATCACTTCTGACATAAGCAAGCACCTTCATCATCCAGACTCACTCGGAGCGTAATCACTCCTCCTTCCCACGCCTGGCTGTCACTTCAGATTAAATCTGATTTTGGTTCTATTTTTTGCAACACCCTTTGCTCATTCCTGTGACATATAAAACAAGGACATCACCCCATTTACCTCCAATGAATACAATTCTGATTTAAAGAAGAAAAAAAAAGCAGTCCCCTGAAATGAGGTCATTCACGCGTGACAATAATATTCTACATTTGAGCATCCTCAGATTCACCACAGCAGATCGGTTACAAATTACTCACACCACAGTAATGTGGTTTTTATGGGGCGTGACTGAAGTAACTTAAAGTAACCTTTAAGGAAAAAATAGATCTTGATACTTCTTAAAGCCTCTGAAAACAAACAAACAAACAAAAAAATACAGGCACCTGTCGGATCAGGTGATCAGCACATTTCCCTGAGCAGTTCAAATATTGCCATATGATCCTCTCGTAAAACAGACATTGCCTCCATATCTCCAAGTGTATGGTGTGGGCCTGCTCTGTGTGAGTTTATTTCGGGCTGGCCTTTCCCTCTCTCTGAATACCATCTACCGCTCTCTGGCTACCAGCCACTGTAGCTTTAAGTCCTGCAGACACCCCTCGCCCCCTGCCACACAAAACCCTCCCTCCCCTTACTGCACGGCAACAGATAAACACAACAGCCCTGTCACCATGGCAACCACCTGCTCATGTTTTCTCTGGTGGGTGGTGAAATTTAGCTGGATAGACAGCTGAGATCCCAACAACAATTTACCGGCATAGGGCTCTCGGTTGCTCTACAATATAATTGAAATAAATACTGCACCTGCTTTGAAGACATACACACAGAGAAAACTGGGATAAGCTTCATGATGCCAATAATGAGAGATGCTGTATTTTTAAATGCCCCGACCACAACATTTTTCCATAGGTTATTTTAGATTAATGGTATGCAAAGATAAAAGTGAATGAAACTGTTACGCATAGTCCAGGTTTTTGTCTGGAGCTCAATGAAGGCTCAAAAAGAAAGCCATAAATAGCAAAGTACATATTTGTGTTCCTGTGTTGAGCCGACATTTAAAACCGTATGTACTTTCAAGTGTGTTGTTTTGCTGGGGGGCTGCTTAAGAGGGACAAACTTTATGTACAGTACACATCAACAAATGCACAAGTAAACAAGATGCTCAGAGATGTAGACAAGGTTTTTTTTTTTTTTTCCATTTAACAGAACTATGAACACTTTCATTGGAAGTGGTAGCTAAGGACGTGTTTCCAGCCAATGGAAAAGAGCGGTGCACAGCATCCTGGGAACAACAAATTCATAGGAAAAAGAAAGCAGAAATTACATCACAGTCCATGACCATGGGGGTGAAATACCTCACATAAATGATGCGGCCTAATGGGGATTGTTGTTAACATCAAACAGCCAGATTCTTCTACCTAAAACCTTCATATGAAAGAAAAACAAGCTCAATGTATCTACAGTGTAAGGCTGAGTATATTTTTACGCAGAACTGAAAGTCCTCTAACCTTTGATAAAGTTTTTAAAGGCTTTTGGAAGCCCGTGTACAAAAGCAGTGATATCACATGCTGGAACATTTTGTTTTTTACATTCCTAAAAGTAGACTCAGCCCGAGCTATCTGTGGAAACTTGAACGATACAAGCATAGCCTGTTTGGGCTCTCCTGCCTGATTAAAAAACAAGCTACCGGCAGCTGGAGGAAGTACCTCATTAGTGTTTCTGTGGTTCTTTCCTCTCCTGTCCAACTTGTCACCATGTGTTTGTGAGTATGGCACCAGGACATTGGTGACAGACTGTACGCTCTCCTCAAAGAGAAAGGGGTCTGTGGCTAATGTCGAAGAGAAGCATGAAGCATAATTCGTGGAAAGGTTGGCTAGAAAGAGTGGGAACTCTTGCTCCATGGCTGTGTCTGAGTTAGGTAATGTTTGGCTTAGAAAAACCAACAACATAAAAATGTCCAAGTGGACCAAAGAGGGAGATTTCAGTAAACAGCTGCAACCTGACTCATACTGCAGTAGATTCAATATTGACCAGTTGCAGAATTGGGCTATTTTCTTTAAATCAAGAGAAACTTCACAGATACTCTGGACCTCAGATGAGGACACAGCACACAATAATAAGAATGATCATAATAATAATAGCATATTACTCAACACAGGTTATAATTAAGACTACAGTATGTGCCCGAGGGAAAATACACCACCTCACGTTCCCTCACTGATTGAAGTCTGACCTGAAGTGAGCTCACAGGGAAAGAGATGAAACAAGGGGGTGGTGGCTACAGTCTGCTATGCAGATGCCTTGCTGTTGTGAGAAAGAAAAACTAAAAAAGAAGGAACAAAAAAAGTTCCACAAGATAACAGTTGCAGTGATTTAGTCAGCATGAGTTGTTGTTTGTTTGATTTTCTGGATAGGTAAAATCCAATCTGATTTTCCTGAAGACTAAATCCACCTACTGGAGCACTTTTCAGACTGAAGAAAGCATCAGCATTAAGGTATATTATGGACACTTGCAGTCCTTGAAAAACACGAAAATAGAGACGGCCTTTTAACAGTCCAAAAAGAGATTGTTTAGGATTTCTCCTTTTGTCTTTTTATTGTACATTTCTCATGTTGTATCACCAGAGGTGCTTCAGTTGTCCTTGGTTTTAGATCATGTTTACTATTGTTGGAAATCCTGTCAGCAGCTCTGTCTCCTTCTCTCTCATTCGCTGTTGGCTCAGAGAGCTCAGACTTAATCCTCCCTTTTCTAAATCCTTCATATCAAACATGCTGAGATATTACAGACTTGGCCCCGGGGGTGCCAGTTTGGCCTTCTGGTTAAATCGTACACCCCATGAGGCTTTAGTCCTTGAAGTGGGCAGTCTGGGTTAATTTCCAAACTGCGACTCTTTATCACTCTTTCTCAGTTTTCTACATTATCCACTGTCCTCTCAATAAAGCTTAAACTCGAAATAAAGAGCGGTATAAACTCTCACATTGCCAACTGATCTGGGACAAACATCGGTAATGACTAAATGCCCACAACAAATTCCCTCTCTGACTGTCTGATTCGGGCAAAGAGCTCCTCTTAGAGTCTGAATCAGGCTTTTGACTTCTGAGATAAATAAGACAGGATTGTCAAAACAGGCAGAGGCTGAGAATAACTGCTGCACATGAGTAGTGTCTGCTGTTTATAGGTGGATAATATGCTAAAGATTAGATAACAGTAAAAAACGATTAAAAAAATCTCAATTATGTATTACGTTATAAAACAGCAATGATCTTCAGTGTCTAAACATTATCAGAGACAAAATGTTCTCTGTGTGACTCATTCGAGGACCTTGGGAAAATGTCATCACTGTCTGTTACTACGACAACAGAGGAAACTGTGTTCTCAATGAGAACTATATAGAGACCCTCTCTGTCTCTCCATGTGCCGCTACAAGACCTTTACAGAGCCACATGGTGCAATATTTTCTCTTGACTAATGATGCTGTCACTAAGCAATATATCTCTTGTAACCGGCATCGATATATAAGCATTAAATGGATACATGATGATGGATGGTTTCAAGCTTGTCTACGGTGTGCTAATGAGAGGAGTGGCTCTAAAATGAACAGGTTTTATGGAGATTCTATTAGCTGTAGCACCTTTGCAGACTCCAGGGTTACTTCTTTTAGGTAGGTTTTTTTCATGACAATATAAACCAAAGAGAGCAATGTAGACCCTTCTAAAGACACCAAATCCATGTACATTCAATCACATTATAATCCTGGTCCAGCTACATGCATGCAGACCATAAACAACTTGTTCCTCCGTAGACAAACACATAGACAGGCATACAGACACTCACACCATTCCCTATAAGGCAGAGTGATGAAAGGCCTCTCCGGTGAGTCACAGGAGCAGCTGTCTGATCCTGTCCAGTCCTCGCAGCTGTGCACTTAGCTTTCACAATGAGTGATATCACTGACCCATGCGCCCTCCCTGGATGGAAAAGGCCAAATGAGTGATTGACATGAAACAGAGGTGGAGGCTTGCATGTAAGAGCCCTGCAGAGGCCTGAATTGCATTGCTTTGATCCCTAAAGAGAGCTGGGAAGCTAAAATAAGGACGCTAATGTGCTCTGGTCATTAATATTGATGCCACCCACGCTGTTAAATAAGGCACTAACAGGACTAGTCACCCACTACCTCAGGCATTTTCAGGGTGACTCATATAACTGAGGACACAAGTCAAATTCAGTTTCTTACGAGCCCCCTGTCTCTTACAGACACGCTCTGTCAGTGCCATGTTAACGTGTCCTGCAGGTAATGGAAAATCTAACAGACAGCCACGCTCTGTCTGCAGACAGATTCATTCAAAGAGAGGGCTTTGTGTATCACTGAGCCAACATGGCCATGTCATGTTACTGTGCACACACCACAGGAGGGGAGTTCCTTGGTTTTTCTGTCACAGTGATTTGTGATTTCACGTACAGAGGGAAACCCTTTTCCACAGCTCAGTCTGCCCACATCCATAACTCTGAAACCACTGGAATCCCAGGTCCCACGCAAAGATGGAAAATGTGCTTTTCCATTCACATCACAGCATAGAGTAGCAGCTACAGCGCTGGAATATATTATATAACCACCATTTCTCGTCACCCACTCTGGCACCCAAGTGTAAAATAAGCCAAATTTCCATCTCTCTGTTTGAAATTTACCATTACAAGAATATATGAGCAAAAACATGCAGTGTAAATAAAGAGTTTTATCAAAAAGACACCATACCCAAATGAATCAAATCAATAATTCAATGTTTCCTTATTCACTGTGATGTGTGAATAAAGTAAAGCCATGAATAATGCGTCTGCATGACAACACTACTGGACTCAACCATAGGAAACTACAACTACTGAATTATATAAGGCCAGTGTAATGATTTATGACTGATGACTGGTGCCAAATAACACCCATGGGTACCAATGCAGAGGCAGACGAGCAATCAGCTACACTGCTTTGCTTTGTTCTGAGATGTGCTGCTGATTATGAAATAATGTATCATGCAATGGGATACCAAAGGAGTGGAAACTGACACTCTTTGAAGCTTGTAGTCTGTTAGTTTGAAGAGGAGTGCACCTTTTTGAGTTCAACTAGAGCAATTCTTGTTATAATTTGCTTAAAATTTAATCAAATACTGCAGTTTAATTAATATAATCACAATAGATAACAATAAACTTTGGAGTATTACTGTCCGAAGTTGTGTTAAACCTTGTAAATGACACCCTACATTCTTTTGAGGTCAATAAAAGCAATAACTCTGTGGTAAAATGTAGTCCAAAGACTCACCTTCAAAGTTTGTCTCGTACCCTGAAAACATAATTGAAGCGCGGTGCCTATTATTTATAGATTCATCATCCTAAGCATCCATGTGCATGCAAAATCTAATCCCAAAGGGTACCAAACCCACAGAGAGTTCTGGCACACCCTCAGTGACAGCCTATAACTCACATACCAGTGACAAGAACAGCGGGCCGCCACAGCAGCGGTGAGGAATAGACAACCAGGGCAACCGGACTGTTACACTTTGGACTGAAGTTTTGCACGTACCAGACTTTATTTTTCATGAATACCTTTAGTTACAAAGCCAACACCTATTTATTCAACGTGGATTCATGACTACTCAGTATGTTCACTACGCTTGAAAAGGCATTTCTTGTGGTGCAGGTAACTTCTGTTTTAACTACAGTATGAAACCAAAAGCTGAGGCTGCCTCCACACACTCACTCACACACACATGAATACACTACAAACCTAATTAATCAATCAATTGATGTTGTTGATGGCTAAATTCAGACACACGCAATGAAACAGAACACTATGCTATTCTGTTACATCGCTGCTGGAGTATTTATAATCAAAAACAACATAGCACAATCCTCATATATACTCACTCATATGTCAAACTATTTTTTTTTGCCCGTGGCATCTTTGACGGAGGGTGTGCCTACAAATCTTGGAATAAACAGCATGGAGGTTATCAGCAGCTTCCAGCAAGTGTCATGTTGTATGAGGATGAGGACACATATCTGTTTGCCAGCCAAGGCGCTGGACGACAACTGTTCAAATCAACGAGGGAGCAGATCGAGCACCCAGATGGTAAAACGGACGTCGGCTGTAGGGTGATTTGAGGTACAGGAGAGCAGGTGGGGCCTGATATCAGACATCACAACTTATAAAATGCAGTAATTCACCGAATCAAATGGATAACTGGAATATACTAAATTTCATTAAACTGATTTGTACACACTGTGATGAGGGATGCAGCACTTCACCATTTTCAGAATAATCATAAAAGATCTGTATCCTCATAATACAAGCATAAAACAGCCCGTTTAGAAGAACAGCTCTAATAATAGACGATAACAATAATACACGTGCGACGTTTACACATGTCTAAATAGCAGGGATCACCTTCTGCTGTAAAACTGTAGATCTTAATGACAGGGGCCCAGGAAAGGCCACTGTAACACTATCAGCTGGTCCACCTACTGTAGCTTACACAAACACCCACACACACAGACACAGACAGACTTCAGAGTGTTGAACACACTGTGTATGAAACCAAACCAGATTAATCATGCCACACCAATGCTTTCACTTCCATCAACTTGACCTCACTTGTACAGCGCAGCCAAATAAATGCACGAATGTGACTTTTTGGAAGAGAATGACAGTATTTAAAAAGACAGATTTGGTTTATAATATGACTTTGATGTGAAAAATCTAGATCTGCCTCCCAGGTGTTTTTTTTCTTGCCTTAGAATAAAGAAGATGAGAGGAAATAAATGTCTGTTTTTGGATTCACTTTCCACAATTCACAATAATTACTGCTTTAATATCTGTGCGTAAAATATAAAACTACAAAAACCGAAAAAGTCAGATTCAGGGTGTTTCCTGTCTGTGTGCACTCTCTTATCTAGAAGCAACTGATAACATCTCACTTCAGTTTTTGCAAGACAGAATTCAAATGACTCATTTTTGTTTTTCCTATGCATGTCAACGTCTGCTAGTATGAAACCCACAACCATGATCTATTGGACAACATCTGACATGCAAAAGCTCTCACGCCACTAGGTAATGGAACTCAGGACTGGCTCAACATAGAAGCTGACATGCAGCAGTGAAATGTTTAGCCTGTCAGATATCTTTCCACTAGCATGAGAAAGAGGAGTGCTGCAGCCGGGAAGGACGGAGAGGAGAGACTGGTGTGTAAAAGTAGTAAGCTAAAGTAGTGTGGCAGCAAATACTGAATGAGTCTGGCCCTTGGTTCTTGATAAATCCCTGAGTGGGAGTGGAGTGGATAAGCTGATACACAGATAAAGGGAGTGACTGGAAGGAGCAAGTGGGCATTTTGGCAAGAGAAGCAGAAAGATGCCAGCAGAGTGAATCACATTGCTAACTTGGTGCTGCCGGTTTGAAGGCTTTCTGTGAAGGTGGTGCTCTTGACTGCTTTAGTGTTTTATAACTGCCACTTTCTATAATGAGACAGAGATCTGATTTATCCTGGAAAAAAGATTTGGAAAGTGGGAAAAAGCTTTGGCTGGAGCACTAAGTCTGGAGGAAGTGGAATTTAGTTATTATTACATAGTCTGGGTAGGGCTTTGGGCTATTAAAGAGCGGTGGGATGGGCTGCGGCAAGGCTTGTTGGCTGGGATCTGAGTATACCGGAGGCTCAGTGAGGCTGCTGCGGCATAAGTAGACTGTAACTGAGAGGTCTTACATCTCCCTGATAGAGTTGATCACATGGCTATCACTGTCCTTGAGCTGCAGCCAAACACGCCCTGATTCCAGACAAACAGCAGTGCTGTCTCACACCCTGATGGACACACACTCTCACATTGCATGACTGGGATTTAATCCTCATAATTAAATAGATAATTCACATTGTGAAGCACACATGTGAGTCTCAGATCAGACAGGCTGAGCCAGGGCGTAAACAGAGAATCTAAGTGGAGCACACGCTCACGGCTCTTTGCACTTGAAGCTATTGGTCAAGTAATTAAATGGAGGGTGCTGATTGGATGAAAGCAGAGGTTTTACTCCCTATGGTGGGCCTACAGGTCTCATTACTATGTGTAAAACAAAGAATATTACATGAAGCACATGAAGTTTTATGATATCAGATCAATTACTTTGACAAATACATTTACCAGTTTCAACAGAGGACTTCAACTGGGCTGAAAACTAAAGAAAAGTGCATATCAAGTATTTTTGACTCCACATATTAACTACAGGTACCACCAGTATAACACACCAGAGCCTCTTGCAGCTGAATTTACAGGTTTGACAAGAGGTTTGGTTTGTGTTGATTTTGGTGCCCCCTGTCGACAATATGATACCTGGTATCTCTGTGCAGGTAAAAGTCATTTTTTCCAGATGCAAATCTCATCCTCTTAAAGTCCCACTCCGATCGTTTTTTTTTTTTTTTTTCACTATTTAAAGGGTTATCAGTGGTCTTTTAGTTGTGATTATTAAGTTTTTAGCCAAAATCATGTGCCATTTTCAAGGACTTTTCTTTTCAGAGGTCCAGTAGCTCATAAGCAATTCGCCTCTGAGTCATGGGCAGAGACAGCACTGCTCTGCACACTCCTTTTTACGCTTGCTTGCAGCCTAGCATTGCCAATGTAGTAGAAGTGTCAGGTAACATAGGAGTTATTCAGCTTTCGGACACTAATGCGGCTAATGTCACTGATGTCACTAATGAAACTAATGCTGCTAACCCACACGCTTGTTCCGCTGTTTTCCTCTCTATTTCTCATAGTCTAACCTGCATAGTGGGGCACCGGGCCGGGGGCGCAGCTTTGATTTGTGACGGAGAAAATCTCACTGTGTCTGAGCCTGCCGTTCCTTTCTGCCAGAGATTCACAGCAATTTGAATGCAGAAATACTCAGAAATGCAATTTCACACTTAGTTTTCTCATGTTGTGTCCTAGAGCATCATAAAAATGCCATATAAACATGTAAAATACAGAAAAAAAACCCATTATTTTCATTGGAGTGGGTCTTTAAGGCATAAAAATCTGTTTCAGTCTATTTCTCAACCAATTAAAAACTCCTCATAGTTTCTTTTACAAATCTGAAATAGGTATATAAATGAATCTAAAGAAAATACGAAACCATGTTCACCCTCAGTGTGTGGCACAAGCTTGGAAGTTTTTTGAGCCAGCACCAGTTTGAGCTCATGGAAATCCTGGATACATGCAGGACCTATTAGATCTGTTTGAAGATAGGGCTCAGCTATTACAGGGCGCCACCACTGTGGCAGCCCTCCAGCCATGGTGGTGGCGAAATGGTACTTTTTTTTTTCCCACTGTGCTGCTATATTCCAGGTTGTTGGATGCCCATGCCAAATTAGGGGCATCTGATCATTTAATCACTTTTGTTTAATCACGTCGTTTTAGCCAGGAGTTTACGCCTTCCCTGTTATGTTGTATAATGTTTGTAAGAAACTCTCAGCCAACATGACAAACACCCTGGAGCATTGAAACAGCATCTAAGCTTCCTACTATGAGTTTGTTAACATGGTCCATAATAATTCTACTATCATAACAGCTTTTGCAATGATGTTGATACTCAAAATAAGCTTACACCTTTTATCTGTTCAAAAGCTCAACTTCTACTCAGAGAGGAATTTACACACTTAAAGCAGCCCCCTCTTGAGAAGCATTTAGTACATTTCCAATCATTGCATTACAACTATCATTAAGCTTGGATCAGAAAGCAGAGTTGTTACTCATAAACCTTTTTCAATGCATTCCTGACAGCAAATAACTATTAGAAAACACTAAAACAGGAAATTAGACCTGAGAGGCTGAAATGAACAATTAAAAAAGCTAGAAATGTGAGAGTAACCAGGCACAGGGAAATAAATGTGGATTTGTTTAGAGCATGATGGTTCTTGCAGAGCGTAGTTAATATAAGACAAGTGCAATATGAGCAGGAAACTCAGGGAAGCTGTGATACAGAGACCGCTTTATCCTACTGCCACTCATGTCCTATAGCGCTCTGATGACACATCTGTTACACCTTGTTCAGGAGGCCATCAGCTGCTGCAAAGCCTCTTCCAGGGGATTTGTTAGTCCAACATCTCAGAGGAGTTGATCACCCCTGATGAGGAGAGAAGTGAAACAGTTGTCCTAACATTTATTTCAAGTTCTTTACTTCCAGAGCACGGCTGTGTTTCTGCCAGGAGGAATTTCTCTGTTGATCCTTCTGATCGAGAGTGAGCACAGAGAGGCCGCTTCAGTTTCAGTCTCATGAGAGATTCACCGTAACTTTGGCATTACAGCAACATTAAAGATAGACTGAGCACTGTCCAATTATTGATGATGCATGAGGTGCAGTTTGGTAGGGATTTCACACATTACAATGACTTCAGTGCTTCATTGGAGTGCTTTACTCCAGTATTTTCTTCACACCTGCTCGGTTAACCAAACAAACTTAGCCTCTTAGTTCAATATGGGCAGCATTGGACACCGCAACCAGTCAGAGCTAAAAAAAAAAAAAAAAAAACGTTGTTTTTCACCACAAAAGAAGAGGATCATCAGAACCAGTAAAAAGTCAAATTTGCTGCCTTGATTGCCATTCAACCTGTTCATCATGACATCCTTTAACTGGCTAAGTTGAAAGTGACAGAATTGAGATCTTTCTGAACTTAAGGAGCAGACCATAGAGTGTATATACTATGGACAGCTTGGCTCCGCCTTCCGCCAGTATACGGATTTATAGCTGAAAAGTTCTCTGTAATTCCGGGTTTTTTCTCTGCTTCCTGAAGCCAACATTGCGTAGTAGCATTGTACGCAAAAGAGGACTTGAGCACAAACCAGTCTCACAGTAACTACATGTCAACATCACTACTGGGGGTAGAAAACTGTATATTCTGCGTAATTAATTTCTAAAGTTTGTCCACAGCTCCATAGGTATTATTCGAGGAGGCAGGATTAATGACCGATACTGCAGCCCGTCACCAGAGGGTGCTGTTCTCAGAGTGGCTTCACCCAGCGAGGAGGCAGACAACGTCCATTCTATATACAGTCTTTGGGGCAGACATATCTGCATAGCGAGCTAAAAGATTTGTAGCCCCCCCTTGCAATCATCATATGCATTTATACTTTGCAGTGGAGTTAAAAATGAGCCACATCGTAACCAGTCGCTACAGTTGCGACACCTACGAATAGAAACAATGTAATGGATGCACCTATAACCCTAAATGTCAAAGGTTATTCTGTGTAAAACTTTCACCACGAGCAAAATTTATGAGTGCAGGACTTTAAATCTCAGCATGTCCGCCAGTGGATTTCCTTCATATTTGATTGAAGACATCAGACAGTTTCTCACACATCATCTGATATGTAATGCACATTTAGTAAACACGTCCTCACAGCCCCTCCCTCCTTCTCCTGACTGGGGATCATACATGCTGCGACAGTTACAGGTTTAATTATAAAGCATCACTGTCAGAGTTGTTGCGTGAGAGAAACTCGTCTATTCTCAGAGCGCCGACTGAGTGACAGAGGAGGAAAAATGGCACCTGCAGATGAAGCAGAGTAAACTTCCTGCACAGCAAAAGTAATGCTGTGAATGTTTCACTTGTCTTACTCAAATTTTAGCTTCGCTTGACATTGACACTGTGAGTGAAAGGTAATACTGAGGAGGAATGGCCACACACACACACACACACACACACACACACACACACACACACACACACACACACACACACACACACACACACACACACACACACACACACACACACACACACACCCACACACACACGGCCTCCCCTGATTAAACGCACACATTTTAGAGATAGTATTGTTATGAGGACACTGCTGTGTACATTAACTGTAAGAGCGTTAAATGCAATCTTCACAATATTTACGCGCCGACCTCATCCTTAGAGACAAAATCTCTGACCTATTTCTAAAGCGGTCCCACTCTAACACATTAACACACAAACAGACGGTGGAAAGGGGTGAAACCTGACTGAGAGCCAGTGTTGATTTGCAACGGTGCCAATATCTGTCCGGCCTATGTGCCGCTCAATTAAACTGGCCTTGCTGCAGCCATAAATAGATCATGGGCGCTCAGAACAGCTTCTGTAACATGGAAGCGACAGCTCCTACCTCATGAAAGTGAGAGAAAATAACAGCGAAGAAGCTTCATGGCTAAGATAATCTCAAGAGGAAGTGACTAATCTCTTATCTGATGTGATACCAGCAAAATCTTGAGTTGAGAGAAAAAAAAAAAGATTCTTAGCTAGGACTGTGCATGAACGCTGTAGCACCACAGAATTTTCTGGTAAAAAAGTTCACTTTGCAAATAAAATATCAAATCAAACTGATAGCGCCTTCAGTCATTGTTCAGTATGACTTTGACACATCAGCACACCCCCTTACAAAGTAGTGCAATGAGTTCCAGTTCTGCATACTGTCACCACAATTCTGTACTGAGTCCCACATGGGTAGTACACACAGACATGCATCAAAAACGTCTGGCAGTAAACCCCCCAACAGTGTCACAAACAGCAGGGGGCACCTGCTCTACAGAGTAATTTATTAAGGCTGCTCTGTGATTGGATTTCCCCGAGATACCAATACAGTAACCTGCCTCAACAGTGCGCAACCCAGGAGATAAGAAGAAGTTTGTCTGTCATGACGGACTCTGAACTGAGCTGTGCGCACAATTATCTTGGAACAATATTTTGAAGAACATCTCAAACTGTTTATGCTGCAGAGGTTAGGATATGCAGGGCTTTGCATTGGCTGTTCATGTGCACATCACATTTGCAAATCTTCATCTGTCTATCTATCTCTCTCTGTCCTTTCATCCATGAGCACCAAGAGGTGTTGGCCCTGTCTCAAGTAGCCTTTCATTCCTGTGTTTATAGACCCTGTATTTTCATTTACACCAGTGAGTCTTTATTTAGTATCACTGAGTAATGGAGTCCTGTAGAGTCGGACAGATCACTAACTGCTTTCTTTTTTTCCATGGAAGGTGCAAGTACTCTCTGAACCCAACTCACAGAGCACAAAAACAAAACAGTCATCTGTTGCTGAATACCTGGTGGCAGTGTTTGGTTCCCAGTGACATTTAGGAAAAACTTATTCAGACGTTAATGTGATGGAAAGCATGAGGCTAATGCTCTGGCCAGCATCCCTGGTCCTCAGGAATTAGAGGGCCTCTTTTGGGTTTCTCTGGTGAGGGTGGACTCACACCACAGCATGACTCTAAATCTAACCAGAGTTTAACGAGTACTTCAAGAGTAAACAACAGATGTCTAAATCCACATGTGGAAAAACACGCATCAGAGTATTCTGTGTCATTTATTGCACCCTGCAGTGAGAGACAGAGAAGAAGCTGTGCAGCCTCACCTGGTAGATGAGGACTTTAAAGTTGCGCCTCTTCAGCAGCTCGTTCTCGTTGTTCTCCAGCTTCTTGATCTGGCCCGCCTGCTTCTCCAGGTTGCTGCGTACTGTCTTCACATTGACGCTGACCTTGCGAACCTTTTCCAGCATCTTGTTGACGGTGTTGGCCGTGCCGACGTGGTTCTTTGATAACTTGGCCAGCTCCCCTTGGATGGTCGACACTGACTTCTCCATGGCCTCCTGCCGTGCCTCAAGCCCATTTTGGGTCACCTGGATCTGGTCTACCACTCCAATAATCTTGTCCAGAAGAGACAGAACCATGACCCCGTTCATTTGCGCTTCACTCTTGCCTCCGGGGCCGGTGGCCAGCACCAGGTCCACCTCCTCAGCAGGGTCGTCTTCATCGACTGCTGGCTCAGTGGCAGCACCCACCAGTGCCACCTCGTCATCGTCATACGGCAAGTCTCCTCTACGCTCCTTCTTGACACCTGTATCCGCCATGGCTGTCAACTCCAAATACACACCACCTGCTCACAACAGATAAAAATACACCGGTGAAAAACAACCTGCAGGAGCCACACTGATCCGCCTCTAATTTGATTTCTCTTTTCTTTCAGCAACTTTCTCAATCACTTGTCTGCCTCTCACTCCTCTACCTTCCTCTTAAACTTTCTCTTCACCCTCGGTCTCACACACTGTCTCTCTGCCTCTGCTCTGGGATGCCAGCCAGCCAAGGGGAGAAGGGCCTCTCACAACTGAGGCATGTGTGCCCCGACTCAAATGCCTCTGCTCTCTGTGAAACCACCCAGTCAAACTTTTCCCTTCTTACACCAGCCCCCCGCCCACGGCTCCCCCTGCTGCTCCACCCAGTTCTGTCCCCACAGAGACGCCTGTGTCCAGACTCCACCTCTCATGGTGACACACAGTCCTCTCTTAGTGCAAGACAGGAGCCTCCAGAGGCCTCCAGAGTACCATGACAGTAGGACAGCACTCTGAACCAGTTGTAACTGGGACAATAAATCTTCATTTTTACTTGAAAAGATCTATATATAGAAATAGACAAGTACAAGTGACAGATTTACACAGACATTTTGATACAACTTATTTTGATTTTTTTTGCACCATACTGTTTACATATGGATGGTGGAAAAAATATTCATATACTGTTTAAACTATCTGAATTATTTTAATCCCTGGCTTTAAATTAACTTTCTGTGTAATTTGAAAGAGCTGTGCATATTGCCATTGAAAAACTGTCAAAAAAATTGACTTTTACGAAAATTGATAAAATATCAAGGAGGTTTCTGACTGGACTGATTCAGTCCAGCAATTAAATTTTGATGATATTCATTCAAGTATGACTTTCTTAGAAGCAGCTATCCTGTTTAAACACAAATTGGATTTAAAAATAAAATCTATGTAGGAATTACTCAACCCAAACCAAACAGCTGCACAACTATCGTATTTAAGCTTTTTCTTACTGCTAGAAGCTGCTATTGTTGTTGGTATCACTGCTTGTTTTCCGCCATTAGCATCAGCTGTATGACGTTAATTTTAAAACATCAGTCTTGCTGTCCTCTAGTGGTCATGAACAGAACTGCAACACTATAAATAATACCTACAATCCGTGACAATGCTAGTATTCTTAAACTAGAATTTAAGTTTGGCAATGAAACTAAAACCATTGTTCATTCAATTAAATATCTCTATTGGCTTTTGATAATTTACTTCAAATAAAAAGTTATATTTACTTTTTTTTTCGGTGCTCGGTAGGTGAAGGCCAGAGCAACTGATTTTAGTATAACAGTGTTTAAAATAAATCTTTAATATCAAAATGATGTCAGTATATGTGCTATTCTGTATGATCTTTCTTTTGACCTTCAAAATTTTAACCTAATAATATTATAACTATCAATCTAAAATATTAACTGGTCTATGCACTGCTTCTTTTGTTGTGTTGGCCTGATGGCCCTGAGTGCCCTCCAGTGGTCAACAAGTGGTACTGTAAGCTAATGCTTGTGTCAAACTTACATATCTGATCAACATTGACACTTTCTTCGCAGCGACGTTGTGGTAGATGAGGATCAGAGGACTGAGGACTATCAAAGGCCAACAAGTATCCTGTATAAAGGACGTGCACGTGATATTGAAGCCCTCTAGTGGTTACAATGGGCTCTATGCACAGATCTACTACTTCCTGAGTTTAAGGCAGCTCCCTTTTTCCTGTTTTACATTTTTGGACGAACAGATTACTCCATGTGTGTCTGAGTAGTTACAATGATCAGTCACACCTGGATAAACCAGTTTGTTCAATAATGTATGACAGGAAATAAAGGAGCTGTCTTAAATTCAGGAAGTAGTGGAGCTGTGCATAGAGCCCATTATGAATTACAAGTGCCACAGCATCAGTGTATTAAGTATTAATGTTTTAAGCAGTACAATAATGTTTCCGGTCCACACATTCAAAATAAAGCTTGAGTCAGCAAATTTGGTATACTTCCATCACTGGAAGACTGTACACTGGTGCATGCTATTATTCAGACATTTGATGAATCATGAATCATAAAATATATGTATTCAATATCAACAGATTATTGTTTGAATATGTTTTCGTAAACAAGATGTGAAAAGATAAGATCGATAACACATAGGACGTTGCACTATTCCTATGACAGCCAATAGTTGGACAGCCAGTTATTATCCAGATGTACACCTAGGTAAATCTGGATAATGTACCTGCTTATTATTCAGATATACCTAGGTGTACAACTGAATAATAAGTAGGACTGATTTAAGAATATAGACTTCATCTACAGAAAGGGGCAGAGTCGCCTCTTTTGCCTGAGAAGACTCTGATCAATAGACATCTTTAGTAAGATGCTGCAGATGTTTTATCAGTCTGTGGTGGCAAGTGTTCTGTTCTATGCTGCAGTCTGCTGGGGAGGAAGCATCAAACACAAAGATGCAAGACGTCTTAACAAACTGGTGAAAAAGGCTGGCTCTGTGGTTGGACTCAGTGGAGGATGTGGTGGAGAGATCTACACTGAGGAAGGTGGAGTCTATTCTCAAGAACACGGATCACCCACTTCACAACACCTCGATGGACCAAAGGGCAAATGATGGTGGACGGCTCCTCTCTCTTCGCTACAGGACAGAAAGTCTCAGAAGATCTTTTGTACCAACAGCCATTAGACTTTATAACTCTTGTGTAAATAGTAGATAACTTTTTTGGAACCATATTATGTGAGACAACAGACAATTCTTCTTCTTCTTCTTCCTCTCTTTTCTTCTTCTTCTATTTTCATGTCATAAGGAACCAGACAACACAAGAACCATGCAACATAAAATGAGACCATGAGGACCAAAATAAAAACATAAAATAGTTAAGAAAAAAGGAAAATAAAAGGGAGGACAAAAGTGAAAACAGGAAAGTAAAGATAAAAGGCAGTATCAACAAGGATAATAAAATAATAACAGGTAATCCTGATAATAATAGTAATGATAAAATAGAGCAACAGAAATGATCAAGAGACAAAACAATAAAAGGACTAAAAGGTTAATTAAGAAAAGAGTACAAGTTTAACAAAAGCTAAAAAGACAGTAAGGCTGAAATAAGATAAAGGTAAAAGAGATAAGAGATGAGAGATAAAAGATAACAGATAAAGATGGCATCACATAAAACCAAGTCTGTAAAAGTAAGTACTGTTTCTGGTTCACACATTCAAAATAAAGCTGGCAAGACTCAGCAAATTAGGTACATACTTTCACCACTGGAAGACAGTATACTGGTGCATGCTATTTTTCAGACAGTTGATTTAAATATAGCCAACTGCCTTTTTCTTCTTTTAATGTTAACTAACTAAAACTTATTAATACTTCTGTTCACCATTTTTACTCTACAAACAATTTCTGAAAACGCTGTGAATCATAATGCTTTTGCACACAGGACGTTGCACTTTTCTTATGACAACCAATACAGTGGGGCTACTTTAATGAGTTTCTTCCACTGGGGGGCGCTACTGCCACATTGATCCCGACATCTGCAGTTAAACCCCAGAGCAGCAGGAGAAGAAGAGTCCTCCGCCTCAAACTACCGACAGTTGACAACAAAGTGCGAAGAGGAAACCAGAAGGAAAGCGAAGGGGAGAGAGACTTTCTCCATCTCTACAGTAAGGACACTATTTTCTTCAAAAACTGATGTCTAGCTTTACGATTAAACCACAAGGTCTTTAAAACAGATAGTGGGTTCAGTCAATAATTGCACAACAGGTGCGGCTTAGTTAGCGTTAGCTGTGTTGTAGCACCATACTTCATAAAAGCTGAAGTTAACAAACGATCGATTATGGATTAGTGATCGATAAATATCTCTGTGTTTTGCGTGTAACTAACGTGTTGATTTGGCTCATTTTAACTCGTTCACTCAGGTTCGTCGTTGACTTCAGCTTACGCCTGCTAACCAAACCACCGCCTACCGATGTTATTATTTGCTAATGCAATATAGTTTGTACATGTGAATATAAAATTATTTTGATTTTCTTGTTTTTATTTCATTGAATTTTAAAGCGTAAATAAATTGGGTGGATCGTTGCCTACCTGCTGTGTGTTATTGGCTGGTCAAAATCAGCTGATTGACAGGTGACTTTGTAGTAAACAGAGGATCGTATCATCCTCGTACCAATGTCAGTCTTGTACGATCAATGAAAAATGTTGATCATTAAATAAGTCACAGTTTAACCAGGTTTGTCATCTTTTTTACTGTATTAGAGCATCAGCGTTACCACAGTGGGAGTACGGAAGCTTACTAGAGCTCTAGGTCACATGCTGTCCTGTAATCCAAAGATAAGCCCTGTGTGGTCGTTTTTACTGTTGGCAATTGTGCTGCTCAGCTGGAAGATAACGCCAAAAATGTCTTAGTATTTATATCAAGCGCCAAACTCTGTCGACAGTACCAAGACTACAGTATGCTTTCCATCAGCAATCCGCATTAAAGCTTGCTAAAAGTCCAAAGTATAGTAATGAAACAGTTTCTCTCAGTGTGGCCACATTCCTGCTATGATCATGAGATCAGCATGAGGGCAAGCTGACTGATGTTTTAAAAATTCTCCTTTCACCACATGCTATGCCTCTCACCACCATGCTAAACTGACACACAACTGATACAGGTCCCCCTCATTATTAGTGATCTTAACGCTGGTGTGCCAGGCAGGAGAAAGTGCTGAGTGTAGCAGCATTCATTGTCTCCCACATACAAGAGATAAAGAGTTAATTAGTTGCACCTACTAACTAGGGCCCGACCATATGTATTTTTTGGGGCCAATGCCGATACCGATTATTGGGGGGGGGGAATATCCGATTACCGATTAATCGGACTATTTTTTATAATTTTTTATGAAGTTATAAAATCTATATGTACTGTAGATATCTACCGTATGAAGTTGACTGTAGATATACTGTGGGCTCCTGTTCTTCACGGTAACAGGAAGACTGACTGAGCAGAATAGCGTTTTCAACGCCCCCAGCCCCCACCGATTGGTGCCTCTCCGTCTTAACTCACATTACACATTTCCAGTCCAGTCTCATCTGGAGACATGCAGCTACCTCAGTAAGAGAAGTAGCTCGATCATGTAATGTTTACTGTTGTTTATTCTACCGCTACTAACATGGCTAACAGTGTAGCAAGGCTAATAGTAGATGGCTAACTCTAACTTTAGCTTGCATATTACATGGTGCCTCACCGTTAACTCGACGTGACCGAGACCAGCACAGCGGGGAACATCGTGAAGTGGGTTGAACTGAAACTTGTTGACTTATTGTGTATTTCACAAATTAGTTTATTTAACGTTGAGGTGGACCACTCTCCTCTGTGCGTCCCTGAGCTGCCTGCTGCAGATCTGTCACTCTGCTGTGCTGTGAGGTATTTAGTGGATGAAGATTGTCATGAGGGTGCTGCGCCATCTACAGGATAAGTTGGTGAACTTTTCAAATGGTGGAACATTTTCAAAGTGAAACCGAATCTTATTCTCTGCATTTGATTTCTGAAAATATCTGCAAAGATCGGAGAGTTTTGGCTGATTACCGATCGGTCTCAAACAGGCTAAAATTGGCCGATTTAATCAAGTCGCTGATATATCGGTTGGGCCCTACTACTAACATATGTTTTGTTTGTTTTTATCTCTAGGTTTTGTTTGATTTTTGAGTGCTGAGCACTCACATCCAAAGGTGAGATGGGGGAACTCTTCAGAAGTGAGGAGATGACTCTGGCTCAGCTCTTCCTCCAGTCAGAAGCTGCCTACTGCTGCGTCAGTGAACTGGGAGAGATTGGGATGGTGCAGTTTAGAGATGTGAGTCAAATGTTGTCCTGGTTGCTTCATTATGTTCTCCTAATTGAAACACGCTCTTGAGAACTGGTACCTTTTGTGCAGAACAGCCACATGTGTAACATTGTTGAGAGAGCATGCCTTCTGCATCGTGTTCATCATGTGGTCACAGCTGACCCCTCATTCCACGCATGAGAAAGTCCATTTCTGCAGAAACCTGAGGGTGGCTTTGTGTTCGGGTGTAGCATGAGCTCTAACAGAGGACATCTGTGCAAGCATTTCATCCTGAGTAACATCTACAGAGTTACAGAGTGTTAACAATCTTAATATAGTTTTGAGTCAAAGTATTAAAAAGGACATTTTACACAAGCTGTAGGAGTTTAGAGATGGACTTGTGGAGAAGTGTGTTTTTTTAAAGGGAAACTGCAAAGAATTTGACCACATCAATAAATTATTCACAATGGATGAGATTCAGTTTCTGATGTAAGGAGAAACCATTTCCTGGTGCTGCATGTTAATTCATTTCCTTTTAAATCCTACTTTGTTAACTTTATTTATTTATTTATTTTGCAGCTCAATCCTGATGTGAACGTGTTCCAGCGCAAGTTTGTCAATGAAGTACGACGATGTGAAGAAATGGATCGTAAACTGAGTAAGTGGGCGCAAATGCATAGATGGATATATAACTCCAGTGCTGCCTTTGCCTGCTGGTAAAAAAGATCTTAATCTGCATTTGAACCCTGTCTTTTGTCCCGCTGCTCTTAAGGATTTGTGGAGAAAGAGATAAAGAAGGCCAACATCCCAGTGGTTGATACAGGAGAGAACCCTGAAGTCCCGTTCCCAAGGGATATGATCGACCTGGAGGTGACTGCTCTCTCTCTCTCTCTCTCTCTCTCTCTCTCTCTAATGTAACAGTGAACTCTTTGCATTTCTACTCTGATATGTCTTTACTTTTTAACCACAGGCCACATTTGAGAAGCTTGAGAACGAGCTAAAGGAAATTAACACCAACCAAGAGGCCCTAAAGAAGAACTTCCTGGAGCTGACTGAGCTCAAGCACATCCTCCGCCGTACGCAGCAGTTTTTTGATGAGGTCAGCATCAGTGTGAGCAAAGGCCTCCAAGAACAAATGAGCTGAGTGTGTTGGACTGAAAGAGAAGTTCATCCTTTATTCCAAACTTGTTTATTACTCTGGTTGTAATATCTGAACCCCCTGAAAACAGCTAAAGGTGATAATGGTGGGGGTTTTATTTGTATGTGTGAGTTCTGTCACACCCTAACTTTATTTTAGTCTAAAAAAAAAATACAGTTCAAATGAGGAAGAACAACTCTCCTCTAAATTCTCTTGCCAGTGTTGTATTAGCACGATCACACACAAAGCAGCGCCTATGCTGCTTGATTTGACTGGCGGTGTTTCACTCGTGATGGTTTACGGTTACTCACATGGCCTCGACTGTCTTACACAAGCTATTCAAATCACCTAATAAGCTTTCAAATCTTAAACTCCGTCTCACATAACGTTGGTACAGATTTAATCCTGTCTGCACTCCTCATTGGGTGGGGTAAAGCCGTGCCTGCCCACCTTTGCCCAAAATCAATTCCACTTCATTGCCTCTTCAGACAAAACTGGCTTCACTTACATGTTTATGAGCTGTTGTGAGCTTTAATTGAGTGAATCATTTAGCCAAGCTCTTAAATGTTAAATCATTAACAGACTTTTGTCTCCTTCTTGTCTTAATCTTTGGTCACTCTTGAAACTCATAATAAGTTTGTATTTATTGTAAAATGCACCTGATGAGTAAATGTACCTGATGAGTGACTTTTTTACAGATGGAGGATCCCACTTTATTGGAGGAATCCTCCAACCTCATAGACCCCAATGAAGTCAACAGAGGGGCTCCTCTCAGACTGGGGTGAGTCCAGGTTTACGTTTTTTTTTTCCCTCATTCAGGAGGATTAAGCTTTTCTGAGAGATCTCCTTTCTATGCACTCCAGCCATCTGTGACTAAAAGAGTGTTACAAACAGCCAATCGCCTCCCACACAGCAGCTCAGACTTCCCAGCTTAGTCAGGCGACAAAGGTCACCCGAAGAGGAAATCTCGTGTTCCTGTAGATATCCAGTAAAACTTTGTGATCAGACTTTTGTAAGGAGAGAGGAAACTCCAACATGACTGATTATGTAAAGGAAACATCACCTGATTTTGTTTACCTGGCAGGAAGTGAAGCATAAATTATATACAGTTTATTTAATCTGTTATTATTCAGAAGTTATGACCCAGTTTTTTAATCATAAAAACAGGAAAAGTAAGATTACAGATTTTGGTCAGGCTATAAAACCGGAAGGTGCTTTCAAAAAGTTCCCTTCATAGCCTGTAATTTTTTCAAACTTTTAGGACTGATAAGTTGATTTGATTTGATGATAAGAGACACTTTACCAAGTTGCCAACATAAACATTGACAGATTTCCTCCTTGTTTTATAGATTTGTGGCTGGAGTGATTGGCAGGGAACGTATTCCCACATTCGAGCGGATGCTGTGGAGAGTTTGCAGGGGAAATGTTTTCTTGAGGCAGGCAGATATCGAAGATCCTCTGGAAGACCCGACTACGGTCAGAACTGTTTGTCTCTGAAACCTTTAAAGCGCACTGTAATTTGTGAACTCTTCTTATTCCCTGTGTAGTTGATCTAGTTCCTGTTTCATTCCTCTCTCCTCTCAAAAGCCTATTTTTTTTTATGTTTCCACAGAGTGACCAGGTCCACAAGTCCGTCTTCATCATTTTCTTCCAGGGAGACCAGCTTAAGAACAGAGTTAAGAAGATCTGTGAGGGGTTAGTGTCTGGCAAACATGAGTTCAATATAGTGAAATCCTCCTGGCCAATCAGATCATAATCTGCTCTTCTTCATCCGTCTTCAGGTTCAGAGCTACCCTGTATCCGTGCCCAGAAACCCCCCAGGAGAGGAAAGAGATGTTGGCAGGGGTGAATGCACGAATTGAGGATCTGCAAATGGTAAATACACTCCCGGCCAAAACCCCTGCACAGTGTTGACTTATAAATGCTGACTTGCACAAAAACACACGGAGACTGGTTAGTGCTCTTTTTTGTTTGTGCCTGGTCAGGAAACGTTTTTTTTTTTTCTTTTTCCCATTAACTGTACGCAGCTGTACCGCCACGGGAAGTTGCGCAAGTCTGAAATCAGTTAATCCAGATGAGTAAATTATTACATTTAATATGGTTGCATAAATAACAGCTTGTATAAGCAGATTTTTTCTGTATCAGCTACAGATATCTAAAAATAAAAGCAGTAACTAGGAATTTTCCAGAATAGTTGGTAAAGAGAAGATGATTATTAGAGGCTCTGCAGCAAATCTTCAAATGCCCCATGATGAAAATAGGACGCTCTGCACTCAGATATGTCTGATATCAGCCGGCAGAACGTCTCCTTAGATACCAAACTGCTGTGATTGTACCTGCAGTGTTAAGATGCTCTCTGGTGACTCATTATCTTTTCCACTTGAATACCTCCTTGCTCAAGCTTTGCAGAACGTGTGGACTTGTTTTTATCATCAGACACTTTCTTGTCATGTTACTCAGACTCCCATTGTAGTCTGTTGAAAATGAATAACTCTCTACCACATTTTTGTTCAAGTGTTATGTATTCACACACTCTTAAAGATCACTGGCACTTTGAGCCGTTGGAACAGCTTGCATGGAGCATATCCTCTCTCAGAGCTTTGTGTCAACAGGGGGACTGGTTATCTGTGATTATAATAGGGATTGTTGGTGCTGTCTTAGTTTGGGAGCTGCATTGGTGAAAGAATGTCAAGCTATTTGGGAAACCATGGGCCAAGTGTGAGCCATTAAGCTTCCCCACAGCAGGCGAGACTGTGCATGTAGCCAGACAGCACGGAGCTTAAATATCCCTGCATTTGCTGATCAGAGGACTTAGCTCTGAATGTGAGTCTCATAGCAGCATACGTGGGAATATGTGATGTCTCTTTTGGGGAAAACCCACTGGATTAGACAGTCTGCTGCTCATTTTTTCGACCTACTGCTCATTGAGGTCATGTGACAGGCTGCCTGATTATGGCAAAAGTCATACCGGGATTAATCACTAATTTGATATCGCCATCGTATTCATTTACTAAACTTAAAGCTTTTTGAAATGTTAACACTTTAGATTAGGGATGGGAATCACTAGTGGCCTTACAATACGATATTATTGCGATTTTTAACAGTTTGCAATACACTAAGTATTGCGATACAATATATTGCAATTTATACAATTTTTTCAACTGTTTAGCTAATTTAGCATTTGTCTTTCCTTCATGTTTGTCTTATTTACGCTGTATTTTATTTTCATGTAGCACATCTTGCAAACCTTATATATATTTGTTGTACTAACTTTCTCCTGCTCTATGATGTCACCTCTGCCAACCTCACTGGACAAACAGTTGATTTTATTTTTCCATTATCATAGATTTGACTTCATATTAACAGCTTATTTGAAAATTTGATACTTGGTGAATGAGACGACATGTCAGTGACAAAATGTCACGCTACTATGCTGTATCGATTTTTTTCTCCCGCCCCTACATTTAAAACAAAAAATAATTTTAAAAAGTGGAAAAGTCTATCCGTCTGTCTAACTGGAACAAAACAGCAGAAATAGTTTTTAAAAAATTATATGTTATTGTACTGACAGTGGCTTTTTACTTTATCAATATTTCACTTTAAGAGCTTGAGATTAATTTACAAAAAAAAATTATAATTTGAGACTTTAATCTGTAGTAGAGAACTTTTACTGCGTTTTATGCACCTGAGATCTTCCACTGTGTATATTTTAGCACAGGCTGCAGGTCTGACCTTTCATTTCCAACCCTTCACTTTAACCACATCCAGACTTCAGCTTGAATTTAATTATTTTCATCCTTTCACTCATTAGCATCACAGCTTCTCTTTTGTGCTCCCATGTTTCAAACACAAACCTGCCTCCTCTCCCTGATTTCCTCTTTCCACATGTATCTGCATGATAGTTTGCAAGCTCTAGCACATTATATTGAGGATGTAACAGTCCTGAGTGAAAAAAAAAAATCAGCAAACTCTTTGCACAACCAAACTTTGTTGCTCAATGATGTGAGCGTTTGATGGGGAAGTTCAAGTGAGAGTTGTTTGAGAGGAGGACAGAGGAAGAGAGGAAAGGCTTGCAGCATTCACTGCACAGGGCTAAAAAAGCACAGCATGGCAGGCTGCACGGTTATTGATTTCACAACTTACAAAATATCATTTTAGGAGCGTAGAAGAGTTTATTTCCTATATCACATAAGGTAGATAGCTACGGAAACGTATTGCTTTCACTGACAAAAAAAAAAAAAAAAAAAAGAGCAATTTTTTTAGATTTTTTTTATTTTGCTTTACTATTTTTGGGACACATTTTTTTTTTCTTTCTGTTTTTCCAACAATTTTTTTCTTCTGCTTTATGTAATAATATTTTTTCCACTTTTTCTGTTTTTTGGACAAATTTTTGATCAGCATTCGTACTATTTTTTTTTTCTTTTCTGTTTTTCAGACTAATTTTTTTTTCTGACTGAGCAAGATAGTTCAAAACCCTGCAAGAATCTCATACAATCAGATAACATAAACCACCACGGCTGCTCCAAATCAACGGATTCTCCAGCTCCTAGATAACTTTGACTAAGAGGTCAATGAGAGTAAAGCATGTTATTAGTTAAACATTTGTAAGGGTATGTTAATCCTGAAGGTGCCTGCACAAAGTAGACAAACTTATGGCGATTCCATCTATCTGACTTAAAGAAAGGAGTATCTCCCAGTGTCTCAAATCCCCCAAAAAAGTAAAATTTGATTCAACTAAACAAGTGGGCCATGTGTGCTTCTAGTAAATCGAGCAGAGGGGAATGAAAGTGTCTGTTTTTAAATGATCATGATCCCAGATAAAAGGAAAAACAATTAGTCTGAAAAACGGAAAAGAAACAAAAAAACTCTAAAAAACAGACCTTTTTTTTTTGTGTGTGTGTGGATGCGATTAGCTTCCGTAGATAGCAATGAATTTGCAGAAATGGTTCATAAGACCATGAATAACACTTACAATATTGTCATGTAAAAGATGTTGTCATGGAAACACTTTCTACTACTTCCTCTCTTGTCTTTCCAAAAGGTGCTGAACCAGACTGAGGATCACAGGCAGAGGGTCCTGCAGGCTGCAGCAAAGACAGTGAGAGTGTGGTTCATCAAGGTGAGGAAAATGAAGGCCATCTACCACACCCTCAACCTCTGCAACATCGACGTCACTCAGAAGTGTCTGATCGCTGAGGTGTGGTGTCCTGTCTCCGACCTGGACTCTATCCAGTTTGCCCTGCGCCGAGGGACGGTGAGTAGCTCAGTACAAGGATGAATTTGTACAAGTCAAGTGACCCCGGTTTGGTGGGTTTAGTTTATGATTCACAGACAGGCTCGGTCACTAATTGCTATAAAGTAGACTGTAGGTTCCCTGCTTAATGCTGAATCCAGATAAACCAGTTTTTCAAACCAGCAAGTCCAAACCTCGTCACTCTTACAAGAGTGTTGGACGCACAGCGCACTCATGCTCGTGTTTGCTCTCTGATACCAGTATTTACAATCGCTCAGAGTTCATTTATTTAGCTTGATCACCATCAACTGGAGGGAAAACATGTTCAAATTTCAGACAGAAGTGTCCTCACCTTCACTCTCTAAATTATAGTTTTGAACTGAACCAAACTTCTTTAGCTCACTTTTTAAACAGCTGAGTTGCTTTAAGGAAATTTGATTGACCAGGTTTTGACTGCTCTATAAATAGTATAAAATTCACAAGATTATATAGTTTCCTGTCCACCATGAGACCAATTTGGTGTATGTTTAGTGTTACACTGTATATATTTAGTTCTATGCAATACAAGGCTCTGTCTCCACTCTGAGTTGATCTCTCAGCTGTCGTTTCTTGAAACATGAGGCCTCAGTGTGCTGTATGGAGATCTTATCTGCGACGTGACTTTCACGGTTCTACGCAGTTGTCTTGGTGGGAAATTTGAACTTTATTTTGAAAGCTTGCACTGTGGGGCTTCATACCAGATACACTGAGGAAAAACAGGATACCCCTCAGTCATGCACAGGTAGCTTTTAGCTCCACATGCATATCAGCTCAATTTCAGCAGTATTAATAGTATTGATTTAAAATAAATCAGGGGTGTAGTACTCCAAACTCTCAAGAACCCTCCAGGTTGAAAAGTATCTCTTGTTTTATGTTTTAGTCACTCTGATCTGTGATTTGTAGATAATATGTATCAAAATCATGTCTTTTCCTCGTAGGAGAAGAGCGGCTCGACTGTGCCGTCAATCCTCAACAGGATGCAGACCAAGCAAACCCCACCCACCTATAACAAAACAAACAAGTTCACCTCAGGCTTTCAAAACATCGTCGATGCCTATGGGATTGGCAACTACCGTGAGATTAACCCAGGTAAACACACACCTTTAAGTCAAGCTTGAGCTTTTCTCTGTCACTTCCCAGATCAGCAGTGTCACTCTGAATCTTCAAACGATCATCACCCATTATCACCATGATAGGACATGTTGTGTATTGTGACAGGTTTCACTCATTTGTTCTTTCACCTGTCAAACCACCCTCCCTCATGTGCTGCCTGCCTGCCTGTCTCCCCACCTTCGTGTCTTCAGCACCATACACCATCATCACCTTCCCCTTCCTGTTCGCTGTTATGTTTGGTGACTTGGGCCACGGTGTGCTCATGACTTGTGCCGCCCTCTACCTCGTGTTGAGAGAGAGCCGGCTCATGGCACAAAAGAACGATAATGAGGTATGGACCCCAGCATTGCCATGTCATCACCCCCACTTGTGGTAGACCAGCCCCAGAGCAGCACAGGGGCATTTTACTCTATCATCAGAATTACAGAGATGCAGCTTGTCTGTTTAGGAGAAAGCCAACAGCTGCTAACTGATCTGTTATTGATTGTTTCATGGCAGATGTTCAGCATGGTCTTTGCAGGGCGCTACATCATCCTGCTGATGGGAATTTTCTCCATCTACACTGGGATCATTTACAATGACTGCTTCTCCAAGTCGCTTAACGCTTTTGGCTCTGGTTGGAGTGTCAGGCCGATGTTTGATCGAGCAGGAGGCAACTGGTCGTAAGTGTTTTTGGATATCACTGACCAAACTAAGTGCTGCAGTTGGCATTAGCTCAATTTACAAACCTGTTTGTTGTTACCATGCTTTTCAGGACGTCAACACTTACCGACAATAAAGTTTTGCAGTTGGACCCTGCTATCGATGGAGTGTTTAAAGGACCTTACCCCATTGGAATTGATCCGGTGAATGTTTTTCTTTGTATCCTGTATTTTTTGCGCATAACATGCTTTAAAGTCGTGTCCTAAAACCCTGTTATCTATCAGTTAGAAGTATTAATGAGTGTTTTTCTTGTCTCTCAGATATGGAACATTGCCACCAACAAGTTGACATTCCTGAACTCTTTCAAGATGAAGATGTCCGTCATCCTGGGAGTCATCCACATGCTGTTTGGAGTCTCTCTCAGTCTCTTCAATCACCTGTGAGCTTTTCATCCTCCTTCCTCCTTAATGTATTCATTTATTTTTCTATTTATTTATTTATGTACAATATTAACTGGTCCTTTCTGACAGTTATGTTTGTTATTGTTAGTCCTTTCTCTCTTCTTTCTCTTCTCATTGTCCTCTCACATGGATGCAGGTGTATGCATACGGAGGGTGAACATTGTACAATCATAGTTATCATGATTATTTTGTTGTTGTTGTTTTGTTATTTTAATTCTGTTGATTATTTTTATTTCAATTATTATTATGATTATTGATATTATTATACAATTTTATTATATATATATATATAAATATAAATATATATATATATATATATATATATATATATATATATATATAAACAAATATATATATATATATATATATATATATATATATATATATATATATATATATATATATATATGTGTATATATATATAATTATTATTAGTGAAGGAGAAGGGTTGGGACTAGATAAGACTTCTTCCCACTCCTTTTTGAACATGGATAACTTTTTATCATTTGTTGTTGTATTCTTTACTTTATTATTTAAATAAAAAATCAATCAATCAATCAAATGTATGCATTGTTTCTGTTGGCTCGCACTAATTTTTCGGGGTCATCCTCTGTCTCTTGTCTGCAGGTATTTCCAGAAGCCGCTGAATATCTACTTGGGATTCATCCCTGAGATCATCTTCATGGCCAGTCTGTTTGGCTATCTCGTCATTCTTATCTTCTACAAGTGGTTGTCATATGATGCAAAGTCTTCCAGGGATGCACCCAGTCTCCTCATCGCCTTTATAAACATGTTCCTCTTCAACTACAGCGACCCCACCAACAAACAGCTGTACAGAGGACAGGTCAGTTGCTTCAGCATGTTTTATCACTTTTATCACTCAGCACAGACATCTAACTTCCTTTTCTTTCTTTCTCCTTCCTTCAACATTTAGCCGATCCTTCAGTCATTGTTAGTAGTGATCGCCCTGGCCTGTGTTCCTTGTATGTTAATCGTGAAAACTCTCATTATGAGGAGGCAGTATTTGTGGCGGAAACACATGGTGAGATGAACACACCTGCTAGTGGCATCTTTTGAAGCTTTACTGATGATTTTTCCATTAATTGTTGTTCATCTTTCTATCCTTCAGGGCACACAAAACTTCGGAGGGATCAGAGTTGGCAATGGGCCCACAGAGGATGAGGCAGAAATCATCCAGCATGACCAGCTGTCACAGCACTCTGAGGAGGAACCTGAGGTAAGGAGACATAATCTTCATCTGCAGTGACATTTGGCTGACATGAGAAAGAAAGAAAACGCTGGTCTGCAGTCTGGTGAGAGGGGTGGCGGGTTCAAGGGGAACGCAGGTTATGCGATCTGCTCAGGTCCTTGAATAATGCACAAACCCAGCCGCAACTGGAAACAGAAACTGATCCATCATGTTTCCACTTCCACTGCAGCAGGACATTTCATGAATAACTGATCAAGTCCACATGACCACTTTTAGCTTACTCTGCTGAGAGTCAAAATCATGAAATCTGATTAAATTTGTAATCTAATTTATCAAAAGGCTCTATGTTTGTTTAGTTTTGTGGTCACAGATGAAATAACCTGCTTGATTCCACTTGGAAACGTCTGCTTACTTCTTATTGAAACTTTGAATGTCCTTTCTGCACGTGTTGCAGTGGCAGCGTCCTGAAAAGGGATAGTCCTGCGTAAATTTAAGTTATGGTCAAACACATCTTAACACAGAGTTAGACACCCCCTCGAGGGATGAATGTTGCAGACTGCTTGCTTCTCTAGTTATACCAACTTTAGTAACAACCGCACAATAGCAATACACAGTGGTCTACGTCTCCACGAGCAAACCTCAAACAAGAAGCCACTCTACAACCACAAATAATGCTCAGAACAGCACCTAACTTCATCAACAGAACATATAGGGTCCCAGCTATAGTTCTAGCCATCAAACATATTTTTAGCTTTGCCTAATTTCTTTAGCAAAGAGACCAAACACAACTCACCTACTGCCCTCTAGCAGCCACTTGTTTGTGGGGGAGCCCTGACGAGTTGATCACAGAGTGCAGCGGAGTTTCGCAGCTCAAGGAAGAACATTTATGATCGTTACTTTATCATTTCCATGAAGTAATAATCATCATAATAATGATTTTGCACTGCAGACGTGGTAGTTCTTCTGCATTAGCGTCTCGGTCTGATTGCATTTCCATGAAGAGATGATCATAAATGTTCTTCCTTGAGCTGCGAAACTCTGCTGCACTCGGTGATCCACTTCTCAGGGCTCCCCCCCCCACAAGCAAGCGACTGCTGTTTGTGTGCGGAGATGTACACCGTTGTGTGTTGCTATTGTGTAGTCGTTACTAAAGTTGGTATAACTAGAGAAGCAAGCAGTAGGTAACATTCGTCTCTCGAGGGGGTGTCTAACTCAGCGTTACTGTGTTTGACCATAACCGGAATATCCCTTTAAATGTGAAGTTCAACTTTTCTCCTTGGTCAGTATGTAACTTATTTTTCTTGTTACTTTCCTGTTTACTGATGTCTGTCTGTCTGACGATCTGTGTGCGTGTTTGCTGCCAATAACCAAGCGTTGCCTTTTGTCACCTGCTGTCAAGGCCCGTGAGGAGGAAGAGGTAGGACAGGAGCTCACGCTGCACTTCAACCCTGCAACCTTTTCCCTCCGTGTCTAAGTGCATGTCTTGCAAACCTGTCTCTCTCTGTCCTTGGCTTTGTCACTACTGTACAGTGTCAACCATTGCTGCTCTTAGTGGTGTCTGTGAGTGTGTAGGAAATCATATGTCGGTGTGTGAACGTTGGTGTCCTTTGCAGGAGTCAGTTGTTGAAACATTGGTGCAGGTATTCCTTAAATGATGGGTGCCAGCAGGACCTCTGCTTCCTAACCGGCGTGGTGTGCATGATGTGGGATCTGTAGGGCAGCTGATTCTCTGGGTTCAAAGGGTCCTTCTAGGTTTATACTTTGCAGATGTTGTGTTTAGAAGGTAGTGAAACATCCAAACACCTGAGTGATCATGCACACACAATTAACCCAACCTCTCCAATGTGGACTCCAACGAGGACCTGCTGCAGAGATGTTGTTTTGTCATGGCATTTGGTCTGAGTTACATTCTGATTTTATGTCTCTGTCTCACAGTTTAACTTTGCAGATGTAGCAGTTCATCAGGCGATCCACACCATAGAGTACTGCCTGGGCTGTATATCCAACACTGCTTCCTATCTGAGGCTTTGGGCCCTCAGTCTTGCTCATGCACGTAAGTCCCCCTTTTCCCTCCCTGTCATAAACAACATAAATATCTTTTTCGAAGCACAAATGTATGACCTGCTTTTTGTGCCCCCTGTGCAGAGCTGTCAGAGGTGCTGTGGTCCATGGTGATGCACATCGGCCTCTCCACCACCAGCAAACTTGGAGGCTTTATCCTGGTGGCCGTAGTCTTTTACTTCTTTGCTATTCTCACAGTCGCCATTCTGCTCATAATGGAGGGCCTGTCAGCCTTCTTGCATGCACTGCGACTGCACTGGTGAGTCCACTAGATGTGTCATATGATCTCTCTGCTCAGCAGTTGAACATACATCAACGTAGAGCCGATTATGTTTGGTTCCTCAATGTTTGAAGACAGTGTGGATTCTTGGGTTATTTTGAAGTGTAGTTTTTTTTTGTTTTGCTCTCCTTGAACAGGTATGGAAAGTATGGAAATAAATTTGATCAATTTCCAGGTCCGAAAAGTATTGAAAAATGAAAAATAACGTATGGAAAAATATTTATGTTTTTTCATACTATTACTACAGTTCTAAAATTTTGTTTTCTAAAATAGAAAAGTAGGTATTTCCAACAAAGACTCTGAAAAGAAAGGGTATGGAAATTCCAACTGTGTAGGAACCCTGCTCGAACCATGTCTCTATGTTTATTTTCATGTACGTTTCTGCTTGCATACTGAGAATCTAGTGTGAATACATCTCCATTCTGTCGAGCAGTCTACGTTCTGCTTGGTAGAATGGAGCAGAATGAGTTTTAAACAGTTTTATATGAGAACTAAGTGATATAGGTACGCTAAAATTACCGTCCTGAAAGAGGAGAACTTGTCTTGTATCGAATGACCAACAGCACTTAAAACCTCAGACCTATAGCTCCATCTGCAGGCGGGTTTTATACCCATCTTTCTCTCAGAAGATCATCCCAAAGTGGGTTAGTATAAAGATGTTTTAATGGCAGGGCAATGTCTGTGTTTATATATTTATCTGAAAGAGAAAAAGGTAATTATTGGAGGAAACAAAAAAACAAAACCAGCCATTAGAACCTGTGCGTGATAACTGAAATGAAAGCATAACCCAGGAGCAAATCAGTCACCTTGTTTTACCCTGAAAACATTATTAGAAATTTACTTGTGGGAAAGCTGAGTACAAGAATAAGTAAAGTGATCCAGGATCATACTAGGTCATTTTATATTTCACACATACGGTTACACAAGTAAAATTTCACAACAAGTCATGTTATAAAACATGAAAAGTGACAGGGTGTCAGCTTCTCTAAAGGGTGTGTCTCAATAATAACAAATGTTTGTTACTGTTCTCCTCCTTCTTTTTTTAGCAAACATGTCTGTCCATTTTTTTTTTTTTTGGTGTTAAGCTTTTCTTTTCTTTTCTGATGCGTGCGTGGTATGACTCCCTGGTATGAGTCGGACAAGCCTTTGTTGTCTTTATCCGGCTTCGCCAAAGATCCTCCTGCTTTTTTTGTCACTCCACTGGCACGTTTTCAGGGCATGTCCGTGTTGTTGCCACTCTTCTCTAAAATAATCCTTTACACGGAAACGTGGAGTGACTCAGCTTTCATTGCAGGCCCTGAGGGAGAATCAGGTGCAGTTCTGGCGCTGCTTAGTCACGACAATCATAATAGTTTCTTTTCAGTTATACCGTTAGGACACAATGTGACAACTTAGTGTGACAGGTTATGTAATTGAACAAATATTCAAAGTAATGATGCTAGAGTGTGGTAAGGATAGTTTTTATGCTTTCTAGAGAAACAAAAAAGTGGGCTTAAATCAGATTACACTGGAGAGTTTTGTAGATAACCAGTAAGTCTTACTTCCATAAGCCTCTATTTCTTTCTTTTTTTTCAACAATCTGTTTATTGAATTTTTTAACCATTTCAAAAAAAGCAGGAGCATTAAATATGTATGAATGTCCCTGAGAGTCCATTTTTATAAAAAAAAAACATATATAAAAACAAATTCGTATGCGAATGTTTACGGATGATGGCTCAAACATACATAATGAATTTTCAAGATAAATGAAGATAAATACTTGTAAACATAAACATATATGTAAATACATAAATGAAAATGGTGGGCCGTGCAGATGGCCGAGCAGGTTAGCACGCCCCATGTATGGGGACCATCGTCTCTGCAGCGGTCGCCGACTCGAGTCCGGCCCCGACTATGTGCTGCATGTCCTTCCCACTCTTTCTCTCTGTCTAACCACATTTTACCCTGTCCTATCAATAAAAGGGCAAAAAAATGCCCAAAAAATAATTTTAAGAAATTAAATAATATAAATAAATGAAAATGTTAAAATATAACCTGCATGATTAAACAACATCAACAGCAAAAATGAATAAATAACATAAGATAAAAAAAACAGAAAAATAAAAAAACAATTTCACCATGGAGGCAACTCCTTAAAACCTACATCCTGTACTATAAGATGCTTTGTGAATATCAGTGAAGAATTAGTTCAATTGCAGAGGTAATGACTAAACTCCCCTAGCTATGTCCAACATACTAGATAAGTACAAGTCACTATTTCTACTGAGTTTGAACTCTGGGCACGCAAAGAGTGGTTTGGATTTTCTAAGAAGGCAGATTGCAGTCCGAGTTTTCAGAGTAAAAATCTCCCACCGTCCCCTCTACTCTCTAACACCAGACTATGGAATTGAAGGTATGTGTGGCACCTCAGTTTAAAGGTCAACCAGCCGTCAATTAGCATTCGCCTTTTAAAAATAGAACCTGATCATTTTCCCAAAAGGACAAGCTCAGGTATCCTGCCAGAGACCGGGGTCCAGACAGGAGCGGGCTGTGAAATGAAGAGCAAGGGTCATCAGCAACGACTGCTCTGCTCAGCATTATGCAACCTGGCACCAGTCCACCAAGCCGTGTCTCTGGGTTTACCAGATGCTTCCGGTCATTGTGTTTCTGATTTGACCTTTTCTGTTCTTCACAGGGTGGAGTTCCAAAACAAGTTTTACTCAGGCCAGGGCTTTAAGTTCCTCCCCTTCACCTTCGAAAGCATCCTGGATGGGAGGTTTGAAGACTAAGATATGAAGACTCATCTTCCTCTGCTGTCACTCATCTTTTGATCATCTATCTAGTGTTGAATGGTGATTTTTCTGTGTGATGCAGTTTTCAGCCTGTGGAGTGTGACCACATTTGCATGAGTGAACACTCCACAGGAATGCATCTGTATCCGACTGATATCTACTTAAACTCTTCTCATCTTGTAGGATCAGTATGTAAAACCTGCAACACCTGCTCTGAATTCACTGTCATTCCTTCATTCTCGAGAAACAACAAAGTGGCTGTTATGTAATCTGTGTCATGTTTTAGTGAAGTGAGATTGTTTTACATGTTTTATTTAGTTTAATATTATTTATGCATTTTTTTTTTCCTCTATAAAATCTGCAACTTTCCAGGAGATCAGTAAGTTGCAGATGAGCGATGAGTAAAGGGACAGACATGTTTACTGCCGGTTATCTTTGTATTAGTGTTGTCCTTGAGAAACATCTTTTCTGACTGATTTCCAACATACTCCCACTCTGCACCTGCAGAAGCCTCTCTGACTCTGAATACTGACCGCACATAAAGAGCTGTGAAGGTCCAAAGGGAATACGGCAACTTGCATCGCTCAGTCAGTGCTTTGAAGATGAAGATGCACCGACTCTTGAATCTAATGCCCTTTGTGTTATGTGATCAATATCCTGTAACAATATCATACTAAAATAATAAAGCTGGGTTTGTTCTGTAAGCTGATCTCAGTTGTTAGAGTTTCAAATGTCTTTACACCTCTGAAGGTTAGAACCGCTTTGAGTAGACATGTTTGTAAAGAGTCAATAATTCAGGAATCATTCACAACTTCTTGTGCATCTCTCAATAAATTTGACAGAGCTGGATTAAAATGTGGGTTTGGTTTTATTTATTCACTCTCTTCACTTCATTACACTATTTATTTTACTGAAAAATATGAAATTGTAGTTAAGTCGGAGTCACTGTGACATAACTCAAGTGTAATTTAGATGCTAGTGCGGATAACTGTACTGAAAGCTTCTTCAATGTATTATTTACGTAGGGTGACCATACGTCCTCTTTTACCCGGTCTGTCCAGGGGGAGTTTGTGAAAATAAGATTAGATAAAATGTTGTATTTTATTTTTTTCGAAAAAAGGAAACAAGTATTCATTCATTATAAAACAGTGCAGCGCATCAGTGCTCTCTGCTCTCTGCTGAAAAAATCCCCTCGAAATTGTTTGCACAGCTCTGCCCGTGTAGTTGTGTCCTCTTTTTGGGGATTCAGAATATGGTCACCCTAATTCACATACAAAGGAGACTTTTTCAAACTGAGATGTGAATAATGGGAAAGGCAAAAATAAGGTACAAACACAGAAATGCAATATTTACAATCCTAGAATGTAAATATCTCTGAGACATTAAAATACATATTTGTAAGTGTTATGCTGATGAACTATGCTAAACCTTGTACTGAGGAATAAATCTGTAATTATTATACTTCTCCCCACTAACCTACAGAGATAGATATGTGTCACATGCTCAAGTCAAGTTGTGCAACAATCACAAGGTGAGAAAGTCCTTTTAAAAGTCTGCTCATGTGTAAAGAAGCCTCTTGGTGGTGCTGCTGAACAATTTGTAGAGTTGCGGTGGTCTAGGGGGAAATAAGACTTGTGTCTGTATTTTGTCATCAAAGTGACCGACCTTATTCCTCTGCACAGATAACACAGCACAGAAGAGTCTTTACATCCTCTAGCACCTCACTTTGTGTCAGAGAAAAGACATTTATTAAGTAAAGTGATTAAAAATTTTGCTGGTGAGGGTGCATACTTTACTGTAAAAATACATACTACAGTTGTGTACTTTTAGTTCTTTTTGTTCCTCATATCGATTGTTGTGTAATTGACTGGCTGTGTTCGGTCTTGTTGGTAGCGAGTAATTATTTTCTCATGCGTCAAAACAAAATTATCCACTTATGTCCCTGCCCTTTTATCAAGGTTTGGTTGACGCTCTCTCAGTCTTATTCCAAGTAGCAGGAAATCTGAAACTGTATGATATCTTTTTGATAATTCAGCAAGTGTTGGAGGATGTACTAGACATTTTTGTCAATTAAAAAGTTCCTATACCAACACCATGACAGACGAATAACATAAAAATACAGCTAGCTCTATAGCTGAAGTCTATGTCTGGATAATAATTAGAAGTGACTCCCTATTTCTAAAGCTGCTGAAGGTGGAGTCATTTCTGTTCATTCTCTTTAAGAGAGAAGTGAGTTTAAAGTATAATACTGGCCTCTGATATATTAAGTACAATCATAAAAGAGTACGTATGTAAAGACTTACATGGTGTAAAAGTACCTCAAATATTCCAAAAGTAAGGATCTTAAAAAGATTCACACTCATACCTTCTACCATCTCAAAAATACGGAAGAGGATTAGGGCCACTGAAAAAAAAAAAAGGTCCAATATAATAAAAAAAATATATTATTTTGAGTTTAAAGTCAGAATTTTGAGTTTAAAAACTGTATTGGACCTTTTTTGTCTTTTTTTAGTGGCCGTAATCCTCCTCCATACAATAAAGTACATCAAATGAAATAACAAAAATGTGACCACCAAGATTAAAAGTAAACCTGTGTCTCATACTTGTAGCACCATGGGGGGTCTTGCTCTGGAAACTGTCAGCTGCTCCTGAGAGGAACATCATGTTCTCTTTCCTGGGTATTTTTTCAAGGGGTGGCTGCTATTAGCTACAACAGCCCCAAAGTAATAATAGAGCTCTTTATTTATCTTGTGTTTTTTTGGGGAGCTCATTTAATTTGATATTTCCCAGCGTGTCATGCCGAACCGGGGCTGAGAGTATACGCTTGCGTAAGAGCCACAGAAAATCCTGTTTATACATTCAGGGAATTTTTCTCTTCAGATTCAAGGCATGACCCCTTGAATAAGGATGAGATTATTGTTTTGCCCCTTTATCTGAGTCAAACATTAGGACTTTAGCTTGGCAGAAAATGGTCTCTGGGAATGTTGGATGTGTTGTGAGGTTCTAGTCGATGTTTATCTGGGGAAACAGGGATGCTTTTGCAGCTGCAGTGATTTTCCAAAAAACAGCAATTCAGAATATTGTATTATCTTAATGACAGCTGAGATTGGCTCCAGGCCCCTTTGACCCCCAAAAGGATAATTGGTAAAGAAAATGGATGCATGGGTATTATATTACCTAATCACACACTGTATTCTTTTCTTTGTGTAGCAACAAGAACGCATGCTGTATGTCCTCATAATCTGATTTATTATTGCCCCAAGAAGTCAACTATCTCTGTGAGACCACAGGCAGTTGAGAAAATTTTCCTCTGTTTCTCAGGCACTCAGCAGCTGTGGAATAATATGGATGTGCTCTTTTCCAACCACATACAACTTTGTGCCAACTGTACAACTCCCAGATAAATAAATGAGAACATTTTGAGGACAGCTCACGTATCATGCCACTCTACTGCAGTGGAATAAATAATTAAGTTTGTCTTTGATGCAATGTGGCAAATATTTCTGACATGGATGAAACAAACATAAGATTAATAGCCACTAATCATACTTAAAGCTCCTATGAAGAGTTTTTTGATGTTTATGAAATGAACTGAAATTTATGTTGATGCCATTTAATGTATGCAATAGTAAACCAGACCATCAGCAGCAGCAGGAATGGAGACTTTTATGTCATAATTTTTGTTGCAAAAACAAGCAAAGACTCGAGGTGTCAAAATTGACATGAACCAAAAGTCCCTCACAGAAGCTCCAAGTGTGTGAAAAAGTGAAGTTTAAAAAAAGCCATTATTTCCCATTTTTACATCTGTGTCCAAACATACGAACACTAAACTCATCTGGCTTGGCACATTCAGAGGGGTGCCATAGGCTCTCGAAATGTGATTGGCAATCTACAACCCCAAAGTCATAAACCATATTATGACAAACTATTTTCTTTGTCACAGGGAGGACTTATGTAATGGTCAGCTATTTTTCCTGTGTTACAACAGGCTGCTAGTGGCTTTCTTAATATCTTAATGTGGCCAATTTCCTTTTGGTACCTCTGATAAATGTGGCTTTGGGCAGACATCTGATTGAAGATTGAAGCTAGAAAGTTTTTAAATGTTGTCCCTCTTGACAAAACATGTTTATACATATATATGTATGTTAGATATCTGAGTAGAAGTCAACCCAGGTATGATTATTGGAGAGAGAAAGGGTAAATAAGTATAATTAATTCTTGTGTAAGTAGATACGTGTGTTCCATGCCACTCTTGTAGAAAAACAACTCTACATCAAAGTCAAAGAAGTCTGGACACACCCCTGTTTGGCACAACTCCACTCCACTCATGCCGTTCTTCTCAGCCTCCGCCTGGCGCATCATGGATTTCGCCCTCTGGCTGGAACTGATTTCTAGAGCTGGATGCCAAAGGTGCCGTGCTGGTACATGACAGTGGAGACCAACCCCACAAACATCAACATCATCAGAGAACTTCATAAACAGGTTCAATGGATATACAAGACAGAACAGCCTTGATCCATTTTTAGCTCAACGACCACAACTATTAGTCAGCCAAGAATACTGAACAAATTTAAACCTTGATCTGAGTATGGTGCTAAAAAATCAAGAAGAGACCATGAACAGTATGGCCAAGTTTTAAGGGGATTTGTCAAAATCTATTGGAATATTTAAGTCCTGTAAAACCGTTGGACAAGACAACACTGCTGCGCCTTTTTGGACGTTATTTGTTATGAGCTTGTTTGATTTCCGGTGTTTAACAGACTGAAACGATCTGTCTTTGTAATGGTTTATCTGTTCTGACATTCATCTGTGAAGCGTTAAAAAGAAAGCCTGTCATGTTATCAAGACAGGCTGCCACAAGCTGTCACAGTGGGAATTATCCTGACTGACGTACAGAGTAAAAACACTCACGCAGAGTGACATGCAGCTCTATCTACCTGACAGAGGGCTAGGTGAGGCTGGGAAAGCAGTCTCGTACCTCCCCACATCGATGGGATTGCATCACAACGTCCCAAAATAACATTGTTCTTCAAACGGTTTCCTTCATCCGTCTGACCTCAGCGATTGTTTTCAGGATTTAATTACACACTGATTTGTGAGATTACATCAGGAAGCTTTAAACAATACCAAAATTGGATTACAATGATACTTCTGGGCAAGCACACTGACACTGAAACACACACATCTCTGTACTTCCCTGTATGTGAGTTACATAATACAAGAATGCTATGCGAAATGGACTTTAAGGAAACAAAAAAAGTGGCGATTACATTATGACTGTCTTATTCATCCATGCTCCAGAGAAAAAAAAGGACATTTTAAAAAGCTTCACTGAAACACCAGTATAGTCAGAAAAGGGTCATGTTTGTCCTCGTATGTCTTAGAGTTGCTGAAAACGCTGACACATCAACAAGTAGCAGCTTACACTGCCAACACAGACAAAACAGAATTGACTTTAAAAGCCTGGAGCCGCAGCCAGAAGCAGCCTTTATCACTAACACAAACACTTTCCCCTGTGAGGAGTGATGGTTTCAACACACCCTGAAGACCTTCATCGACCTTTTGTCCTCATTTTTCAGTCATGCAGGATTTTAAAACAAACAATGGAGTGTACCAGACTTACGTTACATCACAACAAATGGATTCTTTGCATGAATTTTTGTCTTGCACCCTCATATTTCCCAAATTAACTTATATTAAAGTACAGCACGTGTCTGAACCCGGTTAGAGGGGCTTGCCTGTGTGTGTGTTTGTGTGAGTGCCAGTAAGTGTGAACTCCAAATAACTTTCTAATACCATAGTACCATAATAAACAAAGAGAACCATGTGGTTACAAATCTAGGGCTCCAAGAGAT